TATTTGGAACTGATCGGCCACTCAGCCTGCCTCCCATCGCAGGTCTAATCGAGTCAATCAACAGGTTGCCGAATTTGGCGCGGTAGGAGAGGAGGAGCTTCGGTCGCTCATCAGTGGGACCTACAGCGTCCCAAATACAACGAGGAGCGCGAGTGCCCGGGAGGAGGGCCGATGCTGCAAGGGTCTTTTCTGGAAGCACACACCCTGATCCATCGCAAATCCTGCTCATCTTGCAGCTGTTCCAATATATTAAGCACGGTAAGCGCCAAGCTGGACGGCTTCCTTCGCAAATCAGTCTTTCGTCCTCTTTCACAAGACAATAGGAAGGAGATTGCCTTGAGCTTCCTGGCACGCATAGGCAAAACGCCACCCACCTGCCTGAAGAGTATTTGAAGAGCGGGCGGCTTGACACCTGCCTATATGACTGTCCTCCTATGCCCTCGACATGCAGCTCTGTGCTTATCTCTAATCCTGCTCAAAACGCATCGGTCGCTGGATGTTGAGGCATCCCTTGCTTGGCACCAAGCTCTACCACCGCGTATTGGCCGCCTGCTTTGACGTGGCTCGCCACGTGAAGCTGTCGAGCTCCCAGCCAGATCCTTGTACAGAAGGAGAGGCGGGGCATAAAAATCAATCCTTCTATGCGGCCTACTATGCGACCTGTTAGGGCCCACGGCGCTGGGATTCGACAGATATGAATTTGGAGGGTCGTCTACCCCACCGTCAGCATCTGCTACAGGGGGGCCCTACGCGAATCACTGGCTCTGCTGCCAAGGTTGCCAAAGATCTGGTGACCCAGACACCCACACACCAACAGCATTCATCGTGATTCCGCTACATCATCTTTGCGGTAGGGCAGAGGGTTCTACAAGCATCCGTTCAACAAAGGCGCCGACGCTCCCATCAATGAATGCAAGGATGGCTCTCAAAGCTCTACGTCAGCCACCAACATCCGGGTCGCATCTGGAGCACCATCGTGGCATTGTATAAGCCAAAATCAAGAAAGGTAAAATGTTAGGCTCCAACCGACTAGTTTCGCGCAGGTCAGAGAGGGACCGCCAAGATGCAACACCTTGTTGCATTCGCAGCCTGATCCGTACAATGCCTCTCAGGCAACGTCTTGTTTGCTGAATGGCAATCGCTTCATCTCATGCAAACACCAGCCCAGGACGACGCCCTATCGACTGACGATAACGTCCGTTCTCGAGCCCCCAAAGGGTGTCACCAATACCTTACGGCGCTATCGAGCTATGCAAGGCTGCCTTCATCTGGGGAGCAAACACCTTCAGCGCCGCAATAGTGCTGCGCTGCAGACCACATTGTGTATCTCGAACAGAAAGCTGATTCCTTGGTTTTGCCCCTCCCCTTGCGATGCTTCTCTGGCGCTCCGCAGACTAAGGTAGTGAGGTGCCCGGCCCCTTGTGGCGAACGCCGCTGCGTGCGGCCCGTTGACATGCTTTAGTGCTATAGTACTATAGCATGCACGCAGAGTTCCCCGGAAACAAGTCTCTATTCTGCACCAGAGAGCACGTACCACAAGTCAGTACTTGTCCCTGCGCTGGAAATCCCATGTTGGGTATTAGCGGCTCCCTCGCCAGCTTATGTGGTCTCCTCATTCCCAGGACCTCGGCAGACCTGTTCGCGTGCCGTCCACTCGCGGATCCCGTTCCCACTCATCGCATTCATCGAGCTGTACACATTTGACACCAGGGAATGCCTGCGCCATCTCTTCTCTGCAAGCGGGGATGGCCACTCTCCCTCACTATCCTCTGCTTCCGTTTCGCTTGGATGTCTTAAGAGTGAAAACGGGGAGGAACTGAACTGACGACACGAAGGGCGGCCAGTGACCCCTCTTGGAACGTCCCGCGACAAGGGAATATCCGAGCCAGGTACCACAAACCTTATTCTGGTATGATTGATGTTCTGGAGAGACATATGGTCTTTGCGTAAGAAAATCCACTGACTATGATGGAATCTACTCGACAAGATTTGAGTCACAACCCACAGCCCAGACGCCCAACAGGCTGTTTCGAAAGAGACGCTTCGGTGACTCGTGAACATGGGCCTTTCGAGGTACTCTCTCATTCGGCACCAAGTTTTCTCTCGCCAGGTGGGTTCCAACGGTTGAGAAATACAGTAAGTAGCAATTGTCTAACACGACCTTCCCTTCCCTCCTTGCACGCCGAACTCGTCTGCCAGATCCTTCGACTTGAAGTGGTCATCTGACGCCCATCGCAATTCCGGTCACTCCTTGCCATGGCTTTGTCTGCACACGTCAGTACCGAGGACGGTACATACATGCCATGTAGTAGTACAGCAGTACAGTACAGTACAGCAGGGTTGGTTTTCGACGATGGGACGGGGGGGGGGTACATCAAGGTCGTGTAGGGGCTACATGTGGGGAGAAAGGGGGGGTGGGTGGGTGTGTCCTATCATGGTAGTGTTTTGCTGCTCACCCATGCCAGGTACGTACTGGAAGGTTGCATCAGCATGTGTGCGAGAGTACCCAGTTATCCTGCACTGTGAGTGAGTACGTGCCTCTCCCTGGCCTGCCCTACCCGCGGCTTCCTGCAGCTGTACTGTGGGTCCCGCAGCAGACATGGGGCGGGACAGGGAACTTGGGCACATGGGACCCCTCTACCCAGCGGCAACGGGCAACGCTAGGCTCCCCCCCCCCATCGACCGCAACCTGTCACTTAATTGTGCTCTTGCACATAATTTTTTTTCTCCACCCAATCCTGGTGTGCCACTTTGATCTTGGCACAGAGCGGCAGAGAGAGAGAGAGGGAGCGAGAGAGAGAGAGAGAAAGAGAGGTGTGTGCGTATGAGAACGCGAAAGAGAAGAGACATTAGCCTTGAGCAAGGAGGCGCGGACAAAGAATGCGAAGCGAGCCGGATCCAGTATGACTGCTAAGCTGAACCTTGGGAACCTTCCTTGCATAACACACACCTTACCTGAGGAAACCGCCAGTCTGTCTGCCTACCCTCGAAACGCCCTTTCCCATCCCACCTCGTTTCTAGCTCAGCTCCCCACTCTCCCCCGACCAGATCAAGCTGGCAGACTCGCCGTCTTCGTCTTGTCTCGTCTCGTCTGACCTCGTCTCTCCTCCCGTCTCGTATCATCTCGTATCGTGCCATGGTCCCTTGATTTTGTGTGCGGCCCATCATTTCAGTTTTCTATCGCAGAGAAGACTAACGGGACATTCGAGTCAAGTCGAGTCAACTCAAGTCAGGTCAGGTCGAGTCCAGTGCCTTGGGTCAAACCTGATCTGTCGTTATTGGTACCCAGCTGCATGCACACAGCCTGCCTGCCTGCCTGCCTGCCTGCATTATCCTCGCTATTCTTTTCTCTCGACACGAATTTCCTCTCTCTCTCTTTCTTCCTCTCTCTCCACAGCCCTTCTACCTGGCCTCCTCCACCTCATCCTCCTCCTCCTTACCCACCTCCCCTGTGTCACTATCGATTTTTCAGGCCGCCTCGCAGTCTAACCTCCCGTTTTCTATTTATATCAAAAAATAAAAACAAAAATAAAAGGTGCGTTCTTCCTGCTTGCTGGCATCGTATCATAAACGTCAAAGCTCTTGTCGCGACCAGGGGTGACAAGCCGTATCACGCCGCCAGCGCATTACCGGCGTGTCTCTTCATCCATCCACTACCAATTCGCGCCCCCATCCATCCTTTTCACCCTGCTGAGGTGGACCTGCCCAACTTGCTTGTCATCGTGATCGGCTGCAGCCCAATTGCATGCAACACCCGTTCTCACCTCTCACCCCTCACCCCCTTCCCCCCTCCCAACCGCCTTGGTGCTCATTCCATGTCATGCTGGCGGTGCAGACACGACACATATTATTTCCACGGCTAGAAAGCTGACATTCCTGCTGGGCGCGGTAGGTGGCACTGCGACTGCGGTGGTTGCAAACAGCGATTGCAGCAACCGCAACAAAGAAGAAGAAGAAGAGGAAGAAAAGGGAGCCGCCCAAGGCAGCGCGACTTCTGAAAATCCGACAACAGGCTTGACGGGCCGAGAGGCTGAGACCGCAAAAGACAAGCAGCACATACCCAAAGGGTCCTCCCGGTCTGCCGTGCTGAACTTTCTTTTTTTCGTTCTCAGGGCCGAGATCACCCTGCCGGATTGCCCCCTCCTTTTTTCCCTGGCCCCTCCTCCACCCAGACCCCCCTCCCCCACCACAAAAGCAAAGTACCAGAGTACCATCGTACCCGTTGGTATTCGGTTGGGTTGGGCCAGAGCGATTCCGACCTAAAGACGGGGCCAAAAGTCACGCACCAGGCCAAAACCGAAAAGCCAGTGTAATCTACCTAAACCACGGCTGTCGGGCTGTCCCGTCCTTGTGCTGCTTTGAACTTAGTCTGGGCTGCGTTACATCTTGGACTGGATTAGACTTGACAAGCATCGCACCGCACCGCACCGCCCGCGCACCGACACGGCTGGACTATTAAGACCAAGGTCGTGCCCCACACTTTGACCAGGCACTTACGGCAAGCTGGACTTTAAGGATTTCTGCACCGTCACCTTTCCCCCTCTATTCAACTTCAACATTTCATCCACCTTACCTTCACTCACCCACCTTCTCTACTCAGACCTTCCCGTCACCAAAGGTCTGCCGTCGCGCACCACAATACCAGCAACACCCACCAACCGCGCCAACACAACTCACCTCTCTTCTCTTCTCTTTCTCTTTTCTTGTGTTATATATATATATATATATATACACACACACACATATATATATATCTACCTACCTACCTGGACGACAAGATCAACCGAGTGTTGACAACAGAAAGAAGGAGCAAGCAAATTGTTGGCAGCATTGGTCGTAATCTTGGTCTCCAGCTCTGACTTCGGAGGTTGTGTTTTTTTGATTTGTTGTTTCCACCTCTGGTAGTGACGGCTTCCACCCTCGATTGTTGCGACAGCATCGCACAAGCGCGACAGGACGATCAAGTCTTGCTGAGATTCGAGGGTCACCACCAGGTCAAGATGTCGGGTTTGAGTGGCCAAAGGGGCGGTCCCCCACAGGAATCTGCTTATCCACCTCCTCCTGGTGAAGAGGACGACCGCCCTCCTCGACCTCAGTATCAACAGCTGCCCCCGCCAGCAGGCATGACCCTCCCGCCTATCCAGGACAGTCTCCAGGCCTACAGCAGTCGTTACCCAGACCCCAGGGCTCAAGGCAACTACACAGCATCTCCCACCGCCCCAAATGGCTACGGTCCTCCCGGCCCTAGCTACCAACTGCCTCCTGTCCAGCCTCCCCACGACCATAGGTACAGCGGTGACCAGCACAGGCCTTTTTACGATGCTCGTGGCGGATCCTATCCACCCCCGCCACCCCAGCCGGATCAGTACAACTACACGTACCGACCGTCTTCTGGCCCACCTTACAACAATGGCAGCTATGTCTCCGAATACGGCCGCGGGGTCGCTTCTGCGGCCGGGCAGGCTGCACCTCGACAGAGGACCTCCATCGCTTGCAGCTACTGCCGGAGGCGCAAGGTCAGTATAGCCCTTCCCATATGGCCGGCAGCTCGTGCGCTAATTCGCCTCCTGGGCCACAGATCCGGTGCAGTGGCTACGGCACCTCGGACGGGGTCTGCTCGAACTGCAGAAAGACCGGCAACAAATGCGTGTTCCAGCCTGTCAGCTCCTCGTCGACCACGGCGTTTGTTCCCGTGTCAGCCGTACCTGGCGGTGTGCCTCCAGGCACGCCTCTGTACGGCGCCTTCGGTCAGCCGCTGCCACAAGGCGCCGCTGCGGGAGGACCGCCTGGCCCTGGAGGAGCACCGCTCCCTCCACCCCCAGGCGGCGCGCAGCCCTATCCGCCGCAGCCTCAGCAGTCCGAGGGATACGGCGACCACTCGCCTCGAGCGAGTTATTACCCTCCGCCTCCTGATGATGGCAACAGCCGAAGACGACTGCACGAGGAAGATCACACCTCTCGTCTGCCTCCACCCAACCCGTACGGCGAACCCGATCCTCGCCGACGCTCGCCTGCTTCCCCGATCCAGGGCGGAACACCCCCACAAGGTCAGTACGACTACCCTACGAGCACGAGATCCTATGACCCGGGCGAGCGAACTGGCACTCCCCGACACGACACTCCCACATCTCCCCAGCACGGTGGAAATGGTCTGATAAATCTGACCTCACTCATGGATCAGCATCCACCGCCGCGCCCTCCAGCCGGGGCTGATTCCAGCCACGACATAGACCAGACTATGCTCGGCCGGCTGAACCGGCGGAGTTAGGGTATGGGCCGGTCGTGCAGCGCAGTGACACGGTGGGGTGAAGCACCCCTGCTACGGCGATTACTCCCTCCAATCTTGAAGCCACTTCGGGGCTACGTCGGTCCCCCTAATGGGACCATTGATCTGGTGCAAGAACCATATATCTTTGGCAACCACATGGCAGTTTCACTTCTGCGACTACTCGAAGCTTTACTCGCGCTCTAGACGGCACAACGATGGGCTCTTGTTCTCGTGATTTGTTTTCATTCAGTACCTTCCTCCAACTTTGCAATCACGGCACTCTCACGCGGACTCCTCTACATGAGGGAAAGGGCGAAACTCGGAACAGACGAACACCCTACATGACAATGATGCCAAAATAAATGGAGGGATTTGCTCTTTCTTCTTTTTTATTCCCGGCCCGACAACACGATGCTACTCTGCAAGGGTCGACGAAACGCGTTGGGTTCTCTGGGCCAAAAGATCACAGCACTTTGAAGCAGCCGCCCACCGAGACAGCTTGTTGCTTAGCCGACGGTTCGAGATCAATTGGGACGTCTCCTGGAGCGGTGGTGCTTTTTACACACAGATAACGCCTCTACTCGCACATTGCCAGATGTGGCAGAACAGAAGCGAGACGTCACACGATGTGGCACGTGGGAAGTGGAAGACTATCGACGTGCCGGTCACACCGCGCTTCCCACTATGTGTCTAACGATGGTCACTTCGACTGCGGGTTTTCTTTTTCTCTTTTTTCTTCCTAGTTTGTTTTCATGGTCTTACAGTGGCGGCCTTTCCTCACAATAATTGGTCCTGAAGTGTGTACCTAATGATGTCTACATACCCCTTCCCCACCTTCTCTTGCATGATTTTGGGTGCAGGGTGGATCGAGTGTACATGTGTGTGTACTTTGCAGCAGCCCCAATCTGAAATCTTGGGTTTGAGTCGGGCAAAAAAAGAAGAGCGATGCCTCGCGGCAAACTGATGCTTTACTGTTGTTTTGTTTGCTTGCTTGCTGCTATGGGTGGTCAGTTTCTGTGCGCTACGCGTATATCGCTTGTTTTCATTTTCGTCATTGCAACGGTGGTGGTGGTTGTGGGGTCTCAAGTATTGGTTGGCCAATAAAAAAAACCCTTTCCTCTGTTTTGATTTTCTCTTTTTTGGTTTTCCTCTTTTCTTTTCATCTTTCTCATGTACACTTTCTCCATACGATTCGAAGAGACCCGAACAGTCAAAACACCAATCATGAATGGGTCATATGGCTCTTTTTTTGGACCACCAATTCTGTTAATTCACGGCACAGAGTTGAAATGAACTTTTGTGTATGACGCAAATAGATTGGCTTGTGTACGACTAAAAAAGAGACCATGCTGAGAGCACTCCGAAGGAGGAAGTCGGCATCGTGGGTTGGCACAGCTGGGCCTCGGGGGGTTTTAGTTGTCTAATCACGACAAGCAATGCAAGGTTTTGATGTCCTTCGTGTCACCGCGATACCGCCTGCCTTATCTCGCCCCTAATAAGCAATCTATACAACACCCGTCTACATGGCCCTTTGTCTGAGGGCTGAAGCATTGGCGAAAAAGAGAGGCTATCTGCCGAGTGTCAGAATCAATCAATCGCTGGCCGAGGAGGGAGGGGGGGGGGGGGGGGGCAAAGAGCAGAACTGTCTCGGCTTCATGCCGGTGATGGGATAAGTGGCGTGTGGCCCAACTCGGCCTTCTTCTCAGACTGGCAGCTCGGAGAGGTTCCTATTACTTCACTGTTTGGTCTAGTTGTCCATCAATCTGTACGTCCGTAAGGGAAGAAAGGGGGAGGGGGGGCTTGCAGAAAAGACTTCATTGACGAGGGACTGCTTACGAGAGCAGACTGTTCTTTGATCTTTTTGGGCTTGCCATCCCGATGGGTGGTTGCACGTCAATTACAAACTCGCTCCTCTCTCTCACACACACGGTGGCCGAAGAATCCGGCTGCTGGCTGTCTGGCGTCTGGCTGCAGGGAGCCATCTGCACAGCGATGAAAACGGAAAGTCTTTCCTTTCTTCTCTCAGCCTTTTGCGTCTCCAATGCGACCGGCCAAGCTTGCCTACCCTGACATTGTACACTACCGTAGCACCTTCATCTGCAAAGGACTTCAAGTGTGAAGCGAACAGGACGGGCTCGGGAACGGGGTGGAGTGACATCGTCGACGGGAGGTCGCATATTGCTGGTGAACCCGGCTGCAGGACGGCCTGGCGGAATGTATCCGTTGGTGCCCCGGCCAGTTGTCTCTGGCTACTGGCATGACCTCCTCTTGGGTGGCCTGCATGTGATTTTGGGTCCTTTCTGCTTCTCTTCTTCTCCATGGGTGGGTATCACCGCATATGTGCCGCCGCCCCATGGTCGTGCCTATACGGGGTATTGCTGTGTGACTGGCGACCGAAAACAACAAAACAGGCGGAAGCCAGAACAAGAAAGAAAAAAAGAGGCCCTTAGGGGAGGAGGATGCTCCGCTCCGCTCCTACTCCTTCCATTTCTCTTGTCAAGGTCTCTCATCGAATCGCAGCGATTGCCCTCTTGACCGCCTTGCTCCCGCCCTTCTGCGGGGCTGTGTTGACATGGCGTCGTTTCTCATCCTGTCGTCTCCAAGTCACATGAGATCTCGGAACGGGACGACGCGGAGGTGACATCCCTCTGCGGTGTCTTATCGGCTTTTGGCAGTCTTGTTGTGGAGGTTGATCCGACTCACGTGCCTATGGGCTTCTGGACAACTTGGCCATGGTCCCAGGGGACGAGGGGGAGGGGTTGGTCTTCGGGGCGAAGGATTCTGGAACGGGAAGGGAGGGGTCGGGAGTGGTTGTCTTTCTTGTCTTGGCTGAGGGTTCAGCAGAGCTCGCGTTCGGTGTTGTTGCTCCCTGCTGACCACCGCCTGCAAGTCGGAAATAGTCGTAAGTAATAGTAGTAGACAGGTTTTCGCATCGGATCCTGATGCCGTTATCTTTGGGTAAAAGTATGGTGCAGTTGCTGCGCTGCCGCGTACCACAGTACCTGCTTTCGCCTTCTCGGGAGGACCGATTTGCCTGGCTGTTGAGTGTGACTGCGACCCTGCGAGGGGATTTGAGGCCCTGAGCTCCGACGTCGTAACGGTATGGAGACGTTCAGCAAGCCACGCAGCAGTCCCCATCACCCACTGGTCTACCTGCGACCATAGGTATTATTATTAATACTATTATTGCTATTATTCTTATTGTCTCCCCCCTCGTTTTCTTGATTTAATACGACCACGCCCTCTCGATAGATGGGGGGGGAATAGATGGGTAGACAGACGGTGGAGCTTGTGTGGCGAACAAGGACTTCTCTCGGCCTTGTCGGGGCTTGTTGGCTGGTGGGTTTGGTGGACTGGATTGGTTGGGTTGGGTTGAGTCAACTTGGAGAGCCTGCATAGAGAGTGCGCCACTAATCCAGTCCTTCTGCAGATGATCTCGAGATCGAACTCTTGGGCCGCCACGATGGCTGTCATGTTCTCTGGTCGTCAAGGAACAGACTTCGGTGACGGGATGGTCGATCCAAATGTAGTCGTTGATTGGTAGGAATGTAGGAGGTGGAGGAGGTGATGATGGTTTGGTCCTGGCAGACAACCAGCGTCTGTGGGCACGCACATACCTCTTGTCGACCATGCCGATTGCCCGATCTCCTCATCCTTCTGCGACGCAGCAGAAAACGCCACGGGTGTCGAGACGGAGGCCCGAGGCGTGTGATTCAGCCAAAGGCACAGCTCTCTTGTCGGGAGTTTGGGGTTGGTCGCACGTGCATAGCGGCTAGGAAATGTCGAGTCGTCGCCAGGGCGCATGTGAGATGATGGCTAGGAAATTCCTGGCCATCCGGATGTGACCTTCTGCAGCCGAAGAAGCAAGGTCAGATAGGGAACATGGTTGGGAATGTGGCCCATGGCAAGAGGAATACAGAAAGGAAGAGGTTACAATGCATGCACGCATACTTGCTAAAGTGCGTGTGGTCAGGGAAGTCACCTCCCTTGTCTTAGGCCGTACTATTCCGTCCGCACCACTACAGGCCTTCCTACGTACTTGTGAGTACAGCGCACACAGCGCTGTAGACAGGCACTATTGTCGTCACTAATTATGTACGTACGGGATGGGTAGTAAGTACCTCGTCTGAAGGCTTGCCATAATTTGCGCCTCCATCATACCAACCTCGTCTTCACCACCACCATCACCAAGCATTTTCCAAGTCATCATCATCATCATGGATGGATGGACACCTACCTGCATAATGCAGTGTGCCGACCAACTCCATCCCCCCTCGACGACAACCATGGCGGTTCTTGCCCCCCGCCTCCCTGTTCATGCGGCTCGAGTTGCCTCCAGTCGCCTTCCAGAGACAAAACCACCCAAGCGCCTGCCCCCCCCCCCCTTTTTCAAATGACCTAGAGCACACGCATCGCCACTGCATGATGAACTGGCAATGTCTTCACCTCAGCTGTCGAAGTTGCACCACGAACCACCAACCAGGCATCGAGGCCTAGCTCCCACCAAACTAGGACCGGATGGCAAATACAACTCGTCTCTGCCGCCAGTCCGCCGCAAGAAGCGACAATCCTGCAAGCCCCGCCGTCGACCTTCCCAACAACCGACCAGCCCCAACAAGCCAGTGGCGTCCAATCAAGCCCTCCTCCCCCCACGCCCTATGCAGCTCGTCTCCATGCTGCAGTAGGCAAAACAATCCTCGAGAACCGCTGCAATACTACGCTCGATGAGAAACCAATAGCTCTGCATTCGACTCCTCCGTCTTCCGCTCGATGATCATTATCCACAAGTCCCCAGCAGCCCACCCGAGTCCAGCCCCTGCCAGTAGCCGCACTGGGTGCTTGCTTGACCGCCTGGTGTGGCGCCGACATCCACAGGATCAACACCATCCATCCACATCCATCATCAATATGGCGTGGCAGTAGTTCACATATTGCCATACAGACACACACACACACACACACACAGGCGACATGCCCCTCTTCATTGATACCCCTGCCCAGCGATACAACCGTATCCTGTCCTCAGTACCAGTCCTAACACTGGCTTGCCCGTCTAGGCCCTGTCTTGTCACCGACCCCCCAGCTCAGCAAAGGTGTTCGAGAAGCACTGCGTACACGCAAAGCCATAAACAATAACGCCCCGTCCAGGGTCTGCCAGTGGAGAGCCTCCTCCAAGCGACAGTCCTCACGTAAACATGGGTGGCATGTCGTATCTCGTCGTTCGTTTCGAGAGACGTTCTCTTCGTGCACTGCCAAGATGGCGAAGAGAGTTCCGGAAACAAAACGAGATTATATCGCGATGTTCACGGGATGTCCCAAGACCCTCCTCTCCATGCGAGCGCTACCTGCGCGGGGAGCGAAGGGTTCCAGATCGATTGGTCAGGAAGACCTCCGGTAGGGCACAAGTTCGAATCAAGACAGTCGCCCGACCTGTTGGGCCTTTACAGACCTCACTTGCTACCTGCGAAGCATGTTGCCGGTACAAACCCTCAACTTTCTTCTGACTTCGCAGGGCAGGTGCTTGTCTCTGTGCGTAAACCGCAGAGACGCGTTGCTGCTGACGCCACCAACCATCTCGCTATTTCTAGGAACTTCCCGGGTGTCTGAGGCAAAAGCAATCATGCCACCGCCTCGTCAGATTATTGGTATTCTGAAACAAGCTTCCAGAACACGGCCTATTATGTTGGTTTGTCACCTGCATGCTCATTAATGCAAGAGACAAACAGACTCTTTCCGATCAATCCAACACGAGTGCGAATGGTGGGGCTCACCTGCCAGGTTTCCTTGCCTGCCTGTTGTTTGCAGCTCCGTCCTCCCAGTTCCGACACTTATACAAGCTCGAATAATGTCCAGGTCGAAGTTTTCTCCCTTCCTTCTTTCTTATCGTAAACTCATCAGCCCTGTCTCAGCCTCTCGTCGAGGACCTCGCCATGATGCGACTCGCTTGAGCCGTTTGGAAGCGACATCTCTGCAGGTGATTCACTGATGGGTCTTAACCTTGAGTTCCAGACAATCTCTAGAGGGGCTTGGCTGACAGAAACAGGGCTTCGTCTGAATACTCCTCAGGTATCCTTGTGCAGCAATTGCCAGCCAGAGAAGCTATGAGAACATGCTAGGGTTTACTTGAGAGTAAACAAAAGCCAAGCAAAACAAAGAAACGGCACTGCGTCACTTGACTTGTCGCATATGCAACCTGCAGACGGGCTAAAAAGGCAATGTGATCCACATCAACCTTACCCACGGTCTCAGGATCGCCGGTCTTTGGTGCTGGTAGTTTGAAGAAAGTTGTACACGAGGTCACAGCTTGCTGTTGACCACACAGTAGTGTCTTTCCCCGTAGAAAACCCGAGTCAAGAACATATGAAGCGCCGACAAGCTCGTCGTCGTCGCTGTCTTCTGAGGCTGCAACTTGCATGCGATAGATGAATCGGATCCCTGGACGCTGGTGAAGACTCTCTCATAACCAACGTTTTTGGTGCCATTGTTCTCAGCCTTCACAACTCGTCTTGGCCGCAGGGCTTGTGAGCAGCCGGAATAGGGAGACAAGGACGTGACATTCTGGCCAGCACGACGTGGCTATGCACTTGCGACCGCAAAAGGGCCCTCACAACTCGAAACGACGCCTTTGGGAATTATCCCCCGCCGCGAAACTGAGGGTCTGGCCAGCCACAAAGGCCGTCTCCTTGACCCCTTGGACAGGACTCATTCAGTGCATTGCCTTTGGACCCGGGAGATCGGCACCAGGTTGTTTCATTCTCGTAAGGCCAAGACGAGAACAGGAAGGAGTCTCATTTTGCTGTGTTGATGTGCTGCACAGGCTGATGGTTGCCTTGCAAGAAACAGCATAGTTCACCGCTGAGGCCCGAACGAGGACGCAAACATCTCGCCTGGGCAGAGATAATTGCACCAAACTGACCAAGCCGTCTTGTACTACGCGAGGGAGAAGATGGGCGGGGAAACAGAAAGGCAAGACCTTGAATACTCACTCCCTCAAGGGGGCGAGGACAAAGGTGGCAGTGGAGACGTGGTGCGTGCCACGTACGAGTTGGTCTATACCGCCTAATTGGGTTTCCCGGTGCATGGACACTTTTTGAACTCTTGTATGGGCTTGTAGCAAGCTAGGAACACACACAAAGAGTAATCGGATCGGCTGGTCATGGGTCAAAAGTAGCCCTCGCTAGATCCCTGGCATGCTCTGCTGGACACTCTGGCGATCATGGCATGTTGATCTCCATCTCAAACCCACCAGATTCTACCAAGGCATGTTTTTGGTTAATGTGCACACTGGGACATTTCAGCTCTGCAGGACGAATGCGCCTCCTCTAGACTAGTCAGGGTTCAGACTATACCGTTACATAGTCTCGAGGGCTCTGGCTTCACCTGCGGGGTCATATTGGGTCGTCACAGGTCAGCAGCCTCACGGTCCTCCTCTTCCTGTGGAAGCCTTATACTACTACAAACACATGTGGTAGTCAGATGGGGCTAGATGTAGTGGTATTGTTCCCTGCCCTGATGGGCGCCTCGGTTTGTCACGGGATACCTCTCACAGCGTGTGGAAGAGGTGGTAGCGAGAGGCTCGGGGACCCCCACCCCCACCCGGGCGACAACGTCCACGGAGGAAGACTTGTTTTCTTGAAAGACTGCCCCTGGACCCCAAAACGATGCGTACCAGGTCGCATGCGAATCTTGTCTCCTGAATGGTCACCCTGCTGTCGCTCCATTTTGTTTCAGCGCCTGCGTCTTCGAGATAGTTATTCATCCTAACTGGTCAGCGGCGCCTTCCTGCTGCAACGTGGTCTGGAAGGAATTCTAGGGGACTTGGTCTTTTTTTTTTTTTTTAAAAAAATATATATATATATATATATATTTTAAAATAATTATTACAATAGTTATAGACACAACACCAAGGCTGTGCAGTGAGAGAAGAGCAAATATGAATGGCACGCAAGAGCAACACAAAAATGTGCACCAAAATCATTATGAATGACCATGTGTACGGCACCCACATGAAAAAGGGTCAGGAGGAAGGAGGGAAGAAGAAAAAAAAAAGAAAGAAAAACAAAGTCCCACATACAGCACAGACAGGGATGGTGCCGGATCTAACCTTTTCTCCTGCAGGCTGAAGGGCCCGTCCCGCTCTGGGGTGTGGGCGTGCATGGCGGACCAGGGGGGGGGGGGGACAGCTGGGAATCGAAGGAGAATCGAAGGAGAACCAACAGGGTCGTGGGTCTCGGGCTGCCCGTATCGCATGTCGCAGGAAGGAGGGGATCCACGCCTTTCCCTTCTCTTTTCTTTTGCGGGTTTGCTGCTACCACGTGAGCTAGTTGGAAATTACTATTGTACATAGCAAGTCCTTTTTTTGTCTTACGATGGATTGTTAAGATGGTACTTTCTCCTCTCTTTTTTTTCTTTTTTTTTTCCATCCTTTTTTTATTATTATTATTTATATACTTGTTTTCCTCATGAAAGGAGTTACAAATAAATGGATCGAGCCGAGGCGGGGGATGACGAGGAGGAAAGGGGGGGGTTGGGCGTAATGGTTTCGGCTGGATGACGAATCATCGCAATCCTTTTCCAATTTTTTCTGCTCACCTTTGGGCTGAACAGAACCAAGACAAAAACAGGCTGGCTGACTTTGGAGCCACTTGTTGCCAACCACCAAGTCACCATGTGGGTAGGTGGTATTGGGTTGTTGTGGTGCTGGTGGGGCCCCGTTCCCCCTCCAAAACCCTCCTCTCCTCCCCCCCGTTGGCCTCCGTGGGAACCTTTTGACGGGGTGATGCTTCGAGCGATCTGTACTTTTGTAGGAAACTTATTGTACTTCCGCAGTTAATTGCCGGATTGAGTTGTCGCCAGACTCGTGGTGGACTTACTAGGTACATTTTCTCACGGTTGTCAAACACCAAAGAAAGAAAAAGAAAGAAATAAAGCACAGAGGGAAGAAGAAGAAAAGAAGAAAAAAACCAAGAAGAAAAAGCATTGGAGCCCAAAACCAAAACCAAAACCAAAAAAAAAAAAAAAAAAAAAAAGATGTGACTCTTTTTTTTCTTCTTCCTTTCTTTGCCCTCTCTCGCTTCCCGTTGCCCGCCCCGGCCCGAGATCTGAGTCCTTGGGACCCATTTGTGGACCGCCGATTGACGGCATGACGAACTGGGATTCATGCTGGGTTTTTTTGACAAGCGGTTGAGTAAGGTTGTCAAGCCCCATCCATCCATGCCCCCCATGCCCTAGGAAAAAGATGAGAGAGACGGGAGGGGGGGGGGTCGCTGTTGGTACGCCGAATGTAGCTCTGGGTGGATTTCTGATCCGCACAGTGCGCGAGGTACTTGGATCGGGCTTCTCAAAAACTTGCTCACCATGTACTGTACATAGTACTGATGAGAGGGGGGGGAAAAAGAGGGGGGGGGTGTACCATTAGTACCATTACTATGGTACCGAAGCGAAGGGTCAGTCCTGGTGACCTCTCAACTGGAGTCGTCTGTCTCATTCTGTACGCGGATGTCACCTCTTTTCTTTTTTTTTCCTCCCCCCCCCCTCCTTCCTTTTTTTTTGACAGTCTTTTTATTCATTATTTCAATCCATGTATGAATTGGCCAAGACTGGATACTGGTCAAGCGATAATTTTACCTTGACCTTTCTGTGGACGATGCTCGCTATTCCCGCCTCTCCCCCCATTTTTTTCACAATATCCTTTCTGTTTCTACTTGCTTGACCTCTCAACCTTCCCCTCTTTGTTTGCCTTCTTACTCATACTTTCAAACCCACTTTCATGCCATGCATGGTACCAAAAGTCTAACAAAACAGAAAGAAGAGAACAAGAAAAAGGTGTGTGTGTGTGTGTATGTGTGTGTGTGTGTGTGGTCAGACGGGGACGATCCTGATCCGTCCGCGGGGGCGGGCGGATCTGACTGCAGCCGCCTTATTGCAGCCGCCCACCTAAGGGGCCTTGTGTTGCACATGCCATGTGAGTGGGACACGTCAAAAAAAAAAAAAAAAAAAATTGGGAAGGCGGGCAGGGCTATGTAATTTGACATGCAAATCGAGTGGCGGGATACATACATATATACAGGCATATTCTCCGAGAAAGGAGCTTGGGGTGGGCTGACGTGATAAATATGATATCGAAGCGGTCAGCGACCGGGACGAGAACGGACTGAGGCAACAAGACACAACTTGTGTCAATGAGTAGTTAATTAGGCGGCCGACTGCACCGTCATGCTTGAGGATGGGGTACATGGCATGCTGTCACGAGTGTTACTTTATTAGGTGACATCAGATGTTCACTCACCCCCCCCCCCCCTCCTCCTCCTCCCTTTCTTTTGTTGCGATACGAGCAGGGCCACACACAGACAATATTCGCAGAATTATTCGCGATAGTCCTTCGGTGGGCTGTTCCTTTTTCCCTTCTGGGTAAGCAGGCTCTTGTGAGATGACTGGAGGTGAGCAACAAACAGTCACGCTGTGCTCGGGTGGGCAGTGAAATCATCAGCCCCCCCCGGGGGGTTGGCTCCGACTGGACTGGTTCGACTACCTTTGCTACGTGCACCCATCTTCTCCTCCGAGCCCGACAAGGCCGTCTCGGAAGGATGGCCTCCATCCGAGAATGGAAAGGGTGATAGAGTAATCGACTTGCTTCCATTGAACTATTCCCAGGATAGGTTTATTACAGTGAGCAAGAAGAAGAAAAGAGAAGGGACACCGGCACGGAGGGGGGGCTGCATGAAGAATCTGATTGTAAAGGGCATGTCCTCACCGCCCAAAGAGGCTATATGTGAAGGATCGTAGGGCTGGCTGCACACAAGTCACAAGGCTGACAGGTCATCATGTTTTCGTCTTGGGCAGACCTGTCACAAGATTCTTACCATGCCAACGTCATGAGACTTTCGTGTTGTTGTTCCGACGGGGCCGGACATGGACGGACGACTTTATAATAAATTGCCAATTTTATCAGAAGAGTGCCTGACATACACTTTTCGGTGTAATAAATCAAACCGGAATCCGACTAATTACATATTTAAGTAGTGTTCTGCCTTGCCTCTCGAGTCTCGTTCCGGAGCCAGAAGTAGATATGACTGGGTCTGCCAGCCTCTCCAGCCACCGCTCAATCTAACTCCTGAGATGAATATCAACGTAGACCAGAGGCTGCGAGGTGGATACTGTTACTCATTGATTTTGGGGGCTTGATGTGAAAGGAAGCAAGCGTAGTGAGCCGTGTTGGGCATCCAAAGATTCTAAATTCTTCTGTCATCATCTAATTATAGAAGCACCAATAGTTCAACTTTGCATTTACTATCATTCCTTCGTCAGAAAGCATTGGAACGATAAACTATTTCGGCCCAAGTGCATTTGTAATCAGAAAAAAGTAAATGACAATCACAAGGGGCCGTCGTCCTTTTTGACTGAAAGAGGGCATAAGATGTATAATGCAATGATAAACCAATCCAGCTCATCAATACACTATTCGCCGCATATCCTCATGCTGCCCAACATCTCGTATCATATTATGGGGGTGTTGAATCAGATTCAGGCAGCCTCTACGTCGGTGGTCATTATTTCGAACTGCGTGTATAGAATTACTTCTCATTGCTGCGATAGATAGGTTTGAATCTAGATTTCCTGCCTTAGTTCGACGCAGTGCTTTGCCGTCAGCTTCATTTGAAAGTTCGTGGGTGATGTTCGAGGAGTCTCTGTCATGGCCTTGTTAACAAGAGAAATGTGTGTTATCTTTCACGATGGGCTTTTCTCCATCATGTGAGAGTTGTCGGGGGGAAATGACGATCGCCAGGTCTCAGAACGAACTACACTTATATTCCCCCCCACATGAGTCTGACCTAGATGCAGAAGAGAAACTGCCACGTACAAGAGAAAACTCTCAGCTTCGCAGAAAAATATGATTGCTTTCATGTGAAGGCATCAGATGGCCCGTCTCTTGCCCGTCTATCTGGACTTGTCTATCCCAAATTTGCTCATCCTCCTGGCCATATGTCCAGGATTTCATGTCCTCGTGTAAATATAAAAGAGATCAACAAGGAACTTCTTCAGCCAGAATGGGCTGACGCAGTGGGCTCCTTGCCCCTATTCTCTATTTCAACAAAGGCCCCAAGACGGCAGTGTCATTCACTTGCCCGCCCGTACATGTACAGGATCAAGACTCGACGACGCCAAACCGCAGCCCTTCCAGCGCGTCCTCATACTTGGCCGGGTTATGATCCGTCAACATCGTCGCGCCGAAACGGATTTCTCTAAACCGTGTCTCTACATCCCGGACGTACTTCAACACGATCCTCCTGGCCGGGCGGCTGACGTACTGATTATTGCCCTTCCCAGCAGCCTCAGCGTCCGGGTCGATGAACGCATCCCGCCGCAGGACCTTCTCCGTCTCGACCACAAAGACCTCACCTGGGGGCAGAAGCTTCTCGCTCATCATGTTGACCCGGAGCGTCTTGAAAGCCGCAAACGCCCACTTCTCGTCTTCCTCCGTGGCAGCACTCCTGCCAGTGTCCTTTCCTCCTCCTCCTCCTCCTCTTCCCCCTCCCATTCCGCTGCACTTGTCCATCAGGCCGCTTTGCAGGGCCTCCCAGACGCGCTGCTTGATCTCCTGCTTCGCGTCTGCGTTGTCGGTTTTGAACGCCAAGGCGACGGCCTGAAAGTCGTGAAGGACGCCAAGGGAGAGGTAGGGTACTAAGTCCTGTCCATGGACGACGGAGGTAATGAGTCCGCGCGTGGCTCGGCGGAGAGAGGGTGACACCGTTGAAGGTGGACCGTATGCGTAAACGTGGATGGCCCGGCCGGGCGGGAGGAAGATATCGGGGGAGCATGAGAATGATGATGCTGAAGACGAATTGGTAGGGGAAGCAGAGGGAGCAGGGAGAGATCGACGGTGTGGCTCGTCAGAGGTAACGAAAGAGGTGCCGCTGTCCACGGGTTGAGAGAGCATGATGCCCAGCAGGGCCGTCACAGCGCCTCCGAGAGAGTGCCCCGTGAGCACAAGCCCATAGTCGGGATTTTCTTCCAGCGCTGCTTTGATGGTGACCAGCACTCGGCCGTCGCCGCCGTACAGCAGTCGTCTTGCGGAGGCGTGCACCCCCTTGTGCACCTTGTAGGTCTTGCCGCGCCAGACGAGGTCGTCGTAGTCGCATGTCATGTCAGCCAGGACATCCTCGAACCCCAACGTTCCACGACAGGCCAGAACCACTGCCTTGGACTCGTCGTCTATGGAGATGTAGTGAACCAAGGGCACGCCCGACTCTGTCGAACCTGTGGCGTCACTCCCTCCCTGGGCATCGACGAAGGATGACAGCAAGACGGACTGTGGTGAGGACTGGGTATGATGTGCAAAGTAGCGCACCTCGTGGTGTGTGCTGTCGAGTGCCTTCAGCATGGGTGGCATGGTCTTGGAGATTCCAAACATCTTGAGAAAATGAGACCCATACGAGGCCGAGCTGTAGCGCATGTACCGTGTGATGTTACGCAGCAGATGGAAACGCGGAAATGTGACCTCGAGCGTTCCTGTACGACGGAGAGTTGTCAGGGCGTCCGCGCTGGCAAAGGGACTGGGCTCGACATAGGGAACAAGGGACGTCTGAGAGCTGGTCGTCCTGAGGGTATAGATGCTGGGAGAATAGCGGTGTGACACCGCTTTTGGATGGTCTGGGGGCGATGGTGGAGGTTGCTTCACGTCTCGTTCGGGCCTCGGGTTGGGCACGTAACTGCGCGGGAAGGTAGGGGACACAGGTCTGTGGCTTTCCACGGAGTGTATGGAAAAGGTGTCTGTCTGGGAGACGAGCGAGTCTCTTCGACGCTCGTGTACCGATATAAAGCTAGCTCGTGATGGGCTTTGCTGCAGGTCCCCCGAGTATTCAGCCAGAGCCCGAGTTGTCAGCGCCTTCCGGGGTGCTACTGCTTGTGCTGGTCGGGGCGCTCCTTTAGGCGGTGGAGGTGGTTGTCTGCCTGGAACCAGCGATGGACCACGATTGGGCACAGTCAGATGTCGCTTCGAGGTGGAAGCTGCCGTTACTTGAGAAGGCCCAACGTCTCTGTTGTCTTTGGCCATCATGATGGAGCTGGCAGATCCTGCGCCCTTCTTCAACACGTTGCGCAAGCCACCCTTTTTTTCAATGGATGTCTTTGAAGATTGTGACGCTTCTAGGTTGTCCTTTGTTGATTTTTTGGACGACGACGACGACGACGACGACGACGAAGATGACGACAACAACTTTGACATTGATTGCATGGGCTGCTGCTTCTTTCGTGGTAGGTCGGTGCTGCTGGAGGAAGCTGTCTGAGAGGATGCCGGCGCCCTGACCCGTTTCTGATTTGCTGAAGGTTCGCCATCTCGTGTAGGAAGGGTGGTCTGTCTCGTCTGGACCGGAGTGCCTCGACCCTGACCAGTACTATGGGGTGCAGTAGATGCATGCGCAGATATGTCGACTGCGGGTCTCGGACGCAGCGAAGGCGGGGATTTGGGAGGTAGTGGAGGAGGCTTGTCCTCCTCATTGTCGTCGTGGGAAGTTTGCTTCTCATCCGGAGACATATCAGTGTCTGAATCATCAATCTGTTCCACAAAGCGAGGCATGTCTTGATCTTGCCCTGCGGCCCGAGACATCTCGGTGCTCCTCAGACTGTTCTTGCCAACCCGATAGACGACACGATACGCGGCTGGGGTATCGTTGGTGGTGGTATCTGGGAGCATGTGGTCCGATGCAACAGACCAGCGCTGGCCCCCTTGCGAGGAAGAGGGCACCAGCCTTGTCTCCTCCACGAGCTCCACGCCCGGTGGCGGCGCCAGGCGGCTCGGCTGCGTGCCCGAGACGACGTCGACAGTGATCGTTTTTGTAGTTTTTGTCTCGGTGGTGATGACCACCTTGGCCCCAGGAGGGAGCGCGTCCATGATCTGACTCCTGAGCCGGGACTCCGGGACAAGACTTTCGTCGTCGGTGCTGTCATCTTCTGCCCCGTGCTGCTGTATGGTCCTGACGACATGGTCCTTTGGACTGCCGTTGTCTTTATTGTTGTTGGACCGCTGTTGTCCATCCGTGATTCTGTTGTAGTCAAATGTCTCCTCGTCGTTGAGGATGACTACATCCCACAGGATCTCATCGACCTGCAGCCGTTGGTTCTCTTCCTCGATGAGTCTCCAGGCCCACCTCTGAAAGTATGCCATGCCGACCATGCCGACGATCAGGTCAAAGACACCGACCTTTTCGCCTGGCTGGCCCGTTGCCGGATTGTTGAACTCGCGTCGGATCAAGGTGATGATGCTCGCGATGGCCCTGGATGACTCGGTCGAGCCCAGGACCGAGTCAAGATACGACAAGGTCAACTGCGATATGTCGGAGATGGTGGACAGTGTAGTCCCGGTGAGGTGGAAGCCCGCTGTTGTCCAGAAGACGACCTGGGACAGTGCGAGGTGGAGGCCCTCGAGGCTCCTCTCCATGACCGTCTCTGCATCGGCTCTCTCCAGGTCCGAGTTGGACCGCAGGAAGGTCTCGTTGCCGGCACGGTGCAGGATGCCCTCGAGGATGCCTCTCCCGAGCTCAAGACTCGAGAGGGTCGTGGCCTTGGCTGCGCCGAGACCATATCCGCCAATAACGGTACTGACACGGAGGGCCAGGCTTGCTGAGCGTGTCCACAGGCTGATGGCAGAGGCGACGGGAGTTGGGAGAAGGGTCCTGATTGGTGGAGCAGGCAAGAGTTGTTGATGTTCTTGTTGTTGTTGTTGTTGTTGTTGTTGTTGCTGCTGCTGCTGCTGCCGCTGTTGTATCTCGAGGTCTGTTGGAGTCATTTTGGTGGTCTCGATCGCCCTTCCTGGATCATCATCTCCCTCAATCTGAGTCATCTTGGCAGGAGGAAGGGCAGCGTCTGGGATGCTTCACGCAAGAATGTCTTGTCTTATCTTGCCTGAGGAATGAAAACGGCAGAAGTAAAGAAGAAGAGAGAGCAGGTGGCTGTCTTGAAGTGATGTGTAGCTTTGGGGCTCACATGATCTGATTCGGAACGTATCAAGCAAGTACTCAGTATGTAGTATCGATCACGGTAGAAAACATCACCTGATCAGATGAAAGGGGGGAAATAGATGATGTATGCATTGGATGAAGATGACAATAGGGACAGCGTGAGCCTCGGAGCTGTGTTGCAGCATTCCACAGCATATGATTTATTTTCCATGACTGAAAAGGCATGACTTTCTCGATTGATGATTGATGGCGCTCCGACAGAAGAGTGGATTCCTTGCAAGGTTTGTCGCTGCTCAAGCATGTGAAAGAAGAAAAAAGACCAGGGGCAAGTCTACTTTTGAGTGGCTATGACACAATGCAGGTGCAACAGAGGGGGCTCTTCTCACAGTTAGTAGTTAGCAGCTTGTCAGACGTGGCCAGCTCCAATTTGACAGTGCCTGAGTGCTTGATAGGCAATCTGGCATGTCTCATGCAAGGGGCATATCAATTTTTATTTGGTCAACACCAAGAAAGAAAAAAAACAGAAATACAAATATTCAGATGACACCAAAGTACTATGGTTCATATAACAAGATCACAGTCCACCCATGAGGGATTCATCAGCGAATTGCATGCACAGCCAGGCTTGTAACATTGCCCCTCTGTAGTTGCATTGGGTGATGTCAGGGTTCGGGTTGTAGGGCCCCTTGTAGCAAAGAAACTGGTCCAAGAACCCTTGAACAATGACGACATACCTTAACAAACACCCTGAGCCTCTTGTCAATCTGGACTCTCAATTGCAGCTACAAGACACTCCCATAACGGATACCAGGAATGATGGTGAGATCTGAATCAATTGTGTACTGTGCAGTCCAGACACACACAAGAAGAAGAAAAAAATGAGAAGCGCCACAGGACATTATTGTGGAGGACAGGACGGCCTGGGCTGGGCTCGTGTAATTCTGGACCCGACAGCCCGTATTCCCAGAGACAAGCGGGTGGTGGTACCGCCCCAGGGCTTCTTTCTGATTTGCTGCACAGGTCAGCGAGGCTGTGGTGGTCAGTGCTAGCGTGCCCAAGTAGAAGCTTGGAAGGGGCCCTGACCACTGAATCGGTCCCTCGGGGGAGGGGACCTGCAGGGCCCAGGGCCCAAAATAGTTCAGGGGCGCGAGCTAAAAAAGTAAAAGCTGACGGGTAGTCGAGTTGGCGAGAGCGTTGGGAGGATTAAATCTGGGGGAGGATCTACAACGAGAGAGACAAGGGGATATATTACACTCGAAACCTGTTCTCGACAACAGCTCCTCCATAACCCTCCTTCAACTTTGTCTTGCACGCGCCCTACCTGCTTTTGGACGTCATTCGCTTCAGTGTCACTCTCTCCCAATAGCCACCGCCATCCTCCACCGAAACCATCCCGAATCTCTTTGTTGTCGTGTAGCCGCTTTCGACAAAAGGTCGCCGCCATCTGCTCACACCGCCCCCTCGACGACAACACCTCCTATTCCCTCCTCGACTCCTCGACTGTTCGACTCCTCCCTTCTCCTCCTGCTTCATCCCAGCTCCTCTACAAGAAAGGAGAAAGAAAACATGAACGGAACAACAGAGATCACCAACACGAACGGCGCAGAGGCAGGCCTGTTCGGCGACGACCTGCTCTCCCCAGACGTCGCCGCCGCCCTGCCAACCGGCTACAAGATCCGTGCCCTGCGCCGGGCCGACTACCACGCCGGTTTTCTCGACTGCCTGCGCGTCCTGACCACCGTCGGCGACATCAGCGAAGACCAGTTCTCGGGGCGCTTCGACTGGATCAGGCGGCAGGATGGAAGCTACTACGTCCTGGTCATCGAGGATGGCGAAGGCAGGGTCGTCGGGACGGGTGCGCTGATCGCCGAGAGGAAATTGTAAGCAAACAGACAAGCTACATACATTTCGAAGGGGGAAAGATTGGGCTTTGGCTCTGGCTCAGAGGAGGATTGACTTTTGCGAGCGTTGGATGCGGTGGGCTTTGTTGCTGACCAACTCTCTTCTCCGAAACAGTATACACAACCTCGGCCTGGTCGGTCACATCGAGGACATCGCCGTCGCCAAGGACCAGCAGGGCAAGAAGCTGGGCCTCCGCCTCATCCAGGCCCTTGACTTTATCGCCGAGAAGATTGGCTGCTACAAGACCATCCTCGACTGCAGCGAGGCCAACGAGGGCTTCTACATCAAGTGCGGCTTCAAGCGGGCTGGGCTAGAGATGGCCCACTACTACCAAAAATAAGTCTGTCCCCCGCTCCGTTCAGACCGTTGGAACAGAGCTGGAGGTGCTTTTTCCCGCGAGAAGCCTGTTCTATATGAAGTTATGGACCATGGCACCATTGAGAGAGGCCGCGAAATTCCATGGGACGACCTGTGCTGATAGTTTTACGCAGGATGCACAGAGTCGAGGCTATGATGAAACCGTTGGTCGATGATGAGCGGCTCATCTATTTTGAGAACCCCCATTTTCTGTTGCCCTGACACGGCAGATTCGTTCCATATGATGGGTACAAAGCGTGGTAATCTTTGTGGTACATAAAGCGGCGTTTCAATCATGATTTAGAATGAATTTTGAGCTCATACATGCCGGCGGGGAGTCGGCTTCAAAATAGATACGATTTACAGGCGAATGACTTACTTCCTGGTCCAGAAACACCCTATTAGGATATCCTGTGTGCTGTCTGAGGCAATTGACTATAGGGGACTAGTTGGCAATCTTGTCCATCTCTTGAAAAGCAGATTGGATTCGTCTCTGGACCCATCTTGTTCAACTGCAATACCACCTGGGTGAGTTATCGAGGGAAAGAAGGCCGGGCAAGAGGAAGCGAAGGCGAAATGATATCTTTGATGGCCCTACCTAAGGAGCGATGGGCTTGGGAAATTTTCCTGGCCAGAATTGAAGACATCAACTTCGTCCCGATATGCCGCGAGAAGAACACTTAAAGCAGAGGAGGTCAGGAAAAAGCCCGTTTCCTCCGTGGTCCTGGTGTCGTGCTCGAATCTGATCAAATGAGAATGGAATTGACTGGCATGACCACGGTCCGACGGCTTGCATACGTGCATACACGAGTGCTCTTGGACCGGTGAAACAACAGCACAGGTGATATCTCGGCCGTCATACAAACAAACACATACACACGCACACTTTCTCTCTCTCTCTCTCTCAGTTTCGGGGGCTAGAACCGGTCGTAGCTGACTGCTTTCCAACCCGTCCGACTTGAGCTGGATGGTGAGAGGACTGTGGCATGTGTTGTTGTGACCTAACCAGATCTTGGAATTTGTATGGAAAGGACTGGTAGATTTTGATGGCTCGTCAAAACTGATGTCCAGAGTCCTGAACATTGATCTGCGGTCCAACCCTGTCATCTCACCTTTACCTGATCGATCGCCATGTCAGAGTAACTGGCTCGGAAGATGCACTCTCTTGCACTGCCTGAACAGGTTTTGACCGGAAGGAAGGAAGTCATTACAGGTAAGAAAGAAGGAAAAGAGCAGGGGGGGGGGGGGGTTGGTGGAAAAGGCCAGAGCCGAGGCCAGCGTCTTCATAGGTGGACGATATACTCACTCATTCGGTGTCAGCATCGAAAAGCCTCCATCTGTAGGGGAGTGAAGTTAATTTTGTGTCAAAGACACATGGATAATTTGCCCAGATAGGTCCATGCACTCTATATCGCACACTTTTCGTGATCCCTCATGGCCTCTCACGCAATCGTCTGCTCCCCTGGTTGGTGCAGTTTGAGGAAATCTCCCCCAGGAGAACTTTCGAGGGCCGTGCAGCATCTGCTAGAACCGGACGCCCATGTTCCGTATATGCAACGCAACGCCTCTCCAGGTCCAACCAAGCCAAGAAGAGGGGGGAAAGCTTACACAGCAGCTCCTCGGCACACGTGGTAAAGGCTCTTTTTGGCAGACAAGGTGATTTCCACGTGGAAGGAAAGGAAAAGAAAAACAGGGTTGATAATAGTTCAATTCCTCGGCACCAGACAATCTATCAGGTTACTTGCCATTCGACAATATCAAGCCCGAGCAAGTCGGTCCCCTCTAGGAATTAAGATAGCAACCGAGGCATCAGATGGACTCTAGTAAGTAAGCAGCGGTAGTGAAGTTGTATCAGTGTGTATTACGGTCTGAGGCACGCGAGGCCAAGGTATTGACCTCCCCCCCCCCTTCCCCTTACCCCCACTCATCGCCGTCTCCTTTCCGCCACCAAACCTCCATCGACCCATCAATCTATCGCGGAGGAGTTTATAAGTTGCCTGTACAGGAAATAATCTGCACGGGGTTGTAGGAGGCCGTCTCTAACGGCTCGAGGTCCCTCACCGACAGCCGTGCTTCCACGGCGCGACGGTTGTCAAGGGGGTGTCCAAGCCGGACGGGGCCCAACACCTGCACTGCCCTGAATACTACTATGTATGGTTATCTTGACCTTCTAGAAGGCCTTCTGGTATGATCTTTCTATGGGGAAGAGAGGGAAGGAGGAAGAAAAACAGAGGGAGAGAGAGAGGGCAAGAGACGAAAGTGGGAGGTGGTGGCCCAAACGACCTTCCGTTAGGGTGTGCGTGCTGCAGTAGGCGCTCGTGCATGGTTTCGGGATCCGACTTGCATGCTGGAGGCGTGTTGTACTGCCATTTCTGCTACGCTGCGGCTGCAGGGCCGGGTTCTTGCTCGAAACCCCTGTCCCTTGACCTCTGGTCCTCGTTCCTTGCGGCGGCTGTTTGTCACATGCTAGGAATGAGAACGAGGGGGGGGGGGGGACGAAAGGCGAGGCGCGAGGACTAGCGAGGCTTTGTGTCTGTCTGTCTCCTGTCGTGTACATACGACTATCTCTGTCTATCAGGGTCTGATCGAGAAGACAGATACGTCTTTGACGGGGTGATGTGTGCTTGCTAACCCAACCTCGGGGGATTGATGTTCAGCTGGGCGATCTGGTGCTGGCGTTTCTTGGAACAGGTGACATGATGATTACACAGAGACTAAGCACCATAGGAGGAGCTGCGTTCGTTTCTTTCTCCCCGAACACAGGAATAAAGTAGTCAGCAGAGTACAGCCAATCGATGATGAGGAAGAGAAACCGGGGGAAGATGGTTCTTTGACTTCAGCCTTGAACGTCACTGCGTCAGTCGGCGTAAAGCGTCAGGCTGGCTCGTGGGCGTGTAAGTCCCCCCTCCCCCCCTCCTTCATTCATCATTCATGTTGCATCTTCCCACCCACCCCCTCCCACCTCAAACCCGCCAGCCTCTCCTGACCCAAGGCCTTTTTTTTTTTTCCGTTGCAACCTGCCTATAAAGCTCCCCAGTTGCCACTCCTTCTTTTCCCTACCACGCTACGACAAGAAACAGAAAACAGAAAGAAAAATAAGAAACAAGAGAACAAAGGGTCGAGACAACACCACTTCGGATAATATACATAATTCAGATCCACCTCGTTTGTCTCCATCAGGACCCACCTTGAAACGACCTGCCTCGCCTCAACGATCCCCGGACATTCCCCCAGCCCATAAGCCGCCAGCAACCAAGGGACTTCTGAGGTGACCCCCCAACCCCACAGAGTTCCCCTCCGGCTGCTCCACCCCGGTCACTAATCATCTTCTCAGTTCGGCCACGCTCCATTGTATAGCCCTGCTGCATCGGCCAGGCCAAATTCCTAGGTCAAGGGGAGCGCTTCGTTCGGTGACTTCTTTGTCATATCCTACAGCAGCAACAAACACAAGAAAAAGTCGCCGAACGGAAGAAAGAGGGGTGTGCGTGTGACCAACCATGCGAGGCAGACGCCAGACAGGGAACGTGTACGACGACGAGATCTACGTCAGGGAATTGACTGCTACGCTGCAAAAGATACGCATTGCTGAGAGGCGGGCCGAGTAAGTAGTAACGTCGTCCTTTCTTTGTTGTGTGTGTGTGTATGTGTGTATGTGTGTGGGTGGGTTTTGGTCTGCATGCATGCATGCATGTTTGATTGTGGGGGGTTCGTGTAAATGTGCATCTTGAAATCAGGTTGTCATTCCTCTCTCCATTTATTCATACTTGACCACCATCCACATCTTTTTTTTCCTTTTCTTTTTTTTCCTTCCTTTCCTGCTCTCAACATTTTCACCCTTGCCCCCCCTCTTCTCTTCACCTCGAATCCACAATTATATCCTCTCTGCTGTGGGTAATGATTGATGATCGTCTTCGAGCCGAGACCTACTAAGCCTACTTGACCCGCCCCCAACATAAACAAATTCATCCTCCTCCCCCTTCCGAACCCTCGCCTATTCCAATCCTCCCTTCCTTCAGCTTGGACCATATTATTTCATCATCCCTCTTACTCTTTCTGTCTCTCTTCCCCCTCCCTGGCCTTACAAACCAAAACGTCATTGCTCCGCTCATATCCCTCTATTACTCTCTCTATCTCTCACACATACGCATCACATTTATTCGGGATACACCCCCGGATATAGGCAATTTCCCTTCTATTTCTTACATACCAACCAAAAAAAAAAAAAAAAACACAGGGTCCGACGTAGCCTGAGTGAACAGCTCGGCACCAAATCACCACACATCTGCGTCCGGAAACACACCTACGTCTACAAAAGGCCAGAGGACGGTGAATTTGCAAAGTACTCGGTCCACAAGGTGGTCTCGTTGAATACACCTTAAAAAGCCAGAGATCCTTTTTTTTTTAAAAAAAAAAAAAAAAAGACACAAAAAGAAACCATGTCGCCGGCCCGCACGCTGAGCCCAGAAGACATGCCCCGACATGAGGTTTCCCTCGGGGGCCTGTGGTCACCCAAGAGCCCCCGGAGACAGCAGAGGAGGCACAGGAAGCGCAGGGTAGATGATTTGAGTCTTGCGGATGATCTCAAGACGTTGTGGGAGACAAGATGGAAGTCAGCTGTATGTTCCTGTTGTTCCTTTTCTCTCCCCCCCCCCCAATATCCGAAAACCCCGGGGTGCCCTTTTCCCCCAGGACCTACTCTTATTTTTCAAACCGCTCTTACTAACAAGTTTGGACTCCCTTCCCACAGTGCAAACGGCAAGCTCACCCCTTTCAAGACGCCTCATATCTCGAGGTCGCCACCCTCATAACATCCCTCATCCAGCGCGGCATCACCTCGGCCCGCGCCCAGGCCTACACCGAGGCCTTTCTGCAACTGGCAGAGTCGCACGCCAAAGACGCGAGGGCCTCTCTGCTCAGCCCAGGCAACGCCGAGCGCGCAGCAACCCTTTTCCTCCGCGCGTGTGCCCTCGCTCGCGTCGCGAGGTTTCCCTCCTCTCCTTCCCCTGCGTCTTCATCACAGAGAAGAGGAGGAGACAACGACAACAACAACAACAACAACAACGAGGCGGCGGCGGCGGCGGCGGACAGTGAGAACCTCAAGAAGATGGCCTACGAGCTGCAAAAGGCCTACTACGTCGAGGCGGCCGGCCTGAGTGGCCTCAACAGCCCGCTGGACGAGGTGCTCATCCCCCACATCCACGACGCGGCCACGCACCCGGACGTGGCTGGGATGGCCCCCGGTGGTGGTGTAAGGCAGCGTCTGGACGAGGTGCAGCCGGCCGTCCGGCGCCCGCAGATCCCAGCCTTTGTGCGTGTGCCTCTCGAGACGCTCCTGACGGGCCGGCAGTGTCCAGTGGCGGTGATTCTGTCGCAGGACCGCACAGGACACACGAGGACGTGCGAGGATGTCCTGGACAGAGGGTGGGCGTGTGTGGTGGTGGAGGTGCCCGCGGCAGCGGCGGCGGCGGCGGGGCGGCGCCAAGGGAGACAACAGCAGCAGCAGCAGCAGCAGCAGCAGCAGCAGCAGCAGCAGGAAAAGGAAGACGACCAAGAGGACGAGCAGGAGAGGATGTGGAGGAGCGTGCTGGACTGGATGGGCGCCATGTTCTTCTTTGACATGGACAAGGTGGTGGCCATGGCCGAGGGGGACGTCGCGGTGCGGATGGCGAGCGGCGCGCACGGGGAGAGGATCAAGGGCGTGGTCGCGTATGATGCCGACGAGCAAGACCAGCAGCACGCTGGCAACAACGACCAGAACCTCTTCAACGACAAGACCGTCCCGCTCTGCAGGGCGCTGGTCGTGAGCGGGCGGGTGCGGTGGACGGTGCAGTCGGATGGTCTCTGGACGCCACCGCTCCAAGACGAGGACGAGGAGATGGAAGAGGGTGGTGAGAGCGAGACCTCGTCGTGGTCTCCGTCTCCGTCCCCATCGCTGGAGCTGTGTGCGTATGGGCCCGGCTCGGGTCTCTGTGTTGGGAGGCTGGAGACGGCGGACGCGGGCAGGGTCTATGTCTGGATGGAGGCGGTGGTGAACTCGAGAGCGAGCGAGATTGAAGAAGAGGGCGGCGTCCACTATCATCTTCTCAACAGCAATCTCGCCTTTGTTGAGGAGTCTGCGCGCCACAAGGGGAAGGGGTCGATGGCCACGACGATGATGATGATGCCGCAGTGGTTCGCCATGGATCTCACGCCGCCTACCTCGGATGTCGACGTGGCCAGCTCTCTGGGTTCCTTGTACTAAAGCAATTCATGTTGTAAGATGTTTGGTTGTCCACTCAGTTTAAGCTCTTTTTCAATCAGCCGGCGTACTGGAAAGGATGATATGAAGCCAGTTTGGTATTGTTTTTCCCTCTTTTTTCTTCTTGCTTTTTTTTTTTTTCCCCCAACACTCGGAGTATATAGTGTAGTATTCTATGCAGCCTGTATCAGCTTTGTAAATGTAAAACTTGAGACTCGTCATCACCTTGCCAAAGTTTTTCTCATCTCAATTCTCCTCTCATCTAACCAACACACACACACACACACTCTCTCTCTCTCTCTTTCTCACCTCCCCATCCACCCACCATCCACAGTCAGTGTATGGCCGCTCATATATGCTCCGGCCTTGCTCGAAAGAAACACCGCAGGCCCCTTGAAATCATCAGGCGTGCCCCATCTCCCTGCAGGGATCCGCTCCGAAATACTCTTCAGCCTCGCCGGGTCGTTGAGCAGCGCCTCGTTCATGTCCGTGGCAATGTACCCCGGCGCGATACAGTTCACCGTGATCCCGCGGGCGGTCCACTCGTTGGCAAAGGTCTTGGTCATCTGCGCCACACCGCCCTTGCTGGCAGCGTAGGCGGGGACAGTGATGCCGCCCTGGAACGACAACAGCGAGCCAAAGTTGATGATGGATCCAACGCGGCCCGTGACGTCGTGGGGCGACAGCGTCGACAACATGTGCGCGGCAACATCGCGGCACAGGGCAAAAGGCGTGTTCAGGTTCACCTGCAACACCTCGGCGAACTCCTCGTCGGGGAACTTCTCCGAGGGGAACCGGCGCTGGATGCCGGCGCAGTTGATGAGGATGCGGATCTGGTGGCCGTCAGCGACCACGCGGGGGACGAGGCCGGCTACGTCGCTTGGAGAGGCCAGGTCGGCTGTGTAAATGTGTGCTTTGCGCCCGAGAGCTTCGATGGCCTGGCGGGTGGCCTGGTTCGACGTGTCGCGCTGCACGAGGGATGGTGTCCAGCCTGGTCAGTATGTGTCTGTCCACGCATTGATTGGTGTGGATGGGATTTGGTAGGGACATCGTTTCTCTTTGCGAGAGACTGACGACGTACCTGGATCAGAATAATGTCTGCACCAGCTTCAGCGAGGGCGACGGCAACGGCCTGGCCTATGCCGCGTGTGGCGCCTGTGATGAGGGCAGTGTGCCCTTCGAGGGAGAAGAGAGCATTGGTGGCCATGTCCCTTGCTGTAAGTCGAGAGGGGAAGGGGGAAAGAATTGCAATGAGCTTTGGGTTTGCTTGGTGTCCTTCGAGTCTTGCTACTCTTCTCGCGATGGCCTCAAAAATGCAGGTTACACCACAGAAAGTCAGTCAACCAGGATGGAGACGAGAAACTTATACACCATTCCACGATTCAAGACAACAATCCCCTGTCGTCCTTCTCTTCTCCTGCAAGGGGGGGAAACCATAAAACAACAGTAAACAAAGTCCCCAATAAAAACCACACCACACCACACCACCAGCCGGATGTCTCCAGCCGGATGAGGGTCTCTCTTTCTCTATTTCGGCTCCTATCATCGGCGCATTGCCGCTCTCTCGCGCCTTCCCTGGCCGAAACCCGCGTCAAAGCGGGAAATCGCCAGTGGGTTGAGCAGGTGGGGCAGTTCTCGGCGAGAGTTACCCCTCGTTTTCCCCTCGTAAGGGGACGAGTGCGGGGCATTTGCAGGCCTTGCAGGGGTCCTCCCACTGTGAGCCCAACTGTGACGTCGTACTTGGAGAATGACTGTCTTTTTTTTTTTTTTTTTTTTTTTTTTTTTTTTTTTTTTTCCTGTCTATGTTTTCTGTTCTTTGCTCTCTCCTCTCTCTCTCTCTGTGTGGTCAACATATATTCAATACAATGTATTCTATTCATGGTCACGATTGAGTGTTTTGCTTCGACTCTCGATTGGAGAAGAAGAGAACCAAAGAAACAAAATGACAAAAAGTTATGAGCTGACTCAACCACAACGGCACCGGCCAGGACACCGTGCCGGACACCCCGCAGAAAGGTTTAGCCGGACAGAGACGAGACCGCATACCCGCATGGATATCGTATACCGCATCGTCCAAAACTTAAACCAGTTTGATCGTGACCCCCGCGGGATGATGGAGTCAAGGTCTTGCTTGGCCCGGTCGACATCGGAGCAGTCAAGTCATTTTCATTGCCCTTTCTTACTGCATGACTTAGGTTTTGTACATCTCCGCCGAGGTCCAGAATATGGAAAATAGATCCACCAAACATTGCTCTCCCTTTCATCACAAGTGAGGTTCACACCGGATACTCTTATCCCTTTTCTTGTTCTTCAATTATTGCTACCACCACCATCACTACTACAGTCTCATACTGCGTTCTTAGACTTTGACCTCCTCCCCTAGTAGACTTTCATTATCTTCACACATCATCCTTATACTATCTATTCCTGTAGAACCTCGAAACACATCCGACACATCTCATCATGGCCACTCAGACAGTCAGAACCTCTGTGCTTCATGGCGCAAAGGATCTCAAAGTAGTAAGTTAAGATCCTTTCCTCTAGCAAATCCGACAGACACATCACGAAAGAGGAAACGAAATAAAGGACCTAACTCGGTTTCTCTTTCTCTCCTTCTCCTCTCCCAGGAAGAACGTACTCTACCACCTCTCGCCCCAACCGACGTCCTCGTCGCCGTCAAGTCGACCGGCCTCTGCGGCTCCGACCTACACTACTTCTCCCACTACCGCAACGGCGACATCCTCGTGCGCGAGCCCTTAACCCTAGGCCATGAGTCCGCCGGCGTCGTCCAGGCCGTCGGCGCAGAGGTCACCCACCTCGCCCCCGGCGACAAGGTCGCCCTCGAGGTCGGCCTGCCCTGCGAAAAGTGCCACCTCTGCACCTCGGGCCGCTACAACATCTGCCGCAACATGCGCTTCCGCTCCAGCGCAAAGTCCTTCCCCCACGCCCAGGGCACCCTGCAAGAAGTCATCACCCACCCGGCCCGTCTCGCCCACCGCCTGCCCGACGGCGTGTCCCTCGAGCACGGCGCCCTCGTCGAGCCCCTCTCCGTGGCCCTGCACGCAGGCGACCGCGCCGCCCTGCCTAAAGGTGCCTCCGTGCTGATCCTGGGCGCCGGCGCCGTGGGCTTGCTGTGCTGCGCCGTCTCCAAGGTCCTCGGCGCCGGGAAAGTCGTCGTCGCCGATATCAACGCCGACAGGGTCGCCTGGGCCCAGGAGAGGGGGTTTGCCGATGCTGGCGTCGTCGTGCCTATGCGCAGGCCCGAGGGTATCGAGGCCAAGCTTGACTTTGCAAAGGAGGTGGCTGCGCTGGTCGCCGGTGCGACGACCGCCGGTGGGGACGAGATTGGCGAGGTGGATGCTACCTTTGAGTGTACTGGTGTGGAGAGCTGTCTGCAGGCTGCCATTTACGTGAGTTATATATGTTTTCTTGGAATCTTGTGTGAATTGTCTTTGTCTTTGTCTTTCTCTTTCTCTCTCTCTCTCTCTCTCTCTCTCTCTCTCTCTCTCTCTCTCTCTCTCTCTCTCTCTCTCTCTCTCTCTCTCTCTCTCTCTCTCTCTCTCCCCCTCTCTCTCTCTCTTTCTCCCTCTCCCCCTCTCTCCCTCTCTTTTTCAATTTTTTTTCTTTTCTTTATGTGAGTCTGACGATGAGATGGACTTTAGTCTACACAACCAGGCGGCAAGATCATGATCATCGGCATGGGCAACCCGATCCAGACGCTGCCCATCTCAGCCGCCTCGCTCAAGGAGGTCGACCTCATCGGCGTCTTCCGCTACGCCAACACATACCCAAGAGTCATCGAGCTGCTGTCGAGCAAGAACCCCCTGCTCCCACCCGTGGAGGACTTGATCACGCACAGGTATGACTCGCTCGACAGCATCCCTGACGCCTTCGACATGGCGGGTAAGGTCAAGGATGATAAGGGAAATTTGGTCTTGAAAGTCATGGTAAACATGTAGACAAGAATACAGAAGATTATATAAACCAAAATTACAGGGGGTGGAGCGATAAAAGAAATTAAAAAAGAATGCGAAAGAATTAATTGAAATACATCAGAAAGACGATCTCAAAAATTTACATGTGTCAACCTGTATTTTGATTCTATGCTGTACTATTTATTTGGTTCTCTTTCTCTCTCTCTATCTTCACTTTGAAAATGCAAGATTATGACTTGTCTGGGAAGCCAAAGTCGACACCAAAAGGTGGGTACACAAACCGCTGCACCTTGCCCGTCTTCTCCAACTCCTCGCCGTACCCGTTCAGCAGCTTGATGTCCTCATCATCCAGCTTGACGAGCTTCAGGTTCGCCTCGATGCGCGCCGGTGTCACGGATTTCGCCAGGACGGTAGTTCCACGGGGGACTGTTTGGGAAGGCATACAATGAGCAAACAGCGGCACACACCATTTGTCAAAGTCTCTTGAAATAATTTGGTCTCAAAGGAGACAAGGGAGAGAGAGAAACTTACTATGCCAGCTCAACAGCACTGCCGCAGGGTCAACTCCGTGCTTCTGGGCAACCTTGATCACCTTCTCCTCCTTGAACAGCGGCCCGCCCGTCGATCCCAGCGGGCTATAGGCCATGATATGAATGCCCTTCTCCTTGCAGAATCCCACAATATCGTTCTGCGGCAGCGCCGGGTGGTTCTCGATCTGGTTGACGGCTGGCACGGTGCCCCCGGCAGCAAGCAGCTCCTCGAGGTACCTCTTGCTGTAGTTGCAGACGCCCACCGCGCGCGCCTTGGTCTTGTCCAGTGCCGTCAGCTGCTTCCACGTGTCTGTGTGGTGATACCCCTCGCGGATGATGTCGCGCTCGCCGTTGGGCAGCTTGGGGAATTTGTCGTCGTTGCCCTCGGGGTTCATCAGGAGCGGCCAGTGGAGGAGGTACAGGTCGACGTAGTCGAGGCCGAGGGCGTCGAGAGACTTCTGGAGACCAAGGGCTACACGGGTGTTGTAGGTTGTCCTATCAAGAGTGGAGCGTCATTGTCAGCAGGCGAGATGTTTAGAAAAAAGAAGAAAAAAAACCACTCAAAAGAGAAGAGGACGCAAACGTACCAAACCTTGGTCACGACAAAGATATCCTCCCGCTTCACGATGCCCTCCTTGAAGGCGCGCGCGAGACCCTGTCCCACCTCTGTCTCGTTGCCATAGCAGTAGGCAGCGTCAATCAGGCGGTACCCCGACTTCAGGGCATGGTACACGCCCTCTGCGACCTCGCCAGGTGCGGCTTGCCATGTGCCTATAAGGGAAACAAGAGGTCAACATCGTGAGCTCGCGGTGCTTGGAGGGATGCGCACAGCTGCGTGAACCCTAGGGCTATCTTACCGTAGCCGATGGCTGGGATCTTGTGCCCTGTGTTCAGTGTGAAGGTCAGGTCTGCCATTTTGTATGAGTTGTTTCTCTTGGGTGGTTTGCTTTGGTCTATGGTCAATCGACTGATAGCATTTGTATGCTTGTATATCTGCGTCACGAGGGGTACGAGGGGAAGAGCAAGAAGCTGTCGCTTGGTGGTAGATACCGATTTGGCTAGAGAACAGAGCATGGTAATGAGCAGTAAGTAAGTAGGCGAATTGCCCCGGATAAATACGATCTTGTGTCTCAAGGTGCGCACCTCGTTGATCCACCCTCGTCCCTCTCCTCCATATACGCCATCGCAACGGAGTCGATTCATTGCCCCTCCCCCGCCATTGCCAAGCTTGAGGGTAATTGGCACCGTGGTAGAGTAGGCCTGGAGACCCGCTCTTGCCGCTGTTGAGTTGGTGCTACCATTACGTACTACATTGAAAGCGGCGTGTTTCGCCGAGAAATGCAGCTGATCCGATCTTCCTAGAACTTGGCCCAGCCCGGCTTCGGTGGTTTCTTTCACCGATTTGGCGTCATTCTTCTCAGGGCTACAAATGTCCTCGGAATTGTAATCCTCCTGCCACTGGACGCCCTCTAGTATATATATTGACATAAGCCTCTTACGAGACGACAAGCCTAGGTGAAATCAATTCTGATTTATTCTAAAGATGAAAAGAAGAACGAAAAGGAGGAAGAAAGGCAGCTACAAACTGCCGTGCGTCTATTCATGATCTCTGTGGACGCCGTATTATATCTCGTAGGCCGTAAAGTCTTTTTTTCCAAACCCCTTTATAGTAGCCAGTGCTGAGTCTGCTCTGGCCGCCAAGGCAAGACTGTCATATTGTTACAAGAATAAAAAGATTCTGAAAATTTTGATTTACCACCATGCCCCGTCTAACCAGCGATCAAAACCCAGAGCCTGGAAGATTCAATGTTAGTCAAGCCCTCTGACATCTCTCTTTTTGAAACACCAGTGCGTATACAATAGAACTTACAGGAAGAATATCATCATGACGCCGAACATCTTGGCAATTCTATAGTGTGGGATTTGGGGTCAGTCTAGGTTTGTTTCACAGTTAAAAAGGAGAAGACGCGTTAGAGACTTACAGCCACCTATTCGAGGAGACGCTGCCCCAGTACTTTAGTAATTCCCTCTGGGCACCCGACACATTGTCCACCACGTCCTCCGTGTTCGCATCTATCCGCTCACTGAAGATTGTCAGTCAGGATTTCTGCCCTTGCTCCTCAGGCCAGGCGCACTCACATCATCTCAGTCTGTTCTGACACCATTGTTGCCAGCTGTCCAAAGATACTGCCCAGCTCCGTGATTGTCTTCTCGATGGCCTCGATGGCCTCTCCTCTCTGTTGTATGTAGGCATTCTGGGGTTGGGCCTCCTCCATCATCAATAGCTGCTGGTCACTCGGTATCGGGTTCAGCGAGAGCGTATCACCGCCGGGCACGGGTGTGCCCGTCTTGGGTGTGCCGTACAACGGGCTCGCGGACTGCTGTATGGGCATCGCTGCGGATGTGGATACGGAGCTGAGGAAGTTCTCCTGCCGCGACCGGCTGGCCTGTATGGTCTTGGTCCTCAGCTCGAGGGTCTCGCGGAACGAGGCTGAGACGTCCGTCAGCTTTCCCTGCAGCAGCAACACGACGTTCTTGTTGTGTTCCGACTCTTGTCCCCGCTGCCCGCCCTGCTGCGACGACTTGACGACGTCCTGCAGGCCGGCGATCTGCTGGTTCAGGCCCGACAGGTCCTGCTTGATGACGAAGGTGAGTTCGTTGATCTCGACGGGGTTGTCGAAGAGGGTCTTGCGGCGGGCCAGCTGCGCCAGCTTCTCCAGCTTGCCCATAGTCGCCGAGATGCCCCGGCCTATGTCAGCGGCCCTGCGCGCAAAGTCGGATCGTCGGGGTTGACGGGCGCCATCTGCATCGGCCTTCTGTGCGTCGGTGAGGAGGGAGCGCCGTTGCGAGCCGACCTTGGACTGGGCCTGTCGTCTTTGCGCCTGGGCTAATATGGACTTGAACTGTAGACGTGTGTGCGCGTCTTGTCAGCATCATCATCACGTCGCCAGCTGGATCGTGCCGACGGGTGGGAAAGGCGGTCATCGAGTAGGAGATCGCACATACCTCTGAGGTTCGGTCCTGGATGTTGGTGACGGCCATGACAGCGGTGGATTAAGAGCGCTGGAAAGCGACAAGGGACAATGATCGAGGGAGAGCGAGCGTATCGTCGTTCGGTCTGGAATAAGCGAAATGCGGTAGATGAAGCGACCTGCGCAGCTCGGGGAACCCAGCCAGCGTGATTTCTTGATTGCAGCAGGCAGTGAGTGGCGTAGAGGATCGAAAAGGTCGTGGCGCGTGGATCAATCTAGGCTCCGAGGTCGATATCTGGAACGGCGCGCGATAGGAGGACTTGAGGGATCGTAGGAAACAGGTCGGTGATTATGATAAGCCTTCGATTGGGGGATGCGAACTGGACGATGAATCGAATTGTTGTGTAGCGAAGTGGCAAGTCGCAGCTGATGGCCCGTGGGTTTCTTCGCTCTGTCGCAACAGCTCTCTCTCTCTCCTGCGTTGTATTATTACAAAAAGTTCTTTTCGTTAAATCTGAAATTCTGGGAGGAATTCGTGTTGTAGCCCCAGTTTGTCAGTGGTGTGAGAATTGGATACGCTGGTGTTGTCTGTCGTGAAGTCTAAAGAAAAGAAAACTGAGCCATGTTTGGAATGAAGGAAAAAGACAAAAGTGACAGAGAAAGTGAGTGAGCAGAAAAGGGACATTGGCAGAGAGGCGCAGGCTACGACAGTGGCTGGCTGCAATGAGGCAACGTGGTGTCTGGGGCATGTGCTTCAGGCCCGCCGGGGGTTCAACTTAGCGCCGCCTCCGCAACTGCGAACCCCTGAATTTGAGACGATGCCCAGAATGATGAACCCCAAACAATGCTGACCATCTTGATTCACAGTGACTTAACTGTGTAGGAGGATGTCTTCATATTCGCCAGGCCCCAGATCGTCTGATAATGAAAATGCCTGAACCTAGGCACCTCGGATTCACATGCTGGCCCGGATGCTCTCGTTCACCCAACTGGGTCCAACCACCACTTCTGGATAAGCTTAGATGCACATGGCAAGGGCATCAGACGGCAGATATCATCACCAGGTTGAAAAGTACTTTATTTAGTCTTCATACCCTCTAGAGATGAGCTGTCCCTGACATATTTTTCTGGGGCAGCGCTTGAGGAGGAATCCACTACCTGGCCAACCTTCTGCTCATTGACCACCTGCTGCCCTGGTGTGCCCTGCTCCCCCCCCCCCCCGCCCCCGTTGCCCCCTATGAATCAGTTTGCGCCCTTGCAGCACCCATCTCGGGAAGCATCTTGGCACGCAGTTCCCATAGTGCTGTACAGTTTAGTATTGAGGTGCCCATATAGTAATGGCCTCAGCCCCCTCAGGCTGGGGTCCTGTCAGACTTCGGCGGTGCTGTTTCTGCCCCCCCCCCCCCTTTGCAGCCGTTCTTCTGATTCAACGGTTTCCCTCTCCAGGGATTCTCTACGACGGAAGACAATACAATCAAGAGACACGCTCTACAGGGGGTGCAGAGAAACAACCTTATAACTATGTACATGAACTATTGCAAAAGATGCTGTGGACTGAAGTGTATGGCACACAATGACATAATACTAGGTACAGACAACCCATTGTGTGTGCCTGGTGGCATGCGGGAAGATCAGCGAAATTCCATACCAAGTGGCATATCACATCCCGGACGGAGATGTCCTCCAGGGCATCACCTGTCATTCCAATGCGCCAGCTATCGCGTGCCAGAGGGAAGAAAAGACAAGTCAAGTATAAGTAGACTGGTTAATTCTTTATAGTATGAAGAGCCCCTCACTCATTATTGATACCGAGCAAACCTGACCGTCCAGTCCTTGAAGAAGGAGAATATCTTTAGCAAGTCCTCCTCCGCCTCAATGAGTACCGCAGAAAGGTTAAACGCTAGAAGATCGACAATGCATTTATTTCGTTAGCAGCCTACCAGCCTTCCTGTCACCTGCCAGGACACAAAACTTGGCAAACAAACCTGTTCTGTCCTACTCTGGCTGCCCTTCCTTTTTCTACCCTTTCTCTCTGTCCATGTACTTTCTGTTGTTCGAACAACAGCATCGTCCTCAATTTAGAAGCGCTGAACGAAGAGGGTGGGTTCGAAGAGGCCAAGGCTATCCACACAGCAACACGAGGGTGTTCTTTTTTTTTTTTTTTTTTTTTGTTTTTTTGTGTTTTTTCCTTCCCCCCTCCCCTCATCCGTCAGCTAATTATATCCTCCCTTGTCGTCCCCACTGGGTGTGTGCTCGAGTTCGCCGACTCGTCGTCATCAGTGGTCTGTCTCCCTCCCTCTGCGCAGCCACAGCCGCCTCTCTCACGAAACCTTTTTTTTTCTTGTTCTTGTTCTTCTTTTCCTTTCCCTTTTTGGTTCCCCTCGAGGCAGAGGAATGACATACTGGATGACATAGCCTCTTAACTTATCATCCAATCTTCCTTGTCTTCTCTTTAGACCTTAACACGCAAGCCGGGTCCACAGTCCTCCCAATGGAGGTATGATAGCCTAACGGACGATACACCTTGCCCGCACGTTCAGCGATCTTTTTTTCCCCCGATCCTCGCACACGCAGGTCGTCTTCACCAGGACGCGCACAGCTCACAGCGGTCTGCCCGACATGGAAGGCCGCTCGCCAGCGTAAGTTCAAAGGCTTGCACACGACAGCATGGTTTCAACACAACTTTCTTCCCAGACAAACCTCCAAAACTCTAATCGCTCGTCGCACTACTACAGGACTCCGGTTAGCCCCTACACCCTCGCCAACGAGCGATTTAAGACCAACCTCAACCGGAACAAGACGCGGAAATGGGTCGAGGCCAAGAAGATTGACTATGGCGGCGATGACTGGGGAGCCGAGGATGAAGGTGACGAGGACGAAGACGAAGAAGAAGAAGAAGAAGAAGAAGAAGAAGCACAACAAGGAGGAGGAGGAGGAGGAGGAGGATACGGCGCTGGCGACAGTGGAAGCCCTACAGAAGCAAACCCGCCTATGGCTCTGGCGCAACATCCCACGCGCCCCGGTAGGCTGGCGGGCCTGCGCTCGATCGGACAACAGGACAGCGGGAACTCGACGTCTCGCTCCGGATCCGGCGGGTCAGCACGCAGTCTCAGGCCCAGCGAGAGGGTAGCCATGGAGAGGCAGGGCTCCTCATCAGGAGGAGCATTAGGGGGACAAACACAAGGACACAGGATCGTGACGGGCCCGCCTTCGTTGCACATCCACACAGGTGTCCAGTCACAGCGACCCGTTCAGCAGGTCGAGTCCGCACTGTCGACGTCGACATCGCCCTACTCTGCGAATGTAGCTCAACCTCATTACCCCCCACGAAAGAGCAGCATGGCCAGTCGGGAAAGGCCTAATTTGACTGTCGACTCCAGTATGCACCCGCCCCGAACTTCCTCGCGGTCCGTGTCACCAGCCAGCGGATCGTTGGCCGCACCACCTGCACCGCCCAAGATGCCAAGGCCGTCCGAGGTAGAAAAGAGCGAGGAACAGCAGGCCAAGGAAGGAGACTACGAGCACGAGCCAAACGTTTCTACAGTGCAGTCGAGTCTTGTCCAGACCGGCGGCGGTGTCAAAGGTAATGGAGAAGAAGGTACTGACGGCAGCCAGCGTTCACAACCTTTGGCAGCTGTCGCGGAGAGGAAGAGCGAGTATGATCTGGATCGAGCAGTATCTCAACAACCCGACGCGCCTTCACAGCCCACAATGAGTAGTGCCCCTGCAGAACCAGTACAATCTTCACTGCTGCCAGCACTGTCGCAACCGTCCACCATGGACGAGACAGTACCACAGGAGCCCCGAAAGAGGTTCTCGACCAGCCCCAAACTGCCAGACCTCAATCGCCTGTCCGGTTTTGGAAGCGACTTCTTCTCCAGCGGCGGAGGTTTCATGAGCGACACAACTTCGAGCAGGCCACAGCAACTACCACCCTCTGCTGCTGCTGCTGCTGCTGCTGCACCGTCTGCTGTCCAAGAAGAACAACAAGAGATCCAAGAACCTAGACAGCCCAGGCCGTTCCGACCGTCAATACCTGGCGGCTGGGTCAGCGAGACGACTTCGATCCCCAGTGAGATGCCCACACCGTTCCGTGAGCAGGAGAACAAATCTATTGGCAGTGGTCTGGCCTTGCACGCCGGTCAAGACAGGTCAACATCTTCTGGCAACAATAGCGAGCGGACAGAAGATGCCTCCCTCAAACCTGCGCCCTTGCGAACACCAACGCCGCGAAGTGTGAGCCCCACCAAGAGCGATGCTGGTAGTAGAGGAGGGCCCAGCAGATCCAGCCACCATGCATCGGCAGCACCAGCGTCTGCTATGCTTCCTCCTCCTTCATCTCTGCAGAACACGTCAAGTCCGCTGGCAAATGTAGAAGACCCTACCAAGACTACTGGCAACACCGATGAAGGCCACACACCCGATGACGACGGGGCCGAGATTCGCAATTCGTCAGAGGCGGCGGCAGCGGTAGTATCAACAGCGCCTGACGATGCGCCTGCACCCCTACAACCACGGAGACGACCATCAACAGAACAAATATCCGCTGCTGTGGAGAGACCCCATCCCATGAGCAGGGTAGACACAATGGCCAGCACTGCGGACTCTTCACCACTCAAGGAGAGCGACGTCCTCCGCGATGAGATTATGCGCAGCCTCAGCCCAGTCCGTTCGTCTCACTCAAATCTGAACACATTTCAGGACGAGAGTGCCGCACGCGAGAGCGCCTATCTCAATGATGTGTATGGCGACTACTGGACAGCAGCGGCGGATGATACGACCAAGGATGAGCATGACCACAATGGCAATAACCCTCCTGAGGAGCAGGCTAAGGTTCTAGGGCGTCTGGGCGTGAACGCGGACAAGGACAAGGTGGAGCCCATCCCTTCTACTACGTCCGAGTCTGCTATGCCACCGCTTGCTGCCAACGAGCCAGAGGCCCCGCCCAGGCCTGATGTGGCTCGGGACCGTTTCTCATGGGAAGCAGCTGGTGAAGAAGGAGGCGATCCCAGCCCACCACTACCGACTGTGAATCCTCATCATCCCCTCCCGGAACTCCCCAAAGAGGAGGAGCCTACTGGTTCACCTTCAGCCGCCCCGCCCCAGCTGAGTCCTGTCGACTCAGGCGGCCCCATGTCTCCTCTCATCTCTCTGCCAGTGTTGAACTTTGGACGCGATGGGGACCATAAGGATCATGATGAGCACGACCATGATGGTGGGAAGGAGGTTGTAGAAAACGGACCCTCCAGGGACGAACAGAGGCCGCCATACCAAGTGACCTCAGACAGTGATGTGCCACAATCGCCAGTCTCCCCTTCGGGCAAAGAGGTCCTCACAGCAGAACCCACAAACAACCGTGGGAGCATGTTTTTCTCGGGAAGCGAAGAAAAGATTACCGTCATATCACCCACATCTCCGTGGTCCCCAACGTCCGACGTCGAGAATGCAGCAGTACACCAGCAGCCCCGGCATGCCGACTCGCTCACGTCCGAGACAACACCCAATGACATACCTCTACCGCGCAGCCCGTCGCCTGCTCGAGAGGGTGGCAGTGGGGATGATGCTCACCAGCCATCGTCTTCACCGCAGCAGCAGCAGCAGCAGCAGCAGCAGCAGCACATCGCAAGCCTCCGGCAGATCATGTCCCTGCCCACATCCCCAGAGCGCGTATACAAGATGCTCGAGGCCCGGTCGGACCTTGCGTCTACACCCTCTGGTCTCATGGACTGGCTCGCCCAGATCCTCGCCACCCCAGAGCACGCCCACGGGGGCCCTTCTTTCCAGTACGCACCCGCGGGCGACGACGTGGCCATCCTTGCCAACAGCAGGCCCAGGCCCAGCGGCGCCCCTGGTGTCGGAGGGGCTGGTTCCACAGCAGCCGGAGGAGGAGCAGCAGATGCAGGTACGGGCCAGCAGCATGCGCATGGTGGACCGGTGCACCTGGGGTCCAGCGGGGGCGGAAGCGTGCGGATTCCGGGGGCGAGCGCGGCCCAGCTGCAGCTAGGGCACCTGATGCACGGGCAGGCCGGCACCAAGGGCAAGGAGCTGCTGCAGAGTGCCGGCAAGATGGGCAAGGGGTTGCTAAGTAAAGGGAAGAATAAGCTGAGGGAGAGGAAGGGATGAAAGAAAAGAGAACAGGAAGGGGGGTGGGAGGGTGTGTTGTTTTTCTTCTTCTTCTTCTCAGAACATATTTACATTTAGTATTTTTTTTTTGGTGTGGTTTTTTGGGGTTCCTTTGGCTCTTTTTTCTTCTTATGAACCAGGTGGTGCAGGTGGGAGGAACGCTGCAATCTCTCTACATGACCAGGCTCTATTGTGTTTTTCCCCCTTCTCTTTCTTTTCATTTTCCTTCTCTTGATAGTATTGGCATGGTGCAGTGGGTGGTGGGTGGAATGACCATCGGAGGCATATTGAATGAGGCTGGAGGAGTTTTATGACATGCAGGTCCGTGTTCGTAGTCCACCCGTAGGAGAAGAGACGTTTCTCACTCTTGGGGTCACGACATGGAATGCGCAATTACAATTACTCATAGTGAGAGTATTGTCTATCGTTCGTAGAGACGACCGTCCATTTAGTAGCTGAGAAAGAGGGCGTGCATTTGCAGGCAGTATCTCAAAGCTCCCCCCCCCCCCTAACCCGTGCCACCCCGACCTGGCCTGAACTAGCCTCGGCCGTTTTTTATGCTACTGTACCTTCTCCGCACTACTGCACATGTACTTGTACTCCATAGTTGTGTGGCAGGTTACTTGAACAGCTGAACAACGAAATAGGGAGAGGGGATGAGACAAAAGGAGGGACCCGGCGGGATGGGGCCGGTTCAGCCCTGTAGCGTCTGACTGTAACCGTTTGTGGTTCTTTTCGTTGGTAGTAGTCAAGCATAAGAGAGAGAGAGAGAGATTAGAGGCCCCATATCGAAATCCCCCCAATTGTCCTTTCAACGGGGGGTTTGTGGCTTGGCGCAGCCGTTTTGTGGTTTTTAATTTTTTGTTATTAAATTTTTGTCCAACGCTGAAGGGGGTTGGTTTGTTGGGTTCTGGCTGGGGAGTCCCCGGTTATTTGAGATTTATTTTTATCCCATGATTTATCCTTTTTCTTTAGGCGAGTGTTAATGTTGTTGAAGCCAAGATGTTCTAGGTGGATAAGTACTTGCTTAATCTTGTTGATAGGAAATAATGGGGCGAGAGAGAGAACAGTTCTTGCTGGGGGGGAGGTTGGTAGTTTGAGCCCCTGTCATTGTGTACCTGCTGTGGGCTGACTGACTGGCTTGGGGCTGAAAAATACAATTTGGTGCTATGCTCTGTGCTGTAACTTGGGGCTCTGCTGTAAGCCATGTTACTGTCCCCAGTACCGCCCGCCCTTTCCCTTGTTTTGTACTTGCTCATCGTCAGGTCACAAATCTAGGCAACCCTCATGGTGTCTCCTTCCTACTTGAGATCAATCAACACTAAATTTTGTACGTATCGAAATCTACATGTACATAATCTTTTTTCCTTCCTTTCTCTCTGTCGTTTTTATCTCTTATTTTGCGTCTCTCTCTCTCTCTCGTTTCCTCCGTCTACACATCTGCAGCTACCCAGCGTCTCGGAGCCACACATGCATAATATTGTGGCACACATACTACGAACAAGAAGGAAAAGGCTGAGCTGGCGTTACATTCGCTAAAGGACGCGCACCCGCAAATGCCGGCGAATCCTTCGGAAAGCGGTTCTCTTTTCTATCCTCAAGCACCCCACGAGGCCGAGCAACGCATGCATGTGGTCGAGCCAGGGCCCCCTCTTGACACTCCCCACCCAGCTGAACAGCTCAGGAAAATTGCCACGATCCTTCGGGCGCGTGAGGAGAAAAGAAAACCAGAGGCACGCAAGACCAAGCAGCTGTCAGTTCTGTCAGTCCTGTCCTCCACCCTTTCTAGACGCCCTCCTCATCCTGGCACGACACGTTTCGAGCTGCCGTTCATTCATCCTTCGTGCCCTATGCGAACTTGCCCGTCGTTGATCAGCTTGTCCGAACAAGATACTTTGTCATTGTCGGCGGGAGCAGTAGCATCATCTCCCCCCCCCCCCCTCCCCTTCTTCTTCTTCTTCTTTTCTCTTCCCCCACCTTTATTCAGCCTCTTGATTTACTTGTACAGATACAATACCACCTACCTTGACGAGGGGTCCAGGTCCAGGTCCAGATCCAGGTCCAGGTCCAGATCCAGGTCCAGCTTTGGTTCGTCGAGCACTGCAAGGCTATACTGTTATCGTACGGTTATTGATTTATTACTACAGTACCTGGCAGGCAGCAGGCCACTTGCTCTATATCACCCATTTCCATTCTCACCACACCTCTTTTGGCCACAGAGTTGCACCCGAATCTGCAGCCTGGAAACTTTCTTGTTCTCTCACTCACACTCTCACGCATAATCTTCCCATTTGCTGTTGGTTGTTGGCGGTTGGGTCTCCAATCTAACCAACCCCCCCCTCTTCTTCATCTCTCCTCTCTCTCTCTCTCTCTCTCTTCCTCCCTTGCTTATTCGGCTGGAGGTCCCGTGACACAGGCCGATGCTGGCCACTCTCTCTGTCTCTCTGGCTGCCCTATCTGCTCTATCTTTTCTCCCTCGAGTGGTTTAGTTTCTTGTCGCTTCTTCTTAGCCTCAGACACGACCATGTCGTCCACCTACAACCAACCGCCACAACGTCAACCTTCCTTTATTGGTCTCCCTCCCATTAGTCCCGGGCCCAACTTTGGTTCGGCCTTGGGTGTCGTCTCACCCGGCGATCTCGACCTCGACTTCAGCGTGGATGGTGATCGCGACCGTCAGCAGCCTCCGCCTTCTTCTTCTTCTTCTTTGCCACGCCACGTGCCGTCGCCATCACATTCCTGGGTACCTACCACCACCCCTCCCACCGCTGCAGTTGGCTCCTTTGATCTCAACTCATCCAATTCGAGCCATCCTCAACATCATCGTCGCGTCGGTTCAAACACCTCCGGCACGTCCGCTGCCCGGTCCTCGCCGCCCAACATGATGATGATGATGAACAACAGCAACGGCGGCGGCGACGGCGGCGGCAACAACTACTCAACCCAACCAGGCTCATCCTCCTTTGCCGTCCAGCCATCCCAAATGCAGCAGATGCAGATGCAACACCAGCACCAGCACCAGCGCCAGCAGTCCATAGGCCACCAGCAGCAGCCTTACCAAAATGGGAGCTCCCAGTATCCTCAATCTCAATCTCCTCCTGTCCAGAATGGCCAGCCTGGGATAAACAGCAGTCATCACTATCAACAACTACCACAGCAACAACAGCAGCAACAGTATGGAGGGGTTTACCCCTCAGGAGGACCATCACCGGGTATGCCGTCGCCCAGTCTCATGTCCAATGGCACTTTCGCCCCGCCCCCGGGCTGGAAGGAAGAACAGTCTCACCTGCAACAACCTCTCTCCCCGCGTAGACACCAACACTCACCCAGCATCTCATCCCTGAGACAGCAGCAGCAGCAGCAGCAGCAACAACAATATGGGCAATCACTTGAAATCGACAAGGAGACTGGAGCTGCCCTTTCCACCCGCTCCGTCTCACCACCGACCCACTCTCCTGCAGATGCACGTCGTCCTGACATCCACCGACCCTCTGGCCCTCCTCCCTCCATGGGCGGCGAGTCTTCCTCGCAGGGTCTGTACGGGAACATGAGTGGGAATGGGTATGCGCCTCCCAACCCGCCCTTTGCCCAGCAGGGTGGCGCTGCCCTGGGCCGCGTCTCCACCAACGGCAGCGGCAGCCAGAGCGGATACAGCCAGCATCAGCAGCCCGAGAGTAAGCGCAACTCGGGCATGTTCTCCAGCATCCGCAGCAGGATAGGCGCCACCACCACCACCACCACTGGGGGAGCCGGAGGGGGAGCAGCTGTGAACGGGGACGGTGTTTCCGAGGCGAGTGTGCCCATCGAGGACCAGGCGAGAAAGGGACCCTCCAACCTGTTTGGCCTCCGCGGTGTCGCTACCGCCAACGAAGGCCGCTCGAGCTACGATGCGCCTGGATTTGAAGACCGTTCGGGCTCAGAGAAGAAGCGCAACTTCTTCTCACGACCATCTGGCAGCCCTGCTCCGGGTTTCATGACGACGTCGGCCTCGGAGCACAATCTGTCACGCCCTTCCACGATGGAGGGCGTACCAGGCCCACCGCCCATCGTCGGGTTCGGGCCAGGAGGACCCAAGAAGCGCTTCTCCAAGTTCACCGGCATATTGAACCGTGATAAGCAACCAGAGACCCAGCTCTCCCAACCGCAGGGACATAACTTTGCCCAGGGCCCCATGGGAAGGCCCTCTTTGACAGGGCAGCGACCGTTCCCTGGGGCCATGATGAACAGCGACCCGCAGATGGGCGCATTCGGTCGTCAGCGGAGTGCAACGGTCGAGTCAAGGCCCAGCGTGGCAGATCACGGCCGCAGTGCGTCAGCACAAGGGTTTATGTCACCACCTCCGGCTCTAGGGGGATCGTCATTTGCTGAGGAAGACCGCGGCAGAAAGGTCACGCCAGGGAATTTTATTTCCAACATCTTCGGAAAGCGTTCAGAGTCTAAGACGAGGGAGCAGCAGCAACAGGATCACCAGCAGCAGCACCAGCAGCAGTTCCCCTCATCGCCGCCCGGACTGGGCCAGCCGCAGGGTATGATGCACCAGCAGGGACAAACACCACCAAGACCTGGAAACCCTGGCCATTTCCCATCTTTCCTGGCGCATTCGCTGGGCATGCCAGGTCAGCCTCCTGTCCTCCCACCACAGGGTCAATATGCGGGTCTGGCACACCAGGTTCAACAACAGCAGGCCCAGCAGCAGCAGCAGCAGCAGCAACAACAACAACAACAACAACAACAACAACAATACACCCCTCCCCAGCCTTCCTCTTCTACCCCTACGGCCGTGCCGACAGGCCAGCACCTGAATCACAACCACCACCTTCATCATCTGCAGGGCAATGGATCCTCTCCTGGTGTATCGCCCGTCACACAGTCTGGGAGTCCCTTCACCACGCAACCTTCAGGAGGCATGGTGAACAGTAGCAATCTTGCGCCCAGGTCAGAGCCACCCACGCAGCAGCAGCATCTTCTTCAACAAAACCAGCAACAACAACAACAACAACCCTTGCCAGTGCCACTGCGGGCCTCCGTCCAGATCCCACAGTCTCCCATAGGCATGGTCCAGATTGCAACGGCCATCCCTATCCGCCAGGTGGAACGATCTCCCAACTCCAACCCAAACTCTCCTGGCATCTCGGGACACAATTCGCCCGCGAGTGAGACGGGAAGAGGGAGGTCCACGTCTGTCGTCAACCAAATCGAGGTCGGAGGGCCCAGGAGGCCGGTTCTCGACGCGCATGGTCGAATCCGCTCTGGGTCCAGCTCCATCTCCCAGCAGCAGCAGCAGCAGCAGCAGCAACAACAACAACAACAAAATCATCCCGTGCACATCGCATCTCTTCAGGCACCGGTACGAAAACCAGTCAACCACTCCTCTTCCACGTCCACTTCACCTCCGAACAGTGCTCATACAGGCCTACAGGACACATCCTCGTCGATCGACATAGAAGAGCACCCGAGCAGCGTGGGCCAGAGCAGCCAGGACTCTCCCCACGCCAGGAGGGTATCCCAGAACCCGTCTGCCATGAGCCAGAGCCAGAGCGCCTCCCAGCTGACCCCATCTACCTCCCCCGCCCTCAGCCAGGAGCAGCCCAACATGCCTCCAAGTGTACCTCCCAAGAACCACGAGGATCGGCAGGGAGGAGCAGCAGCGGACGGAGAAGGAGCAGGAGGGTATCGGAGCATGGCTGATGACCAACAATACCACCAGCAGCAGCAGCACCAGCAGCACTACCCAAATCAGGGCCACCCTGCACTGGTCGCCCAACAAGCCTCCGTATACAGGCCTTCAGCACCACAGATGACCGCTACTGCTGCTTCTGTTCAGCCATCCGTGCAGTATCCAGCGGGATGGGGGGCCGTGGCGCGAGGTCTGCCCCCACCAGCGCAGAATGGTCCTCCCGAACAGCCGAGACTCAGCCAGGAGCCATCAGGCCCCTCCTCGGCCTCCTCCCCTTACGTCATGCAGGGCCGCCCTCCCTACGAGACCACCATCACGGCCACGCCATCTCAAGAGGGGGGTGCCGACAAGGAGGGCAGCAGCGCCTTTGCCAGGATGCTCAAGACGAGCAAGACTTTCGTGCAGGACAAAACGTCCTCGTCCTCCTTTTCCAATAATAACGACAACACGAGGCCCAAGGGTGAAAAGGAGAGCAGAAGTGCCAAGATATTGGGAGCTTTTACCAAGAAGTCCAAGCAGCAGCAGCAGCAGCAGCAGCAGCAGCAAAACGTCGTGAGCCCGTCACCGCCAGGTGGTCCTCAGTATGGCCCCAAGTACCCCGCGTCCTTCACCACGACCATGACAACAACGACAACCACGCAGTCCCATCCTCCTTCATCAATTATACGGCAGCAGACACAGCAGCCCATGGTGCCAGAGCCACAGATCGTGACACAGGGTCTGCAGCAGATGCCATCCAAGGCGCAGCAGCTCCTGGGCCAGCCCCCAAACTCCATGTACCAGGCTCCTCCGGGCCAGTCACCGCCTAAAGCCCGCCCGGATAACGAGAGGACCAACTCCCAGCCGTACTTAAACTACCAGGACGAGAGGCAGACGCCTGACAAAACGCCACCGCCTCTGAACCCCGATCAGATCCAGCAGCGCGTGCACGCCCAGCCGCCCCAGCAGCCTCCTTCGCAGACTTCCACTGCTGCCACTACCACCGCCCAGCCGTCCTCGCAGGCCTCTTATCAAGGCACTCAGCCGCCTTCTGGACGGCCTTCGATCAGCTCAATCACCTCATCCAGTCACGGTCCACAGGCAACGCTGCCACAGCAACCACAACAGCAGCAGAGATTTGCACAACAGGTACATCACCCGATGGCCAACATTTCGCAGGCATCTGCCAGAGCGAGGAACTTGAAACAGCAAATCTCTTCTGCTGCTTCCGCCGCCACCGAACCCCGTTACGATCAGGTGCCTATTCCCCAAGGCTATGCTGCTGTGTATGGAGGCCAGTCCATGAACGTTCCTTCGCCAGCGGTGGTCCCACAGCAGTACGCTCAGCCATTCCCAGGGATGCCGGGCATGCCCCCCTACCAGACTCACCCACAGCAACAGTGGGCGCAGCACCCTGCCATGATGCCGGGGATGATACAGGGCCAGATGCCTCCTCCTTCTCACATGATCCAAGGACCGTACCAACAGTATCCTCCTCAGATGCAGCTACAGCAGGGGACGCCACAGCCGATGATGACGGCGCCATACCCGTCGCCTCAGCAGTATATGCCAGGGCAGAATACCACCCCTCCGCCACAGATGCAAGGACAATTGCCCCCACAGCAAGGCGTGCAAATGATGATGCCGGCGATGCTGCTGCAGCAGCAGCAGCAACAACAACAACAACAACAACAACAGCCCAACTGGCAAGATCCTGCCAAAGCCCCCATCCCCGGGCACGTTCAGCAGGTTTCATCGCCTCCTCCTTTTCCTCAGCAGGAGCAGCAGCAAACGCCTATGTCTTCAGAAGCTATACAGGCCACGCCAGCAAGCGATATACCTTCAAGCATGCAGGCTAATCAACAACAATTCTCTGTCATGTCTGATGCCGTGCATGCTCATCCGCCACAGGAGAATGGTGAACAGCATCAGATCCACCAGCCAGCGCCTATCAAGCCGCAGCTGAGCCCGGCAGCACCCAACCACCAGGCAGCACACCCGAGCGCATTTATGACAACAACCAGCGCCACGCCCGAGCAGAGCCAACTCCAGCCTCCTGCACAAGGCGCCAGAGGTGGTGGCGGTGACCTCATGCCCCAGCGGCAGATCAGTGCGGCCAGCCAGGTCTCATCCCTGACCACCGAGGCCGCCACAAGCAAGGGATCTCCGGCAGCTGACCCGCAGAGGGTTCAGGTCGTTCGCCCAGCCGCCACCCAGTCGCCAGCCGCCGTCCCAGAGGAACAAGAGTCCCAGAGCCCTGTGCTCCAGAGGGTGACACTCCGGGATGAGCCCCTGCCACGCAAGGTAGACACGCCGGTGACTGCCACGCCTGCCGAAAACGACGACATCTACGGTGCCACCCCGAGACAGTCTGCGAAGCTGTCCTCGCCCGTGATGACAACCACCTTGACAGAGCAGAAGCCTGCCGAGCACGTCATATTCTCTGGGCCATCGCAGGAGTCCACGTCCGAGCCCGACTCAAAGTTTGCAGGCATGCCGACAACGAACAAGGCTGTCGTGGCCGAACCCAGCAGACCAGAAGACAAGGTCCAGCCGTCGTCGCCTCCTCAGCCGCAGCCTCAGCCGCAGCAGCAGGAGGATCTCACGATCGAAGTGCCGCCCGTGCTCGCCAACCAGCAGCAGCAGCAACTAGAACAGCCCAATGCCTCCCCCGAGTCAGCCGCATCCTCGATCTCTCCAGCGCCTATCATCACATCAAAGTCGCCGCTGGCCGAGGACGAGCCGCCTTCGCCCACCGACTCTGAGCTGCACCAGACCGACGAGGGGGCCAAGGACGGAGAAGATGCTGCGGCGCTCGACGGGGCGGATGCGGCCGGCGCCACTGTGACCATCAACGGCAAGCCGGTACAGAGCTCGGCAGAGATCTTTGAGGAGCACAAACGCAGGCAGCTCATCCGGGACATGGAGGAGAAGATCGCCCTGATGCCGACCGAGGACGAGATGCTGGAGCCACCCAAGAAGAAGAACGAGGATATACCAATGATGAGCGCCACGAGCTATCCTGGTCAGGAGTGGAACCCTTATGGCGAGGGCTTTGAGGATGATGATGAATAAGGAGCTGGATGCTAGTGTGGCCAGTCTTTCTTCCCTTGCTTTTTCATTTTCTCTTCTTGTCACAGGAGATTTTTTTCAAACTATCTAGAATGTTTTATTTTGTATGGACTTAATCTCTGAGGTCTTGTTCAGACCAATTTTGGGGCGTTAAGTAGAGAATTACTGGGATCTCTTGTCCAGCATGCGAGCTGTGCTCATATTCTTACTTGCATTTACAAACCACGCTTTCTCAATTGTTCCAAACAAGGTTGTGTTCAGACTTACAGCGTCAACCAGGCCTTGAGCAGTGGTGCTTCCATGTATTTGGTCTTATTTTGTCTTGAGCTAATCAGCAGAGGCTCTCAAGCCTGTGCGTATCTGAAGACAAGAATCAAATCCTATCTGCCTTCTCTATTTGCTAGATGACCAGCTAGCTGGCTGGCCATTTCTTGCTTCTTTCTGTAGTGTGCACCCTGAATTCACCCCCCGAGACCAATGTGCTCCAGATCCAGTCTCTCTGCCATCAGAGATGGGATCTGCCAATACAGAATTAAACTACGGGCTCAGTATAAGCATCAGTGTGTATATGAATCGTCGCCTTCCTTGACCTTCGGCCGGGCGGGATAGAAAGCACCGGCTAAATCGGGATAAATTCGCCACTTATCCCGGGCATTTCATTGCGAATCAGCCTCAAATGAAAGGGAATATCCAAGGCCCCCACCGAGCACAGAACTGCATATAAGGTTGATCAACAAGCAGTCCGGCTGGACTTCTCATTGATGCTTTTGCTTGGCTTGGCTGGAGACCGAGGTTGCGATAATTGTTGAACTAAATAAATCCAAGAGCCCTTGTCAAGCAACATCCAGCAGCATTCTCAACCCGGATCTCCAACCTTTCTTCGCAAGTCAAACTCTCGCCTACTTTTCTCGACATAAGATGCCTCCACTGATCACCCATATTTACACAGCCGATCCCTCGGCCCACGTCTTCAATGGCAAGATCTACATCTACCCATCCCACGACCGCGAGACAGACATCCAGTTTAACGACAATGGCGACCAGTACGACATGAACGACTACCACGTCTTCAGCCTCGACTCACTGGAAACGGACAATCATGAGGTCACAGACCACGGCATCGCGCTCAAGGCAGAGGATGTCCCGTGGGTGAGCAAGCAGCTCTGGGCGCCCGACGCAGCCTACTGTGCCGCCACGGGCGAGTACGTTCTCTTCTTCCCTGCGCGGGACAAGAAGGGCATCTTTCGTATTGGGATCGCTACGTCGGATAAGCCTGAGGGGCCCTTCCGGCCCGAGGAGAACTATATCCCCGGCTCGTACAGCATTGACCCGGCCGTGCTGGTGGATGACGATGGCGATGACGCCAACGACGACGGCAGCACCGGAGCGCAGGAGAGCAAACCCCCATCGGCCTACCTGTACTTTGGCGGGCTGTGGGGCGGCCAGCTGCAGTGCTACCAAAAGGGCAACGACACGTTCGACGAGGCCTGGACGGGCGCGCAGGAGCCCTCGGGCCCAGGAGCCGCAGCCATGGGCCCGCGCGTGGCCAAGCTGAGCAGCGACTTCAGGACCCTAACAGCCCCCGCGCAGGAGGCCCAGATCCTCGACCCAGCGACGGGCCAGCCCATCGCGGCCGACGACCACGCGCGGCGGTTCTTCGAGGCGGCGTGGTGTCATAAGCGGCGGGGGCGGTATTACTTTAGCTACAGCACCGGGGACACGCATTTCCTTGCGTATGCGATTGGGGACAGCCCCTTGGGGCCGTTTACGTATGCGGGGCGGATTCTGGAGCCTGTGCTGGGGTGGACGACGCATCATTCCGTGGTGGAGTTCCCGGCTGGGAGTGATCGGTGGTGGCTTTTCTATCATGACTGTGAGCTGAGTGGGGGCGTGGACCATCTTCGGAGTGTGAAGGTGAAGGAGATTTTTTACGATGGGGAGGGCAGGATTGTGAGTGAGAAGGCTGTGGTTTGAGATGAGTGGATAGGGACATGTAGATAGATGATTGAATATCGTGCATATGCCTTTGGGACAAATATCTTTACATTGTTGTTATCACTCTTGTCGAGTCTCCCTTCTTGCTCTGGAAATACAGTTTTTTGTATGTTCTTCTTTTCCGTCTTGACAATTAATGCTTTTTGGGAAGAAGATCGAGAGATAGCTTTACAATACGACGATATTGTATGGAGATGGACAACGGTCTATTTTCGAAAGTGCATCCAGCCTCCAAATGGTATCACAACGTCAATAGTCCTGTATGCCAGTCTCTCCCAGCAGTAACCTCTCCCTCTTCGGCCGTCTCTGTCGCCCTACCACCTCAGCCTCACCATCCAACCCCTCACCATCCTCGTCCTCCTCGCTATCATCTGCCCACGCCGGCTCTTCCTCATCAAAATACGCCTCCTCCCGATCCCTATCCTCCATCGAATCCAGCTCGTCATCCCCGTCGACCCCGTCATAGTCAAACTCCTCGTCCCCGCCCGCGACGAACCTCTCCCGCAGAAACTCCTCCCAAGCCGCGCGGCCCTCCTCCCTGCTCGCCGGCTTCTCGGCAAGAGCCGAGTCGATGTCGAAGTTGCTGGTCCCAGCGGCTCTTGCACTTGGACTTGGGTCTTGGCGTGATGACGACCCGTTCGATGGTGCGCGAGGGACCACGTCGCCCGTGTACGATGAGGCGACCCTTTCGAGGCGCGCTTCGCCGCGCAGCAGGGAGGACTCGAGCGTCTTGCCCCAGCCCTTGGTGCGGCCTTCGGCTTCACGCTCTGCGGGGGTTTGAAAGTGCCGCATGAGTTTGTCGTAGAGGTCTGGATCTGTTTATTCTCATCAGCACCTCAGAAAGTGGCCATCCCAAGCACAGATTATGAAGAAGTGTTTGATTCAGGTGAATTCAAGAAAGTCGCAGAAGGGCGCGCAAGAGAGGGAGGGGGGGGGGTTTTGGTCTGTTCCTCATAGGGAGAGGTCTTGCCTTACCTGCGAACTCGTGCTCAGAGTTGGAAAAGTATCTTGGATTCTGCACCAGGTACTCTCGTCGCCTGTTCTGGACTCGGATCTTGGCAACTTGTGCTGGTGACTTGGGCGGCCTCGGTCGTGGCCTTGAGAAAGAACGGGGTGTGGCTGGGGCCGATTCTGAGATGGCTAGATGTTCCATTATCGCTATGAAAGATCACTCTGTTGATGGATGATTGATGAAAGCTGGCACTTGAGGGGGTTGGGCGTGCGCTTAAGGTAGGCCTGGCGTGGCGAAATGTGCTGAGGCGATCTCGAAAATGGGAGTCTGGGCCTGGGGAGTACTCAAAAGACAAGTAGGCGCCGTGCTGAGCTGAGCTGATAAATGAATACAATTGCTCTCTGTGTGTTATGGCAACTAGAAGAACAAAAGATATGAGATCGTCCAGCAGAAATGAGTTGCCGTGAGAATGAAAAACAAGAGGTGAAAACGGGCCTGACGTTGAAGCTTTTGCTGCCAGTCTAAAATGAGACTGCTGACGGAGCCGTTGCGGGGGACTCAAAGACACAGCGGCCCGACCCGCTGGTGGTGCAGTGGGACCGCCAAAGGGAGAAACAAGCACATTGATCGTTGGTGTTAAAGTCGGTGCGAAATCGATTCCATGACAGGGCTCAGAGTTCCAATGCTACCCTGCTGTAGATGTGTTCTTGTTGAATTCTTGATAGCAGAAAGCACTGCAAAATAGGGCAGTAACACGATCGAAGTACACACAGTAGATGAAGCAACTAGAAGAAGACATCAGGGTAAGGAAAGGCTAAGGCTGGCTATCGAAGGGGAAAAAATGCTAGTTTTCGCACGCATTTCGCCTGAGTAAGTAAGCACTTGGGCAGATAAGGTACAAGAAGAATGTGTCTTGTTGAATCCTAATATTTTCATCAAGCATATTGGCTTCAATTGTTGCTTCAGTATGACAGGAGCTTCAGTCCCACCCACATGCCCCCCCCCCCCCTCTCTCTCTCTCTCTCATTTCTCTCTCTCTATAGAAATGAAAAATAATATATAAATAAAATAAAAATAAGAGAAAAACGAAGTAAGAAGGAGGAGGAAGAAGAGGAAGAGGAAGAGGAAGGAGAGGAAGAGGAAGAAGAGGAAGAGGAAGAAGAGGAAGAGGAAGAAGGCGAAAGCACGCAAAAGAAAAATTCCATAATTGTCACAATGAAAAGCGTTTTGAGGCTGTATAAGTACTTGGGCAAAGATGCTTTAGTAGCTTAAGCGGCCCTTTTCGCTCTATCTACATTATGATTTGCTTCAGGCGTGCGAGCGAGATCTTTCGTGGGAGTACATTCGATTCCCGGCTCGTATCATCAAAATCGGACCCAGAGAGCTGTCCTGTGACTATGTAGCAGCGGCCATCTCCCTATGATCGGAAGGATGTAGTCCACGTGCAGTTACTGCTTTCACAGCTTGAAATACACACTGCTGCTGAAAGAGGTGAAAGCCCTAGAGGAAAGAGAAAGTAAGGGGGCCTGTCCATCTTTGTGCGCAGGATTTTTGCAACGCCTAAGCAAAGCTCAACTCGTCCATATCCTCTTGCCTACTTCCTCCGAGATATCACCTGGACCGGAAAGATATTCTGTACGACTCCTTGCAACAGAAGGAACATTCTTGCGGCCTCCAGCAAGCACCCAGACATCTAAAGGTAAATGGAAGAGTTGCCCTTCCTCCACGCCCCAGCACCACCGCCGTCATGAGAGGCGGAGGACCCAAGTCTTGACTCGGCGCTCTTGTAAAATCTCCATGATCTCATATCAGTCTCTAGAGTTCGCCCGGGACACGATCGTGCAGTCCACAAAGAAGAGCCCCGTCGACACAAGACCTGAGGGCGACTCATTACCTATGGAAGAGAACGCAGTCAAAGTGGGCGTATCACCTCAAGCGATATGCTCCGCTGTAAAGAATGCCTTCGCCCAACCAGCAAGCATACAGACACTGCGCTAGCAGAGTTGGAGCAGCTCGTAGCGAAATAAGTACAATAGTGGACGTGAGCAGCCATAAGCTGAAGGACAACGACGGCGTGCATATATGTAGTCGCACACTCACAGAATCGCCACGATGGAGCGGCACTCCTTTTACGAGAAATCAGGCTCTTTCTTGCGTCGAAACACATGAACCATCCCGGCCATGCCCAAGTTGCCGCTTGCACTACAGACGGAACTAATCTAACTCCTTTACACATTACGCTACTCCGTCTGAAGATGGCACGTTCGAATACCACCAGTATCGGTACGCGGAGGCAAATGTGACAGATTACTGTCAAGGACCCAAAATAACAGAAGAGCACAGGGCTTCGGAAGGAGCAAGATCACGTTTTATCAGACTTGCGTCTTGAGGGACCAGCTGAGGACTAATGGACACAGCCTCACGATATCTCCAACCCATCGTTGAAAACAGCTCCTCTGCCTGTTATGCACCACACTTTCGTGGAACAGTGGATGACCGGAGAAGAGGACAAGTTCTTTTTGAAGACCGAAAGCACAGTGATCATCATTGTCGTCTTGCTCTGCCCTTCTCAATCCAGCTCCTTCTGAGCGACATGCTGGATGGACCGTCGCATGAAATGTTCAAGCCCAAGGATGTCAATGTGCCCAAGACCATAAATTGAAGGGTTGATGAATATCATGATTGCCAAACTTGACAGATCTAACATGGTAGTTGTATCTCACAAGATGTCGTGCTATTGAAAATGTCAATTGCCTGTCATAATCTCATTTACACACACACACACACACACCTACACCTTATTCTTCCATTTTTCAGGGGAGGAACTGGGAGTTTTAGATCGCTTCAAACCTACTTACCGTTTGACAACATCGATTTGCTGATATCCATACGATGGGCTTACGAAATCGAAAACATCACCAGGAGATTGGAATTGTACATTAAGCTCTACTCGATCACTACCTGCCCAGACCATCATCTACCATCTTCTGCCTTCTCGCATCCAGAAGCTAAAGGCAAGAATCTGTAAGAAATAGAAGCTATGGACATGCCAACATATCAAGGCCTGCCTCCTTGAAACATTATGCGACGCAATTGTATGCAACTCTCAACATTGAAGTGAGGGCTCAGCCGCTCCCGCCATGCGCCGGTCTCCGCACCCGGATCGGTCCACTAACAACGCACGCCACAAATGCCTCTCTCCCTTTTCCGAGCTCGTGATGTAAGACGGATAGGCAACAACTTGAAAGCTGCTGCTTACATGTCGATCTAGTCTCCTGACAAGAATGGGCACCAGACACAGTACAGAAAAAGCCTCAACTCGCCAGTGCACGACCCGTTCCCGGTTACTTCACATTGAAATTTCCCACAGACCAACATTCCCGGCAGCGCAATTGACACTGCGTCTCTTACTTTTCGAGTCCTCTACTTGTGTGTGTTGCAAGGTGAGAAGCCTGTTTGTTTCTTTATGTAAATAGTACATAACTTGTTCTTGTTTCATAGCCTGCACTCGAACCCGTCTCCTTCACATATTAATGAATTCCCCTGTGAGAACCACCAGTGCGGGGATCTCAGCAACTATTCAGCCATGCCGCGCGACCCCACGGCGTGAACTATAGCAATCAAAGATACCTACTCATCCAAAGATGAATCACTTTCCCTCCCCCTCTTCGAGTAGGGCCGTGACAGACTCAGACACTGCACACGACGGACCAACGCTCACAGCTGCGCCCACGGCCGACGAGCTGCCCGCCTACGGCAAGGGACCCTCGCCACCAACACTACCACCACTCCCATCACCCACGAAAGCCACCACCTCGCCCGTCCCCAGGAACGATACCAAGATCTACAAGCTTCCCTCCCTCCTAGACGACTTTGACCTCGCCAACCCCTCTTCCTCCTCCTCCTCCTCGCCCAGCACAGCAGCCGGTCCATCCTCACCCCCTTCCTACGCACGCCATGATCCCAAAGCACATGCATACATTCTCCGCCCTCCCGTCATCTACTCATGCCCCACTCTCCCATCCTCCTCCTCCTCCTCCTCCTCCTCCTCCTCCTCCCTCCCACCCCAAAAACCCGAATACCACATCGCCTCCCCCCGCCCAAACGCCATGTCCATAGCCCCCCTCACCCCCTCAGGCGCGCGCCTCATCGCCCTCCAAGGAAGCCCCTACACCCACGACCCCCTAGGCCGGCCCACGCGCACGGTGCCCTTCGACGAGGACACAGCGCTCTACACCTCCATCCGCAGCAACCAAGCGACGTCGTTCCTCCCCATCCTAGAGATCGAGCCGCGCAAGGGCCCGTCGCGGGCGCTGGCGGGCCGGATCCGCGTCGACGAGCCCGGCGGGGCCTACTGGCACGACACGAGGAGGATCAATGTGCGCGGCGACAAGGAGCGGGCCGAGGACGAGCGGCGCATGAACAGGTATGGGTGGAGGCCTGTGCAGGAGTGGGAGCGGACGAGGCTGTTTGTTGTGGAGAAGAAGAGGAGGAGGAGGAGGAGGAGGAGGAAGGGAGAGGGGATGATGATGAGGACGATGATGATGATGGTGAGGGGGGAGAGTGAGTATGAGTGGAGGGATACTACGGGCAGGCTGGTGGCCGTGGAGAGTGTTGATGAGGCGGGGTTTCGGTTGGATGTTGTTGCGGAGCCGGAGCTGGGGGGGCTCGAGATGGTGGACGGCGGTGGAGGGACCAGGTGTAGGACAGAGGAGGGGAGGGCGCAGGTGGCGAGGGAGGCCTTGATTACCTGCTGGGTGAGCAGCATATGGGCGGCAGGGTGTATATCGTTGGAGGCATAGCTGGTAAAAGGTAGAGCTTGGGGACAGAGACAAGCCTTAGTAGCCCAGAAACAGACTCATTGAATGATTACTTGTGGATTCTTGACATAGAGTCAAGCTGTCACTCCTCATTGCTGGGCTGGTGGCCCTGATCCAGATCAGAGAACCGAAGTAGAGAGCTTGGTCATCATCTCCTAGTCTTCAAGTGAACTTTATCAAGGTGGTGTGTATTGCAGATCAGCTTAGATAGCCCGTCAGATCTTTATTTTCATGTAGCACTTGTCTACCTTGTACCTTGTACGTAATACCAACATGACTTCCCAGTCTTTTCACATCCTCCTTGCCGTCGATATTCCAGACTCTCCTTCCTCCCTTGCGGCATGCATCTTGTCTGTCTACACAAGAAGTATGTATCTAATGTATTAATTCCAACTCCTTCCTCCTAGCTAGGAATGGTTTCGACATATCGTATTCACGTGAGGATTATGGTGATTATAATGATTGCCGCCGTTCGCCACCGCTCCTTCTAACAATCAGTCTGAATCGACAAAAGCGGCCTCCAACTCCAATTTCCCAGTGATCTGGGCTGGTCTGGTCCATCTCATCCCTCCTTGTTGGGGTAATGCGTACAAACGCACCCAACAAAGGAGTTGGAAAAGAATAAAATGAGACAAAAGAAAAGAGAGAAGAAAAAAAGAGGCCCAAGGCGAAAGAAGAAGAGAAGGGAAAAAAAAAAAAGAAGAAAAAAAAGGGAAGCAAGTGAATCAAGCCGTCGCCGATACGGCCTGCGTAGGCAGCCTGGTCTTCTTGGTCTTGGCCTTTTGGACCGTCTTGCCCTTATCACCCGTAGCCGGCGTGAAGTCCTTCCACTTGCGCCAGCCGTCAAAGTCGATGAGTGCCTGCATGCATCCCCACTCCATGACCTTGCGCTCAAGCCAGACAAAGTTCACAGGCTGTTAGTTTGTCACGTCAGCACCATCATCGTACAGAACCTCTCCCCCACTGCTATACATAAGAGGATAGAGAAGAGCCACTCACCTTGGTCAGAAAGTCATTACACCCGGCCGCCAACGCCTCGTGTCGATCACTCTGCAGCGAGGATGCCGTCAGTGCCACGATGATGACAGGGCTCTTGAACAGGTCCATGTTCCCCAGCTTGTCTTTTTCGTCGGGCTCGCCCTTGACCTCCTCGGGCGCCGTGGACGCCGCCGAGCTGAAGACGCCGATGGAGTTAACCCTCTCCAGCCGACGGATCTCCCGCGTAGCGTCCAGACCGCTCATGACAGGGAGCTGGATGTCCATGAGCACGAGATGGAAACCCCCCTCGCGCCACTTGTTCACAGCATCCCGGCCGTTCATGGCGGTGCTCCAGCGGACCTTGAGCCTCTTGACAAAGGCCTCGAGCAGCTTGAGGTTGATGATGTTGTCCTCGACGATGAGCACGTTGATGGGCGGGACCGTGCCGTTGAGCATCCCCTTGGGCAGCGAAGGGTGGTCCGTATTCTTCTTCTTCTTGGCCTTGGCCGAGGGCCGAGGGCTCATAACCCGCGGCGGAGGGGTGGCGATGCGCTGCTGCGGTACAGCACTGGCCCCCTCAGCCACCGCGGGCGGCGTCGGTAAAGGGGGCGGCTGGGGTCCGCCGGGGCCTTGTGCCGGGTCTGATGCTTCCGAGTGAGTCCGTGAGCGCGTTCTAACATGTGTGTGGGTGGGCTGCGTACCATGTGGGGCGGCTGTGGCCGCCGTTCCCGCGGCGATCGAGGGCTGGTGCGCAACGCCCGTGGCCAGATTGATCAGCGTCGGTGACGAGGTGTGCTGTCTCCCCAGCCGCGGCCTCTCGGGTCGTTCCCTGTACGTCCGCGCCCGCGAGCTCCCTGGAGACGGGATCTGGGGCACCTGGCCGGTGGAGAGCACAGAGATGGCGTGGGGGTGTGAGGAGCCGTTGGACGGTGCGGTGACGGTCACGGGGAGCGCTGACACGGCTCCAGGACCAAAGTAGTCATTGGCTGTCTCGGGTGGGCGCGGGTCTTCGACATAGTACTGCACATGGGGGGCGTGCGGCGGGCCAGCTCGTGGGGAGGCCCGGGGCGTCCGTCGCTGGGGCACGTCTATGATGAGGGCGTCGTCGATGGCCTGTCCGCTGGGGAAATAAGCGTCGAGGGTCCTGGCCATGGGCTCCTCGGGCCCGAGTACGCGCTCAGGCTGGTTCCCGCCGGGCCTGATGCTGATGGTGAGGTCGGGCGAGTCGAACTGGCGGCCGAGCGAGTTGGCATACTTGCGCAGGATCATATCGCGCACGTCGTCCACCACGTCGTCCTCGTTGATGGTGACCAGTGTTGCCGAAGCCCCCGGCCTCTTGACCCAGATCTTGCGCATCACCATGTTGCCGCTGATGGGGATCAGCTGTTCGGGGTTCAGGCTGCTGGGGTCCTCGGTCTGGGAGCCTCGCAACAGGGTCTGGATGAGGGTCGACTGTCGGTTGGAGAGGAGGGACTGCCGGCGCAGAGGCGGCTGCGGTCGGACCGGCGAGGGGATGGGGGCGGGCACTGGCGCTGCTGTGGCTGCCGCTGTCGTGGAGTAGCGGCCGAGAGGAGAAGAGGGGGCAGTCGTGGAGCTCACAGCGCTGTAGGCGGCGCCGGGCGAGAGGCTCACAGCTGGCGGTGGACCGAACGAGGCTGTAGGAAGAGGGATATGAAACGTGCCCAGCTTGGGCGTGCGAGGGCGGACAGACTCTGCCGGCCTGGACCCTTGCTGCTGCTGCTGCTGCTGCTGCTTTGCAGACGACGCGGTGGTGGGAGACGGAACAATCAGAGCTGGTGTGTCGACGGTCGCGCGGAGCGGCTGCTGCTGCTGCTGCTGCTGCTGATGTTGATGTTGTTCTTGTTGTTGTTGTTGTTGTTGTTGTTGTTGTTGAGGCTGATGATGGTGTTGGCGTTGATGGGCTTGTGGATGCGGTTGTCGATCCTGCACGGGCTGGTCCATGTCTGGAGACGGCTGCTCGTTGATGCTGGCGAGTTTGCGCGTTGAAGACAAGTGCAGATCGTTGCCGGACATGTCGCTAGCTTTTGGGGCTTCTGAGGCAGCCGGGGTGTTGCTTGCGGTCGAGCTGGGTGGTGTCGGGGGCGCTAGACCCGCTGGGGCCTCGGCTGCGTTGGGCCCTGTGGCGTCTGCAACAGTAGCTGTAGCAGCACCACCCGAACTGCCTGTAGCGCCTGTAACTGCTGTTGCTGCGATAGCCGTGGTTGCTGTTGGCAGCTGGCCTTGTGCGTTCACGTCCGCGTCCACACCCACGCTATCTGCAGCCATACGGTCACTAGACGTCTGGACGGCAAATGACATGTCCGCAGTACCTTGTGTGTCGTCGTGGTCAGGTGTTGGCTGAGAGAAGTTAGGGTTGGGGTGCTGAGGATGGTCACCTTCATCCTCTTCAAAATCACCACTGTCATGTCGTGGACCGTGGTCGCCTGCCCGTGCTACCATGCCAGTAGGCCCCTGGGCTCCCTGGGCTCCCTGGGCTCCCTGGGCTCCCTGGGCTGCCTCCTCACCCTCCTTACCTTCCCCTCCTTGGTCCTGCTTAACCATTCCCCTTCCTTCTCCTCCTCCTCCTCCTCCTCCTCCTCCTCCTCCTTCGCCGCCAGGCTGCGAAATGAGGCGGCCCTCAGCCGAGTCATCGACCACCGAGATATGTGAGCGTCCTACTCGTGACCTCGCGTCGTCTTCGCTCTCGCGCGCATGATTGGCCTCATAGTTATGGCTATGGGACGTGCCCGGGCGATAAACACTGCTGCTGGACCTGCTGAGCCGCGAGGGCATACCAGGCTTTTCAGAGTGCCGCCTTTTGAACTTGGCCCTGATTTTGGCTGCGAGCTCAGCCATACCAGGGATCGACGTCGTGCCGGCTCCGAAGAGCACAAGCACAGGCACGAGCAGTCGGGAGATGTTTGGCTGGCGGACCGGCCGGCTGGCACAGTCACTTTCAGGACCCAGGTAAGTGTAGTCTGATGATGATAGTGTTGGTGAAACTGTTGGTGGTGGTGGTGCTAATCCATAAGGGCGGGTTGAGCTGAGAGGTGAGGCATGTTGGGGCCAGAGAAGGCAAGGAAGGGGGGGGGGGGTTTGTATTTTTCCTTTTTTGTTGATTAATTTTAAAAAGAAAAGACTGGGCGGAAATAACCTCCAGTACACAATTGATGGATATAAAGAATCAGCCTGTACCACGATCGCCCTTTGAGAAAAGGCAAAAAGAAATCACCCAGAAACAAATAAGAAAATCCAGGCCAGCAACAGAATATGATAGATGATAAGATATGTTCGGTATGCCGCCCTTGACGAGGCGAGACAGGCAAGCCCCAATCAGTGATCGTCCAACCCTATGCAAAAGAAGGAGACGACGGGTAGCGACGCGTAAGGTTCAGAATGGCAACGGGACCTGGTACTGGCGGGGTGGTGCAGATGCATCCAACACTCTTGCAGCACGCCCGGCCCAATCGCGACCCCGACAGTACAACGCCCTACTTCTGTTGTTTGGTGCTGGCGCCCTGCTGTCAAACGCTGCTAGCCCCCTGCCCCCCCCCCTAGAGGTTGGGCGCTGGACCGCTAAAGCCGCTGGAAGCCCATGCTTGCAGAGCAGGCCCGCCACCACCACTGCGGAGTAATTGGGTAGCCACGACGGGCCCAGGCGAAGCCTAGACCTCATCTAGACTGGCATCCTTTGCACCAGTACAGGGGGGATCCCACCGTTTCGCCTGGTCTGCATTGTTCTTCATTTCTGCCCAGATCGACGATCCATGAAGCCTTTTTTGTACACGACGTCGCCATCGCCACCGCCACCACCACCACCACCACCATTCACCTCTCTTGATCTCGGAGCAGTAACTCATATCCGAAATGAGAATGAAAGAATAAGAGAGAAGAAAACAGGAAAAGACGAACCGTGGCTAGATTTTCAGCTTTTCACAGCGCTATTATCATTATGGTACAAAACGAAAAGGAACACGAGAATTATGACGACTTGTAATCTGCGAAGAAACGGTTCTAAGCAGGGACTGAAATTACCTCAGCCAGCACACCAAGCAGCACATAACTATCCCCTTAAAGTGATTTTTGGCCGCCTTCAACCTGCTTGTCACCGCCGTTTTGAGCCCCCTCTCCTGGCTCATCTTTTTTTTTTTTTTTTTTCAAAGACTAAATGACATGAACACGGATTACGACTCAGGTTACTTTGATACTTGTATGTACTACACCGGTAAAACAACTTCGTCATCAGGCTCCCTTGAATTCCAGGCTCATCAAGAAAAGAGAAAGGAAGAGAGGGACGAGGGGAGGGAGGAAGAAAGAGAGAGAAATAAACTCCAACATCGTCAGATGATCGACTTGGGCATGACCATGACTACGTAAATCTACCTACATGCATTCTTGCCACAGACATCCAATGAGGCGGTGATCATGTTCTGTCTGTGGACTTTTTCCTGACTCTTTCAGATCTCTCCACCGTGACAAGTATACCACCAGTGCAAGTACAGCTTGGGTTCTACATCTTGTACGTCCTCACTACCGAGTGTTTCATTGCATGGATGAGTCCATCATCTGATAAGTCCCAAAACTCCTTTTCCAAATGGCAAACGATTGCATTGGTATTGCAATGGCGACTTCTCCCCTTTGCAGATCCGGACTAGACCCCCCGGGCACGGTCCCAGGCTCATTCAGCGCGGCGGCCAAGCCGGGCAGGGTAGACAAGCGCGCGGCTATGTCGATCCTTTGAAGTTTATTCGTCCCATTTTGTGTCATGCTATGCTGTATACTTTACTATTCTAGGTATAAAGGTTATTACTGTTTCTTGCGGTATGCCATCCATCGAAACCTTGGCCGCTCGGTATAAAAAAAAAATTAAAAATAAAAAAAAGGTGCCTGCAGTTTTCCGAACGTTACTCACTTCCTCCCTTGTGCGAAGAGCTCAGAGCACAACCTTTCCCCTCTTGAGTATCGCCCTATATTGGGTCATTTGAAGTAGATTAGACCACCCCTCCCCTGTCTGCTCCTGGTGTACGCCTCAATTTCTGACCCCCGTCTGGACAAACACCACCTATTTTACTTCGCACAGGCCCAGGCTTCCACAAAGACAAGTGTCTCGACTTTCAAAAGAGTTTGCTGGCATTAAGAATATTTTACAAGCATAGAACTTTTGCTTCTTTGAATTATGGATATCCGGAGCTATCATTGAATGCTCCTGTCCGTTGCGCCTTATACTACTCACGTGACTTTTGTTTTTTACAGCAGCAACCTCATCTCATAATTACCGTGCCGAGGTCGCGAATCATCTCCAAAGAAATGCGTAGATTGCGCACAGCCTAAGCCCATAGCTCTGTAACCCAGAATGTTGCCAACCGGAAGATATCACGGATACCACTGCGCTTCGTGTCCGGGAGCAAGAAGTGCAGAGGCATATAATCGATCAAGAGCATACTCCAAGCGGAGTTGGCACAGTAAGAAATAATTGAATCTAATCAGTAATGCTGCCTCGCTGAGAAAAGACATCCGTGTACTGGTCCTTCAAGTATGCACCACCCTGCTTTCCATACCAAGCACCAATTTTTGGTCGTCATCTCAACATGAATAGGAGGATGTTCACATCATCATCATCATCATCATCATCATCATCATCAGGCCCTGCTTTTGCATCTCCCGCCAGTTCATCGGATGGTCCCGCTAAATCCACCACCCATCATCTGGCTCTCCTGTGCAAACCCGGTCCCCGTGTCGACTCTGAGCAAGACTGCTTGTCTTCAGACATCAAGTGCGTCTAATAGATCTTGCTCGCTGATCTCCGGGCTTCTGCCACTCAGGATGCCTCGGACATGATACAGAAAGAGCGCATCGACAGCCGCCGCCTGCGACGCAATGATGTCCTTGTCACGATGAAAAGTGGTCGATTTATGGAGACATTCATGGATAAACCTGATCGTCTGCTCCACCGTAGCGTCTATGTTGACAGAGGAGCCCATGCGCGGGTCTCGACAGAGGGCGGAGAGGGTCAGGAGGTTCCGGCTCTGACTGTGTTGGCTTTATATCAGCAGGTACTCCCCAAAGACTTGGGCTCGAAACTGCGAAATCAACCCACGTTCTCGCCAGGCTGGCCATGCTCATGGAGATGAGACACATTTTCTGCACGCCGCAGAACACCGTCATGCTGTTGAGGAGAGTGTCCACGCCCGTCTGGAACATTCGGCGGCTCTCAGGGTTGAGGTACGGCGACCCATGCTGTCCCCGGCTGGACGTCAGATCTTTCATCAGTTGCTGGTAGGTCTTGATGAACGGCCGGTACACCTCGATCCGGGCCTCCCAGAACGCGGCATGGGTGCGCGCCGTCACGATATCCGAGCTCCAGGGCCAATGGTCCTCGAAGTTGAGCGGCCCCAGCCAGAGACCTCTCTTCTGCGCCACGTTGTCTTCGAAACTCTTGATCACGCTGATTTGCTTCTCTATGCTGCTCTCCATTTCTGTTCGGGAGTGGATCGTCAGGTTTCGGTGCAGCCACCGGCTCAGGTGAGTGTTTGCGGTGAGGCTGCACGCAGCCTCAGGCGTAACGCCTAGTTGGTGCATTGCCTCTCCGACGTCAGGGCATGGAAACTTGTCTTCGGATTCGGCGAGCCCAGACCACCAGAAGTTCGTCTGGATGAGGTGGTGGCTGCAACAATTCAGCCGAGATGACACACAAAGCCAACAGTAATTGCACTTGCGTTGTTCCTGTGCTTACCTTTCAATCTGGTGGCAAATCCAGTATGTCGTGATCCGTTCAGCATCCTTCTTGCTGTCCAACTGAATAGCGCCAACTCTGCCATGGTTCCGCATCCTCAACTCCCTGGAACGACCCGTGGGAACCCTCGCCGTTAGGAATTGTTCTCCACCAAGAAAGACAAGGGGTTAAGAAGGGACAATTACGTACGAGTTCGTTCCAACAATGAGCGCGCTGGCTGCAAACCTGATGTGATGCACGCTCGCCGTCACGTGGCCAAGCTGTTCGCAGTACAGGCTGGCGATGATATGTGCGTGGACGAGGCCCATCTCAGAGGATTCAATGAAGGAGGACAGCATCCTCGATGCTTCAGTGTAGTACTCGGCACCTGGAAGGTACCGCTTCTGCTGAGCAGTCGAAGGCGCAGGCTCATGCCAGCCCAAGGCCAGGCTTTGGTTTGCGTACTGCAGTTCCGGGATTCTGCACTCGCAGAGCTTGCCAAACGCGAGCACCAGAAACGCCAGGGCAGTCTCGAGGCTGGGTCGGAACTTTGCCCCCGCTAGAGGCTTTGACCCTTCCCACTGGCCCAGACCTGTTGGGCGCCCATCGGAGTCCATGATGCCCGCCTCCTTCAGGACCTGATCGACAGAGGCGTCGAGTTTCGCCTTGGTGATGAGGGGATACATGTGATGAACATGGGTCTGGTAAGATTGGAGGTATTTTTGAACCGTATGGGGCTGGATACTTTCCCAAGTCAGCTCCCATTGGGCCACCTTGTCGTCATGATACTCAGAGTTTTCTCCCGAGTTTGTGGCCTGGTCGATGGGTTCCTGCTCTTGCTCAGCCTCATGGGAGTGTTTGTCTGTGATCGTGTCCCGCTGATTGCCATTCACTGTCTGAGGTGTTTTTGTTTCAGCTTCGAATTCGTCTTGTTGCTGTTGCCTGGAACGGGCTTGAAGCACTCTCTTGGAGACACTATCTTCCTGTCAGTGGAAATATCACATCCCTCTCCTTCCCAAAGTATATAGACTCACCGCTCATCCGCTTCGTCTGCACTCATCTTTCCAGTATTCTCGTCGGACATGGTCCAAAGCTGACGAAGGCTCTTTTCGTTAGTTCAATGAGAAGGATGGTAGAAGACAGAAAAGATGAGGACGCTTGTATACTCGCGTGAACAGATTGCACAAGTAGCAGCCAGTAAATATGATCTTGTGCGAGACTTATTACATCACAATCGCCTCTACTCATCCGCAAGGGGATCACGTCTCTTATGACTCTCTTAGAACATTGGAAAGGCCCTCATCCATGGACGTGCAGGAAATTCTGCTGCAGATTTGCTTCTTCTGCATGTCTAGACTGAACACAATATTCTCGACTGCGCCGAATCAGAACAGCAAGGCGTGACTTCATGGCGGTGCATATCCTCCTTTCTTTCTTGCTTCTGCCTGATTCTAGATACTTCAAAGGCGGCTATTGAGCCTTGGAAATGTACACAGCATTGGATGAGATACTCAGGACGGAGCCTTCACCCATGCAGGAGGCGTAATAGAAGCGAACCAGTCCAGATCTCACTTCGAAGCAGACAGCGCTATCACTGCAACGGCAGGAGAAGCCGTCAAGAGCCGAGTGATTAGCCAACGCCTTCGCCCCGCTTTCCAAAGACCAGAAGCATAGCCGGTTCTCGAGGTGTTGCAGATCTCTGCCGGGGTTGTCTCAGTATCAAGGATCGCTTCGACGGTGTTCCTGCCCAAATGCAAGTTTACCTCTTCGAACAAGTGAAGATCATATAGTTCTTGGTCATCAGAGACATTGTGGATACTTTGCTGCCCTGCAGAACATGGGCAGGGGAAGTTGTTGGGTTGCAGCTACTTATTTTTGCGCGGCAAGGGCCAATATCAGGTTGTGATGCCTACTATGCGCCTCAACCCTAAACCGTCACAGTGATGTTTACAACACTGCCAGGACTATGTTTTCGTAGACTTTTGCCCAAAGCAACAATAGTGATGTTACGGCGCTTGAAGAGACTTTCGGGCACTACAATAGGGCCGAAATCATGCATCTGGCAATCTACGAAACATGTTACGCGCGCAAAGATCTCTTAAATTGCTTCGGAATGAACGCCATCTGCAGGTATCACGCGTTCCGAGTCTCCTTTCTTTTGCTCCTCCTCCCAATCGTACTCGAGTATGTTCTTGCAGCTCAGGCTGCTGTTGGCCAACCAGGTCGGCCCGTGACTGGCTCAAACTCCACAGAGGCGTCTTTGGTACCGTGCCTGATGCCAGCTATGTCAAACCATTCACGCACTTGTGCATGGCTTTTTATGGAGGGAGGCTAGTCCGTGATGATCTACGGGAGTGCTGGAAACTGCAGGGTCGAGAAAATTTGACATTGTTGAGCTAGACGTTAATTACTATTCCAAATGAAGACCTTGCGTTCTCATATTACTTTTTCCTGGTGTTGATTAAACCCGGATACCGTATTTAGTGTGATGCAGTGTTCTTTTGCATGGGCACAGCCCCCGTTGCACCGTACTATCAAAGTTGCTTCTTTTGCGGGGATGAACTTGCCTAGGCTTAGTTCATGAACTTGAAGACCATGATTCAGGACATAGTTCATGACACATCCTCGAGCAATGAACATCTGTGGCATGTTCACGTTGTCAAACCATCTAGATCCGGGGAGAATTGCCATGCCTGGGAAGGCAAGCAACAGCCGAGACATCTCCTTCTGTCTCATTTTACCTCTGTGCTTCCTGTATCCCTTTCCCCCAGTCCATTGGTACTTACGCTGAAATTACAGAAGGAGCGGTTACACACGGGCCTATGTCGAAGGAAAATCTCGCCTGCGGATGCCTTTATCTCAACCCTCGAGTCCACTTACGAACATCCTGGACCACGCAGCTCAGGTCACACAAGATGTGCCGCGAGCGGGGGCTTCTTCCCGTGCTCTAATTACTGGGGCTCTCTCTCGTGACTCATAGAGGGATGAAGAAGAAGATGTATCATAATTGTTATTTTCTTTTTCTTTCCCTCCTCTTTTGTGTAGGGGATGACTTCCCGCCCTGCTTCGTGCCTAGCCGTGGCCGTGGTGGCGATCATTGGGCAGCATTAGGTCTTACCACCGCAGAACAAGAGTCCCGGGCTGCTGTTCTTTTTCGAGGTGAGGTCTAGCATTCATTCCTTCTCTTGTTGCTGCCATCCAGGACACAACGCGAGAGATCCAAGCAAGACTCGTAGATCGCATCCACCATACATGCCGAGCTTCTCGAGACATCTGAACAGTACCTTCAGGCGAGCCCTGGGATGACAATGAGTTGGGTGTGCACAGGGTGATGGCCCAAGGACAACGCAGACAGGAATGGCTTGATGTCGTGAAACACAATGATGCGGGAAATGGTCTGACCTGGGCAGCGAGGAACATTTTCCAAATGAGTCTGAGCCTTTCCTTTTTCTAAATTCTCTTGGCCGGCTTACATCATTATTCTAGATTCGGACAAATCATTTGCAGACCAATGATAAGTCTAGATCCGGGCAAATAATTTGCAAGGACTGCATATCGCGGTCAAAGTCACATCTCAGCCCCCCCCCCACTCTTTTTCCTTCTCTTTCTCTGTGTGTGAAATTGTCTCACGGGGACGGCCCGGCACACAAATGCATGGTTGATCCTCTTGTTTCCCGTAATTTTCAGTGATCCTGCTCACAATTGTGGGAGCGTTCACAGCAGGAATGGCCCTTGAGATCGTGGATTCTCACAGTAACCGAATCCGAGAGCTCTACTTCTGTGTTTTCTTTCTTCGGTCTTCTTCTCACTTTCTCATCCCTCCTCCCCTTCTATAGCCCCACCGCCTTATATTGCCGAGTCACTGCGATGTATAGGCGTATGTAATGCAACGACATGTTGTATCTTCTTCACTTTTTCTTTATAATGTACAGCTGTCATGACAAAGTGGTGCCATGGCCAAACGATAAGCAACTGCAACAAGACGGACAGTGACCAGGCAAGTAGAGATGGCCGAAGTACGGCCCGAGCTTTCATGGAAGATCCCCGCTTGTTGACCGGGCTTAGCAGAGTATCGTATCCTAGTGCCCGGATTGGGTCGAAACTTGTACGGACAGCTAGCTTCTGACAGGTGCCAGTTGCGGCTGGAGTAAACTTGGTGGTTGGGCCTAGGCCTGAACTTGAGGCCTGAAAGCCTGGTGGTCTGGGACCTGGACCTGGGACCTGGACCTGGGGAGGGAACTCAATTGCGAAACCGAGGAAGGAAAAGGAAGAAGAAGAAAGAAAAAAAGGAGTCGAAAACACACCAATTAATCAATAGGAAACTGTTCGTAGCTCAGCCGTAAAAAAAAAGAAAGAATCAAGAGTGCCCGGATAGCTTAGCATCCGTTAGCTTAACATCCATGTTGGCAATTCCGTCTCCTTGTGAGAAATTATCTCCCATCCTTAGCTGTAGATCTCTCTCTGGACGAGAAGTATTATAATTCACCCAATTGCGTCTAGACTCATGTTCTTCAGGGTCTCCCTAGGTTGTAAGTTCCTGAGAAGGGCAGCACGCCGATCTGCCAGGTGAACAAGGCTGATAAGATGAGCATGCCTTCAGCTCTGTGTACCGTGGCAATATTCCCTGGCCCACGGAAGCAACCCGAGTCGCAGGAACAATTGGGGCCATGGGGCCGTTCGTTCAGCCTCCAGTTCAAGGCTCCTGATTCTGTTACCATACATACCATGGAATTGCAGTACTGTGTGCTGCGACAAGAACATGGGCTGTCTCGCGGCGGGGGCATGTAACATGCGTACGAATTCGTATTTCATCCGCGCCCTACCCTGCAGGGCCAAAGTCCGTCACCACCTCGGCCGACTCGGGCCTCACCACGCCTCCGCTCCCCCCCCCCCCCCAACCTTTGCTTGCTCTGCTGCGCGTTTTCATCTCCCAGAGGAGCGGTGAAAATATGAAACAAGAGCGACATGCTGGATGGGAGTGATTCTTTCTATTTTGAACAGAGATTACGTGTTTGTACGCCGAGAAGTTTCAAAAGAAAATGGGTACTGTACCATAGAACCTTTATTGAATGAGGGGACTTTGTGAATGTTGAGTGGATCAATTGATTGAAAGTGGTTGCCGCGATGTTTCTCACTTTCGGCTCACACGGCAGGGGCACGCAATCTCTCAGGGCTGGTCAAGCGTTGATGGCCATGTGCAGAGGCGGGAACCCTCGCTAGATGATAACCCGTGCCGGCAGAAATGGGCCCTAGATAAAGGATAAAGGATAAAGAGAGAGGGAGAACGAGGATCAAGACTATTAACAGAATAGATTAGCGTAGGATGTCAAGTCAATCAAGTCAGGCAGTTGGTTCTGTCGGGTCAAATGCAGACTGGAGTGATGGGTAAGCCTGTGCTTCTTTTGCTGCACGGAAATGAAAGCCCAGAGATACGTTTCCAAGGACCATATTGAAGAGAAGAAGGGAAGGGACGAAACAAGGAAAGGAGAGAAAGAAATAAAAAAGCGAGGGAAACACCAAAAACACCCATAGTTCCGTCCTGTCTTCCGAGTTTGCGCATGATGTGGGATGACGTTGTGTTTGGTTTTGGTTTGGAGGAACATAATGCTGCCGGCTGGAAACAACTTGTTGCCACCTAAAACAGCCGCCCAACCCGCCCGATTAATTCGTCTGAACTTGGGTATTTGCACATATCAACAATTGGCCGAGGTGTGAAGTTTGGACAATTGTCGATTTGGCCAAGTCATGCATCATCCTATGAGTACAACTGTGGTGGTCTGACTGGTTGACAGCTGGAGACTGGATCCTTCCCCCCTCTCAACAGCACGTAATTCGTAACTGCGTGTTTGCCGCTACTGTGGTGCTGGGGCCTGGATGAGGCGAAACCAAACCTCGATAGCCTGCCATAATACCCTAGTTGTAGTAGGTCATGGGGGGGGGGGGGCGGGATGGGGAGCACAGTAAAACGCTAGCAGGACAGGGGGTACCCGCCCAGGCCCGCAAGCTCCCGAGGCTGCCCCATCACTGCTCATCCACCCTGGCCGACCTGCTATGGCACACTACTGTATGGTACAGCAGGAACTGGGGGCTATGCCTGACCTGCCTGGGTGGCCCCCATCCCCTCCCTGTACGGAGTGGTGCGAAATCCCATCAATCGATGCTGTGCAGGAGGTCATATGCGTGTGCGTGATATGGTAGCATGCAAGATGCTGCAGGCTACGTCGTAGGGTCCTGTCCCTGTGCTCCGCCGGCTTCCGATCGTACCTTTGTAGACCCGTGCTGGAGACAAGAAGTGAACTGACTAGTCATCCAGTACTGACTTTGCGTGGTCTGGCTCTGGCTCTGGCTCTGGCTCTGGCTGTGGTTCTGGCTTAGGCAGGCACAACTCATACATACTCACATCCCCTCGGAGACAAACACGCCTTTCGCCTCTCTTCTCACCCAATCTCAACTCTCCACTTCCACTACCCTAGCCCTTTGCCCCCTCCCCCTACCACTAGCAACGCCTACAACAAGCCCTGCACGCTCCTTCGCCTCAGATTGCGACCCCCAGTGCACAGGCCAGACCTAACCCCAACTGAACCTTGACCTTGACCTTGGTCCCTTTTCTCCTCACCTGGAGCCAACTTTACTGAACTTACTACCCGTCTTCGTCATCATCGTTCATCTCCTTGTCTTGTTTAGATTCTTTTTCCAAACTTTCTTCTTTCTCTTCCCACCCCCGTTCCATTCCCTATTCCGCATTCTCACCATCCCCCCCCCCTTCTCTCTTCCCCAAAATCCAAACGACATCATCACAGACTCTTTACATCGATCCTTTAATCTCTTATCACCAACTTTGCCTACCCCGGCTTCTTTCAAATCTTCCCTCGGCGCGACTTTTTTTATTATACGATTTAACCACCCCCCCGATTCGAACTGGTCCGTACCACAGTAATGTTAATCAGAAGCCTTTGACCGGACATCCCCTCTCTGGGCAGCGAGGTTGTCTCGGACGGTCTTAACTTGTTTGTCGAAGACCTCACCGAACGAGAGGACGAGATTGGGGCTGAAAGTACCTCACCCGGGTTTCTGCTCCAAACTCGTGTTGCCCACCCAACAAACCCACCTACCCCTACGGGCTAAAACGAAGTTGTATTGCGAGGACCATCTTCACAAGGCAGCCCTCCTGCCCCCTTCAGCTGTCGACTCGACCCCCCGAGACGAGACATTGCCTCAGCTCAGCCTTGTCTCTGTCGTTTCTTCCTCGGAATCGGGACATACCGCCACGCCGACCCCCCTGGGCGTTTTCTCTTCTCCTTTGCATCCGACGTCTAAGACCATTATCACCACCCTCGAGACTTTGAATTCCCTCTTTCGTCTTTGCAGGACCAGCCCCGTTCTGGTTCTGCCCCCCTCTTGGACAAGCTGGATTCGTACGTCTCTTCGTCCCCGCCGCCCTTGATCACCTACGGGTGTACATGATTCTATTTGCCCTGTGCCGACCCTTACTACCCCGTCCCTGCATACGTCAGCTGGAGGGAACTTTGGCTTCACTGTTCCCTGTCTCACGCTATTTGTAATGGTTCACATTCCTTGTGTGAATCATCAAACATATACTTCCTGCCTTTTCCAGCGCGGTACAATGCTAGCTTCTAGTTCACTGCTGGGTACCAACACTCTGGAAGCTGGACAACACAGTCTCCGTCTCCCCACCTTGAACAACGCCTTCACGTGGACTCGCAGCTTCACAGATGGAAGTGCAGACAGCTAACTTTGGATGGCGCAGCTTCATGACTGTGGCCTCAGGATGGTCACAATTCCATCATGGCCCTAACCCGAGCCCAGCCTCGACGTCACAGCAGATAACCCGACTCCGCTCCCAATCCACCGCGACAGGTCCTCCCATCAGGTCTCTCTCCGCCTCCGCCGTTGTCAAGCCGCGGTCAAACACCCAGAGTTCGAGTATGACGGCCGATGTCTCTTCGTTTTCGTCAGGGGCTCGATCCTTTAGTGGAATCTCGGAAAACGATCTCGACCTGACTACAATCCCCGACCCTCGGAGCAGATCTATAACGCCCTCGAATATGGATGGCGCTTCCACCCCACAGCAGCAGCACCCGGAGCTGAGCGATGAGGTCGCGACGTTGAGCTCGAAGCTTGTCCAGGCCATCAACCACCAGACCACCCTCGACGATAGCTTGTCCGAAACGCAAGCCGAGCTCGAGAGGGCCCGCGAGCAGATCAGGTCCATGGAGGTCCAGCTCGACAAGCAGAGAGAAATGTTGGTTGGCGACATCTGGATTCGGCGAAAGTCGGTTGAGGCTGAGAAGACTAACCTGTTGTCCAGGATTGCGGAGGAGAAGCGACTGCGCCTGGAGGCCGAGCACGAGAAGAAGCGGATCGAACAGGAGCTGGAGAACCTGACGACGGAACTGTTCGAGGAGGCCAACAACATGGTCATCTCGGCCAAGGAGGAGTCGCGCAAGGAGCAGGACGTCGTCCAGCGCAAGAACGACCTGCTCAAGGCCCAGCTGGCTGACACCGAAGGCCTCCTCAAGTCGCAGCAGGAACAGCTCATCGAGCTGAAGCGGGTCATGGAGCAGATGAATGCCGACCGGGACGACCAGACCGCCACCACGACCCCGTCCTCGCCGGGCTACAGCAAGTTCGACGCGCGTGAGGATGATACCCCCACGTCGGAAATCGGTTCGCAGTCCGGGTTGTCCGACCTGATCACGCCCTCCTACCCCACAAGCTTCACCCACCTCCTGCAGCCCATCCTGCGCACTGATATCAACGCCTACCAGGACTTTGCGAACCTCTGCGAGACCTCGAGGAGGGCGGCCAGCCGACCTCCCTCGGGCACCCACCCCACTCTGGGTCTCGGCCTGATCGGATCCAGCGTCAGTGCTGCCTCTGTAGGCATCCACTCAAGCGCTTCCACGGCCTCATTGTCCTCGGCTGGATCACCGGCAGCCTCCTCCACGTTCTCGCCGCAGACACCAAACACTCCTGCTTCAGCACACAGCGTTGCCCCGTCATTGCCGATACCCCCTCTGAAAGATACGAAGTTTTACAAGCGGGTGCTGGCAGAGGACATTGAGCCCACCTTGCGGCTGGACAGTGCACCGGGCCTGTCATGGTTAGCCCGCCGCTCGGTCATCGCGGCCATGTCGGACGGTTCGCTAGTTGTGGAGCCCGTGCCGACAACGGGGACCTACGCCATGCTCTCGAAACCCCAATTCTACCCGTGCTCGCTCTGTGGTGAGAGTCGTAAGGACGACCAGTACCTGCGGCGATACCGGTTCCGGACCAGCGAGAACAGCTCCTCCCAGCGTTACCCTCTCTGCAGGTACTGTCTCAATCGCGTACGCGCCACCTGTGATTTCCTTGGGTTCCTGAGGATCGTCAAGGATGGACACTGGCGGACGGACGACGATGATTCCGAGAAGGCTGCGTGGGAGGAGAGTGTGAGGCTGCGTGAGAACATGTTCTGGACTCGCATTGGCGGTGGTGTCCGTCCCATCATGCAGGGCTTCCAAGCACACACACACAGCGTTGTTGAGAAGAGCCCCCGTCCGAGCCGGGACGAGAACGTTCTTCCTCTACCCGATAGCAGAGCGGGATCGATCCGCGATGAAAAGGTTGACCAAGATCAGGCACAAGAAGATGAAGTGACGGATACCACCACTCTAGACGACGAGGACAAGTCCGACGAATTTGAGACCCCCTCGGAAGAATTGACGCCCGAGGCCTCATTGACTACAGTCCCCGACGCTCGGCAAGAGGCGGAGGAGGAGCAGGAGGAGGAGCAAACCACAACGAAAGACATCGCCCCTGTGGAGGAGACATTGCGGAGCAGGCAAGACGAAGTCAAAACCATACCCAGGCCCCCACGCACACCATCACCCAGCGACAGCAACCGACTCTCGTCACAGTCGCTCACACCGAAGTCTTTGAAGTCCAACAAGAACATCTCGTTGGATATTCCAAGTTCCCCTTGAGGGGCCAACTCACGATACCTACTCGCTCTCTATCCCTCTCCTCAAACAAAAGTAATGAGTTCACATACACAAACTCTTCAAATCTATACGTTTTAATAAAACGAATGCGGCTGCGAGCAGGGAAGCATCGGATCCCGGCATTCACAATTTTCGGAACGGCACATGCAATGTGGTATACCGGACCTTGTTCGTTCCAGGCGTTTTGGAGCTCTTACGATGAACATGCCGCCAACCTGTTCACCTTTGGAAGACACACGAGCCTGTGATTACAGTTTCTCGCGCACGATGCTGCGGCATCAGCCATGACGACGGCGTGCGCATCTGGACCGAACAGACAGGCTCGCAGACAGACTACGCTAGAAAACCTTCCCAGGGAAACAATTTTTTTTTTTTTTTTTTTTTATCACGATCAGCCGTCGACAAGATCACAGATACTTGACGCAAGACGTACCGGCTGGCCTGGACGGATAGATGGGCATAGAAACGACAGGAAAGCCATTCTGGGCAAAGGTTGGGGAAGGAGGCAAGGAGCGGAGAGCGGTTCATTCTCATGGCTGTGGGTTGGTTGGTGGCGTCCGTCCATTGGTAGGACAGGACAGGATGGATAGAGCGGCGAGACATACAGAGAGAGCATTCATCCAGCTCTTTATGTGTGTTGCCCCATCCCAAAAATTAGTACTTTTTAATTATACCAGAAGACATGGCATTACTGCGTTCTCCCAAGAGGGTGACGCTCCCTTCCATTCTGGCATTGATTTATTTATCTTTCCGCATGGTCGAGATGAGTGTACTAGGGATAAGCTATGAGCAGCAGCCCCAATCCTGCATGGTCTTATCGCGATAAGCTTTATCTTCTTGGTGAGAGCAGTGCAAATGCTTGGGCGGGAAGGAGCTGTCAGCCAACAGTTACTTGCAAGTAATTCTCGGGCCAATCTACACTACAGTAGAGGATGATTCCTCATCATCGGCTTTGAACAAACAATCGTTCATTTTCATGATTCCTCCTGTTCAGTCACCCTGCAATCACTAGTTGGTTTCCTTTGGTTTCTCCCCTTTCTGTTTCTTCTTCTTCCGATGGGCAATCGTTGAATATCCTAAAAATATACACACATGTACGTCGTCTGCAAATCGGAAGACACTGAGCTCATGCGTGCCGTTGCATCCGACTACTGTCTCAGTCATCTTGTCAGTTAGTCCACAACAAGCCAGAGATCCTTCTCGAGGTCGCTGTGTTGACGATCACTTCCAGATTGAAAGCAAAGAAGAAGAAGAAGAAGCATCGATCCATTCATCATGCATGGATGGGGGTGTGCAAGCGGGCGGCCCCTGGTGTCCCGGCATGTGAGCGAAGAGGGGATCCGGGCGCTTAACCTACATCGCCCACTGGTTGACCACGGCCCCACTCTTAGTCTCGTCTGCTTATGTACGTGGGCCGAGCCGGGGGCGTGTGGTAGAGAGGGGAAGAAGAGGCTTTGTGGCGAGAGTTGAGTTTGGACTGCCACTTTGACGGGGCCTTTTGGAGAAAATGGGTCTGCTTTCGCCCCTTCAGCTTTTCAAAAGGCGATGTGCCGGATGGTGATTCTTTATTTGAGACACAGGCACAGGGCCGGTCGGTGTCAGAGATGAAGCCTTACTGAGGCACTTGTCTGACAGGTTCCAGCGAGTACGTCGACACCGTCACACGCTCTCGGCTGCTCTATTGGTTCGAGGTTTTTGATGATGACTGACTGACTGGCTTGCATGCATGCATGTTACATAGTAGCAATGGACTGCTATTTGGGGAGGGACAAGGGAGGAGAAAGAGGTGGGAGGTGGTCTATCAGACTATCACCTAATCCCTCCGCCGATGGGCCCCCAGCACTCTTCTTGGCGGTTCGCCTTTCCCTGGGAAACGCCAAGCACATCACGACAATTGGTCGAGCATAACAGGGGGTCCAGGATGCAGGCGGCACAAGGGTATTGAACCCCCCCCTGTCAGACGATCTAACTGGTCGAGTGTGCACATACAACGTCGCCTAGACCCCCGTTCCTGTCTTTTACTATGGTCCATTAACTCTGGTTCTGCTCTTCCAGACAGACTCTCTCGGTTCTCCACACCCTGCTGCAAGCTGCAGTACTGTACCTCTCTCGCCCGGCGGTTAGAATCTCTGTCGAGGGCCCATGCCACCTCGTTCCCCTCTTTCTCCTCCCCCGTCCGCTCCGCTCCAGATGCTGCAGCATGCTACCTCAATTCACTTAGCACACTTTCCATGGCGCGTTGCCCTCTCTTTCCCATTCGACGCATGCCATAGGGTGGTTTTTTCGTCACCCTCGCCTTGCCCCCCCCCCCCACCCCATGTTCCCGACCCACGGAATCACGGCAGAAAATGGGCATGCACACATATGTAGGTAGGTCAAAGGTGGGTGTGGACGATCAACTGGGCTGGGCTCTCTCTCGCATATTATCTAGACCGTCGCCCGTCCTTTTTTTCCTTTTTTTCCTTTCTAGTTTGCCTTGCCTTGCGTCCTGTAATCCTGAATTTCTGTTTTCCGAAATTATTGTACAACTTCAAGGGTCATATATTCCATAAACGACTCCATCCAGACGGCAGTACTCTTCGGCCACCCGACGCCGAGTAGTTTCGCGGACTCTAGCAGCGACACTACCCATCGTTCATCATAGCCTCGTTACCGCAGAACTGCCTAGGCACAAGCCTTGAGAGCACGAGAACTTGATCCCAGGCTCTCTCTTTCTCTCTATCGAGAACAACACTACCTCACGACAGGCTCTCGCGCTGCCTTTTGCTTCTACGGACACGTCCATACTTTCCAACATGCTTTCATCATCACCAATACTTGCGCTGCTCAGCGCAGCAGCAACATTAACATCTGCACACACCGTCATCACATATCCAGGGTGGAGAGGCGACAACCTCATCACCAACGATACCTTCCCTTATGGCATGCAATGGATGTATCCATGTAAGTCTTTATTTCCTTTCTTCGACAGCAGTTCTGGTCTCAACCCTGGAGGCAATCATTTAAGAAGCTGTACTGACAAGAATGAACGCAATCAAGGCGGCGGCCACCCAACAACCACAAACAGGACCTACTGGCCCACCACAGGCGGAGCCGTAGCCCTGCAACCAGGCTGGTTCCAAGGCCACCAGACGGCCTTCATGTATGTCAACCTGGGCTTCGGCACCGACGGCCCGGACGGTGGGCCGCCCAACATGAGCTTCCCGATGGTGTCGCCCTTCCAGATCATCGGACCCTCCGCGAACCCGTACCCGGGCACAATCTGTCTGCCCCAGGTACCGCTTCCCGCCAACACGACCGTGCAGGCTGGAGATAATGCCACGATCCAGGTGGTGGAGATTGCCAAGCATGGCGCTGCTCTTTTCTCGGTGCGTATTTTCTTCTACTTTTTTATTTCTCCTTCAACACTGCCCATCCCCCCCCTTAAGTCCTCGACCTCCAGTCAGGACTTGGGGGGTGGGGGAGGGCAATGGGGAGGAACAAACAGAAGGATCTTGAATGGAACAGGCTGACTGACTCTTGTGCTCTACCACACTCCAGTGCGTCGACATTACCTTTGCTGACCCCGGCGACGCCCGCATCCCCGACGTCAATTCCTCCAACTGCTTCAACAGCAATGACATGGGCTTCGCCGACGTCTACACCGTCGTCACACGCGAGTCCAACGCCAACCCCAATGTCACCTCGGGCGCCGACGAGACTGTCTTTTGGTACTTTGGCAGGCACAACGGCGCCAGGTCCGTGTGGAACTATATCGGCTTGGCCCCTGTTGTTCTGGGGGCTGCGTGGTTGGTACTCTAAGAGGGGGGGGGGGGCGCGCATGAAAGGAAAGAGAAGACAAGAAAAAGGGGGGGCAAAGAATGGTGGTGGGGAATTGTGAAATGGACATATGATGAATTTGGGCCATGAAAGGAATTATTATATTTTTTTTCTGGGGGGAGCTGTAAGGGGGCATTTTTTTTGGGGTAAATGGCGTTTCAACTGGGCTATGATATCTCGGGCGAATTTGATTTCATCGTTTCTCTCCCCCCCCCCCCCCCTCCCCTTTTTCTTTTTCTTCTTCCTCATCCTCCAATCGTTTACCAGAAGCTCATACACTGGGGAGCCTATAATGTACATACGTCAGGCAATGTGACGATGGCTTTGGGGATTGTTTGCCAATTTGGATAGATCGAACATGATCCTTCTCATATTCATTCATTCGTCCGTTCATTCGGCGATTCTATGCTGTATACCATGAGTGGTAGGGCCACAGGCTATGTATTTTGTCTGTCTGCTTTTTTTTATGGCTGGCTGTGTGGAGACAACACATCGGAGGCAATATATACTTGCCCACACGAGCTTGTTCACAGCCACACCTGTTACAGCAAGGGTTCACAATGCCTGTGCCCATTCTTCATGTTTCCTGCTCAATTACCACATCATAGTCTACACCTATCCATGATACAATGGTATTCATGATCACTATCGTCAACCACACCCCTCTATTTGCATCCACCACCACTTTAAAGAAGAAGAAAAATGGGTCTGGAGCACTAAAGGTCATGACGAGAGCACCAATGTCACCTGTCACAACACCCTAAATGCCATTAGAACACTCCGGAGGCTACTATAATATCTTCAAGCACTCGTTGGCGATCGCCCTGATGCGCTCTTCGGGGTTCTTGTCTGCCTTGATAGCGCGGCGGACAACGTTCTCTGCTGACAAGCTCTTCAAGACGTCTCTGGTTCCAGCAGCCGCCAGCGTGCCAAGCGCGGCGAGAGCGCGGTAGTTCACCTCAGCATCGTCCTGACCGTCGATAATTTTACACAGAACCTTGGCCAAAGAGCCGAACACCTCAGGTGTGACACTGACGCCACTGGGGGCTGCAACTTTCTTCCTGGACACCATGTAGCCTAGCACGGCGTAGTTCAGCGCGGCGGTGGTGACGGCTATCAGGACACCGCGGACGTCAGGAAATCCGACCGGTCCCTTGAAGGCGTTGTCGTCAAGGCCGACCACGCTCTGCATGTGATCGACAACGATCGCAGCCTGTGCATAGGCAATTTTTCGACCGTCATCCGATGCGAACAGGTTGGCAATGACGCGAAATGCCATCATGGCGCAGTTTTTGCTGAGGGCAGCTCCGGCACTGGGGTGGAATGCGGACTCGAAGGTGGCATCGATGATGCTCTTGCCGGCCACAGCAGCGAAGCTCCCCACCGAAGACGACGTGACGAGGCAGCGAAGGAGATCCAGGCCTGGCATTCGGTCGTTGTCGGGCCAAGTATTTGCAATCTTGAGAACTAGGGAGATTTCATGCTGGTTGGATTCCCAATTCACCATGGATGTTGGAGTGCCCGCGGCCGGGAGAGTCGCCGGCACGGTGCCAATCGCTGTGCTGATCTTTTGCGCCAGCCGCTTCAAGGTGTCTTCCTCTGCTGGGTTCAACGCGAAATCCTTGCGCCCCGACGAAATCATAGTCGCGCTTGTAAGAAGGATCTTCTTGACAAGGGGCTCGATCTTGATAGCAGTTATCGTAAGGTAGTTCTCCTGAGGGAGAATCTTCGGGCCGGGTGGCTGCTGAGCCGAGCCTTCGTCGCCTGGCTGATATCGACCGGTTCCGAAGTCACCAGGAGCCGGGCCCGAGTCCTCGCCCAGGGTGGCACCCTTTGTGTTTTCGACAATAAAGCCCGCGACTTGGTCGATATACGAAATTGGAAGCTCATTGTCTCCAATAAACTTGGTAGCCGCCTCGTACGGGTTCTGAGACAGGTTGTATGGGAGTTTCAGGGTCGGTGCGCCTTCCTGGATATCGACATCAAATACGTAGTCGTAGGACTGGCCATTATATTCCTGCTTCTTCCCGCTGCTTCCAACAGCATCGACCACGGTCCCGACACAAATCCATTGTTGCTGGGCTGTAGTATACGAGTCAGAGAAGAAAAGAAGAAAAAGGCTACAACACGTTCACAGAGGTCGGATCTACTCACCCATGGACCATTGGTGCGCCGTGACAGAGCCATTGTCCTCGACAATCATCTGAACTTGACCCTCCTTGGTGCCCGACTTGGTCTTGAGAAAGTCGCTGCCAGGAAGTTTCTCCTTGTTGAGTCCGTCCACCTGCTGTTGCGGAATGGACGAGGCCTTGACGGATTCATCGAAAGCAGCTATCGACTCTGCACTCGCCATATCGGCCTCGATTCTCGTGAACACGCGGGCCACGCCATCGCTGCTTCCCGCAACAATGTCGCCCGTGCTCTCGCACACTGCCACAGACCATACGGAGATGGCTGGGAGGGTAATGGTTTGGACACACTCATAACCCCGCCAGATTCTGATGGTTCGGTCCTCGCCCGAGCTGACCAGCTCGCCCGTGGGCAGCGAAGCGAGACTGTAGACAAATGAATCGTGGCCGTGCAGCTCGCCCATGGACTGGCCGTTGAGCTTCCACAACCGGATCACGCCATCGCTGTGTGCACTGGCAATATCTGCACCGCTTGCATGGCCCTTGTTCACCTTGGCAACGGCGCGCACGACACTTGTGGTGTATATAGTGGACTTGGGCTGTATGTGGCGGTCAGGGCTCGATTTGATGTCGTAAATGTTGATCTTCTCGTCTGCAGAGCCCGTCACGACAGTCTCTTCGGTCAGGGCCAACACCCCCCACACACTTGCGTCGTGTCCAACCAGATACTTGCCAGGCTCCCACTTGCCCGTGAACCAGACGATAGCCTGTTTGTCCCAGCTTCCCGAAACAACGTATGAGGCTTCGGGGGAGGTATCGAGGGCGCAGACGTTGTGGTCATGGCCGACCAGAAGGAATTCTGCATGGTTAGGTCCAGGCTGGGCTCCTGGCTGCCTGACTTCGATTAAGGCATCCTTGCCGCCAGCCACGATCAGGCCCTCTTTATATGTAGCGTCGGGATAGAAGTAGGCGACAGCATTGACAAAATCTTGGCCTTCAGTCAGGACTGAGCCCTTGAAGGTAGGAGGTCGAAATTCCTTGCGTCGCCAGACTCGGACAGTACAGTCACGGGAGACAGAAATGACTGTGTTTGGGGATGGAAAGGTAACGCCACGGACCTAAATTAACAGCAAGGAGGAAGGGTCAGCTAGGCCGGCCTGAAAACTCATGTCTTTCAGGAAGAGGAGAGGGGGACTCACATCAGACTTGTGGCCTACCAGCTCAGCTGACAGCTTAAACTCCATAGTGCAGGCTGAGAGTATACAAGTATCTCTGGCTTGAAGTATTGCAGGTTGACGGAGGTGTTGCAGTTCGATGTGTAGAGGTGCTATGATAAACACAAGGATGAGTTGTGACAATGGCCACTTGAAGGATAGCAGTTGTTAGCTAGGTGGCAGGGAGGAGAGGAGAGGAGGAAGAATGGCGTTTGTTTGTTGGGTTATTGTCTGGAGGCGGCGCGCTGTGCGTTGGTGTTTGTGGCAGAGGAGCAGTGAGGCCAGTCTGGCTCTAAGAATAGGAGTTCTGAACAACAAAAAGGGATCAGTAACTCTGCTGCAGTTGATATCAGACAAATGAGGCACAAAAATGATTGGAAAAGCAGCTCTAGCTCTTCCCCAGCTTGCCAGCTTCGCATACTGGTACAACAGAGGTGGATGGTTCTGCTGAGGTCATCGCGGGGCCAATGGATACTATTTGCACCCCTGGCTGCTGGATGAGGGGTTAGGGTCAACAGGGGTGAAGGGTGGAGGGGCTTATCTTATCTTGGACTGGACTCCCCGCCGAGGCAAGGGCTGGCTCAGGACCCTCTTTCTGCCAAAGATCTTGGGCCGGAGCTGTCACTTCCCACCCGCAACATCGTGCCTGCGTTGTCCTTCAGTAACAAACAAACTCTCGCCCCTCCTTCTCCTCCCCTCCAGATTTGACCTTCTCTCTTCTTCTGTTTATTTCTGAGGACAAGACCATAATCATACACGAGCACCTATCCGTTTCTTGACGACTGCTACGACTCACGATCAAAAAAGAACTACAACGCATAATCCTGCCCATTCTTCTTGGCTCTTCTATTTTTCTTCCCCCCCGCCCCCCTTCCAGTTGCAATTGCGCGCCTCTTCGCTTGTCTGGCGTCTCCTTTGGCATTTGTTGATCATCTCAAGTCACCTTGTACACGGAACACACACTCTCATACACAAGGCCTACTGCTTCTCGCCCGGGCCATCCATCGTCTTCAATCATACACCGCATTTTGGCTCTCTGCTGGACAACTTCTTCTATCAGTAATACCAAGCTACTGGAGCCTTCACAGTCCCGACCACTCTTACGAATCGCTCCGTCTCTGCAGCACGTCCCGTATTTCGCACTGCCTTAGCATCATTCGACATGGCGTCTGATGGAAAGACCGAGGGCGAGCCTCGCCAGTATCTGCCCCTGACCTGTCACGGTCACTCTCGACCCGTTCCCCACCTGAGTTTCTCCAGCTATGAGCGCGGCGGGGAGTACTTCATGATCTCCGCTTGCAAAGGTATGTACTATAACGCCCCATTTTGGATCATCACGCTAGACAGCAGACCCTAACGTTTGGCCCTCACATGCAGATGGTAATCCCATGCTTCGAGATGGTCGTAACGGCGACTGGATTGGTACCTTCATCGGCCACAAGGGTGCCACCTGGCAGGCCAAACTCAGCCCCGACAACTGCACTGCCGCGTCCGCGTCGGCCGATTTCTCCGTCAAGATCTGGGACGCCCATACCGGCGAGATGCGCCTTGTGCTCAAGCACGACCATGTTGCGCGCGCCGTGGCGTTCCCTGTTAGCAACTCTGACATTGTCGCCACTGGAGGCCACGAGAAGATTCTACGCATCTGGGGCCTGAACAAGGCGGATTATCAATTCCGCGAGGATGTCACAACTGAAGAGAACGGGGCCCTCCACATCCCCCCTTCTCTGGCTTTCCAGGTCGGCACCGCTCACCCCGACACCATCAAGTCTATCGTCTGGTGCAACGAGGGCACGATTGTCACTGCTGCTGGCAAGACGCTGCGCTGGCACAATGTGGACAAGCGTGATTGTTTCAAGGAGCAGACTTTTGACTCAGAGATCAAGTCCTGTGAGATGGTCTTCCTGGCCCCCAAGTTCGCTGAACCTACCGATCTCGGCGAGGGTCGCCCCATCCTGTGCGTTGCCGCTGGCAAATCGGTTTATTTCTTCTCGACCACCGATCAGCCCGAGGAAATCAAGAGCTTCAACCTGAAACACGGTGTCGCCAGTGTCTCGCTTGACCTGAAGGGCAGAAAGTTCGTTGTCGGCGAGGAGCCTGGCACCTGGGCTCGCGTTTACGACTGGGATGGTCGTGAGATCGACGTCATGAAGGGTCACCACGGCCCCATCTGGTGCATTCAGTTCTCGCCCGACGGCAAGCTGTACGCGACCGGCTCGGAAGACGGGACGATTCGGATGTGGAAGAACTGTGCTGAGGAGTATGGACTGTGGCGCGACCGCAGTACTGCAGTCTCGGAGCGGGTTGAGTAGGACCATCGACCCCCTCTGGTGACCACGCACTCGGAGAACGATCAGCCTCCATCACATGAAGCTGATGGAGCTGTTCTTGTCCTCACAAGACCTACAACCCGGGCCAGTCTTGTTGGCACTGCTCCCGGACCACTCAGCGAGATCTCGGCCAACGTGGCTCGGATCCCACAGGTGACCATTGCAGAGGTCAAGGGTGGGCTGACTGATGGCAAGCCTACTGATGGCAAGCCTGACACCGAGGATTCCCCCTCTCAGTGGCGGATGGCGCTGTCTCCTGTTGCAGAGGAGCCCCGTAGCCCAGTCAAGTGCTTTCGTCGAGCTCCGCGTCCCGAGGGGTACCTGACCCGCCGACGCCCCAACCCTGCCATGCCCTCCACGGGCTCACCGACCAAGTACTCCAGCAAGCCTGTCGACCCTGGCAGCCAGATGCTGCAAAACTTTCTCGACCGGCTGGACCAACAGGGCCTGTCTCATGATTGAGTACTTTTGGTGCCTGCCATTCGTCTTCTGCATTGTAGACCTTAAAAAAGCCAACGGGATCATCATCACGTCTCTTACATTACATGCAGGACCTTGAACGTCTTAGACTTTTGGAACGGCATGGCCTCGATACCATCATCTTCACTGGTGAGGGAAGAAAGCACTAAGATAGATGGGCTGAACCCAGATACTTAAACATAGAAAAGGAATAAACACGTTGAATATCTCGAACCTCCCCCAAAAAAATCATGATGCGTGATTTGACCTGTCCTTGCACATGTGATTCCCCTTGTCCGTTATATACTTAACAGTCATCTTCAATAATCTGACGATATGATGAGACAGCCCTGGCCATGATGGCTTAGGTGGTGGGGGGGTGGGGGTGGGAGTTGCGCAATGGGACCCTTCAGAGGACCTCTGTAACCCTAAGCGCGGGCGGGCCGAGGAATGGCGTCGCGCCTAGCCTGCGCCTATGCGCCCACCGCGCGCGTCTTTCCTCGGAAGCTGTTTCCTACCAGTACCTTATAATGATCCAACACCTCTCTCTTGCACGCCCTCCTCAGCAACTTCAGTGTCTTACAGGACAACAGTCCAACCCCAACCCCCCTCCCCCGTCCAACAGGCACACGGCCCTGGCAGAAAACATCCCACTCTTTATCCTGCCGTTTATCTAACAAAGCCTTGTCCACTAAGAAGCACTCCTCAACCCGAGATTTGGTCCACGGGCGATACAAGACCTAGATAATAACCGCGACTCCAGCATCAGTCCAGACGAGCACATAAAAGCCGAAGGATAGTTATGGCTACGGGAGATGCGGACGAGATGGACGTCGAGGAGGGTGGAACGCTCAACGGGGACGGAGAAGGGCAAAAAGCAATAAGCGACGAGGCGCAAGACAAGGGCGAAGGAGCAGCAGATGGCGCCGCGGAAGCAGTAGCAGACGATCCCACGACACGTGTGGAAGCTGGCCCTTCTTCCACCTCTGATGGCAAACAATCCCCAGTCCTGAATTCATTATACCCACTCGTCCGTCCCGAAGCCCTCAAGGCGCGTCTCTACGACATCGTCCCTACCATGGCCGCGCCCCAGTCGACCTCCATCAACGCCATCGCCATCACCCCTAACCTGCGGTACTGGATGACGGGCGGCAGCGACGGCTACGTGCGCAAATACGACGGGCCCGGCACCATCAACGGGAAGCAGCTGCTGACCGTCGCCCAGCGCCACCCTTTTGTGGACAGCGTGGTCAAGGCGGGCATACTCATGAGTTACTGGGAGAACTTCGAGCCGGCACCGCCCGAGAAGGGGAGGAGCGCGGGCAATGACGAGGACAAGACGCTCAGCCCCGTGTACAGCTTAGCGGTGCACAAGGACGCTCTTTGGAGCTTGTCTGGGCTGGAGAGCGGTGGGATCAACGTACACAGCGTGAGATACGACGAGGGTAAGGTCATACATGTGATCCCGGCGAAGCATGGCGACCACCTTGGCCACTCCAATGCTGTGAGCGTGCTGCAGCTCACGCCCGATGAGACGCACGTGCTGAGCGGCAGCTGGGACAAGAGGCTCTACGACTGGGACCTGAACACGGGCACCGTCGCGACCAGCTTCGAGGGGAGCGGCGGCCAGGTCTCGGCCATTGAGCTGCGGCCGCAGTCCGGCGCGCCCATCCCTGCCGAGGCAGCCGAGGAGCCCTCGTGGGGCGACACCCAGAGGGGCAGCAGCAGGAACAAGGGCTTCTTCGACGACGGGACGAACGGGACTGGCAACGACACGGGCTCAGCAGCTGAAGCAGATGGAACAGGCGACGGAGAAGGAACCGTAGGCTCGGACCACGAGTCCCTTTTCGGCAGCCCGGGAGGCTCACTGTTTGGTGATGGCCAGATAGGCCAAGGAGGAGGCAATGCGTTCGGCGGTGACGATGATAACGAGTTCCAGCAGGCCATGCTGGAACCCCTAGAAGGAGAGCAGGGCGCTGCAGCGGCTGGCGCGGCTGACACGACCATGACAGACGCGCCGCCCGCAGAGGAGGCTGCGCCTCCAGCACAATCACAAGAAAATGTAGATCCCACAACAGATCAGCCAGAGCAACCACCCGCTGGCGACGCAAACGGACGGCCACGCACAGCAGACAGCACGCAGGCAGATCCCGCTCCACAGCAGCAGCAGCAGCAGCAGCAGCAGCAGCAGCAGTCACCGCAGAGTACAAAGAGTCGCCGCCGCAGCAGCCAGATTAAACCATTCAAGCCGACCTCGCCCACCCTCGTCTTCAACCCGCCGCCAGCCCTACAGAACGATCCCAGCCAGACTGCCCAGAGTACGTTCATGGCCGCCTCTATCGACGGCGCGCTCCGTATCTGGGATCGGCGCATGGTCACGCCAGTCGCGCGCATCGGCACTAGGCCTGGTGTGCCGCCGTGGTGCATGGGTGCGTGCTGGTCGCCGGACGGGAACATGATCTACGCAGGCCGCCGCAACGGTACCGTCGAGGAGTTCAGCATCCATCACGCCCGCGGTGGCTACCCAGGCTGGCAGCCCGAGCGCTCCCTCAAATTCCCCGCCGGCTCTGGCGCCGTCAGCGCGGTCCGTCACATGCCCAACGGCCGCCACCTCGTCTGTGCCTCCCACGACATCCTGCGCCTGTACGACCTCCGCGCCCCGACCACCGGGTCCAAGCACGGCTCCGTCCCTTTTCTCATCATTCCTGGCCCACCCAGGGCGGGTGTCATCAGCCAGCTGTACGTTGACCCCTCGTCAAGGTTCATGATCACTGCTGCCGGCACGAGGGGGTGGGAGGGCAGCTCCACTGAGGTCCTGATCGGGTATGAGATCGGGTGCACAAAGTGAAGAGAGAGAGAGAAAAAGAAAAGACTAATCTCAGCTGTGATTTATACCTTCTCTCTCTCTCTCTCTGTCTCTTGCTTTGTGTTTACAAATATACATGTGTGTATGTGTGTGTGCCTGAAGCACATGCATCGAGATGAGACAGGAAAGAAGGAAACCAAAAAGGTATAGTGGAAGACATAATTTGACAAGGTGTTCTGGAACAGGGTGTATGAAATTGAGGAAGAGGAGAATGACGAGGGCGTTTCCGGTTGGTTCCTAGGGAATACCCACACTCATGCTCTTGTTTGCTTGCTTGCTTTCTTGGTTAGTCCTCTTGACAAATTATGGAAGCTCATATGTTTTAGCTCAGTCATGAAATACTTGTCACCTCTGCTCTGTGCTTCCAATTTGATACTATTCTGCATTTCCTATATTGGATGGGGGAAAAAAGCCCAGGGACTAGCAATGAAGATCTTTTTCTGAAAAGACTAGTAAACTTGATGGGTTGAGTTTGCACAGAATAGGTCTCTCCACTACTTTATATAAAACAAGGCCATCTAGCCTTGCCAGTCCCCAGCAGTCTTATAGAAAGCTTGCCATGACTCCATGGAGCAGATATGCACAAGTATGATATCTGTCAATGCTCGCAAAACCTCAGGTATTGTTGTATTTGTTTTTCTCTGCTCAGAAATAACTCTATCCGATGCCTTGGGCGCCACTCTGTAATACTGATCGTTCAGGGGATCTCATCTTGTATTTTCCCTGGCTTAATCCATCGCGCGCGAGAGTACCCAGTTGCCAAGTCGTTACCTCCTTACTTGCTACCAAATCCAAGCCCAGCACCGTCAGTGCTGACTAACATGCTTCATTGTCTTCCGACAGTGCCTTGCTTCCTTTCCCCAAGATTTACTGCTTTTTCTCGATTCCAGGCTTTTAGGCTTCGGAGAAGAATCAGGTGGCAGCCTGAGGACCAAAACAACAAAGGCCAGGGCTAACTGCTTTCACAACCAGATCTCGCCCTGCGAGGACAAAAGACCACAGTCAGCCGAAACGACGAGAGTGGAGAATACAAATTTCCGCAAGAGAGTATATGTAACACAAGATACTGTGTCGGACCATGACCGCCGACGCCGCAGCTGTTCGTGTGTGCCGATTCCGCGGCGCAGTCAGAACAAAACAGTGAGAGCATCCTCTCAAATAAGCAACGCCATTCCAGCCCTGACGAATTATGTTATTTGTCGTCGGACAACCCGACGTCCGCGGAGGAGAGGATTGGCTGGCCACGAGCCGGAGTGGCCGACCCAGTCCGATCCCGAAGTCAAGGCTATCGTATAAATATGTTGGCTAACACGGCAGATGGTGCACAAATAAGAGAAGGAAATGCAAGTCAGTGTCAAGGTTTCTCACATCATATTTGGTACAAGAAAAGAAAGAAGAACAAACAAATCGTGCCATCCACATCACTCCTCAACACGCCATCATGTCTTTCTTCACCGAGTACAGTTCCACGCACCAGTTCGACAGGGCTACCGACCTTCACCGACACCCCTTGACCGGAATCAATGTGCTGATAGTGGGCGCTGGGCCGGTTGGCCTCTTTACGGCACTCGAGTGCTGGCGCAAAGGGCACACGGTCGTGGGCGTCCTCGAACGAAGTCCTACCCCAAGCGCCGCAGGTAAGCAGACATAAAATGACCAGACAGGCTGGGGTCCTTCTCCTCCGTCTTCCTCTTTTGTGGATTCTTTGTTCTCTGTCTGTGTCAACATTATGATCTGTTAACAGATCTTGGATTCCTACAGGTGATTCTTTTACCGTGCTTGGAGCGTATATTGAGCGGTCCTGGCCAGCCCTGTTCAGGTCCTTCGAGCAGGATTCGGTCGACCTTCTCATCTCGTATCATAAGATCACAGGAGAGAAAGTTGCGGGCCCCGAGCAGTTTCACCTGAAAGAGATTGCCAACGGGCGGCTGGACGACGACGGCACCCCAGGCCCGAGCAGGCTATATCGGATCAACCGGCCCCTCCTGGCCGCGTCGATGCTGGCCCAGGCACAGGAGCTGGGCATCCAGGTCAGCTTTGGCAAGCGCGTGGTCGACTACTTCGAGGAAGAGGAGAAGGCCGGGGTGATTTTCGAGGACGGCTCAAGGCAATCTGCAGATGTCGTGGTGTCTGCTGATGGCGTGGGAACCAAATCGCACAAGCTGATCAGCGGCCACGAGGTCCGGGCCATGAACAGTGCACATTCCATTTTCCGTGCTGCCTATCCCATCGAGCATGTCACGGCGGATCCAGAGCTGGCCGAGCGCTTTCCTCTGCTTGATAATGGGTATGGCCACTTTGAGCAGTGGAGGGGTGAGAACCTCGTGATTGGCGTGGCAAGGTTTCCCAAGGAGATGCAGTGGTACATTACGCACAAGGTGAGATTCCCCCTCTCAAGAATCTAATGTGTTATTACAAGGACTGTTTGATGAAGAAGGAGGAGGGGGGAGGAAGAAGAGAAGTAACAGGAGCATAAATGTTTTCACTCATTAATTGTGTTGATTATTATAGGATACGGTTGGCACCTCGAAGGAATCCTGGCACAACTTTGTCACCGGGGAACAAGTGGCAACATTTCTTTCCAACTTCCCGGAAATCCCAGATGTGTTGAAGAAACTCGTCAGGACTGCGCCCAAGGACTCCGTCGTGGACTGGCAGCTGCTTTGGCGGGACCCGCAGCCGACGTGGTCCTCGCCGCTGGGCCGGGTCGTCCAGGCAGGCGACAGCGCTCATACGTTTGTTCCTTCATCCGGCAGCGGAGTCAACCAGGGACTAGAGGACGCCATCTCGATAGCCACCTGCCTGCAGCTTGGTGGTGGTACTATAAAGACGGGCATGTGGGCCAAAGTGCACAACAAGCTGAGGTGAGTTAACTACTCTCCTTCTCTCCAACAAGACAGACCAATATTTCCACACAAATTGGCGGCTAACTTGTTTCTCTTCTTCTTCGTTTTTCTTTTTAGGTTTGAACGTGTCTCCTGCTGCCAACTGATGGGCTTCATCAACCAGAGCCACTTCCTCAAGCCTGAATGGGGCACTAATGTGCTTGCGGACCCAAAGAACTACAGACCCGAGTACGGGTGGTGGGTGCTGCGTCACAACCCAGAACGATACGCCTATGTCAACTATGGGAATGCATTCCGGAACCTCGTGGATGGGACGCCGTTCCAGAATACTAATATTCCTCCTGGCTACGTCTACAAGCCGTGGACGCTCAAGGACATCTACGATACGCTGGCGGAGGGCAAGAAGCTCAAGTTTGATGGCGACTGGTCCTAGACTTTTTGTTTTGTTTTCTTTTTGTCTTTCTTTTTATCTAGCTCTCCTCTCACTTTTGTCCTTTTTGTCGTTTTCTCTCTTCTTTTTTCTTTCTTTTTTTCTCCTTTCTTTTTGCATTTTTCTTCTCCTCGTGCGAGATCTCAGCCCACGAACTTTTACTAGTATGAACTACACATTTCTGGCTCATGCTGGGGCTGGCCCTCCTTTTCGTGGTTGCATACTTTTGGCCCCTTCGTGTTCCCCTTTTACCATAGAAAAGTGAGAAGCTCAAAGGCCAGACAGAAGAATTGGCTGGAATCAAGGAGCAGAAAATCCAACACAGGATAATGACTCTTGGTCCTTGCCCAGATGAGGTTAGTTGATCCATTTTCATATGGAACCCCCTGAATAAAATAAATTCTGGGTCATGGCCAATTGTCATGACGGCGGATCAAGGATTGAATTTGAGTCCGAGTCCATCCGGGCCCGTCTTACCGGGCGGCCTCGGACAAAATATGCGAGTCACACGAAGGCATCGTTGTCCAACACTCTTTTCTCGGGCCCGAGGCAGGGGAAAACCGGGTTTTGCATAATGTTTTTGATGCTTTCTATTTCATCATGCGATGGTCCTGAATCTTGTTTGATGTGGTCTTTGAAATAAGGTACATAAGCCACCATTTCCCCCTGCTCAAGCACTCGTCATGGAACTCGGTCAGTTGCTATCAATTACTTTCATAGTATAATTACTGAGAACTCTCGAAGCAGAATCCCAATTTTCTTTATTCACCACCAAGCCTTGTTCATCCTCCATAGCCTGCCCACCACAACAGCAGAATGTCCAACAACCTCCGCGTCCTCGTCGTGGGGGCATCCATCGCAGGCCCCACAGCGGCATACTGGTTCGCCAGGGCCGGCGCCCAAGTCACGATCATCGAGCGCTTCCCTCACCTCCGCAAGGGCGGCCACAACGTCGACCTCCGCACATCAGGCCTGACAGTGATGCGCCGGATGTCAGGCATGGAGCCCGCCGTGCGCGCCGTGCTGCACGACATGGAGGGCCTCAGCTTCGTGCGCGACGACGGCTCCCCCTTTGCCGTGATGCGGGCGACGGGCGACCCGAACGCGCAGTCGGTGGTGTCGGACTACGAGATCTTCCGCGGCGACCTCGCGCAGGTGCTGTACGACCTGACCAAGGACGACGACCGCATCACGTACGTCTTTGGCGAGCAGGTGCGGGCCATCCAGCAGCACCAGGGGCGGGCCCAGGCCACGGTCGAGTTTGCAAACGGGCTGCCGGCAGCCGAGTTCGACCTGGTCGTGGCCTGCGACGGGGCGACGTCGCGCACGCGGGCCATCGGGCTGGGCTGCGGCGTGCGGGACCACATGGTGCCGCTCAACAGCTGGGCGGCCTTCTTCACCATCGGCGAGGATCTGCTGCGCGGCGGCAAGGTCGGCAAGGCGTACAGCACCGTGGGCGGGCGGTTCGTGGCGATCGGGCCGGACCCGGCGGGCGGCAGCAAGGTTGGGTTCATGGGCATCAAGCCGCGCGACGGGACAGACGCGACGCTGGCGTTTCGCGAGGCTGCTAAAAAGGGCGAGGGCGCGCTCAAGGCCTACATGGCCGAGCGGTTCCGCGGCGCCGGCTGGAAGGCCGATGTGGTCGTGGACGGCATGATGAAGGCCGAGGACTTTTACGCCAGCGAGCTTGTGCAGGTCAAGGCGCCGACCCTGTCCAACGGCCGGTTCGTCCTCGTGGGCGACGCGGGCTATGCCCCTGGGCCGACGGGGTGCGGGACCAGCCTGGCGCTGACGGGCGCGTACGTCCTGGCCGGCGAGATCAACAGGCACAAGGGCGACGTCGATGCTGGTCTCAGGGCTTATGAGGAGCGCATGCGGCCCATCATTGAGGATATGCAAAAGATCCCACCGGGGGTGCCTGGGATCATGGCGCCACAGACGGCCTGGGGGATCTGGGTGCGGAATACCCTGTTTATGGTCGTGGCCTGGGCCATGAAGTTCAAGAGGGTTTTTGCCTGGGCTAGTCGGTCGTTTGCCAGCTCGTTTGGAGGGGACAAGTATAATCTTCCAGAGTATGAGTGGCAGAGGTCATGAAGGGAGGATTGTGGCCTGAGAGCATTCGAGGTGTGTGTGTGTGTGTGTGTTTGGAGCAGAAGCATGCTGTATCTGATTGTGCAGCTGTATAATATTATTCACTAGGACTCCAATACTATGATTCCCCACTGGGGTATTCTTTCCCCTCACGGCAATGGTCCACTTGTTTGAGATCTCCCAGAGATCTTGCGCGATGTTGTGGAGTTGCTGCGATATGGAATTCAGTTGAACAGGTGACATAATTCTCGTACACATCAGAACCACTTTGCCTAGCTTCTGAGGGCAAAAGAGCACAATCTCAAACTCACCAGTGGTCATAGACAATGAACGAGCGCTTGAGTTGGTTCGGGTTTTCCGTCACGAGCGGCAAACAGCAAACAAAAACACCAAGATCAACGGAGCGTAGTGCCCATTCTCGTCTTCCTCTCCGGCACAGGTCCACCGAGCCAGATCCACAAAATAAGCTATCATTTAGCAGCGGCTACAAGTAGCACGATAAGGCATCATCCACAAGCCTAAGTCCTTGGACTGCCAAGTCTGACGGACAAATCAAGCCTCTGGCAAAATTAAGCTCAGAGTATTGGCGTGGCCTCACTGTCTACAGATGACAGTTAGACCATGCACCAGCGTATTCACCGTCCCACTGCCGTGTTTGGCTTGTCTGTAATAGTTTTAGGCTCCCTTGCAACCACGAACTTGAGCCATTCTCATGGGAGGAAAAACACAATTGGGGGCGTTCGTTGGCCCACTTAGCCCTCTCCTCTAGAGTGACACTGCTGCAATGTATGACATCCTCACTTGAGCCAGGGATTGTCCCACAGTGACAGACCGCTGGGTCATCTTATTTTACGCACTACCAACCTTTTCAACGACCCTGGACTGATGATTGGTTGCAGGTTTCATTCAACCGTGAAGATGGAAAGGCATCAAGGTGTGGGTGTGGAAAAGGTGAAGGACTGGAATGGGTCTAAACCCTCGCTAACTCAGCCCTGTGTTGTTACATACTACTGTACGGTACTACGGTAGTACCAAACTGCACACACCCTTGGGTGAGTGATCGTCCAAAGTCTGTGTATGGTTCGTTCCAGCAGCACGTCCGCATGGCTTAGAGGAGGCTTAAGAGCTGCAGTGAACTCATTTTTGGGGAAGGAGGGGGGGGGGGAGGTGTGCATATGTGTGTGCATGTGTGTGTGTGTGTCTATTTTGGTCCAGGTAGTTGTAGCAATGAAAGAGAAAAAAGAAGAAAAAAAGAAGAAAAGAAAACAGAGGAAAAGGAAAACCGTTGTCATGTGAGCCAAACGCTGTGCGTTGCAATCTGAAGGCTCAAGTGCATTTCTTATGCTTAGAGACACGGAGATTGCAAGCAACCATTTCAATCTTGATGGAAATTAGCCATATAATGGAAATCCTAATCTTCAGCATTGAAAGAGTACAAAAGTTTGGCAATAGTATACATTCTCTCGGTGATGGGGAAAGATCCTTTGAGAAGAAATAATTTAGGTTTAAAAAAAGTACGAGTCGGGCTCGGTTTCAAAACATGGTTATCACTACCGAGGCACACGCTTGTACAGTACGTACTTTGGCCCTCCACTTGTGGCCCACCCCCCCCCCGGAACCCTGCCGGACCTTGGCCGTTGCTCGGATTCCCCAGATTCTTTCTTGCCCCGGGTTCCATTCCCCCACCTGACCAGGGATCTTACATTCCTCGTATCCTCTGTGATTGACTGTGTATCCTTTGTGATCTTGTCATACCTCGTGTTGTTTCCTGTCCAGCAGTCATTTGAATTTCTCATCATCCTCCCTGTACGATCCTCAGTCTTTTTCCTCTTCCCTCTATTTTTCTTGCGTTTCTCTCTCTCTCTCTCTCTCTCTCTCTCTTCCTTCTCGGTCATTTGGTCCTTTCAAGGCTCTGGGACGCTGGTCCCTGGCAGATGACAGGGGTGACTTACATTGTACTAGCGGCAATACTACGTAGTATGTACTGTAGTCTGTAGTACTACTACCCAAGAATGTATCAGTACGGCGGTGGCAAGCGTTCGGAAAGTCGGCTGGCAAAAAGAAGGGAAACGGGAAACCAGTGCGCAGGATGGATGGGCGTAGTACCAACTAGACACAGACTCACTTGCTCTCTTTTCTCTGAGACTTCCTCTTAGAGAGAGACACGCATACACACACACACACACAACAAGCAACGAGGCAGGATCCAGTTCCCTGGCGGTCAGAAACTCGCGTCCGCGGGGGTGGATGCGGCCCCAGCCCCAAACCCCAACCAACCCGCTTCTCCTACCCCAGCTTTGACCAAGGCCTTCCCCAGCTCGTACCCCAACCTTTTTATGCACCAATCAGAGCGTCCCGCTTGAGACAGCAGAGAACCCCTCCCACCAGTAATCATTGGTGCGCTTGCGTAGGATCGCTAGTGTCATGGAGGGCTTGCCTGCTTGGTCCGGCCCGATTAGGAACGCGCGAACATTAGACCTCGTGGTCTGGCATCCTGGCGCCAAGGCCTGCGCTGGGCGATGTAACAACAAAGAGTGAGTATCTTATAAGATCCCTCGTCTGGCCCGCCTTCTTGTGCTCCCTCCTGCAGCTTGCAGCAGCTGCTTGCTTGTTGGTGCCACATGCATTGATCTGGTCCAGTCAGTCTCTCGTCCTGCCTCTGCTGCCTGCAGTAGTTTCCAAATCCCCCAGTACGAACGAGTACAGAAGAGAGACGAGAGAGAAAGAACGAGAGAAGCAGGAAGAAGCAGGAGGAAGAAGAAGAAGAAGAAGAAGAAGAAGAAGAAGAGAAGAGTAGACAGAAAAGACAGAAGACATCATGTCGTCCGTTCCTGTCGACCCGGAGAAGGAGGTGCGGCCCAACAACGAGACGGTCACGGCCGACGAGCTCAGAGAAAATGATCATGATCTCAATGAGAAGGAGGATGTCCTCCACTCTGAAGTCCTGGGCAACCAGGACCTCATGAACGAGGCCGTCAACGGTGAGGACCGCCAGCACGAGCAAACCCTCTGGGGAGCCGTCCAGGACCATCCCATGGCCTGCGTGTGGGCTTTCATCTTCTGCTTTACAATTGTCAGTAAACATTCTCCCTCTGCACCTTTTTCCCTACTTCTCTCATAATCTCATGCAAGATCTTGGCTAATATTTATGTTACGCCTTCTATCAGGTCATGGAGTCGTTCGACATGTTCCTGAACGGTAACTTCGTCGCCCTTCCCGCCTTTCAAAATAGATACGGTGTCACGAGCGGCGACGCAAAGGTCATCCCCACCAAGTGGCAGAGTGCCCTCTTCCAGGCCGGCCAGTGTGGTGCTTTTGTCGGCGTCTTCCTCGCCGGCCCCATCACCAACCGTATCGGCTACCGCTGGACCACCATCGTGGGCCTCATCCTCATGAACGCCACCATTTTCATTTCTTTCTTTGTAAGTATTTGGATAGGGAAAGAAAAAGAAGAAAAAACCCATTCCATGTTTTACTTGTTGGTCTGACGCAGAAAACCATCTAACATTGAGATAAAAGGCCGATTCGCTCCCCGCACTCGTCATCGGACAGGCGTTTGAGGGTGTCCCCTGGGGTTTCTTCATTGCCAACTCTCCCGCCTACGCCAGCGAAGTGGTCCCTCTCGCCCTCCGAGGCGCTTGCACGGCCACACTGCAGATGAGTTGGTCCATTGGCGGTATCATTGTCGCCGCTGCCACCTACGGCTACAACCAGCGGAACGACGAGTGGGCCTGGCGAGTCCCCTTGGCCCTGCAGTGGATCTTCCCTGTAAGTCACTCCATCCTTCTCTTCTGTTACATTCTGAAGACCCCCCCCCCCCCCAAAATATGAAGACTGACCTCTCCTGTTGTTCCTTCACAGACCCCGCTCTTGATCCTCATCTTCCTCGCTCCCGAGTCCCCTTGGTGGCTGATGCGCCGCGGGCGCAAGCAGGAGGCCCTCCGCTCCGTCGAGCGCCTCGGCCGCAAGTCCAGACAGAACCCCCATGAGCAACTTGCCATGATCGAGCGGACCATCGAGATCGAGGCCCAGATGGGTGGCACCCCAACCCTTCTCGATCTTTTCAAGGGCACCGACCTGAGGCGGACCACCATCACCTGCTTGATGTATGCCTCGCAGAACTTTGCCGGCAACCTGATTGCCAACCAGGCCACCTTCTTCTTTGAGCGTGAGTAGCACTCTCCTCCTTGCCCTCCACCTCGTCCTGCACTGCACCCCCCGACCCTCCTCCCAGCTGGGATAGTATTATGTTGAGTCCAAAAGACTGACCCCCTTCTTCCTTCTTCCACAGAGGCTGGCATTTCGAGCGACTTTGCTTTCAAGCTGAACCTGATCAACTCGTGCCTCCAATTCGTGGCCAACGCGGGCTCCTGGTTCCTCTCGGGCTGGTTCGGCCGCCGCACCATCTACCTCTGGGGCACGGCCACCAACATCACCTTCCTCTTCATCCTGGGTATCTGCGCCTCGGTGCCGCAGACCCACGCGACCAACTACGCCCAGGCCGTGCTCGGAATCATCATCTCCTTCGTCTTCGCCGGCACCCTGGGCCCCATCAGCTACTCCATCATCGCCGAGACCTCGTCCGTCCGCCTGCGCGCCCTGAGCACCGGTGTCGGCCGCGCGGCCTACTACGTCGCCGAGATCCCCATGATCTTCCTCGCCTCCCAGATGCTCAACTCCACCGGCTGGAACCTGGCCGGCAAGTGCGGCTATGTCTGGGGCAGCACCGCCGTCGTCTGCTGGGTCATGGCCTACTTCTTCCTGCCCGAGCTCAAGCACCGCTCCTACCGTGAGCTGGACATCCTGTTCAACCGCAGAGTCCCCGCCAGGAAGTTCAAGAGCACCGTCATCGACGTCAAGGACAACGAGTAAAAGAAGAGGCGGTCGGCGGCGTGCGGTATGTATGCATGGATACATGTATGCATTCGTTCGTAGTCGGGCAGGGCAATGAAGTTTCTATATATACTAGAGCAAAAGAAAAAGTCCCTGTACCCTTTTCTTGTACCTCGATCATGGACGTCTGGAGGAGAGCTTTCTTTTCTTCTTTCAATTATATCCTCCTAGGGTATGTTTTACACTTGCTCAAGGCCCAAGCTGTACTCTGATGGCTTTTGTTTAGACTTGCCCAGGCTGGAAATACAGATTTTATGACATTCAATCCGGAGACTGTTCACTCGACTACTGATGACATGACTTGTACTGTATTGCATGCTGCTTTCTTCATCATGAATGCCCAACGTGTTGGGGTCGGGGAATTTGCTAACCTTGACCTCTTGATCTGTTCAGAATCACCTTGTGAAAGCATCTAATTCTTCTCTCCTCGGATTGTTATCTAGTCTATTCTTCCAATGCTCGCAAAAGACCTGTCCCCCCTGCCCTCCACCTCCGCCCCAGTTTGGTTTATAGACCCACGGTGAGACGAGAAATACTGGTTCTAATGCGAGCACCGACGCGAGAATACATCTTCTCGCCTTTCTTTACCGAGGCCAAGTCCGACGCCACCGGGGGATACGGCTTATGCAGCCGAAGCTCAACTGGCCACCGCTGGCTGGCTGCCAATCGTGTCAGCAGTCAGGTTGGTTTTATGGATTTCTCGACCAAGTTCGATCTGAACCACATCCGAAAAGCATGCCCTTCGTCGACAACGTGTATCTTGCTTAGGACGTTCAGGATTGTGTGGACTTTAGCAAGGATGCTGGGGGAGTGGTCGGTGAAAGAAGATCTAGCAGCCGGCTGTGCGAGAAGCAATGAGAGCGGGGCAATGTATCCAGTTATGCAGTTGTGGAAGAAGGGTAGGCCAGTCATACAAAAAGGAAGGACTGAGTAAATACTCCCTTCACTCGAGCCCTGCAACCAGCTCTCTCTTAGCTACAGCACCAGACAGCTTCAGCCGGCCTACTACTACTACCATAGTACTGGGTTAGCGCCCTTGCCCCGGCCAGACAGTGCTCTAGAGTAGTACTGAAACATCATGTTGCCGAGGAAGCTAGAGCACGCGGTCTTTCCTAAAGAAGGCTCTGAGGTTTTGTGGTCTCGTACACAAGATGACATCATGAGTAAACCTCTCCCTTGTAAGCTCCTTCTAAAGGTGATGTTTTAAGAAGCGGACTACCTCCTTCCTTTGCACCCAACATACACCACCTCAGTCATCCTTCCACAATCTCCTTCTTCGTCTTCTTCTCCTCTCGTCAAGAACACCTACTTCCAATTCACCCCTCAACTCCCCACTCAACATGTCCGGATCCTCCAGTGTCGGAAACGCCGCCGTCTATGAGGCAGGCGACCAGCGCAACGCCCCCGCGTCTCAGAAGCAAGACGACCAGGCCGAACGCTACGAGGAGGGCAAGGAACACTCCCACAAGGAAAATGATTCCAGTAAGATATCGCCCATGCATGCACACAAACTCTCTCTCCGAGAATACAATGCTACACGGAAGCTCACAAAAGGGACACGTTGGGGGAGGAAAACAGAGGACGAGCGCAGCATAGCCAACCGTCTTGCGGCTGCTCATGACCAGAACGACCCCAACGATGGCAGCGGCAAGAAGAAGACGGCCGAGCAGATCGCCGGCGAGCACGACCCCACCGCCCCGGCCAAGATGCACGGCAATGAGCCGTCCAGAGGCGCCAAGATCGACAAGGCCATTGAGGACGAGGAGGCCGAGCTCCTGAGGCGGAAGGATGAGAGCCAGGCCGCCAAGAAGAAGAATCACTAGTTGGCCCGGCTGTGAGAATCAGCATCGGATCTGTACATGAGGGATCTCTACTTAAGTCAGAACGGCAAGACATTGTAATGAAACTTGGTATTTTTATTTTTTGAGGAGTATGTGTGGATTCGAGATTGATATCCGTTGATACTGTGACTGGAATGAGTAAGTCCACCCCAGAGAGAATGTGCCGTTCGTCTCTTGTCTTGTGCCCGGCAGTCTGGCTACTGAATGATCTCTGGGCCGCCGTCACGCAGCTGCTCCCTCGCTGCAGACGCCATCCTCCAGGCCCCACCCTTTAGAAGAACTGTTCTTAAGTGTACCGGTTAACGTACTCAAGTAGCAGAATTTGCAACGCCGCTTGATAATGCTGCTTTTCGCAGGCTGGCCACTAGCTATTGGTGACCTTCTTGGCGCTGCTCCTTACACTCAAAAATTAGATCACAGATACCTGCTAGATTCCCTCGGAATTTCCAATTCCCACGAAACCACATCTCTTCCAGTGGACCTAGCATCATGAGAAGAAGGGAGGGCGAAAACCTCCGCATGAATGAGAGCGGGATAGTTCGACCGTCGGCGTCACCCACTTGATGTGAAATGTTTTGGCAAAGTCCACTACATGTCATCCAGCAGCACAAGGGCATGTCGACTCGGTCTGTACTTCGCCGTCTTGATCTTCTCATCGCAGCTCGCCCTCTGCACCTCGTGCCCATGGGTCCAAGCAAGACTCCGTCCCTAGGGTATCACCACACATCAGGTATCCAGCTTCATTGCCGACGTGTTCATCTGACAAGCGCAATCCCATGTTAGCAGATGTTCACATCTTCGCAGCACGTCTTTGGCTTCTCGTTTGGAGAAGGGAAAAGAACGGAAGCGCACTCACCCAGATCGATGCTCGCAAGGGTCCATTGCCCACTCGAGCCCTGACAATAGCATGTCATGATTGGCCCGTCCCATGCGTCGCCTCTTATCGCACAGCTCTCGATGTCGCAGCCAGTGGCAATATCGCGGTGATAGAGGTCTGTGTCTTGATCGAGGGGCTCGAGTTCGCCGTCATCCTGCACACCCTTATTAGCCTGATGCATCCTCGCCCCTGCCCCGGTGAACGTCAAAGACATGACAAAAAACTTAGAACCCACACTCTTGAAGCACTCTGCTAGGCTCAACCGGCTACATTTTCCCGAATACGGAGTTCCGTCGTACATCAGGCCGCCGTGGCACCATGCCTCGATGAAGAGTTCACCGGTCCCGTCCGAGACGCCATTCCCGAGGTAGTAATCTTGAGGGGGGGAGAACAGATGATAGTCAGTACTTATATGCTCACCATATCATTTTTTCTATCCCTTCCGGCTTGGGTCTTTCACACGCACACGCAGGAGGAAGAGGACGTAAAAGTGATGTTGAAACTCGAAAGTGGGAAGAGGCTGACTCACTTGCGCAGGTGGATGAGAAGCCGCTCGTAGCCAGCACTGTTGGTACGCAGAGAAACAGGGGCGCCAATGTCAAAAAGGCAAGACTCGAAGAGAACAACATCGTCCTGAAGGGGCGGGCTGCTGGGTGCAGCGTCGTTTGGCGCTGGCTTGCAAGTTTTAATTCTATGCGCCACTCCTGTGCTCTCCCTCTTTTCCTTCCTTTTCTGATGATGGCGTTCAAGACAACGCTCTGTATCCCCTTCAGTCGCACGATGCAGTGTCACTGGGAATCAGGAGACTCTGGGTATCATATAATATGGTGGCACCGCAAATTCTGTTGCCGACTGGAGGGAGCACAGAACAGAAAAGCTGACCGAGGAACGGGGGCCACTTCTTGGGTCTTTGTCGGGGCACAAGGAAAGAAGAGAGAAAAGGTAGAAGTAAAAGGAGAGATGGAAATCCCTTTCTCCAAGATGGATCAGAGTAAGCTCTGAGCGATGAGTGAGCCACTCAATTTTCCATCAGAGCAACAGGAACGACAACACCAAGAAACATGTTGACGAACTTGGCGGAGACATGACGTTACAAAATGGCGCGCGGGTGAGAGAAAAGAGAGAGGTAGCGTATGCCCTGGCAAACTAGGCGTGGGGATAACGGTGGCTCTCAATACACAGACATCCTGGACACGAAAGTCTGAGAAAGTAAAGTAATAATAGAAAATTAAGTTTATTTGATCGTCAAAGCCAAGTAAAAAAGCAGATGGGGTACTAAGCAGATAGTGAGGTAGGACCACGGTAGGTAAAGACGAGAGGGGGGCCCGGGGAGAATCCACACGATACCTGCCTTGCTTCACTATCCCCCCTAAATCACGCTCTCAAAACCTCTCCACCCCAAGAAAAATAGTGTCGGACTGCCAAGAACTCGTCTGTAACATTGTGCGAAGTACAGTTGTATCGTCGGGCTTGGCTCAAACATGCACCACCACGACCTTTTTTCCCTTCTTCTTCTTCTTCTCCTGCTCGCGCTTGTCTCGACGATGTACTAAGTAAAATATACTAAGGGAAAAGGGAAGGAGAAGAGGGTTGTGGATGATGGTGTATCGTTAGTGCGTCAGCCCCCGGTAGTTTGCACCGTTTTGCCGAACTGGAGGTTATGCTATGCTGATTTTGTGCTAGATCCGAGTCTGGCGTTATCAACGCCCCCCCCCCGGTACCCAATCCCATAGCACACATGCTATGGTACACAATAGTGCTTTGGCATGGTACATGGTAGGTACGAGACAAGGACAACGGCTCTGCGAGAGAATGTTATGAAATATACTATCCGTTGGGACACAAACGAAGGTCAGTCACTTAACCAATCAGCCAGCCAGCGAGCCGGGCAGCTAGGAATTTCTCTTTAAAAAATGGAAACGGTAGAAGGGTTATCAGCATCCGAAGATCCGTCGTCCATGCTGTGGACGCAAATCTTGCTCCGCTGTCCAGTTGCCTCTCCTGGACTCCAAGTGCAAGTAGTAGAACGTGCATAGGAATCCGTCTAAGGCCCTCCTCCCTCCTAACAAGAATAGAGACAGTAACAAGGAATCCTCAGATCGTTCCACACTCTCACTGAATCACCCATCCTGTGCCCAATGTCATGCCATCTCGAGCCAAGCCCAAGCCCTTCTTCTCCTCCCCCAAACCCCCTGCTGCAATGGGTTCCACCAGCCGTTAGATGTACCGCTCTGCTCAGGTTGCCAAGCTCTTCGAGGCTCCACATCCAGACCATAACCCCACCCTCCTTCGGCCTACTAATTGTTGACACATTATAATCAGAATTTTCGCGGAAGATCTTCAACAATTCATCGGCTGGTCCCGTAGCTCAGCTGGTTAGAGCGTCGTACTAATATTCCTCAAAATCGAGGAACATTAAGTGATGCGAAGGTCGCGAGTTCGATCCTCTCCGGGACCATTTCCTTTTAGCCTTCTTTCCTGCTCCTTTTACATAGCGGGCGCCCTGCACGTCTTCCTCTCTCTCTCTCTCTCTCGTTCTCTCTTTTTTCTTTTTTTGGTTCGCTTCTTTTTCCCTTTCCTTTCCCTTCCATCCTCTTCTTCGTTCGTTATGAAACCGAGAACGAGAAATGGAAAGAGGGAGCTAGTTTTCTGATTACTGTTGTTATATGTAATGAGCACTGCAGTAATCCGAAGATTCCAAAGTACACAAAGGGTTTATGGGAAATGTAACTGGGTAATCCGTGCAAGTGTTCACTGCCTTTGGGGCTATCAGAGTAAGAGGTAATCTGATACTTAGACTGATACTTAGATTGATGACTGAAGAGCTATGTACAATGATCTATCTAATGGTAATGAACGTGCCCTTATATATCCAGCTCTTCATCGTGTTTGTGGTGTTGGCTCTGTTGGATCGTTGGCGAGCTCAGCGATCCATGGTGTGAGAATCGCTGTTGGGTTGTAGCGCTTGATCCCTTGTTGGCGGGGCCTGTTTCGTGACCTGCATGCTGGATGAGTCATAACATGAATATATAAGAATATATTTATTATTATTAGATAGATCATCAGATATAGCTCTTCAGTTATCAATCTAAGTATTCATTTATTCTATACTTGAATAGCTCCAAAGGCAGTTGAAGCACTTGTACAAATTGTTCAGTTATATTTCCGTATTCAGGGATTAATACTTTGATACTGCTCTTGTTAGCATAAACTCTTTGTATACTTCAGAATCTTCGGATATTGCAGTGCATTATCACAATACTATTAAACTTATTGCAACTTTGAAAGAAAGTTGCTAGAAGAGGATTGTTGTAATAGCTAGAATGATAATTTGTAGGATATGAAGTGCAGTAGATTAAAAATCCTTATATATATAAAGAATACTACCTACTTTTCAAATTCTTTAGCTATAAGCAATAATCAAGCATTCTTTTCTCTTCTTTTCGATTTTAAATCCCTTGAACAGATTTAAAATAGGTCTTTCACTCTGTTCTTGTGCTCGTATAGCCTTAGTTTGCTGTCTTCATCTGTACAGGCATGCTTGGGTTGCATGAGCCCTTGCTCATTGCTTTGGTGGCTGTTCGTTCCTTTTTCTCGAGAGCGACAGCGCCCTAGTTCTGGTTCATCATAAGAATTCATGCCTTAAATTCATTAGAATTCCTGTTCAGAGGAGTGCTTTTGATGAGTCTGGCATATAAGGATATGCACTTTCAGTGGCCGGAGTCAGTTATTTCGTCTCATTATCTGTTTCGAAATGTCGCTTCTTATTCTCATTGCTTCTCTCGTTTGCTTCTCCGACGCTTTCATCCTCAGTCTAACTACTACACACCTCGATATCAAGCGGTATAGAGCGAAGAAAAGCTATATCAAGCGGTATAGAACAAGGAATAGCTATGCCAATTTAAGCAACCGCTAGAAAACAGGGTTTGTTAGTTCGTTCAATTTAATTCAAGCAGCATTATTAATTACCAACATCACTGCCGCTGCTAAAACACTTGCCAGCGATCACCAGATTAGTTGGTTAGACTTGGCTACTTTCTGTACTCTTCAGCTTCTCATCGGTACAAATGTAAGAAACCTCCTTTCAGAATTTTGCGCTTGCCAACTCATAGCTTCTTCAGCTTGCCCATCTTCTCCAGTCCTTGTATATCACCCTCTGAATCTCATGGCTGCCATTCTTGGGTCTTGGCCGCACTTGATGTCACCATCTATCTCATCAGATACGAAACCTCCTTCTCCCAAGGCTTCAACAGCTCAGCTCATCTGATATAGACTGCAGTGGATGTCTCACATATACGTATCCATCTCTCTCTTCCTCACCATAGCACCGGCCTCCTCTTCAGCAGTTTCACATAGACGCCTTCGTGAACATCGCCATTCGGAACAACAGAACAAAAAAATGCATCACCCTGCTACGCTTATAGCTCGTCACAAACGTACTAGTAGCACTGTATCAGCTAGCGAGAGGAGTAATGCTTCTGATCTTCCTGATATTAAAAGAAGAGAATGATAAAGCCTTGGGTATCTTTGAAAGCGGCCTCTGTCAGGAGATCATCTTAGTACGTCTTACAACTACAATTTACGCAACATGACCTAACATTTTCAAGGGCTGTTTGTTCGCGCAGCTGGTTTGTTCACTTAGTTTCTTCTTCAAGTCTATAAAGAAACGGATTTTTGAGCCGATAACGGTCTCGATGATGATGTTCTCGTCGACTCGTGTCGATAAGAATAAGGATGAGGATGGGATTGAACTGGTTTAGCCGATTGTAATATGTTATAAGTCGATACGTACGTTGTTATAAACTTGAAATAATACTATACATGGATTAGATTCTCAGATTGACCAACTCAACGGAGAAAATGCTAAGCTTTTACAGGAATTACTTGAGCGAAGGCAAAAAGCCACTACAGAGTCGGAACGCAGAGAGCGAGCAGAAGAACACCTGTGGCTTATACATCGACCTGCTTTTTTCCCTTCTGCGTCGACGCCCGCGTCTGCCGCCTTTCATATATTTCTTCCACCTCGTGAGCTACACGTCCTTTCTTGCCAGCGGCTGGCTTCTGCTTCACTTTTTTGCTCGGTGGTGGTGGCATTTTGTCTTCTCTCGGTCGCTCACGTGGCGCACGGGATTCAACGCCGTTCTGAGTCCTCTCCGCAGATTCTGCGTCCCTGCGTGCGATGAGTTTTTTCCGATACTCAGCAAGGCCAGTATGGAGGTCTTTTAGGGGTTCATTAGTGAAACGGTCAAATATGTTCTTGATTGCATTTTCAAGATCCTGTATGCCAGCTCCATACTTCAGGAGGTACATCGACACTTCTTCGAGGTTGTAGCTGAATTGATCGGTGTCTGACCTGGCGCCTATCCAGTGAACGTTCAGAGACAAGACGTTTTGGTCCATTGTTAGTGAGAAGACCCGGGGCTCGTCGAAATCGAAACTATCCAGGCCAAAACTGCGAGACCATAGCTCCAGAATGCCCTTCATAGCAATGGCGCCAGCACCGGCGGCTTGGTTTGTTCCTGTATAGAGTGATCCCTCCCTCGCCTGCGATTTGAATTCGCATATGAAGAACGGAAACAGAAGCACCGTGTCGGGAGAAGCGAAGCTCTTGCCGCTGGAGCTTTCCACCAGAAGCTTGATAGTCCGAAGTTCAGAGGGGCTGAAAGCGCGCTCAGAGTATCCAAAGGCGAGGTCGGGTTTGGGTTTCGGCAGCGGTAGCGGTACGGGGGCCGGCCCCAAAACGGCATCTGGATCAAGTGGAATAGGAACAGATTTGTACCACAGCTGACCATGACTCCGTTCCAGCTTCTCATCGAGGGCTTTGTTGAAACCCGGAATAACAGATGCGGCTATATGAATCTTGACTTCCTCCTCCCCCTTGTTCCGATTGTTTCGTATGTTCTCCCTTATCTCAGCAATGGCGTCATCATCTATGGGAGGCGACTGCCGCGGGTGCGATATGATATTTCGTGCTCGACGCATCAACTCGGAAGGCGGGTGTTCTCTCTGAATGTAGATGTTGCGGTCTGCCAAAGACAATTCGTAGTCAGGGTCGCGCACGCTCGCGGAGGTCTTGGAGGTCTTTCCAGAGAACGTCGTAGCAGTATCGATCGGCGAGGGAGGAGGATTAGGGCGAGGCATGATGTCGGGCCATTTGTGTGACCGTTTGTTTGGCCATTCGTCTGACTGTTCGTCGGTCCGTTTCCGTTTCCGCGACCACGAGGACTTTGACAACCAATCCTCCAGGTACTGTTCTTTATCTATTGGCTGGCCGCACTGCAGCGCATCCGTGGCTTCCACACGTCGTTGGCGCTTCGCTACTCATCAGTTAGCAGAGGCAATATCCAGAGGGAAAGGGCCGAGGGACACGAACAGCTCGCCGGTAGCTCTGTGTCCGAGGCTCGAGGTCGTTTCTTTCGTGACGGCTCTCCAGAGCCGGAGTCAAGCTTTTCGAGTGGTGCGAGCATGTCGAGCGGTACGAAGGGAGCGTCGGCGGTGGTTATATGGTTATGTAGAGTCGGTGGTTGTGTGGAGGATTGGCCGTGAGCGGTTAGCGGTTGGTGCCCACCGTAGAATACCTTGGCGCGAAACGCCATGCCAAGCGGTTTCAAGAAAAGACCAGCACCAGCACCAGCACCCCGGCAAGCCAAGCGCGCATCAAGACGAACCCCACCACACCACTACCTGCAGCGAATATGCGATGGTTTCAACGAGTTAAAGAATTTTTTTCTATAGTAACGAACCTCTCATGCTAATAATAATTTTTAAAGGGCGCTTAGTCCTATGCATGTTCCATTTGGATACTATTTCCACTCGTGAGTGATGAATTCAGAATGGTGTGCCGGCTCCGAGCGCTTTTCTGGGTCTCTATTCTCACATTATTAACGCCCAAAATTCCCTACCATCTCAATCCCACGAATACGTGTATCAAGCTTATCGTATAATCTCGGGAAAGAGTGTTCAACGATGTCCGTATCATCTTCCTTAACACTATGCCAAGCATCTCCAGCGCGTGACCAAAAAAGGAAAAGGAAAAGGAAAAGCAGACAACAGCTAACGAGTGAAAATTTCCAACGACAAAGGAAAACTCTATTCGATAAAACTAACAAGATGAGGAAGTGCTTCGATGCAGAGATCTACATACAAATACGGCGAAAGGGTAAACAATATGTCTACGCATCTAGTAATGACTTGTCTTGGCCGACTGGAGCTAGAAACATGATGGTGGGTTATCAACTACCTTCCTTTTTTGCTTAACTAATGCTGCTAAGGCGAACTGCTATTCTCCTCTAGTTATATTAATACTAGCCAGTTTCGAAAACGATGTGGCGGAGGGAGATGAAGAGGTGCCTACCACAGACGATAATCCTAGAGTGGTAGCAGACTCCCCAGAAATAAAGAGAGAGTAAACTTTCGTTTCTGTTATCAGAAGTGATTAATGATGTCGGCTTGTTCTATTGATGAGATTGCTGCATTCAATGGCGGAAGGGATTTGAAAGGTGTAGTTAAACCTTTCTACTAGTTCAAGATGATCATCTTGTACTGCGCTGCACTGCGAAATTAGTAAAGCAAAGCAAGATCTTGAGAAAATGACCGTCTCTCATGTGATGGAATGGTATGGTAATATTACAAAATCATTTCATCAACAGTAGCACTGACAACACCCGTGTGGAACTGCGACTGGAACAAAAGTACGGGATTCTGTGGTACGATACAATTTACTGCGCCTGTTTTTGCAACATATGCCAGTGGGTACGCACTGCACCCGAGGTTCTACCCGGAAACTGCGTAAAGATAGCCTTCCAAGGTAATTTGTCCCTCATACATCCTTGTAAAAGCTTATCTTCTGTTTCTGACCATTGACTCCGGCGATTTCGGCCCGTGCATTCATCCTCATCGCCTGAACTTGCGCTATTACCATCGAGATCGGAATCCGCATCTGTGTCGGTATTGATGTCACTCGAGAGATCGTCTTGATCAATCGGCTGCTCATCTTGCTCTGAGGTAATGGCGATAGAGGGGACAGCGTCGGTACTGGGTATCAGGATATCGGTTTCCGAATCGGTTTCCCAGTTGCTATAGATAGCACCTGCTTGTATGAATCCCCTTTGGCTAATCCCAAGCTCAGATGTGTTATGAATATAGCTCGTCACCAACCATGAATTAAGTGTCAGGGAGTCGATGGTAATACTATCAAGATATTTCGTCTGGTTAACCATGCCCTTGATCAAGGCTAGTGATTGGTTGTATGAGAACGTTGGTGCCGCACCATCATCTTGAATGATAGCCGTAAAGAACGACACGCTGGAAGAGAGTGGGCGCTGCGTTATACGACTAAGCTTTTGCGAGATTCGTCTATGGCCCGTTCCTATGACGATGCTGCGATGTCCAGGAAGTAGCAGATTTGAATCGCTCGTAGTTCTTCTCAGATGATCTTTCCACTCCTGATATACGCTCCGCCACCTGTAGCTTTCGTCGCTTAAGTGGCCTGGATGAATTCCCTGTGCGTCTCGGTTGCTTAAAGCGTCTGCTCCTGCTTTCAATGTCGGCATAGTCCCCAGCGCTGTGTCGTCGGAAATGGCTTTCAGTGGGTGCCCTGACCAGGGAAGGATAAGGAGAGCTTAGTTGCGCACTTGTCGCGGCCACTTTCTCAGCGGCTCTGTTGTCGATGTTCGGTTGGAAATCACTCTTAGTAGGCGATCCGATCTGGGAACGATGACGAAAATCCTTTTGCAGAGTTGTCGCGGTCACTTCATCGACAGCCCCGTCACTCTCGCTTCCATCCAGATGATTCGGTGATTGAGGAGTAGAGATAGTTGTGTGGAAAGGTGTTTCTGTGATCTCAGGAGAAGCGGTAGGCAGATTCTGGCTGATTTCATCCTGCTCGTTGTCGTTCATAGCGCACTGGCTATCCCCTAGAGAACTACGACCTCCGGCATCATTACAGTCGTCGTTCCGACCGGGTTGAATGGTGGCATGAGTAACATATAGAGGCGAGGAAGCAGACTCTTGCGTTGAAGTAGGATTGGAAAGAGAAGTTGCTTCGTAGTGGTGATCTTGGCTAGCAGTCTCTCCTTCAGTGTTGGGGGTTTCAGGATACTGCGCCTGGCTCATCTGACTACTCTGCTGCGGAGCAAATTCGGCGCACATACGGTCGAGTTTCTCATCTGAGTTCGTACGGTTAGCGAAAGTCTCGACTGTACAGTCTTCAAGTACCTGAATACGCCAGTTCCCCAAATTCTGGCGACTCCAATGTTGGAGTGAGATCCTGCGTGCTCAATTCAGTCTCCTCCTCTGATATAGCCCCAAATGTGTGAGGGCAAAAAGATTGCATTGCTGAGCACTGAAGAAGAAAAAGAAAGGAAGAAAAACGCCACGAGGCCAGCTATCTGAGGCTATCAACAGGTCTGGCTGTTGGCTGGCTGGAGGGGCTGTGCACAGCCCTGGGCCAGTGACTTACTGGCCTTCGCACACACCCCCTCAGCCAATAGCTAAGCTATTCTCACCACCAACTCGTATTTCGTAACTTTTTCCCTTGGTATTTTCCTCCATCCTCCTCACTGTAAATCCCTTTTCTAACCTATTTGTTATCACTCGTAGACTGAGCAACTTACGAAGCTAAAAGCTTTTACGAATTTTATATGTTTGTTAAGCTTAAGTATTTTGGTTAGTTTATCAGCAGCTATATTCTCTGTACTAATATACTGTATATTGAAGTTATTCTAACTAGTTCTCTTGATAATTTATTTGAAACGAATATTGATGTAATATATATAAGCTATTTGTTATAACCCATCCAGCATGCAAGTCACGAAACAGGCCCCGCCAACAAAGAACCAGGTGTCACGACCCAACGTCGGACAACCTACCAAGATTACGTAAGCAAGGGTTAGGATTACAGGATCAGTAAGGATCAGTAGCTGATCTAAGATAATCCGAATCAGTTGAATCAACCAGGTGATCCAAGTGAGCCAGCAGAACCAATACTACCAACAGGTTTGAAGCGCTGGATATATGTGATGATGCACTGCAATATCCGAAGATTCTGAAGTATACAAAGAGTTTATGCTAACAAGAGCGGTATTAAAGTGTTAATCTCTGAATACGGAAATATAACTGAGTAATCTGTATAAGTGCTTTACTGCTTTTGAAGCTATTCAAGTATAGAATAAATGAATATTTAGATTGATAACTGAAAAGCTATATCTAGTAATCTATTTAATGATAATGAATGTATTTCTATATATTTGGCTCTTCAGTATGGATTGCTAGAGTTGATAGCGATAGCTGTAGTTTAAGTGTTATAACCCATCCAACATGCAGGTCACGGAATAGGCCCTGCCAACAAGGAAGCAAGCATTACAACCCAACACACAGAAGAACCAGCCAGGATTAGGTAACTCAGGGTTAGGGTTACAAGTGACTATGTGGAATCGGCACATAAGCAACATAGGCAGCATGACTATGTAGCCTCAGCACATAGGCAACATAGGCATACTGAAGAGCTGGATATATAAGGATACATTCATTACCATTAGATAGACTACCAGAACATAGCTCTTCAGTTGTCAATCTAAGTATTCATTTGTTATATACTTGAATAGCTCCAAAGGCGGATGAAATACTTGCACAGAGATTACTTGTTCATATTTCCGTATTCAGGGATTAATACTTTAATACCGCTCTTGTTAGCATAAACTCTTTGTATACTTCAGGATCTTCGGATATTGCAGTGCATCATCACAGGGAAGTACAACAATGCACTATGAACGAATCTTACGAACAGGAAGTTCAGCACTTGCTCACAGGATTCATCAGAACGATTACATAACCAAGGGTTAGAATTATAATAAAGGGAGGATCTAAGGATCTGCTCCAGATCCTCAGATCCTCATACCATGAATCTATAAACAAGCTCCAGATTCAGAACTAAAGAGCTAAGTATATAAGAATACATTCATTACCATTAGATAGACTACTAGATATAGCTTTTCAATTATTAATCTAAGTATTCATTTGTTCTACACTTGAATAGTTCCAAAAGCAATTGAAGCACTTGCACAGTTTATCCAGTTATATTTCTGTATTCAGGAATTAATACTTTGATACCGCTCTTATTACGTAACCCACAAGCTAGTCTGCGAGTTTTGTAATGATTCTGCAGTCAATTCTTATCACGACTCTCTGCCTTTGATTGCATCTTGAGAATTACAAATTTATTTGCGCTATGCCTGGAAATAGATCGATCGAAAATTAACAGCATTCATATGCTTGATATGCATCTGTCTGTCTTCGTACCCGGAGGGCTATCTCGGGCGCCCGTGATTGTAGAACTTCTCGAAGTCGGTCACGTATCAGTACGGGCTTCCAGATTGAATCTGTGCGAGAGCCAGTGACTCTGGGCTGTGCATAATCTTACTAGCCTCTTTCGTGGCTAGCCTCTCAGCCAGATCTCTTCTTTCCTTACCCCCTTTCCTTTCCTTTTACAGCGCATCTTCTCGGAACATCAACCTCAACAAGCGCACTGATTCTATCCGCCTGGATTTCCTTTTGAAAGATCTTTCAGAATGGCTACCAGTCCAGTCTACAACCCCCTCCACCCCTCTCGAAAAGAAATCAGGCTGCTTGAGATCACTGCTGTGGATCCGAGCATAGTTTGCAAACTAAGCATTGTCTCACTGCACGATTCTCCGACATTCTGTGCGCTATCTTATGTATGGGGCAGCGCAAAGGCCGCCGAAGAGATCACGGTCAATGGATCACCGCTCCTCATCACCAAGAGCCTTGCGGATGCTCTGAAATACATACCAATGCACTGGAAAGCATCATCACCACCCGGCGACACCCAGCCACTTCGACTTTGGGCAGATGCGATTTGCATCAATCAGGATGATGTGCAAGAGAAGAACCATCAGGTGCCTCTTATGACAGAAATCTATTCCTCGGCAGAGATGACTTTTTGCTCTCTGATGTCAGGATCTTCATCGATGATTGGGATTGCGATTGACACTTTACACCTGATCGCTACTCGTGCATCGGAAAGCGGATATGACCCAGAGTCAAAAAATCAAACCCCGAAAACGGATTGGATGCTTAAGGAGCTGGCACTGTTTGGGCCAGGTCCTGAGGACCCAAACTTTCCGGCAGAATTACAAGCTCCACCTGGTATCGGAGCTCTGGGCGACAATCAAGCTGCAGACGCTTTGTCACATTTCCAGCATCTTGAATACTGGTCGCGTGTTTGGATCTTCCAAGAAGCCGTGCTCGCTAAGCATGCGATCTTCTTCCATACATCTCGGGCCATAAAGTTTGACACGCTTTTCGTTGTGGTACAATGGGCTTCTGAAGTCAAAATGCAAGAGGCGCCAGAGGGGATCGACTTTTTTCTATGGAGGAATATCACAAGTTTTTCCACTTTTGGCCCCTTATGGAAGATGCGCTACGTCCTAACGTTGGTAAAAACCTGTCGGGCTATGGCGGTTCAATCGCTAGTACGCTCAGCAGCAATGTCAAGGAAACTGGATTTCTACGGCATCACCTTAAAAGCAACAAACCCCAAGGACCATGTCTATGGCCTAGTCGGGCTGACACGCTTGGACATCGTCCCGGATTACAGCCCTAGCACATCTGTCGGAGCTGTCTACGTCGAATTCTGTGTTAAGCGCCTCAAGGATCTGAAATTCGACTCGGCACCTTTGGACTTCCTCGAATACGCAGGTTATGCGAACAAATCTCCCGAGAGCATAGAATTGCCCTCTTGGGTACCGAATTTCCCAGGCATTTCGGCCAATGGAAAACAATATGTTGCGCCCTACTTGTGTCCCTCGTCACCGGAGGATGGGGGAGATTGGGACGAGTCCTGCGATCACACGAAGAATATTTCTATACAAGGAGAGAGTCTTTTGACTTCTGCACTGATTATCGGATCACTCGACGACGTCAGCGATGCCCTCACCTGGGAAAACGACATGTGGCCGGGGCAATTTGTCGCTTCCATCTTTAGAGTCATGAGCCATGAGACCAAAGATCATAACAGACCTCCCTCACAATTCAATGACCGCCGCCATCCCTTGTTGAGACTTGCAAGTGCGCTCTGCGGGAAGAAGATCGAGTCTGATGTCTGGGACTCGCCAGAGGTTCTGCGGGTTCTTCGATTGTTGCAATGGCTCCTCATGAGAGATAGTGAAGTGCCCCTAATCTTCGGGCCCAACTTCCTGGACAAAGTTCAACTTGGCCTCGGGTGGATGTATCGGCTGAGCCCCCTCTACGGCCGTGGCTCTTCTGAGAAGACTTCCTCTGAGGGCCCGCAACCTACGACAGAGCATCTAGATGTTCTTTCAACACTTGTGGGTTTATTGAGCAAGGCCGAGCCAGACAATCCGCACTTCCTCGACATGGTAGCGACGGCAAAGCCCCCATTCTCAAACATCCTGCCTTTTCTCCGGAACATAATGGATCACAACGACTTTAAAAAGGGCAGCACACATGTATCCCTTTTGGATGACGAGAGAAACTTGAGAGACATGGGTGTGCGGGTTGCGCGGACTGTAACAGATGAGTACGGCCTTGTTCCTCCTGCCGCGTCAAAAGGAGATCTTGTAGTACTTCCTACCGGAAGCGGTGCACTCTTCGTAGTTCGAAAGGTGGAAAACCATTATGTTTTGATTGGCCCCGCTGGGTTTCTCAAGGAATTGGCAGATCCAATGTTAGATAAGGTCAACTTGGGTGAAGTGGAATTCGAGACGATGGAATTCCGATGATACAAAACTGGGTAGTCCATCTAGACGAATACTCAAATTTATTAACAGTTCGAATAAACAGATGCTAGGGAGAATTTGTTTCCTCTTCTTCTTTTCTTTCTTCTTTTCTCTTTTCTCCGTTCTTTCTGTGAAACTTTTGCATCCGAGCTGGCGAACTCGTTGTGCTCGTTGTTGTCTATCAGAGCGTCAGAACTTCAAGACCAGACAAGGGATCAGAACCACTATGAGGTGGGCCTATAGCGGCGGTTTGGTAGGCACTTAAATTCTCAATGTATAGAATCCAATCGTTGAGAGAGCAAGGATCAGTCCGGTCTGCTAGGACTGCAACCGCGGCGGCGGGAGAAGAAGCTCGAGCATACTGTGACTTACGATACCCAGGACGCTGATGCGGCTCCGCCAGAGCATTGGTCAATGATCAGACCCAGCAGCAAACTCGATTATAAGAAACCGGGATTATTCAAAATTGTACACAAAATCTGCCTAGTTAACTACGAACTCGCACTACCTTAATTAAAACATATGAATCCTTCTACCCGAATGGAACATGGCTGGACGGAAATCCTTGTCCGCGTTCAAGTTCTCGACAGCCGGCTGGAGCTCCTTCGGCGTGTACTTTAGAACAGCGGCGGTCAGAGTTCTATCCAAGTAGTTGGCCTTCATTTCGTAAACACCCTCCATCAGGCTCAGCGCCGCCACGCCTGCCGCGTTCTGTACCACCGATTTGCCTAGCTCAAGGGCATGCGAGAGCAGGCTCTCAGATTCGTCATGCTCGTGTCCGTTCTTCAAAATCACGTCCCTCGCAGCCCCCATGGTCCTGCTGCTGAGGTAGTCCAGAAGGACATTACAAAGCTTTCTCTTCTTGCGCATCATGTACGTCTGCCAAACGTTGAGAAGACCCGGTTCGGGTATGGCGTCGTTGAAGTCAATCTTGCCCGTTGGGATTCGGTGGCCGTTGAAGCTGTGCATCGAGCCGAGCTCGAGAGAGCACAGAAACCACTGTGCGCCTTCAACATCGGAGAATCTCGCCAGAACCCATTCGCCAGAAACAGCGTCAAGGTTCTCCTCTTCGATGAAAGCAATCATGCGGGTGACCTTTTTCTCATCCTTCGTCGTCTGGCCAAGCTCGTTGCCATCACCCTGGCCTGCTTCCTCTACTGATTTCGTCTTCGCATCCAGTTCGTCCTTCCGCCTGGACGGCTCACTCAGTACCTTTCTCTTAATGACTTGGGCGATCATGAGCTGCTTCTCCAATACCTGTTTCTCACATGAGAAGCTGACCATAACTCGAGCGAAACCAGTGCTAATGCTACACCACCCGGTGATCTTCTGGTGTGGGCTGGCCGCATTCTTGACTTGATTCCAGAGTTTTTCTTCCTCAGCAAAAATGATGATGACACGCTGGATATCGAATACGCCCTCGATTCCAGAGTTTGTGACGATGATTGGATTGGGAGAGATCATTTCAGTCTTCCCTTGCATTTTTGCCTGTCTCTCCCGGTTGGCCTCAACATCTGGTCGATTTAGTTGAGCATGTCCGTCCAGGATCTCCTTTGGCAGTCTTGCCACGACGTCAGATCCTGGACCAGCGACCACGCCGCTTGAAAGCGTGGCAAGACTGTCATTCAGCCATGTCATCACCGGGCCATTCAACCTCCTCACATCCTCTTCCAGAGAAGGGATGTCGTAATTCTCATCATCAACGGCCGTGCTTGCACTGCTGGGCGTCGGTGATTCTGGGGTTCCATCCTCAGTCTTGATGCGCCTGGCTGACGGACCCCACTTGTTCGAATATGATGTCTTCCTGCTGGGACCCAGAATGCTTCCCATGGGGTTCTTCGCAACATCGGCAATAGAATCGCATTGTCGAAGACCAGATTTCTGGCCCGCCGGGTGCTTGTCCTCGTTGTCTAAAGCCCTGCCACATTTTTTCGTAACCCATGCAATGATGCCCTCAATATGCTGGAGTTGAGGCTCGAGGACCTCAAAGTCGGCCGAATGGATGAAATTGATGATTTTCGTGATCCAATCGATGGGAATGAGCTTATGGTCGTGCTTCTTGAGGAATGTTATCGTCATGTGGAGCATAGTGACGACGTGTTGGAAAGTCTGCATCACACCGCTTCGCTTGGTATCCAGCAGCTCTGCCAACCGCTTAAGGGCCACTGATTGACCATCTCCGCCATCAGTGTGAAAAGCTTTCAGACTGGATGGATACAGAGAGCGACCACGGATGTGGCTTCCCATATCTGTGCCAGCCCAGTTGAAAACCGACACATCATTGGAGATGGTGAGAACCTCATCGAAGAGCCGTACCAGAGCTTTAGGCAAACCCTCGGCCGCGAAAGTAGGGAAGCGGACGCCAAGCAAGCCCATCAGCGAGTATGCACGATCGATCTCGACAGTGCAGACGCGGTGAGCCGCTAGGTTCATGACTTTCTGCGTCGGGAATTTCGACCGCTCGGTGCCATCCTGCCAGCTCTCCAAGGCATCTATCTTGCCAAACTTTGCAATATCTTCCCTGTCAGACCGGATCAGGTCTCTTGTCTCGGCGACCAAGCATCGCAACAGGAATTTGATCATGCGTCTTGCATCCCCCTCGGGTCTGCCGCCCATGTTCCTGGCAGGAAACACTTTCTCGACATCCTGCTCAAGACGAACGCTGAGATTATGAGTGAGGAGAAGCTTGCTGCTGTCTGCCGCCTTGACTTCCTTTCTCATTCCGGTGGCGGCGAGGTACACGGCCTGTGATATGCAAGGTATGGCCGTCTCCCTTTCGATGCTTCCCGGAATGTGCAGTCCAAGTGCGTCGAGGATCAAAATCAAGTTCTGCGCAGCCTTGATCTCTTCCCTGTCAACAGTAGCGCTCTTCGGAACCTACAAGCGCAGTTAGTGGCTGTGGGTGGTACCATGACTATGGCGAGCTCTCACCTTGCGTTCCAGGCTATTTGCTGTCTGGTCCCAGAATTCACGTAGTTTCTCCAGGCCTTCAGGAGCTGCACTGCCCACGTACAGCTCGATGAACGGACAAAAGAAGTAGTAAGGGCCGAGATTTTCCACGGGCCTGCCTAATGGTTCCCACGCCGAGTTCACATAGAATGTCATCTTGCTCAAGACAAGTTCTTGTAGCGTCCAACCACGAGTAGACCATTCCGGAGGATCATCACGGATGTTGTGAAAACTTTTGTAATTCGGTTTCGGCAGTTCGGGCTCCGTTCCTGTTCTCCTCTTGAACCTATCCCACTCTTCAATCCAGTCATCCTGAGGTCTCCTAGTATCGAGGTGTACCAGGCAAAAGTCGGCGTTGGCGTACCAATCTCCCATGAGTGAGAGTGAATTGACAAGTTCGTTCGCATCGGCTTTGTTGATGCAGCATGTGTCGTTCCAGAGATATCGCCTCTCGCTGGTAGGGAAAAGCTTGGAGTCAAAGATTTCCTTTGAATGTTCCAAGGACTTCTTGATCTTGATCACAGACTTCCACCGCTGCAGAAGATCAAGGAGCTCATCAACGGCATCGCGAATTAGGCCCTCTTCGTGGAAGAACTTGATCATCTGCTCCTTCTCTGGCGTTGACGTCTCCTGGGTCACATTGTTGAGATTGATCTGTGCCTGGTCGACAGCCGTCTGTGCTTTCTCCAAGTCTGCTGCGCTTGGATTTGGGCTGCTTCTTGCCGGTTCAGATTTCTGTTTGCTGGTACTGGGGCCGAGGGCGACGGTGCTCTCCATCTCGAGCGCTAGGGTCATGAAAGCGTCCGACTCCAAGTCAGTGTTTTCCAGCTGGGCCTTCGCATCACGCAACTGCTTCGTAGCAGCCTTTTGTCGCCACTTGATCGAATTGACCTCGATACGCTCTGCAAGTAATTTCTCGACGTCGTCGCCTTGTCTCCCGGGGACTTGGCCAAGAAGCTCCCTGATGGTCTGCTCGCTCTCCAGGATCTCTTGCTCACACAGCTTGTAAATCATGTCAACGTCGTTTTTCGCGTCAGGTTTGCCTGCTTTGACATTCTCGCTGTTGTGTTTCCGCGCTTTTTTGACATAGTCGTAGGTGACCTCGGTTCCCTTCCACTGATGCGAGAGCATACAATAGTGGCCCACGTCGTCACTGTCCCAATCCACCATGTTTCCCGTCCCAATATCAAACATGCGTCGTGGGACATGCCTTTTCTCATCGAGTGAAGGGCCTAGTAGCTCATATTCAGCCTCCTCCTGCGCCTTTTCAGGAATGAATGTGGGCTTGAAGGTCGGAGTGAGCCAGAGATTCAGAATTCGCCGTAGCTTCTCCGGGTTCTTCGAAACATCTTCGAAGGTGTCGCCCGATCGCTGATACAGGTCGGTAGCCTTCTCTCTGAGGGCATCGCTTGACTGCTGAACGAGGTCGGTAGCCCTCTTGTTGAGGCTGTCCTTGAAGCCGCCTACAAAATTCATTGTGAAAGGTACACCTGACTTGATACCGGTAAGCGATGAGAAGATATTTCGACCTGGAAGTCTGACGTAGTAAGCATAGAAAGCAAGAACCTTGACAAAAGTCGACGGCCTATTGGAAAAAGTGTCGCGAACTTAAGTGAGACGTTTTCACTGCACGCTTTTATGCTAATAATCTATAGCGGCTAGTTCACCAGGTCCATAGGACTGTAGGAAATCTACCTCTCCTGTCAGAGTGAAGAGACTTCCACAAACATCTTAGACACTATGGAGAGGCAATCTCAATGCGCTAGCAGACTGCCCCTCCAGAACTGCAAGTCGGGCCGTAAATTGACAAATTAGCCTCAATGAAGCTTCCAGCTGCGCATTGCCAACTCAGCGTGCATGGTCATTTCAGCAGTCTATACCGCACTTGGCTGACGAAAGCAGAGGCTAAATGTCGGATATGGAAATCTGGGATCGATGTGTTATCTCGCGCCCCATCCGGTCTCAGAGCCCATCCAATCACTTATGCATTTCAATGTCTGCTCGGTAATAATTGCCGTTGACCCTTGTGGTTCATGCATGGAGCTGAAACATCCTGGCTTGTGCAGCTGAACGATCTCCACCACCTATCCCGCAATGGGGAGCTGTACCAGCAACATTTGAAGCGACCGGGGGATGGTTCTGCTCATATTACCGGCTATCTCGGGCTCATTGCTCTATCATCGCTCTGCGTCCAGAGCAATCTGAATCAGAGTATCTGCTTTTCGTACATAGCGAAGTGCGAAATTACATATCAAAGCGCATTACCTTGCCATTCTGGACACTTGCCACCTTCTCATCCGTGTGGAGGAGAAAAGAAAAGAAAAGAAAAAGGAAACACCATGGCATCGTATCACAGAGTCCTCTCGATCTTTGACAGATCCATCCACGACAAGAATAAAGAATGCGATTGGTGCGTAGCAGCCCTTCCTGCGCCGTCTAATACTAATAAAGGCTTGTGCAAAGTGACATTCACCCATGGGAACTTCTTATCAACAATGAGCGCTGGTTTGGCAAGATCCGCCTCATTGGCTTTGTCGACGCATTCTTTCTCATCTGCTACTCGACTCAGAATCGCTTCAAGCGTGGCATCATCATCTACAGTAAGCTTGACGAGATTCCCGTTACAAGAGAACCTTCCTCGAAAACGTCCAGCAGACTGATCTGTAATAGAGGAAGATGATACCATTCGTAGCATCTTAGAGGATGCGAATCGGACCAAGGATATAGAGCCTATTGATGATCAAGGTAGATCCCGACGTCTCTGTCGATACTCCTTTTGCATTCAAGCTGACATATTTGTTTCGCAATATTCGATCAGTGCCACCAAGATACTTCAAGTTTGTCGATGAGCCGGGGGAACTTGACTACAGAATCACCAGCATAGGGCATATCGTTGATCTTCGCACGGACTACTCGGCGTCGGATGTGAAGCAGTACGAAATCAAAATGCGCAGACCGAGAGATCTAAGCTTAAGAGGTGAAAAGTCCCACACCCATCATATTGCACAATTTGAATGACTGACGAGGTGGATATCCCTGTGGAAATAGGGCCGATATACCGCGGAATTACCCAACATTCCGTCTCTGACCTGATGAAGGATGTTGTCCGCCTCGGGATTGTCTCGAATGCTGAGTTGACGGCCAAGCTTATCAATAAATTCGCGAGTGGAACTCAGGCTGAGGATGCCATGAGGAAGTGGATAATGGCTATTAGTAGTGGCGGAAATGATGGCAGCAATGGAGTTGCGTGAGAGGACACATAGAGCATACATAAGGAACTTGTGTAGAGATGAGGCTTACCGTGCTAAGAAGGCTATCTACTAATCGTGCAGGGCACCCGCTCCTATAGAAATGGACGCACCCTTTTTGGATTTGTGTGCCTTGTATGGAGTTCATTACTTGGTTTCTCAAGCGCTCGCGTGCATCGTCAGATTTCTCACTATTCACGACCACGCTCTTCCGCTTGTCGAGCCCTTGACACAGATACCTAGCTCGATCTCCTGCAGTGTGCAGCCTGTAGCATCGTTTCCATCACAACCAGCACCCCTTGGATCAATGAAGCCGCCCTTGGTGCGATGATCCTCGACGACGACCACAGTAGTCGCTTGGATCTTGTGCTCTGGGCCAGACTGTTCCACATCGTCTAGGCGGCGATGATACCTCCTTCTGCTGCCGCCGGTGCCGGAGTACGAGAGGCTTGTCTTGGTGCCCATCCACGTGTAGATAGGCTTAAGCAGGGAGTGAAAATTGGGTAGGCATGCACAGATGATGCCGACTTCGAGTTCAAGCCCGGACATGATTCCGACTTCGATGAATTCCACTGTACAAATGGAATGTTAGAAATTAGAGCTCAAACCAAATGACTTTATTCTAACTGATAGAAGCAGGGAACAGTGATATCTGGAAACCTCGCCACGTTTCGAGCCAAGGTGGAAGGCTGAGCGATGTAATCACAACTTACAAGTTGGGTTGTTTGACAGAGTGAACTTGTTAATCGTCGTAAGGCGGAATAGACTAACGGCGATGACGCTTGATTTGACGAGTGTAGTTAGTTCCGAGGTCCATCCCAGTCTGACCTGTGTGGCACTTACAAGATCCCAAACGTAAACATGATAGCCGACAAGATCTTCTTCCGCAGCGATAGGTTCAAGCGCAAGATAAAGGGAATAGGGACCAGCATGACCCAGAAGTCGATGGCGATGGTGACGAAGGCGCCCGCCCAGAAGATGTCGTTGGTGCTAATACAGGAACCGCCGCCCTGACCTTCCCAGGCTTTCCAGAAGTAGTCGATGGGCGTACAGCCAAACAAAATGGCAAGGTCAAAAGCAATGCAGCAAGTGATGATCAGCACGAAGCTGAACTGGATCAGCCGCCGTGCCAGGGGAACGTGGCCGAACATCCGGTGATAGAAGAGCAGGATCGATAATCGCACAAGATCGCGGCTCGTGATATATAGCACGAAAAGAGCATACATCGCTTTGAAGATGGTTGTGATGTCGTCAAAAGGAACAGCCCAGATGTCGGTTCCTAGGCCATGAGGTTTCACTGCACAGAGGCGTCATCTTAGCTGTGTTGCAAGAATTTCGATATGTGAGAATATTGAAAAATATTTGCAGACGTACTTGACCATGCTACCGTCATAAATGCAACGCAACCTAGCTACAAGCATGGGAGTGTACTAGTTAGCCTTCATCTGGCTAAAGCAAGCTGAAAGCGACAAAGGTCGACTCACAAAGGACAGTGCCATAATAAAGTCATCCCACCAGACCGGAACCTTCGCCTTCAGTCTCGCGATGACGCGCAGTAGGACACAGACTGCAGCTATCGCGGTGAAGGCCATGAGGACAGGTACATAAGAGTAGTTAACGTTCGGAGAGATGCCACAGGATGTAGAGGTTAAGTTTTTGGTGAATAAGGCTTCCCGGACGGTGCAGTTCTCGGTGACGCAGGCAGTGGCTTGTGCATTGAGATTCTCATTTTGACAAATGCAAGTCAGGTTGGAAATAGCACAGTTTGAGGCTCCAATTGCGATGACCAAGCATTGTGTCTTGAAGAGATTTTAGAAACAGGAGAGGACTCAGATGGTTTGTAGGTAGAACTTACAGCGCATTGGGGCAAAGCAGCGGCCAAATCCTGAACGGTGGACATCGTGAAAACCGATGGTATGATTTACTGTTTCGCTTTCATACGCAAGACACAAGTCAGTTTCACACTTTATGAACCGTCACCTTCGTTTATATTCAAGTATGACCTTGCTGACGATCCTGACGTTGCTCTAATTTTTTGTCACATGGCTGCACCGCTTTCAGCTAGTTTCTGGTTGACAGCTGGACGTGTGGTATGCAGGCTGTATAGATTGCAACGTTAGTCGGCTATATTTAGGCAACGAGTACTGCATATGCAGGCCCTTTGTTCAGGCAGCAGAGTTTTGGCCTCTTGGATGTGGTGGTGGGGGCGGAAAGTGAATTGCCCACCCGACCATGGGCATTTATGTACCGTGAACTTCATCAGGCTCTGGATGAAGAAGGCAATCAACCACAGCTCCACGCCCCGGGATACGATTGTAACTCTATCTTGTAACAGAAAGAAGAACTTTAACGCCTTAAATGCTGAATTAGTACTCAACAGAGTACAAGGGAAAAAAGATGAGGAGACAAAACAGTATACATGTGCGCTCAAGTTCATTATATAGTTAGACTTCATTTTTTATTGTTTAAAGGTGTAAAGTACCCGAGGCAGGTAGAAGGCTTATCGGCTTTTTCTGAGAAGAGAGAAAATGGGCAGGTCTATCGATGATCGACAGCCAGCGTGCAGTTCAGCTGGCTATGGAATGCTTGAGCCACCTATCAGCGCGCCGGGCACCACACCCTGGCAACGGCGAACGCCCAGTCATATGATTTGTACATGATGAGGTCGCATTTCTCGCCATTCGGGGACATCCTCTCATTCTGCGTTGCGAATCACATGCAGTATGTGTTCAAAGGCTCCCCCTCCCTGCATTCGATAGGCCGGTCGCTTTGCATGGCTGGGGGCCGAGCATAATGCGCGCTTGGCTTCCAATTCTGGCTCCTGTGCGGGAACGCCGGGTTCTTGACGAGCAACCCCACTTCGGATTGGCAGGTCACTGCCTCGAGTACACATCGCCGTTTTCCATGCCGCGTTTTGTCTCTCTATTTTGACTGTCTTGCTGAGCCGAATACATTTCGAGTGACAACATCGACTGTCCAGTGCATAGCAAGGATGAGCAACAACATAATAAAAACAAGCAGTGTAAGCTATTGGCACCGCAGTGTTGATTGACCCTGTCAATAATTGGGATCTGGCACACTGACTTGGTATCTGCAGATTGTGCTCTTGCTTGCGGCTCTCGCTACATTCCTGGCCGCGAGAGTGCAGGTGTTATCGCTAGCTTATTTCAATGCGCCGGCGCGAATGCCCAAGCATACGAACTTCACTTCGTTTGAGGTTAAGTTCGCAGATCAGGTCCGGAACTGTGAAGATGTGGTTCTCATCGAGGATCGGGGTCTAGCACTCCTGGCCTGTGACCCGGGCCGAGAGATATGGAACACCGTCATGGTAGGAAGTCCACATTCTAACTCTTTCTTCACAACATGGGAGTCTCACAAGCAGCAGGGCGACTTTGTTGACGGTGCCGAACCTGATCCTAATGCGGAGCTCTACGCCTACAAGTACGACGATGAGTCGCTGCCTGACGACAAGGCTCTCAGGCGAATCGACGTTATCGGATTCAACTCAGAGCTGCGCACGATAGGATTCGAATACCATGAAGCCAGCTCCACGCTGTTCGTGACCAACCACGGACGCCAGGGCCCGCGCATTGAGCAGTTCCACCTGGACCTAGAGGCCTTGACAGCCACTCACGTCGGCACCATCGTGCATCGGTTGATTCATATCCCGAACTCCATCGCCGCGGTGGGTGAGTCAGAGTTCTATGTTACGAATCAGCACTACTTTACAGCCGCCGAGCACCCGCTCCTCTGGGCCCTCGAGACCTATCTCGCGCCGCCCCTCGCGAGCATTGTGCACGTGCGCATCTTGGCCGACGGGACCGTCGATGCCGCGGTCATGGCCCGTCAGGCTTACCCTAATGGCATCGTTCTGCTCAACGACACCACCATCGCCGTTGCAGCCACAAGTCAGCGTGCTGTCAATTTGTACGCCGTCTCTCACCCGGCGGCGCAGGCGCAGCAGGCCCACCCCACCTTGAAACTGGAGTCGAGCTTCGGACTACCGTTTCTGCCCGACAATCTCGCCGTTTCTAAGAGCGACGGCGCGCTGCTTGTCGCCGGCCACCCGCACCTCCCGAGCCTGGGAAAGTTCGCCCGCTCGCGACGCATCTGTCACCGGCCAGACGTGCTGGAGAATCAGGGCGAGGAGGCGCGGGACATGTGCGCGTCTACAGGCGCTGCGTCATGGGCTAGTGAGTGGACACCAGAGGGTGGGGTCCAGCACATATACGCTGGGTGGGAGTATCCGACATCTGCATCTGTCGTGAGGGACAGAGAGAGGGCCGTGGGGATGGTAGCAGGGCTCTATGCGAAGGGATTGCTGGTTTGGCGGGATTGATAAGAACATGTCCCTAAGGGAGGGGAGCTGAGCAGACCTTGCAGCTCCTGTTCAAATTCAATAATCGGCTCAAGGAGAGGGATCTTAGAAGGCTTGTGCTTGAGCTTAACTTTGTCGTGCAAGAGGGTTCGGACTGAGGAGAAGGCTTCGTGGGCATTGCTGCCTTGTGCAACTGCTGTACCCTTGTAGGTCTCTAAATAGCTGCATGATATACTAAGATTTAAACTATTTAAGAGTATCTTCTTCTAATTACTATCCTATAAAAAGAATCTTGTTATTCTTAGTGATAGATTGATTTAGTAATGATAGAAATACATATAGAATTAGATAAAAAATCCTTGAAAAGTTCTGAAATTTCTTCAGAAGAACCAAGCTATTTAAGCTTAAAGATCCTAGTTTATTATTCCATACTAAATCTTGCCATGCTCATAGAGGTCATTATTTCCCTTATAGATACGTCTTGAATAATCGTAGTGGTTTGTGAGTACCAAATAGATTGTATTGTGTTTCGATTTTCTGGAGGTGTTTGAGGATGTGGAACGACAGGAAGTGTTCTATTCAAATGACAGCATTTATATTACATGTCGAACCATGAAGGAGCGCTGTCACAGGAGGAAAACAAGCATTACGTGTTGTCCTGTTATAGTAAACTTGCCCAGTGCTATGCGTTTGCACATGTTCAGACTATACGGTTCGGACTATACGGAACGCGAGAGCATAAGAGCACCCTTTGATCAGTAGACACCAAGAAGGTGCTATGTCTTATCTCCGATTCCAGGTTGGTACTTAACGAGCAAGTGATGGAGAATTCATGCTCTCTGAGATGTGGAAGTGAGTACCTTACCTAGGATGGTTGCCTACTGTGTTGGGAACCGGGAACCTCACAACAGCTGCTCTACTTCAGGATCGGTATTCAGGTTAGATCGAACGCAATGAATATGCCAATTTATTTTACAAAACCAGATGATTCCAGATTAAAGAACGGACATTACAGACCAGAGTACAGGGACCCTGCACGCACTCAAGTAGGTTTGGTTGAACTACCTCGGGTCCTGCCTGCTAGCAAGACATGTTCTCAACCCCTCTCAGATGCGTTGGGCGACTCCGCGCTCCGTGTGGCCACCAATTCCAATAAGCTCCGCGCTTTCTGCACGTTTCCACCACTTTGTGAACGCTGTCGGTGCCGTTTCGTATTTCTTGTGCAATTCGAGGAACATGTCCTCAATTTCCTTCACATCCTTCTCCATCGTGGCCGCCGTGCTGGATCCCAAGCCCCGGAACTCGAAAAGAGGCACTGGGCGCTGGGTGTCGACTAAATACTCGGGCTTCTGCTCCAGATTCCCCATTTGAGCCAGCATCAGGCGGTCCAGGTCCTCCGCAAGGGAGTCCTTTTCAAGGGCCTGGAGGTCATTGATTCAATCCTCAACAGTTACCGTCTTACTCTTGCGGTCTGTAAAGTCGTATGTAAAACTCATTTTGCCCCTAAAGCTGTTACTATCTTCGATGCCTTACTGTCACTGTGCCTTTAACTGTGATAGGGGGCCGGGTGGGGGGCGATGGGCCAATTGGAAGCAATATCCTGGTGACTTTACTTACAGTTTATTAGAGGGCACCATCTTGCCGTTTATCAAGTCGCAGAATTTATTTGGATCAGCGCTGGTAATATTGTTAGGTATTGACTTGTAAGATTATTTCACTTTTGAGTTGATTTTTGAGCACTTACATAGTATACAGCTTCTTCTCATCCTGATCATAGTCATTTTCCCGACATGCTAGATATCCCAACAGTGTGAGCCTATTGTGATCTTTGTCAGGATGATGATCTAAATGGAAGAGTCGAATAAAATGAACAATTCACATTGACTTACAAGTCACACCTGCTTCTTTAAATATGGCTTGAGGCCACTTTCAACCAATTTGTACATCATCAGAAAATTGGTCCGCGGCATAATTGAGCTGACTTTTTTTAGAGTGCCCACTTGTTTGAGCTGTCCAGCTGCTTTGGCGTAGGTAAGAACAAGGGAAAAGAAGCCCAGAACATCGTCCTTGACGGTAGCCTCTTCAATGCCGAGAGGGCTTTCCTGGAAAAACTCCTTGGTAACATAGACGAGGTTACTGGCTTTTGTACCAATAAGTACGTTTCGTTGTTTAGTAACAGCCAAGTTTATCAAGTAATGAATGGCTTCTAGAGGCATAGGACCTGTGGCCTGTTTCGCCCATGCCAGGTTCGAAGCCTTGCCCATGATCGACTTGACTCTCCAGTCGCAGGTGATTGCCTCGACCGTCATTTCCGGCGTCTCAGTGTTTGGATCCCATTCGATCTGAATGCCATGCCGACAGCCTCAAGTCAGCAACGGCGTCCATTCAGATTTTGTTTCCTGTCCAAGAGAAAGGACGGGGGAGGCTTTGAGTAGACAGAAAAAGAAGTATTCATACCAGGTCTGCAGCGACGGCTTTGGCAGCGGGGACCGCCATCGATTCGCCCAATTTTATTGTTTTGCCATCCAGAATATACTCAGGATTGCATAGACCCTGGGCACGAGGCGTGGAATCAACGGTGAGTTCCCAGTTAGTGCCTTTTCTTCCTGCTAGCAGTTTGCCCTTGGCCTCCTAAGTCTGTTCTTGAGTACATATCTGCGAGTAGAGGAGCAGGCCACTGCACTCCAACTCTCCCCCAAGACCCGCTTGCTGAGGCGGAGGTACATTATTTGAGGAAGTCGAGGTATCACTGCTGACTGGGCTGGTGCAGCGTGATAGTGCCGCTAGGGAAAGCAGCGAGAGGACAACAGAAGTAAAACTTCGATAAAAATGCATGCTACCTAGGCCGTACCTTGTTCAAAAGAAGTAGAAAAAATGACTCGGACAAGCTCGTTGAACTGGACTGGTTGCATTGGAAAGAGATCGCGACGAGGGTTTAGAATTCGAATGCTGATGCATAAATATCAAATTTTGAGTTGATTCAGTAACCATCCTGTCCGGAAATGTCAAGAGAGGTGGGTATTAATATTGTATATTTTCGCCAGTATTTCCTCTCTCGCCGCTCCTCGAAGACATGATTTACAAGGGCGGTGATTGTTCCAGTGGCCGAAGAAGCTGCGTTGTTGGCAGGTTGGTGGATAGGTTGTCAGCATATCATCAGACGTAGACCGGCACAAAAACGGCGTCAGGACCAACCTGATCAGACCCAACCATTGTGCCTCTACCAAGCCAGAGAGTCTATTGATATCAAGCCGTCTATACATGGGACTTGTTGGTGGCTTGTATTACCTGATTGTAACTTCACCGGGGACAAGAAGGCGACCATAACTCAGCCTATACCAAGGGAGACTCATGATGTACCGGAAGGGGAAAAAAAGGGAAATAAATGCACAGACCCATTCAGGCTGCGCGACCTGTTGGTTCAGACGGGGCAGAGATACTGGGCATCACTTTGCAGCTCTCCCTCAACCTCCGCCGCTACTATATATAGCGTACCAACGGATTGCGTGAACTTTATGGAGTGTTTTGTTGCGTCCGACCAGGATTCTCAACATCTTGTTGGTAGCACAGGGTCCAATAATGGCCGTACACGGCTAGGGCGAAATTTTGTATGGATCAACGAACAACGCCCATAAGTAAGCCGTTGGTTGATGAAATGTATTTCTACCCCTCCCAGTTCCTAACAAGATATCAAACGACTTTCAAGTCTCACTTTCGTTCAACACCAGACTTAGCCATGAGTACCCCTTTATCTGCCACGTACCTCCGCGATGGGACATTTCATCTCTTTCCAAACCTGCCTATTGAACTGCGATTGAATATTATAGACAAGTTTGTGGCTACCCTTAAAGCCACAACCCAGCCTACACTATTTCAGAAGTACGAGCGTGCGCCCCGCAAGCAATATGGTCTGGCTAAATTCGCCATTATCAATCTCGACTGGCAGGGCAGGATTGAGGCACTCCTCTTTGAAAGTCTCTGTCTGAAAATAAATGAAATTGCGGACTTCCATCGAATTGTACCTGCCGGGCCGCGCTCGCTACTGGTTCAACGCCTTCACCTTAACCTCGACCTACAATATGTCTCCTTGAAGTCAGAAGGCTATCCACGAGGTACTGGCCCAGCCACCGTCGTTGCCGAAATCCTGGCGCTGGTCTTTGATACCTTGAGAGGTTGGGATGATAGACTTGCGCTAGATGATGCACATCTCCTGGAGTTCTGCTTGGATATTGGAGGCGACATGTCGTTTGCTATGGTTCCCAACCTTTCTAGGCTTCCGGAGGTGGCTGTGATTGGCAGCATTTTCATCTCTCTGCCCAACCTGGACAGAAATGGCTGGCTCCACGCAACTTCTGCCGTGTCTCTGCTCAGGCAGGCGCCGAATGTCTAGGCAACAGATATCACACTTGGCAGACTTCCGACCATGACGGTCCCTGATCAGCTTGGTTGGACTGAGGGTATCGATGTACCAGGTACAGTCTTTCACATTATACCGAGGGCCTCGTAATCTATCTTACAAACGCCTCGGCGACTGTCTGACTAGCCATACTGCGAGAATTGCCGAATACTATGAGAAAGTTGTCGCTCTCAGCTCATTCGGCTACCGATTTCGCCGTAAGAGGCAGTTTTAGGCGAACCATCCCTTTGCAGTCTTTGTCTCTTCCTATCATGCATATCCTCAGTACGCAGTTACCTCGGCTAGAGAGCCTGCGTCTCGAATACGTTGTCGATGCTCAGCACTTCTTTCAGTGCCTCGGACAATCCGACACTTGCCAATGGTCCACCCTGCGCAAGCTACATCTTCAAGCCAGGTACCAGAATCCGCCCAAAAATGGTTCTGACAGGTCAGAGGAAGATGCTTTGTTTATTGCTATTTCCAAAGCGCTGGACCACTTTCCGAACATTGAGCAACTGGAGGTCGAGATGCGAAACATCCTCTGGTGGCCCGACGGCGACCGCTGGGCGAACCCCCCTCTCCCCAGAACATTCATACTCCAGTTCCATCGATCTCTACCTCAGGGGCTTTCTTACCGATCATCGCACTGCGACACGTCCGCCCGTGTTGCGGTCTTGCGCACGTACTTCTTCGAGCCGCCACCAGACCTCGTGCTGCTGTGGAAGGAAGCTGTGAAGCGAGTGTGGTCTTCCGATGTTTCTGGTTATTGTGCGAGAAATAGAATGGCTCCTTTTCTAACACCTTGGGACGAAGGAAGTTGAGACAATACATAGCAACTAGGAGAGACGGAACCATCCAGGATATCTAAGAACCAGTGTCGCGAGCAGGGATATCCCATTGGCCAGGGCAGACCCACACTTGCCTGCTCTCTTGATATATATATCTAGGTCCTTTCTTTTGTCCTCTTCATTTTTTCCTCATACAACAGATTAGGAGATAATGCCTATTTATCCCAACCATTGTCTCGCACTGCTCGTCTCAACAGTTAATTAGCGTGTTCTATCTCTTTCCTATCTTTCCCTAATCACTCTTCCACAGTTCACTCTTAGGCCCACTACTATATAAAACCAGCCCACTCTTTCATCACGTGTCCATCAACGCCTACTTAAGAGGTCCCATGAGTATCGACGATCTATGCGTAAGTACAGAGGCGACCATCACTGCTCCGAATTATCGTTGCCCCCGCTCTCATGTTGCAAGCTCAAAGAGGTAGTATCAGCTTCTACCGGGACAGCAGGCTTCAGGTAGGATCTGGCACCTTGTGTTTGTGCTTCAGTGCCAATAGGTTAGCATCTCACACGTAACCTGGTTTTCAAGGTCTAGACAGCTCACTTTGAGCCAGCTCAGGGCTGATCATATCATGGATCACGGGCTGTACCCTAAACGTGACCTCTAAGTTGGCGTCCTTAGACTTTGCAGAGTTGCAACGGGCTAGCCTCCATTGTTGGACCCCAACAACAAGGGAAGCGAAGCTGGTGAGGCACCCTACGATGCCAAAAGCAATAGCAATGGAATTTGTTTCGTAGTTTGAGGCTTGGTCAGAGCTCGAAAGCCCATCAGGAAGGGTGGCGATTATCGGAGTGGAGGGAATCGTAGAAGACCTTGCATATAGATACATTTCGAGATTTTGGGGTTTCGTTTATTTTCAGGTGTTTTGGGTGGTTGAAGGCCGTATTATATTGATGAGTACTGCCCCAACATAGTGAGGTGAGAGCCGACAGGTATAGAGAAATTCTCCGCTGGAAGACGAGAAACTCGGGAATGTGGTAAGACAGTGGGAGGGCTGGCGAACAGTAAATAAAAGATTAGAATGTTTTAGTATTGAGAGAGTCTGGGAGGATGGACAGCGTCCCGGGCCAAAGGTCTTATATACTTTAATATACAATGTACGGAGTGCGTATCAGCGCTGCTGGCATTGCCTGCGTCAACGGCTTCATTCAACAAAGCCCCAAGGTCATGAAGGCGCGGCGGCCAGATGGCAAGATGGGCAGGTAAGCGATTGCTAAAACCACAGGAGTGTCGAATCCATTCGACATCATTTCGCACCTCGCACCTCGCACTGGGCATATTGCAGACATTTACGCACAGGAGAAACAGGTAATTATGTGACGCAGTCTGGTGGTCTTTCCACTCTGGCAGGGGATTGTCCCGCAAGTTCGCTTTGAGTATCGCTGCGCCATCTCTCGCAGTTCTCAAGAAACCTATTTCGCAGAATTGTACTATGAGTTTTATGCTCGTATGGCATGCTGTACTCTCACGACAATTGTCGCCTGTGACAATAAGCAAGTGCTGAGTGGAAACGCCAGGTACGCAATAAAGCGGGGCCCCATTCCCGCGAGAGCGCACGAGATAGGTCCATCAACACACGGCATGCGGTCAGCCTGCATGGAAATGCGAATCGCGCAATGCGTAGTAAGCAAAGCGCCAAAGGAGGACATGGTAACTGTTGCATTTTGAACCTGGAGCCTTATAGTGATCCGTCTTAAGTAAGCGCCCGAACCCATCTGCATTCTACACATAGCTCTTTTCCTCCCCCTTCCTGTCTGCACCAATAACTTACTCTACTGCCACTTGCATTACTTCATAGCAATTCAGCAACCTTGCTGACAACCTGACAGCAATATCTACTGAACTTGTCTATCGAAAGTCTGTGAAAGAGATTACATCTGCGGTTAAGACGAGGCTCCCACTTGGTTCATGCCAGTTTGTCTCCAAAGTTTGATCATCTTACAGTTTCAACAGACACACACACTCACGACCCTCGGCGAGGTACCGTTCGACCGCAGCGTGTGGCCTTGATTGGGCGGCAGACACCTGTACCTATATACAGCTTCTCGAACTTTCGCTGGTGCTCTTAAACGAAACTGCCGGCGTCCTTGCCACAGATAAACACCAGCATACATCCTTCTCAGAAGCTCAACAATGTGTTACTTTCACCAGACTAGGTGGAGATGTGGGTACTGGAAATGGGGAAACTTCGTGCAGCAGTGCAATAAGGAGTACCGGACTGGTGAGACGTGTGGCCGAAAGTTCGTTTACGATACCAACTATAAGAACCAGGATTGCAGGCTGTGCGAAGACATGCGTAAGAAACAGCGCCGGTATTCAAAGATGGCCCAAGACGTGGAGCGGTGGAGGAGGGAGGGTAATCGGAAGGCGACAATCGCGAAGGCCGAGTGTGATATGGTGGATATCCGGGAAGCAATAACGAAAATTGAGGGAGAGCATACGAAGAGACTGATGATGATCGACGGCGACTACACTGACAGAGGTTCAGTCTCCGCGGAACAGTCTTCAGAATCCATCGGTGCGCTATCAACCGCTCATCCCACCACTTTTGAGCCCGTGGTACTTCCCATCATAGAATCCCGTACAGACTGGGTTGGAGCGCTGTCGGATTTTGCCCCTGAAAGCACGGTTGGAGTTGCCCAACATGTGCGGGAGCCCATCCAAGTGAAGACGGAAGGACCGGTGGCCCTACTTGGCAGACGCAAACAAGACACTTCTTCCCCAACCCTCGGCAGCGACCACTTGGTGAAATTCGAGGCTCTTTCCGGCATTGGGGCCGCTTTTCACCCAGCCTCCCCTCCGCCTCACTCGGTACTACCGACTATTCTGGATCTCAAAGCGCGACCGACACAACACAACGCTCACTACACTGCTGAGTCGACTGACTGCTCGACAACGATTCCCGACCCTGATGCCCACAGACGGCACACGATCGCGAAAGCCATTACTGATCCACATGCTGGACTGCCAGACACCTACGAGAATAGGCCATCCAAAATCATCGCATTCTTATCCAAGCACAAGCTGGCCCAGACCAACGAAGTGAGGCCATCAGAGGTCGTTGGTGATCAAAGAGTATCCGAGAAAGCCATCTTGCAGGTTGAAAGACCGGACTCGATCACTAATGTATTGAGTCCTCAAGGACCTGTGGGCTCCTTCACATCCTCAGACGATGAGTCCTTCGTCGCCAAGGCCCCTGAGGACCCGAAAAAGCAGATGCTGGACAGACTTTTGACAGCATTTGATCTCCTTTGGGATGAGACATGGACGGCGAGGACATTCAATTCGGGCGACAGTCCTTCAGGCGGCAACCACAGAACCTTCGCTTCCAGTCAGAGTGGCTACACGAACGCTACGACTGAGAAGAGGAAGAGGAAGCCTGAAAATGATGGCGACGACAATAATGAGGAAGCGCCCAGAGAACATGCACTTCCACCACAGGATCAGAGCGAGCCCGCGGATCCGAGAACTCGGAGACTCGCGTGTCCGTATCATCAACGAAACCCGGATAGGCATACTTCCATAAGATCCTGCAAGGGCCTTGGCTTCTTGGGAGCTCATAGAGTCAAGTAAGCAAGTGTGCTCTTCACCTTGACGCCGTTCTAACTGTGAGCGACAGAGAACACTTATACAACCATCACGAATTGCCTATTCGCTGTCCGAGGTGCCTCGAAACTTTTCCAACACAGTTAAACCTTGATAATCACCATAGGCAGGATGAGCGATGTGAAAAAAAGACAGAACATATACCACGCGAGGGCTTCAACCATGAGCAGAAGACTCGTCTCAAGAAAAAGATGCAAGGCTCAGACGAACACAAATGGCGCACTATATATCGAGTGCTTTTTCCAAATGACCGCGAGGAAGATATTCCTTCACCATGTTAGTATGATGCGTGCTGTTCTTGAGCCTGAGATCCCCTTGTAGGTAATGTGGTAGCTGGCCAAGGTAGCTGACGTCTGGTGCAGATGTGTATGACACAAGAGGAACAGGCGAACTCGAGAAGTATGTCAGTTTCATGGGAAGGGAGACAAAGAGACGAGTACGACAGAAGATTGAGAAGGCGATCAACGTGGAACTAGCTCCGCTGGAGCGAGAATTACTTTTGAAACTCCCGGACCTAGTATTCGAGACGCAGCAAGAGATCTATCACGACTACCGGAGTGCGAAAGCTGCACCGCCAGCTCCAAACCCACCGCTGTCGAGCGCTGGCCTATCAAACCCCAGAGCAATGGCATCACCCAAAGACCTTTTGAGCCCATTGAATCCAAAAACGTTGTCAACCGAATTGGCCACATGCGATCCAACCATGCTAGAGTGGTATTTTCAGCAATTCCTACCAGATATCGAAGTTTCACAATATTGGCCACAACTGGAAGAGCAAGCGTCTCTTTACGACCAGGGCCTGGCTCCAGAGACAGATGGGGAACGCGCCGCGCGGGAGGCATTTCAGCAGGACCACCCCGGGGCCATCGAGCGAATACCGACGTCTGCAACTGGTCTCAGATGCGGCTGGGAGTCTCTAGTCCGTTCTTGGCAGTCCTTGCGCGATCAATTGGAACGACAGGTTAGGTTACTGTATGGCGACATTACGGTGGACGACCTCGACAGGGTATACCGGCGCGAGGCTGTTCGAAACCCGGATTTCCTCATGGAAAATTACAACATGTTTCGAATCGACCAGATGGCAATCGTATTATCGGTGCTGCTTTTCGAGTTGTTTGGCATTCATGTCCAACTGGGATATGTTCACCCACACAGAGGCCAGGCTTACTTCGCCGTGTTGGTTCCCTATCAGGAGGGCGTTCAGCCGAACTTCCGGCTCTGGGTTTTCAACAACAACGCTTCAGCAGCGGATTGGAATAATGCTCACTTTGAGGGGATTCGCGATGCGGATAACTCGAGAGGTCTATGGCATGTGAGCTGCGAGGACGAGGATAGAGAAGAGGGGTGTGAGTCCTGTGCCTTGGATGAGCAGCTGAATGGCAAAAGCAAGGGCAAGGGCATCTGCCTCCACAAACCCTAGCGACAGGAGGGTTGAGTTGGATCTCAAGTGTCAGAGAATGCCACAATGACTGCAGAGGTGTCTTAGGGCAGCTAGCTGTTGAAGCTTCTCACAAGTCGGATGTAGGGTAACGACTCTGACCTGACATATTGGGTGTTAGGACTGGGCCCGCTGTATATACTACTATAGCGGGACAATATGCAGGAGGCGGAGGGAACCTATGCGCAGCTTTACACAGTGATCCATGCGAAGACCGCGAGCTCGATACTCTCTAGGATCATCTTCATTTTTCCTTCCCCCCTCCCCCCCTTTTTTTTTTTGTTTTTCTTCTTTTCTTTTTTTCTTCTTTGCCGTTCTTCTTTTCTTCATCTCTTTCTCTCTTGTCGGCACACCTTTTTTTTCCTTTTTTTCTTCTTCTTTTCCTTTGGCCCTTACAACGTCCGAAGGTCACTGACCTGGGAAGTCTTTTCGTACATCTTGACAACGAATCCCAGCAGGCGATAAGAGGTGAATTAATGCCTTGAAAAGTAGTGATTATCATATGTGTTTTGCACATTATGGCTTGGGTATCAGACAATATGTGCCAAAGCATAACAGACATTAAGTACTGTCGTGTGTTGCTCGGGGAGAACATCTATCTCCTCTTCTTGTCTCTACTTTTCTCCTTGTAGCGACTCTTCTTACCATAATGCCAAAATGGTCAATGGCCATGCCTGCCAACCGAACGCCTGGTTGAAATCCGTCACCAAAGCGCATCAGCTTTCCGACTGCTGAAAAATGGCTCACTCGAACCAAACCGTCAACATCTCCCATCATTCATGGATGCGTCCAAGACATACGCTCAGCGTATGATCAGTCATCCAGGGTATAAATCCTATCTGCTCCTAGTCGTGCTTTTTCAACGTTCACTGTCTCGCTTTGCCTAGTACAGTAACTCGAAGCCAGCCTCCCTCAACATGTCCCCGCTGGGAAGCATGGGCCGTCCCTGCATCGGAAACGGCCAAAACAGTGGGTTCTCCATAGAATCCCCGACTTTGGTGGTGACCGTCGGATTCATCGACTGTACAGTAGGCTCCGACAACGGTGGTGGTGGCGGCGGCGGAGGAGGCCCGTTGCTGCTGCTGCCAGTGCCAAAGGTCGAGACGTAATCCTGCTCACGCACGTTAGGCGTGAAGAAGTTCAGGCTGTGCGTCACGGGCCGCGTGCCGTACTCTGGATTCTTCATCCTGCTCCCAAGCTGCTGACGTTGCTGCTGACGTTGCTGCTGACCTGGGGCCTGACCGCCGCCGCCGCCGCCGGGACCGCCGCCGCCGGTGGTGGTCGCTACGCCCTCGTCCTCCTTCTCCTCCTCCAACCTGCGTTTCGTGTCCACATCGATCTCGATGTTCCACTTCTTGGCGAGGTAGCGCAGGATGTTGAGGGCCTGTTCTGCGAAGTGGTGGCATGGTGCCATTTCCGTCAGGTCGGCGATGCCCTGGTTGATGGCCTTGGTCACCCGCTCGCCGATCTCCTCGGAGGAGGGTGTGCCGAGCTGCGAGTCCACCTGCGGCTTGGCGCGCAGTCCTCGTGCTGCGTCGGCCGCGGCGATCGCTAGGTGCATGATGGAAGACGTGAGAACAAAGTATGGCACAAACGATGGAGTCCGCCGTAGGGTGTAGAGTTGGGAGTAGGAACGAAGGAGCCCCTGGATGGCATCCGCCGCCTGGCAGCAGACGTCCCGTGGGGAGATGCTCGAGCCAATGATCCGGAGCTTTATAAACGGTCGGAAGAGAAGTAGTATAGCAAAATGGTAGTACATGCTGCGTTAGTGTGTAGGTCAGTAGCTAGCTTCGCCAGGCGGTGGGGGAGAAGGGCGAGAGAGCAAAAGAGAGAGATAGAGAGACAGAGAGAGACAGAGAAAGAGGCGCAGAGGGTGGGAGCGGTGAACGTACTGGGCGAAGAGGACGGCTGGGGTGAAGTTGTGTCCCAGCCGGAGTACCTCGGGTATCCTGTCATACCAGTTCAGAAACTGGGTGTAGATGTTTAGAAGGTCGCGGCTGGATAAGGGTCGTCCTGGCGAGTGCAGAATGTACAGCGCCTGATGTACCAGCTCGCTCAGCTCACAGAAGCACTTGTAGACAGAGCGAACGTTAGACGGCTGCTCACAGGAGCGCTGTAGAGGCACGCCTAAAGCCAATCGTTCCATTAGCATACAGGCAGCAATTTATCATATGATTAGGAACCGCAGCGCTCGAGATACATACCGTCGTCAGTGTATGGTATCCAGACCGAGGCCTCAATGTCCCCTATGATGGTAGGCTTCGGCGGTAAGGACGGATAACATGAACATTGCGGAAGAGAACCGGTGGCCAGAGACCAAGCGCTGTGTGTGGGTGTGGGTGTGCTTGGTTAGTAAAAGTTGCCGTGGCCGGGTCAAACATAGATCCTGCAACTGGTGAGAGGGGGGAAAGAGTGTGTCTTGGAGAGCTACTCACTGGTCCAGGGAGAAGGCACCCCAGAAAGTAGCAGCCTGTACTGCGACCTCGTCGGGATCACCGGATGCGTTGCTCACATGGTGCAGGCCCATCTCGATAGCCAGACGGATGCTCTGGCCGGCGTAGTACCAGCTTTCCGAGTCCCTACCACAGCTGGCCTCCCGGATCGACATAATCCCCAGTGCCTGTATGGTGGTGAGGCTGTGATGGTCTTCTTCCTGGTGGTACAGCCGCTGGCACTCGGTGAAGAAGTGGTCCCCTGACGAATACGGGTCGTCTGGGTTGGCCAGGGTGCTGGGCTGGCGCGAGAACCGACAGCCCAGGGCCAGCAGGGCGTTGACGAGCATCGGGGAGCAGAAGCGTTGACGGCCGGCCTGGAAGTCCTTGAGGAAGTGTTCCTTGCTCAGGGAAGCAAAAGTCGGGTACTCCCAGCAAAAGTACAGCATCAGCAGGTGCTGCACGAGCGCCTTGTCAGAGGTGATGCCGGTCCAGGTTGTGGCTGGGATATGCATCTCTGGTATGTCGGAGGCCATGGGGCGTTCCGGGCCCCGATAGCTCGCCCCTTCTCCCTCGTGTATCTGCGCACGGCTATTGTCCTCCACCCAACGGCCGACCCTTGTCTGCGGCTGATGCCCGGGCAGCGGCCAGCTCGAGACGTCGGGGTGTGAGTTGCTCCTGCCGGACTGTGCCTGGCTGGTCGCCGAGAAGTGGGAATGGGAGCCCCAAGGGCTATTCGGATCGATTTCTGGCCTGGCACTCTGAGGGTGGGCCGTCGAGACGGGGCTGAGGGTCGTACTGCCAGGACCACCGCCGCTGCCGCCCAGGCCCGCGATGTTGGGCGTAAACGAGTTCGTACTCACGCCGGTGAAGGCGGCCATGGGGGTGAAGTTGGCTCCTCCCATCGCAGCAGCCGAGGGATGGCCGCTAAAGGTGTGCATCATGGGGCTGACGACGGGCGATTGGTGGTGGCTGCTGCTGAGCCATTCTGATATGGCCTCGACGCTCTGGCCGGCGCGCAGGCGGCGCACAACTTCCTCCCACTGGTCATGGCGGGCGAGGGCAGATAGGACGGACTCGTTCGAGCGCTGCTGGCGGCGGAGGTGTTCGATCTCGGTGCGGAGGTTCTCTTTCGACTGGCGTACGGGGATCTCGTAGATACACTCCACATCCTTCTGGGCCTTGCACCTGGCGCAGGGTCTGACACCATCGCACTAGACAATCAAATCATGAGACAAGAGCGTGTTAGCCATACCCGAGGGGGGTTGGTGGCGGTGGCGGGGCGAACGACGACGAGGAGAGGTGAGCAAGCTTTTTAAAAGGAGGGGGGGGAGGCCGAGAGATTGGAGGAACGGGATAGAAGAGGACGGCGTTCAGTTTTGCTCACCTTGGCCCGCTTCTTGCGACACTCGGTACAAGCGTTGGGGGTGACGACGCCCAGGCCACGACGACGTTTTGAAGACGCTGGACCAGCGGAAGAAGCTGGGGCGACGGAACCTGAGGCTGTCGCATTGGGAGTGCCAGAGGTGCCCGAGGCGGAGGAGGAATCGAACTGCCCAGGCGTTCCAGAGGCAATGGGCCACGAAGGGGGAGGAGGTGGAGGCCCGGGCGTGGTGTTGGCGGTGGTAGCAGTTGTTGTAGTAGCATGAATGGTCGAGCTGGGCGTTACAGAGCGCTCATGAGAGGGAGGAGGGGATTGCTGTGGTGGTGGTGGTTGTTGCTGCTGTGGGGAATCCTCATCCATTGGATCCATGCTGGAGGGGAATGAAAGCTCACGGAGCCCGTCTCGAGGTGATGTCACGTCGAGTGGCAAACAGTAACAGAAGGCACGCGCGGGTGGGTGTACTGGACAGGCATGAGGCAAGCCTACGTGATAACACGATACATTGTAGGAACAGAGAACCCCGAGGTTGAAAGAAGATGATTAGGACGGAATAGAAATGCTTGGATGGGATGGGTTGGGTTGGGTTGGGTCAGGATGCGATGGGGTTGTGTGACGACAATTGTTGCTTTTGCTCTGTGCTTTTCTCTCCTTCCCACTTCCCCAGACGGGCCTTGCAACATATTCAACGAAAGCTTGCAGCAACCTTTCTTCAGGACCTTGAATCCCTGCATATGATGGAGCAAGGATTCTCGGGAGGAGGGGTACACTTTTTTACCTGAACAGAACATCACTTCGGTACTAGTACCAGGAGAGGGGCTGCAGCGTCATTCAGCAATAAGCCGGCATGGCTTGTTTAGGTTGGTGCCAAGGTTCCTGGCTGGCAGGAAGGCCAGGGGAATATGGACTAATACCTGACAGACAGGCAGGCAGACTTGCTTTTCCCCTGCTCTCTCATCAGGAAGATCTTTTGGAGGGATATTGGCAGATAATCTTGACCCGATGTAGTAGGGACTTGGACTATTGTGTCATTATCACAACAGCGGAGATGGCCTGTGGCTGCCCTCCTTAGGTTGCAAGTACCAGAGCAGCCGTAGGTATTCAAAGTGTCCCATCTGCTTTTCCCAAGGCTTTCACACATTTCTTTCCCCTTTTTGTGATGCTCCAGATTTCTACTTCAGAAATCATATCAAGACCAACTTTTTCTTGGCTCAAAATCTTGATGTTCCGGATGACCCTGACGGTCAAGCTATTCCTCCACATCTGGCACACCTGGGCCATTCTGCTCACACCTCTACAATAACTCCTATAGTGGATTCATGCAGCTGCTGGCCAACATGGAAGTTGATCTGAGGACATTACATAGTAATTGTCTACAATATCTGAGCACATGAGAGCCAATCAGTAAACGAGAGACGGAGAAAACCTCAGTCAATAAATTCGATGAGTGTGAGAGCTGGGCTTTGCTTCGGGAGGCCGAAAGTGGGTCCCCGGGCCGGGCATGTGCGGAGGTGGTCCGAAGATCGTGAGGCATCCCATGATGCCCGTAGGAGAGAGTCTAGATGATTGTAAGGGCAAGGGAGAGGATGTGGCTTACATATAATAGCATGGTCTCAGGTGTGTGAAAGGTGTGTGTGTGTGTGTGTGTGTGTGGAGAGGGACATATAGGAGGACTGGAGTGTAGATATTCTTGGCTCGATCACAGGCTGGCAGCATCTGCCCACAGCTGGCTGAACATGATGACCTCGCCCCCCCCCCCCTTTTTCGTCATTGTATTCAAGACAATTTGAAGACAATACCTGCCAGATCAAAGCCAGTTAGTACTGTATTCTTACGATGATTTTAAAGAGGAAATAGTCCCACCTGCAGGTCTCAGGTGTTGTGGCAGGGGTGAGGGAAATAAAGAAAGAGAGAGGAGACGGTGGTGGAAATAAGAATCGATAATTACATATTTTGCTAAGGGCATTTGATGATCGTGTTCGTGAATATATCTTTTGTTATTTTGTTTTCTCCAGTGGTACTGGATGTCTCCCCTTATCATGATCCTGATCTTATCACTATCAACAGGTTAACCATCATTCGTTTCTTTTCTCCCTTGCCACCAACCACTGTTGTCCTTGAATCACCACCCCCTCCTCACCCCGGCCCTCCTCATTATATCTGACCACATCCTTAAAAAAAGAACAAAAACACAACCCCCAAAAACCACCTCCCCTTTTTTCCTAAAGACATATTTTGTAAGACATAGCAAAACAAGAAGACAGAACCAGCCACCCTCATTCTCCCCCTCACCCTCAACCACCCATCTGACCTCGATCTGGACCCCTAGGCCTGCAGACAAGGCCCCATCTTCTCAACCTCCACCTTCCATCAGCACGTCAGCGCTGCGGCCCCACTGCGATTGCAGGCAACTCGAACTAACTCAATCACTTAAGAGGGCCAACTCGGTGATTGTTGATCTGACAGAGCAGAGTTCTTCACTCATTCACCGCCTGCAGTCAGCATTTGTTGAAGGCAACCTTCTAGTTGTTGCATTCTCTGACCATAATCATTGTCTCCTTTAAATAAACTGGCAATCTGGGAACAACAGCGCCTGCATTGGGTTGGGCTTGCATCCATATCGTCATCCTTCACCAAGAATGCCAACTCGTTAAACGCCACACTGTTACATCACATCGGATCACATCACACAGCGCCACCTTGTCCTGTTCCATTCTTTCTACATTGTCATTCGACCAGCATCATATCGACATCAATACAAGACGCGCTCTGTACAGCCCTAGACGACTTCAAAGTGGTCCAGAAAGCAAAAGCAAGAGTGGACAAGCACAGATCGCCGTATAACGTGTAGCGCTGGTCCTGGCGCGTTTCCAGCCACCAGTGCAGGGTTCAAGTCAGGCTGAGAGAGCAGGCTGAGGGCCAGGCTCAGGTGCGGGTGCAAGATCAGGCTCTCGTTCTCTCTCTCTCTCTGCCCATCTCAGCTGCATCGACAGACAAGTGCACTCACATTCTACACACCCTCTCATGTACATCATCTCTCGAGATGCAGTCACAGCAAAAGGATAGTCAGGCTGCTCCTGTGCAGGCACACACCAGCAGTGCCCCCTCACCATCCATCACCACCCCAGGCACAGCCAGTGGATCCATGACCATGACCACCGGTACTGGTCCCACCAACGGTAACAGTAGTGGTGATCATACTGCTGCTGCTACCACTGCTGTTGATGCCGTCTCTGCTACCAGTCATGACATCTCATCACCATCGACAACAATGTCAGCAGCCACAGCAGCAGCCATCAACAAGAAGCGGAAGAAGGACGGCCTCAGGCCTATTATTACTACTGAGTATGTACATCTACATGTGTTTGATACCCTGCTTTCCTCCCCTTTCTTCTTTCGATTTGTTCTCCATTTTCTTTCTCTTCTCACATGCGTATTTTCATTCTGCCTATGTTGTTGCACATGCATATGCTTGTTTCTTTTTATCTCAACCTCCTGCCTCATCATGATATAATGCGTCTCTAGTGAGGCATGTTGCAAGTAAAGTCTGGGTCTCGCATACCCCCCTCCCTGGTATGGATGTGCACTTCCTTTCCGTTGCCTTCTTCTCTCCTGCAGAATATAATGTTACTCTGCAGCCTGTCTCCCACTGCTACTACCACCATCATTATGGACGTGTCCCGACTGTGTGATCAAGGGAACATATCTTGGTGATGGGAGTGGTGGGCATACAAGTCCGGCAGAGGATGGATTTGTGAGAGCAAAGATGATATAGAAAGTGGAGACAGAGGTAAGGTTGAGCAGGAAAAAGAAGGCATCATCATCATCATCATCATCATCATCATCATCATCAGCTCCAAGTGGATTCTTCAAGTATGGAGGAGGGGGCGGCACAGGGCACAGAGCACCCACAGCGCAGGGCAGAGAAAAGATCGGGAAAGGCACAGGGCACCAGGGGGTCCTCTGGAGGGGCTGGAGAGGCGCCCGTCCTTTGTGATCGGCCCAGCGGGGGTGGGAACCCCTGCAGCCCTGCCACCAGACTTGGTGGGTGGGGTTTTGATGTCTTCATTAACTTACTGGGGCATACCACTGGGAAGGCGTCAGAACCTGACAGGTCCACTGCTGGTGCTCCTACCCTTCCTCTTGCTACTGCTGCTTCTACTGCTAGACCGCGGCACAAGATCACCAGAATGTCATCGGTACTTTGCCTGGTGGTCATGGCCATCTTTCCCCCATCTTTTTGCGTTTCTTTCTCCTTTTTTTCTAATCCACCTTTGCTGGTTATGACCCAGTGGCCTGTGGCAGGTGGTAGTACCCAGTTCCCTGTGATCACTGATTAGTGGTCAGTGTCACTGGTCAGTGGGCTATAACACCTACCTAGACAGGGGCCGTGGCCATGGTCATCAGCGGGCGCTGGATGACAGGTCCAGACCCAGCTGGTTAGCGTGCTTCGGGTGCACAAGCCCAGTCAAGGCAACATACCAGAGTTCACACTGAAAGTCTCACATACTCATTGAACTCACCTCACCCACCCCAATGAACCCCAAAAAAGGCACAAGAACACACACACGCACACACACACATAGAGAGAGACATAGGCCCCCAAGGCCCGCCCACCCTACCTCAGGTGGATCCCTGGTCTGTGAAGCCCCCAGTTCAACACCTTCAGAAGGCAGAAGTGAGTTCCACCTGAAAGTCTGAAGATCGCGGCCCCCGTCTAGACCCAATCTTCTTACTGTCATAGTAGAGAACCTACCCCCCTCCACCTGTGTTTCTGCGCCCTCCCTCTTTCTCACTCTTGTCCGTTGCATCCGCATCTGTAAAAACCCGCCCCTCATTTTTTTCTCAACTCTCCATCATCCCACATCAAACCGTGTGTCCCTGCTCTGCTGCTGCATCCACCAGAGGACGGGAACCTTGGGCCTGGCCATTGCTTTGGCACCAGTGCTTGGTTTTCTCTGCTGTGTGGGCTGGCACATGGCAACAAACAGTTAGCGACACTTACCCTATTTTCCTTCTTCATCTTTACCATTGGTGACCTCTACTGTCGTCATCATCACTCATTCTTCTCCTTCCTTTTTACCCCCCAACACAACAACCCAGCAACATCTCCCGACATCGACCTTGACACACTCAACAGCCCACCATCCCACCTCATCCTCCGTCCCCGCTCTTAACCCCTCCAAACCCTGTCTGCACAACCACAAGCGACAACAGCAACAATAACATTCATCACCGCCACCATTGTCCTCTGACCTAATCCTCCTACCCTCACATTTACAATCACCCCCACACTCACATTCTCCTACATATCTCCTTCTTTCTTTCTCTGTTTCTCCTATACTACTGTCTACTACTGCTTCAATCAAAAATAAGGCATCAATTGCCTGGGCAGACCAATTGCCCCCGACCCCTCCTCCCAGTTTAGGGCCCTTCCCTCCTGCCTTACCAAACAAACCCAAACCCCAGCCACATAACACGCTCAGTCATGTTCAAGACCAAGAACAACTTACCTCCCCTGCGTGATCTTGATAAGAAGGACCCGATGCTCAAGACAAGGTTTTTAACCCCCCCCTCCCCCCACTCCTTCTCTTTCCTTGCGTCTGTCTTCTTCCCCTGCGCCACACCGAGCAGTGGCAGCACCAGCAGCAGCAGCAGCAGTGTGGCCTCCTCCGTACTGCCTTCCCTCCTCCTTCCCATCTCCTCGAAGCGCGGAAGTCAGGAGCGAGCAGCAGCAACACGAAGAGGAAGTTACCCACCTAAACAGGCGACGCTTGCCGTGTTTTGACTAGTGGTCTGGAACGCTTGGCTTGACCTGGCTGCATTCTTTTCCCTCTCTCTCACCCGTGCGCGCCAATCTGCGCGCCTTCACTCTTTTGCGACAGCGGGGCGCATTTTATCACAACAACGATCCCACCAACACCGCCATCAGCAACGTACATACCTACCTGCATAATACCCATTGTTCTTATTGCCGTCGTTGTCATTCTTCCTGAGTACCCCGTCTGCGACAACGTCTCACTGTGTCACCATCTTTAAGGCTTGCCTTGCTAACCGCCTACCCATCGCAAAACCACAGGACCGCTCACCTTACATCCTCCTCCGCCATGCAAGGCTCGCCTACCTCTACCTCGTCCTCTGTGGAGGACCCCGCCGACAACACCGCCGACGAGGAGGACTCCGAGGACTATTGCAAGGGCGGTTACCACCCCGTTACTGTCGGCGAGAAGTTCAACAACGGCCGTTACACCGTCGTCCGTAAGCTCGGCTGGGGCCACTTCTCCACAGTCTGGCTCTCTCGCGATGCCACCACCTCCAAGCACGTCGCCCTCAAAGTCGTCCGCTCTGCTGCACACTACACCGAGACCGCCATCGACGAGATCAAGTTGCTCCAGCGCATCGTCAACGCGAAGCCCGAACACCCAGGTCGCCGACACGTCGTCTCCCTCCTCGACTCCTTCGAGCACAAAGGGCCCAATGGCACACACGTTTGCATGGTCTTTGAGGTCCTCGGCGAGAACCTACTCGGTCTCATCAAGAAGTGGAATCACCGTGGTATCCCCATGCCCCTCGTCAAGCAGATAACGAAGCAGGTTCTCCTCGGCCTCGACTATCTGCACCGCGAGTGTGGCATCATCCATACAGATCTTAAGCCAGAGAACGTCCTTATCGAGATAGGCGACGTTGAGCAGATCGTTAAGAAGGTCGTCAAGAGCGAGCCTTCTTCAGACAAGGAGAACAATCGCAACGGCCGTCGGAGGCGTAGGACGCTCATCACCGGCAGCCAGCCCCTTCCCTCCCCGCTCAACGCCAGCTTCAATCACAACAACCTCTTCCCCTCCCCAGGCTCCCTAGGTCAGATGGTAAATGAAGGTGAGCATGCCACCCTCTGCCGCCTTTCCGTCACTTCTGGCCTCGTCTGCTGACCATATCCCCCTATACAGCACGGGATCCGTCGACCCCCAAGGATGAGGAGAAGCAGAAGCAGCGCGAGAAGACAGCGTACGTCCGAACCCAGTCCAAGTTTGCTCATCTCTGATTCCAGTATTATATGCTGACAAGTTTTCTTTTCCCAGGGATCTCCTTACTGAGGAGGTGTCAGGCATCTCTCTCGACAAATCTCACAACTCCTCCACGTCGACGTCTTCTGCCGGGGAAAAGCGCAAAGCCGAGGATAACGGGCTCGGCCTCGACATTATCAGCGTCAAGATTGCTGATCTGGGCAACGCCTGTTGGGTTAACCACCACTTTACGAACGACATTCAGACGAGGCAATATAGGTCGCCGGAGGTCATACTGGGTGCAAAATGGGGCGCTAGCACGGATGTCTGGAGCATGGCCGCCATGGTATGCGAAGAGCCCCCCTCCCCTTTCCTTGTTTTCCTCCCTTTTCACCCTTTCTTTTTCTGTCTCTGTCCCTGAAAGCCGAGGAGGCCCTTACTGCAGCTCGAGATACTGACTGTGGCTTCCCTGGCAGGTCTTCGAGCTCATCACTGGCGACTACCTCTTCGACCCCCAGTCCGGCACCAAGTACGGTAAAGACGACGATCATATCGCCCAGATAATAGAGCTGCTTGGCCCCTTTCCCAAGAGCCTCTGTCTGGCCGGAAAGTGGTCACAGGAGATCTTCAACAGGAAGGGCGAACTCCGCAATATTCATCGGCTCAGGCACTGGGCACTGCCCGACGTCCTTAAGGAGAAGTATCACTTCAAGGAGGAGGACGCCAAGCGTATTGCCGACTTCCTGATCCCAATGTTGGAGCTGCAGCCCGAGAAGCGCGCCAATGCAGGTGGCATGGCCGGCCATCTCTGGCTCGAAGATACCGCCGGCATGAAGGGAGTCAGGATTGAGGGTCTCGAGGTCGGTAGCCGCGGCGAGGGCATAGACGGTTGGGCCACCGAGGTTCGGAGACGGTAGAGTCGGTCTGCGACGCCATGGATCTTCAAGCCTGGGTGTCTGCACAAGTCCATGTGGCTGATCGATCGGGACGGGCACGAGGACAAAAGCGGGCAGGATAGGAGCGGTCAGAGCGGGCAAGGCTGGCGTAGCGCCAGCGCAATGGATGAGCGACGTTGCACTGGGTGAAAATCTTATGGAACGGAGACAATTGTTATTGGAATGTTCTGTCCAGTGGGATATCCTCTTCCAGGCCGGTAGGAGACGTGTGAGTGTGAAGCAGACCGAGCACAGGCAAGAGTAGTAGTGGGTCTAGGGGCACAAAGGCTCTTCAGTGGGCGGTGCCTTCACTATAATGCTTTGCTGCCCCCCTTTCTTGTTTCCTTTTCTTGCTTTTCTTTTATTGGAATGGGCGACGGGAAGCAGTGCAGTTATCATTATAGCCGGAAAGACAGGCAGGCACATGGACAGAAGGGTTTGCTGTTTTATTCCGGGGTCACGATTAGCAGTAGACAGATGACGATGACAAGACAGCACGGAGAAGGAGAAGAAGAAGAGAAGAAGAGCTGTTTTGGCCCGTTGAGGGACACGGACTCGGACTCGGACAGGTGAACCTACCTACTACCCATGGGCGGGGCTGACGTCGACAACGACATTCATGATGCAAAGACTATAGCTAAACAAAGTCAACGAGTACATAAGTAGTACCTACCAGGACATTCTTATCCAGATGCTGCTCATGGCTAAGTTATGTGTGACATTCCAAGGCTTACAATTCTGTCTTCCTGTAGCATGTGATATGCTGTGGGTATGGTACCCTAGCACCTTTAGGTAGGCAGGCAGGGAGACAAGCAGCTGAGGACACTCGAGGAATGTTTCAGTCAAGGGCCAATGGTTAGTGGATCACAAGCAGGGAGGGAAAAAAACAACCTATGATACGCACTTGTCTCCATATTCGTCTTCTGTCTTGGCTATACGCTTCCATCTATCTCGCTGGTGCTTCCTTGGCCCTGTCATCATAATGAGCCTGACCGCTGCTTGCATTAGAATGCCTTTCTGTTTGCCAGTTCCGGTGTTTTCAATGAATGCTCATAACCTCGTGAGCCCTCTGAGGGAAGAATGGGGAAATAATAAGTCATAGTCATGATGATGTATCGCAGAACCCAGGTGGGTAGGGCTGATCAATCTCTCATCCACCTGTCCACTACCTCCTGTCCCTACCTAACGATATTGATGTGTTGTCTATCCCACCGCCCGTCCGTCCGTCCGTCCTGGATCCCCATAACTTGGTTTCTCGTCTGGGAGGACTTCCTAGACTAGTCTTTGATGGTAATATAGGTCTCTCTCCGAAAGGGCTGGGGGGGAAACAGCTGGGCCCAAAGAAATCGGAAAGGGCTCGTCATGACTTCTGAATCGAGTTTCGATTCAGTGCACAAACTCTGTACGTCTCACAACGCACCACTGCTAAACAAACCCCCCCCCCCCCCTCTCCTGTATCTCATCTTGCGTGTACCTCTGTGCCTCCAAAAGCGATGGTAAAGTCACACGGACTTCTAGCCACGTTTCTTCCGATTCTGTGTCATCTTTCTGAACGCCTCGATACCCGCCGCACCCACAGGCCGGTGATCCTGCCCGCCGCTGCCACCGCTGCTCATATTGCTCACAGGAGCGACAGTGTAGGAGGTCCGACTGGAGATGGGCCGTGCACGGTTCGGGTTCGTGACCAGCGGCAGCAGGGCCTTGGCGCGTTGTTCAGCGAGCTTGGCGGAGACGGAGGACACGGCACCGCGTGGCTGAGAGGAGGGCCGATGGGCCAGGGATGACTGAGAGGAGGAGAGCTGGGAGGAGCGTCCAGCGGCAAGCCTAAGGGAACTAGAACGGGGTCGTTAGCTAGGTTCGTGATGATGGATGCAAGAGGTAGGTGAGGGGAGACGTGGAGGGGTGGCGAAGGCGAGGCAATAAATAGAGAACAAAGAAAGAGTATACCTAGTGTCCACCACGCGTGTGTCGATCATCCTCTTCTTGTAGTCATCTGTCCTCTTCAGGATGGGCCTACTCCACTCGCCCATAAGGCGGTCCGCCATGCGCTTGATCTCGGGCTGCGCGCGCTTCGTCTTGGTGTAGAAGAGGACCACCTTGCCAATTCCGCTCGATAAAAGGGTCTCCTTCTGGACTGACAGGCGGATGAGAGCCGAGAAAATCTCGCGCTGGATGTTGTACGCCGGCAGGCTGCCGTCGGCCTGCAGGGGCTCCAGGAAGTATTTGACGGCCTGCAGAAAGTTGGTCTCCGGGTCGAGGATGGCGTGCTGGATGCTCTGGCGGTTGAGGAGAGCCATGACCTCAGGCAGGAGCTTGAGCTTCTGCACCGCGGGCTGGTGATTACTGACAGCATCGTTGTCGTTCTCGCAGGCGATTTCCATCTTGACTTTGACGTCGGCGATTTGTTCGTCGAGCGCATCTTCCAGGTCCTATATGCATATGAATACCAGGGGTGGTCAGCGGCTGAGACTCATTGTCACAAAGGGTATCCCATGTTCCTTGACATGATCGACCTACAATATCGTCCTTCTTGCTGCGCCGCTTGTTGGGCTTCGTCTTCAGAGCCGCATCCATCGCCCTCTCGATAGCCCTCGCCCTTCTCTGCTCAGGAGTCAGGTCGTCCTCGTTCTCGGGCTCGGGAGTCGCCTTGGCAGACGACCTCGCCTGCTTCTTCCTCTTCTCGCTGCTGCCGCCAGCACCGCCTTCGCCGCCCAGGCGCCGTCTCTTGCCCTCAATGATGGTCCCATCCGCGGCGCTGACCTCGTCCTCGTCGTCCTCGGCGCGGCGCTTCTTTTGTCGGCGACCCTCCTTGGGCTTCTTCGCGGCACCGCCATCGGCGCGCTTGCGCTTGGTAGCCTTGAGGCTCTTGGCGACGTCCTCATCGATCTCGACGGGACGTGTCTCGATCTTGGCCTTCAGCGGGTCGTAGTCCTCGAGGTCGTCCACATCCACCTCGGACAGCTGGTCTGAGTCCCGGTCCGACATGTCGTCCACATCGTCAACGTCATTGTCATTGTCGGGGACGGGAGAGTCGACGGGGGTATCTTCGCCCGCGGGACGCGCAGATTGGTCGTTCTCTTCGATGTCGGACATGTTTGTTTGGCTGCGATATGCTGCTGAAGAAGTCAAGGGGAAGAAAGGGAAAGAGAAGGGAGTGAGATGCTCTAGGAAATCACTGAGTTGCTAGAATGAGCAGGATCTCGTGAATGAAGATGGGAGATTAGGGTTGATGTTGGAGGGAAAGGAGAGGTGTGGTGGGGGGTTGTGAAGGCAGAGGGACAAAAGCCAAAAGGCGTACAGAGAATGCCAATACCAGGTGGAAAGGCTGGTTGGAGTCAAGGTGCAAACAAGAGCTAAGGTGGTCCGAGCTTTGGAAGGGAGCCCAGAAACGACAGGGATCAGGGATTGGACCCCCACAGACTTTCTGGCAGGCAACGGGTTGTCGTCGCCCCTTGCATGACTTTTTGTTTGTTGATTTCCGTTTCTTGATTTGTAGCTGTCACTCATCTGCAGGATGCATGTGTCGTGACGCTTCTGTCTCTTTTTCTCTCCACTACCCAACATTTCTACCTTCTTGGCCTTTCCATTGTAGCTCTCAAACCCGACGCATTCCTTCTTTACTCTACATTGCCGATATCCATTCCCGTGGGTATCTTGTTCCACCGTCAGTCTTTGTTGCGACAATGGAGCGACGGGCGCATTTTGGTCACATGGACTGGGAATGGGAGAATGGCCGTGGTGCAGTCGATGCGACAAGTCCTTTTGCTCAGGTCCAACCACAACGCACTCCAGGTCGGTTCTACTAGTCCCCCAAACCCCTCCTCACTTGCGCTCTGGAGGGTATGGTGACACTTTCGGCGTGCCTGCGTTGCTAATTTGTATACTGCCGCAGCTGCTCAACCCTCTGCATCATCATCCTCCTCCCAATCGAATTCCCAAAACAATCCTTTCAACGGCGCTGCAAGACAGACTAGTCCAACTCGGAATCCCTTCGCTGCCGCTCCTCCTTCAAGGTCGATCTTCAGTCCCAATCTGCAGAGGACAAGTAAAGGATCGGCTTTTCGAAATGTCACCTTCACGACCCCGGCTTTTTCTACCCCTCAAACGAGTCGCCTCGCAGACATAGACTTTGACGACAGCCCCGCTATGACCGAGGCCTCCGAATTGCAGGAGACCCCAGAGGCCGAGAAATCAGATTTCCTGGAGAGCCCTAGCATGTCTAGTCCCGAACGACCGGCCCGCAGTGTGGCCCAGGCGATGAGGTCTGGGAAGGGCAGTCTGCCGCGTGCGACAGGTGTCGGCTTACCCAACGATCGGGTGCGCAAGAGAGCGCGCAACAATAGAGACAGAGACATTGGCAGCACACGCACGCGACTGCCGGGGGGGTGCGACGAGGACGACAGCGACTTTGAGGAATACAACGATTCCAGAGACAGGCGCGCCAAGTCCAGGGAGAACATGGGCTGGCTGTACTATATCCTGAGCACCATCTCTTCAAACCCAGAGGCTCCCATCATATTCTCCTGGTACCTGCAGGTCTTTGTCAACTCGTCTCTCGGTGGTCTTTTGCTGTGGACAGCTTGGGGTATCGTCTCGGCTGTGAGAGGCGAAGTCATCTACTCGTCGGAGAAGGCGAAACTGAATCTGCTCGCCGAAATCGAGCAGTGCAGCAAGCAATACGCAGCGAACAGGTGTAGCCCCATCTCTGAGAGGGCACCAGCGCTCGAGCACCTCTGCAACGAGTGGGACCAGTGCATGACCCAAGACCCTAACAGCGTCGCGGGCGTGAAGGCGTCGGTGAGCCACCTTGCTGACATCATCAATGAGTTTACCTCGCGCCTGTCCTGGAAGTCCATTGTAAGTCTCTCCCCCTCTCCCCCTTCAGGGTGCCGTCCTTGCTTGTTTTGATGGTCAATTGCACAACCCTCCCCTCCCCCCCCCCCAAAAAAAGAGATACAAGACTGATGCTTCTACGCAGACTGTCATCCTCATATTTGCCGTGGTCCTCGTGTTCGCCAACAACATGGCGTTCAGCAAGTTCCGCCAGCACGTGCGACACTACAATCAGCAGCGTCCTGGCGAGGCACAGCCCTCTCATCCAGCCATGGGCTTCCCCATGACACCTCATAAGCCAGACCAGGCTTATATCTTTGCGCCGATTGGCCACACGCCCAAGCACATCCGGCGGGCGCTTTTCCAGGACGAGACGGATACAGATGCTTCGCCCGACCTGAAATTGCTCCCGCCAGTGCGCACGCCGTCGAGAAGGAGTCCTAGTAAAGGGGAACGTAGCAGGAGCCCTTCCAAGCGGAGCCGGTCCGAGGACTGGTAAGGAGCGGCGAGACCATTGGGCCGATGCGCTCCAATTAGACCGTTTCTGTGGGAAGCGCCACGGCAGACTATCGGAGAATACGAACACAACAAGCCTCTATGCTAAGCAGCGCCTTAGCCAAGCTCTTCTGGTTACCCCCTTACCTTATCGAGAATAGCGATGGTTGTGTGTACCGTGCTGATCTGATGTTTTGGAAACATGGACACCACTGGTATCTGGATCACCTTGGATAGGGTAGCAACAAACCATTATCGATCAAGCGGAACGCAGAGCGACGAGATCGCATCGTCATCTCAGCAAGTTTATCATCCTGATGCGCCAGCCCCGGCTGTGCTCATCACGTGATAATCAGAGCGTCTGCATGTCGTTGCGCGCCAATATTGTTCATTACATAAGTGTATGTTGGCCGGGATGGCTTCGAATCACGGTACGAACCTCGGGGTGTGGGAGCTTCACATGACGTACAGGGGGTCTTTTCTTCTTGTCTTTCTCTTGCATTGAGCTTCGGGAAATAAGAGGCCGAGTAATCATGCACTCTCTCTTTCTTGCGCCTTTTCCAGCATTCGGTCAGGCATGAGGCATGGCGCAGGGATGGAAAGCGCCTGGTGAATACTTTAAGTAGGTAAAACAATGATGTATTCAAGAGATCAAAGTCTGACGAAGCAAGTCAAGAAGGAAGAAAACACACCCCCACATCCCGAAAGAAGGGTGCGCGCGCGCCTAGCAGGGGTCATGGAAATGTGTGCCGTGTAATTTTTGATGGGATCACCTCTACACAGCACAGCACGATGGGGAAGAGAGGAGGCTTAGAAACTGCTTGTTTCGGGTGCTTATCTGGTTTGTGCGATACGAAACGGCATCATCCGAACTTCTCCAAAATCAGCCGTCCCAAGGCACCGACGAGTCTTTGAACTTTCCTCGGATCCTTTTCTCCCTTCCGCCGTAGTGTCTATGTGCTGGAGAGCTGGTCCTCCTGGAAACATTTATCATAGTGCGTGCTACTGAATACTATCATGGTAGTGAAAATACTAAACTCGCACGCTATACCTGTGATTTGCCGTGCCACCCGTGTGCTTGGCTCAGCCCTGTGGAGATGGGTCGGCAAGTCTCTGGACCTTTTTTAAGATTATTAAGGTTTTGGCGGTGGGTCCTGGCACTGACTGGCTTGGAAAAGACTTGGGCTATTTTCCTCTGCTGTGCGTGCTGTGGTGAAGCCTGGCCAGAATTCGCAGCACAGCCCAAGCATCTGGTGCGGTTTAATCACCATACCCTTTTTCTTCTAGCTCCCCCTCGTGATGGTGGGCCCAGACTTGACAGAATTCGGTAAGGCCGCGCTGAAGACTGGTGTACCTGAATATAGAAATGGCCTGGAAAACGCCGCTGAAGCGAGATGACTGGGGGCGTGGGACGAGGCTGAGGAACCCCGGGACCACACAAATACAACGCCAGGACTTTTTGGTTGACCTAACTTACTACCGCGGCTGATGCTCTGACTGCTGCTGCATGCTACTTCAATATGTAACCATCCCACGATGTGGATCTCTTCTTCCTCAGTCGATTTCCTTCTCCCCCCTTGCCCTCTTCTCTTCTCTTTGGGAAGGGCCCCAGTCATAGCCTAAATAAGGTCATGTCTAGAAGGGACAGAAAATTTAAGGTTGTTCTCATCCCGGGATGCGAGTCAGCCAAGACCACAGGGTAGCCGTGTCTGCCCTCCTCCCCCTTGTTTCCCTCATGGCTGCTGTATTTGTGCCCACTAGGAGAGCCACTTGATCCTTCTCCTGCCACTGGGCGTGCAATGCAACACATGGGAGCAGGAGACATGTCAGATGTGCAGCGGGAGTCGAGTCAGAATGAAGAAGTGGGTTGTGTTTCCATCGCAACTGGCACCTGTCACTAGTGGGGGGAAGGAGGGTGGGCACATTTTGCATCGAGTCCAGGGTCCTCTCCGCTCCAACGGTGCCCTCACCGTTGGGGCCTTTGGGAGGGGATGTATTTCCCTTCTAAGGATCGCGCGCGCGCTCATTCTTTGGCTGGTGGATTAACCCAGGAATGCCACTGACCAGGTCACCGCTGGGACGGGGAGGAGGGCTAAGTCAAGGGAACTAGAAGATCTCTCCTAGACAAGCAATTAGGCTTGGTCACGGTAGCCTCTTTAGGAGAAGCTGCCTTTTAGGAATACGGATTGCTGTCCATGCACTCGAGGCTGGTTCGCATCATTGGTCAACTCATTGTACAATCGTGTGGTTGTGCGCGGCCCATGTGTCCTCATGAGACATATTAGTGTGTGGGGGGGGGAAAAAAGCCTCGCGCCAGGCTCAGGATATAATGTCAGCGTAAGCCGTACTACTGGCTATCCATGATGGTCTCCTCCTCCTCTCATCCTTCGAAGCGTTGTGATTGATCTGGTTTATAATCTATCAGCACTCTGCCTACATTCATTCTTTTCAAGTCGTTCGTTTACTCCGTCTTATATTCAAACACAACACAACACAACACAACCTAATTCATCAGTGTTTTGCCTTCTCTTTCACCAAACCCTCTTAATTTTACAATACATTGCTATTATAATTCCCCCTTCAACATACAACTAACAACAAGAACAAAAATGCGTCCCGAAACCCTTATCGTCGTCCTCGCCGCCGTGGCCTCTGCCCGTCCCGTCCCAACCCCTTCTTCCGTCCACGATGTCATCGTTCCTCGTGAACTACAGTACGCAGACATCAAAGCCGCAAGTGGTACTCCGACGTGGCGCCACTGGCCCAAGAACTCCTACGACAGGGACGAGGATCACTACTCTCGCCATCGCCGGGGTGAACCACACTTCCACGACGGGCGGATGCCTCATGACCACCATGGTTCTCACCGCCATGACGAGAGACACCCTGACTTGCCTCATGACCATCATGTTAGTCTCCACAATCAATAACAAAAACAAGAACAATGACAATAAGAGGCTTGCCTAACGACGCAATATACAGAAGGGTGGTCCTCAGAGTGACGTCGTCGACAACGTCCTCGACTTCATCTCGCATCATGCCCGGTCCGTCCCAGAGGTGTCATCTCGCATCATGAACGGCATTGTCGAATTCCTCTCTCATGAGACCCGCGCCTACCTTGATGTAAACTATACCCCCGCCTACATAAACCCCTCTTCTTATTCAAAGCTCCCAATCAGATCATGTTACTGACCCTATACTACAGGAGACCGATGACGATGCTGCTGCTTTCCACCGCGACCATCACAGCCCGGTCATTTTCAAGAAGACTCTCAACTGATTCACCGGTTCTTCAAGGTGAAAGAAAACAAAAGCAATGAGATTCTAGCCCATGTAGCGATCTCAAGGCTTCCACCAAAGAAAACAGACAAGGCCATTTGCACCACTGCATCAACAGATCAAGACCCAGCCGGCAAGAGAGAAAGACAACAAGAGGCGGAAAGGGGAACATCGGGAGCGAGATCGAGGTTGAATATTCGTTCGTCCAACATCGGGGGTGGAAGAGATGAAATCTTTTCGTCTTCCCCTGATCTCACAATCTTTTACGGATATTAACCCACCCTCTGGTTCCTCCCTTTTTGTGCACTGTCTTTGAAGAGTCTCCTTCTTGCATGCACCAGTCCAGACGAGCTGTTGAGACAGGTGGGCAACAGAACTCGGGACTTCACCAGAGGATCCTGTCTACCTTACTCGCGGTCCACGCAGAGGCCTTCGGACTGGTATTCTTGTGTTCTGGGTGGGACGCACAGCGGCAACTCGGCCCCTGCCCATTAGGGGCCAGTAAGGGAGGAGAAAATACCACACAAATAGGGGGAAGCACTTGAAGCTTCAAAGCTAATTGCGGCGTTGCAAAAATGGCTCACTAGGCTGGAGCATACTGGCGGAACAAAAGCCCGTGCCATGTAAAGTGGGCTGAGATTTTTACTTTGTAATCTTAAATATGAATAATGATATGATGACAAAAAGGACCCTTGAACCCTTGGGGAAAAAAGAGAAGTCATGTGCTCTGGACTCTTTACGATTAAATTGTGAGCAGTAGACAATGTAGCGTGTACTAAGTAAGTACGTAAAGTAGATTGAACGTTATTCATGGAGACAGCCCGTTATATCGTCACTTTACTTTTCTGATGGCAAGCTGAAATGTTGGCTTGTGAGGGCTGAAACACCATGCACTCAACGCGTGACCAGAGCATCAACAACTTGAGGCGTAGACAGTGTCAACATTCCATGGTATGTGTGTCCCCACAGCACATCTTGAAGCACAATCATGTATGTTTTGTGTAGTACAACTAATCATCAGTTATCTTCCAGTTGGTGCCCATCATGATTGAGTAGCGAATCTCAAAAAGGACGCGGGATTTCTGCATGGGCGAGTGCCTGCATTTGCCCAGAATATGATTAGCTGAGCGCTGCCCAGGTACACTACTATAGTGCTTATCCTGCAGCGTCGTTTAAGCATCAATCGTCCAATCCCGACCGTCGTACTCAGCCACTGGGTCACATCTGCGACCCTGCCCTGCTGTGAGAGTCAATGAGAAGTACTCTACAAAACCCCGCAGTAGAAAGAAGTGCACAATTCAGCCACGCTCTTTTTTACATTTCTTTTTCAACTTCGCGCGAGTGCATAACGTGGCGCTTTGAGGCCTCGAATATGGACAACACCGAAGCTGCTCATCCAAGCGAGGAGAAAACTCTACCCCTTAGTATCAAATCTCTCAACGATGGAGTTGGTATCGAGAAAGATCGCTTTGGACGGGCAGCTAAAACCCGAGGTGCGGCTTGGTCAGGCCATCTCCGAATTTTTGTACGCTCTTGACGAAGGGAAGAGGAACGAGTTTCGAAACATTCAGGCCACAAGCAGCAGACGGTTGTCGGGAACTGATGTCATGATGTTGACTGAGGAGATCAACAAGGCTGGTCTGCGGCAGAATCGATGCTTCAAGCCCCACGGAACGAGGATTTACAGCTTCCTGTCCCGCCTTCAGACGTTTGCGAGCGTTGGTGATGTTTTGATCGGCGGATCACAGAATCTCATTGCCACAGGTGTCTGGAGCGCTTTGAGGTTTTGCCTGCTGGTAAGAAAGTCATCGTCCAAGAGACCGGCACTGGATGCTAATTTGTTACATAAATAAAGGGTGCTGTGAACTTTCTCGGCTATTTCGAGAAGATTTCCACTCTTCTCATGAGACTTGGGACCTCTTGGTCTCTACATGAGCGTTTTGCTCAGATCTTCCCTCAATCACAATATCTTCAAAGATACTTGTGCGAGTACCTCATCGTTCTTTTAAAACTTTGTCGCAGTGTTATTTCCTTTACCCAAAAAAGCCTTGCGTCGCAACTCCTGTCGACTCTGGGGACTTCATTTGATGAGGAGTTCGGGCCACTTCAAAAAGAACTGGATCAGTGGGGTTTTCTCATTCAAAAAGGGGCTGAGCAAACTGCCATGGAGGTGAATATCGATCTAGGGGTGCAGCTACGCGAGCACAACATTACCCTGAAGAGATTATTCTCCGGAGAGGCCAAAAGAAGATCGCACGCTTTCAAATGTCAGGTTCTACAAGATCTGTCACCAGGCCAAAGTCAGTACGAGATGTGCTGGAGGCGACAACGAGGCAAAGGATCATGCAAGTGGATTTTTGAGACCCAGGGTTATCAAGACTGGAACTCCATGGAGACTTCCACAGTCTTTATGGTCGAGGGGAAACTAGGCAGCGGAAAGACGGTGGCCATGGCCAATCTTGTGACCGACATGAACACTGCATCGAAGGGACCGTGTGCATATTTCTTCTGCACGTTCAAGGAGCCGGAGAGCCTCAACGCCATAAATGTCCTCCGCAGCATCGCATTTCACTTTCTCGATGGCATGAGAATAGAGGATATCAGTTGGGACAAGGTCTTTGACGAGAAGGGCGTACCTTTACCCCGGCTCTCGTCGCCAGACGCCATAGTCGACATCTTGTTGGATCTCCTGCCCAAGAAACCCAAATACTCCGTTGTCCTGGATGGGGTTGACGATTGTCCCGACGACGAGATTTACGACATTTTCAAGGCGCTTCACAGGCTGATGCAGAATCGAGTCGTTCTTGTATGTTACTCGGCTCGAACCGACTCTAGATTCCGGCATATCGCAGGACGAGAACTCGGATCGTCCTTCTCAGCGACTCTCGACGATGAAGCGCACGACGAAGAAATGCGAGCCTTCATTGATCAAGAGATCTTACGTCGAAACAAAAGTCAAGATCTGGATGCCGACCTCCTCAGTATCGTTATCAATCAATTAGTCACTGGTTCTCAGGGAATGTGAGTAATTACAGTAGTTACTTCATTGTGACTCTTTTTTGCCTTTTGCTTTTATCTTCTTTCTCATTCTCATTTATACCTGCACTATTCTCGCCAGTTCTGTGGTTTTCAAACCGAAAAGTGTTCAAAGGGTACAGTCTCTGAGTTATTATAACTGAACATACGCTGAATATACATCCTCAACAGGTATTTATGGGTATCGCTTCAGCTGGATGCGATCTTTCCTAGCAACTCAAAGACCGTCGTCACGAACGAGCGGATATTCAATCTGGTCATGAACTTACCAAGGGATCTACCCGAAGCCTTTGAAAGAGCTTTAGGAGGCATCATTGATAAGTCATACGAAGAAAAGATCTTCAAGCTTGTCATGGCTGCAGAGTCCCCTCTGACGATTGATGAGATGAGAATTGCTTTGGCTATAACGCCAGGCAACGTCCTCTGGGATCCTCACAAGATACCTCGGGACGGCGAACAACTGATTGCTCTCTGTGGAGGAGACATTTTGGAGCTTGATGAGGAAGATAGCAGGGTACGCTTCATTCACCACAGTGTTATTCAGCATCTACTATCTCCAGCAATGCGGCCAAGTACGAGACTATATCACTTTTCTCTCGAAGAGGCTCACAACTTCACCGGCTCGGTCTGCGTCACATATCTGAACATTCCCGATCTCGGTTCTCAGATAGCAATGACGCAGCCTTTGGATGCAAAAGAAGTCCCACAGAGATCAATGATGAGCGTGCAGCGAGAAGAACCGACACTATCCCGTATTGTCCAACTCATCAAGTCAAGCAAACGGGCCCCCGAGAGGTCTTTCCAACTCGATCTTGCGCGTCTAGCGCTAGATGCTCAGCGTTTGCGACCCCGATATAGTCTCGGCGTACACGCTTTTAAGAAATACGCTCTGGTCAACTGGTTTATCCATACCAGATTTTTCAGGAGTGATGACGAGAGCTTGGGAGCCTGCTGGGATCTGTGGTGGCACCTCCTATCTGGCCATGTGGCGCAAGTGAAACCCCATTTCAGCGATCAGGTCCAAGACAGCCAGTCAGCATTAATTTGGGCAAGTGAGCATCAACATGGCGGTTTGTTCCTCTCCATTCTCACAAACACCGGGCCAGACAACACATCAAAGCTGAATCTACAAAGCTTCCTCGATTTATTTGTCAGTCTATCCACGCATGGGAGTATTCGTGATCAATGGCTCGGCGACATTGTTGCTCAAATAGTCGAGGCGGTCACGAATGATGTTTTCGCATTCAAACCCCGTTCACTGGGCAACAAGATAGATAGGCTTGTGTCGATGGGAGCCAGTCCGACCAAGCCTCACCACCTGACGGGACTCAGCCCAATGAGAATCTTGATGAAAGGATTCACTCCCCGGAATATTCCCATAGTCGACAAAGCCTTCGAGACGTCGTTTGTTTCAATAATAAAGAATCTCTGTTCAATCCCAGAGGTCCGTCGTTCATTACAAGAGAACTGGGTACCCCAGGCCATGATCGACCTCATTTCCAGGAGACAATCTGAAGCTATTGCTCTCTCCATCCTGAAGTACCGGCCGAACATTCGCACTGAGGCGCCCATGAATTCAGTCCTTGGAGCTGCCGTTCTCTTCGAGTACATTGAGACCAGCAGAACCTTAGTAGTGGATTGGAACCTTGACCCCACCAAGCATTTCTACGGTTCCAGATCGGCCGTACAAATATCAGTCGAGAATCGGAACCAGGAGCTTCGCAAGATTCTTTGTACATACCGCTCCAAGACTCCTCAATGAAACGAAAATCTCCCAAACAGCACGTTTCTGAAAGGCGATCGGGTTCTATAACGAAGCTGAGCTGTATGATCTATTGGAAGACTTGTCCAATTGGGTTGATAGCGACGAATTCCTGCGTATGCTTCAGTTCACTCTGAAGCGGAACACGACACGAGCGTCTCTTGAGATCCTCAACCACGTCGCTCACATCGAGGCCGAATACGTCAGGTCACTGTTGAACATCGCAGAAGTCAATGGTAACTTGGTCATGGTCTCAAGACTAAAGGAGTTGACAAGTCTTGTTCGACAGAGACACATTGACACGCGACCAATCACTTCCCCAGCTTCGCACATTACCGCCTTGAATGTGGCTTGCAAGTTACTATCTGAAACCAATGGTGACAAGCATATGCCTACAAGCTTCGGCAGGTGCCCCACCTGACTTCTTGGTGTCCACAAAACCACGTGGTTGGCAGGCGGAAGTTGGCTGCATCATCGACGTCCTCATGCGAGACTCGACATCAGAGTATTTCAATATGCAGGACGACAAGGGTAATACAGCGCTTCATTACCTGAGCCGGCTAAGCATCGGACACATGACCTCGCAGGTCAAGCTTCTGATCGCAAGATGTTACGAGGAGCTGCCGAAGTTTGATGTCAAAGATGCTTACTCCAAAGTACCGGGTCCTGGCTCACCGGCTGACTTGCGTATTTCAAACCTGACTCTCATACATGGGCCCGAGATAGCCGGTGGTCATATCACCCCCGAGTTCTTCTTCGAGATGAAACCAGTGGATCTCGATACAATACACTTTGACATCCAGGATGAAGAAGGCAACACGGTTCTCCATTATCTTGCAGTGAGCAAATGCAGTCAAGTCCTCGTGAAGGACGTCCTCAAACCTCGGGTGAACCCGAACATAAGGAACCGGAAAGGTGAAACGCCTCTTTTTGTTGCCGGCTGGAACTTAGCACCGCCAACGTCTGTGATCAACCCTCTGTTGGAGGCCGGTGCGGACCCAAATGCCGAGGCATGGGCACACCCGGGCAGGACCATACTGGGAATAGCCCTTCAGAGGGCTGGTATGCCTGGTGGAAGCGAGGGAACTTCGCGCGTTTGTAATGATGGGACTGTGAGAGCACTAGTAGTTGCTGGGGCTAAACAGGATCTCCAGCAAAGATAATACGCAGACATGGGTTCTAATTATAGAAGAGGTAGAGGGGGGACATTAATCATTCTTGGCCCATAGAATGCGGTCCAGTAGGGAGTCTTGACCTAGGCGATGAAAATAAAACGCATACATACTTTGCATACTGTGTTCTCTTTGCATCAAGCAAATGCTCCACAAGCCTCGAGGGACGAGGTAGATTGTGTCTGTGTTGACTAAAAGTCATGTCGGCCATACTCTAGTGTTCATCAGTCTTGGCAACATGAACAACGGACTCACCACCCATACCCTTTCGAAAGGAGAGCCTTTTCTCAGCGGAAGCCACGACGTCCCAGCTCGAGGCCAGATACTCCGATGGATTCTTACCTCCCTGCATCGGCGCCCGCATACTCCCACACGTCGGCGGCCTGACCAGCTCAGCACGCAGCACACATTCAGTCAAGTTCTCGACATTCGAGATCTCAATCCACGGGACAACATACATGGCCCACTTCTCCGCCGTGACAAGGCCGATGCTATCATTCCTAGCCAGGGCGTTGGCGTCCAACTTGTCGCGCCGCACAAGCACGCTGGTAGTAGAAGTAGCGCCTTTGTTGCTGTGGTAAGAGGACTGGTCGGAGTGGAACGCCTTGATCGGGACGGTCAGGTCCGTGGTCGAATGGGCGATTGTGATGCAGAGGAGGAGGGAATCGTAGTCGGGCGGGGGTTCGGACTTGAGGTAGCCGGCGAGGATGTTGGCGTAGCGGGCTGTGGCGGTGCAGAAGAAGAATCCGCGGCGCTCTTGGCGGAAGACGAGGTCGATGGTGTACGAGATGTGAGGAGCCATCGTGCAAGAGTAACATGGCCCAGCATGTTAGAGCGTGTTACAAGCGCAGTATGGCATTTACGAGAAGTATGACTATACTTAGGAGGCCGACAGATAATTTGCTCAAGATTATATAGTGAATCAAATGGGCAATGTAGCCCTCCAAACCTTTCTCAACTGACAAGACTCTTGTTCTTGTCACGTATCCCGTGAGACGAAAGCCTCTGTCCATCATGAATTCGAAAATATCCAAGCCCTACGATGGGAGTCAACTGAAGGCAGGGCTGTAGGAGTATCTAACACATACTACCTCAATCGCTGTTTGATCATTTATAGTAATGACAATACATACATGTAGTCTTGGTCCTAATTATTTCCCATAATTACTTCTCACAACTTGCCAGCGTGCTTTTGCATATTCAGCTCAACACACCCATGCGCCCAGTCGCTCAAAATCAGCGGCCTGTCCATCTCCAGCAGAAGAATCATGACACCCTCGTCATTTAGCTTTGCAGGACGAGTCGTGTCCCGCTCCTGCTCCGACAATAGGTCCCTCTCAGCAGGGCCATGCGTGCTCATACAATTCATGACCCCCGCGGCGAACGGCCTGAACTGGTTGGTGGCGCCATTCAGCGGGTGGCGCGGGTCCTGCAGCGAGATGATGGGCGCGTAGAACTCCTGCATCGTGTTTCGGTGGAAGTAGGGCACCCACAGGGTATCCTGGGCGACAGACCAGCGTGGCGGCACAACGGCAAAGTCGACTACGGCGGTCGAGGGCTCGGCGCCGTGGTTCCGCGCTGTCAGGACTGTGTACAGGCTGGGGTCGTGTTCATCGAAACGGACGTTGCCCAGGGCGCAGAAGCGGCCGAGGTCGTACTTATAAGGGTAGCAGGTGCCGTGCCAGCCTGCGACGTCGAACGGGGTGTGGTTCTGGGTGCAGTACCAGGGCTTGCCGACGAGCCGGGACACGATGGTCCATTCTTCTTCCTTCTTCTGCTTCTCCTGGCTGAGGAAGTTCTCCTTGTCGTCGACATAGGCTACAGGGACTTGAAAATCGCGAATATTGGCCAGGCCGGTGGAGCCAACAACACCCAGGTCAGGGAGGCGGAAATGGCCCTGGGACAGCTCACAAATATAACCCCGGCATGGGCTCTGGTTGGGGAGGGTGACACGGTACCGAACACCACGAGGGATCACTGCCATCTCGCTCTGCCTGACGAGGAGTCTCCCGAGCTCTGTCTGGATATCCAGCGCTCCCGACTGCGGGATGACGAGCATCTCGCCATCCAGAGAAGAGAAGACCTGCCTCTCGGGCATGTCCTGGGTCACGCTGAATACCCACATGGCTAGCCCTTCCTTCTTCTGGGGCTCGCCGCTCCTCCCGAGCAACTGCTGTCCGCTGACCCAGTCCGCGCTGCTGGGAGTGGGCATGAAGTCCCAGTGGTATGAGTTGGGCGTCACATGGTTGAGGTTTGTGGGGGAGGCAGGCCCGTATCCGGCTGTCAGCTCAAGAGGGCTGAAGTCGCTGTGTTCCAAGGAAGAGCAAGCTCGGTAGAGCCAAGTCTGGTAGCTATGGTCTCGCGGCGCCACAAAGGAGCTCCCGCTGATGCGCTCCGTCCGCAGGCCCAGCGGTGGCTTCTGCGGGCTGTTGTTGACTGGTGGAATTGCACCCTGAACGGCTTCCGATCTGGTCACAGTGCACTGTCAGCTTGGTTTTAAAATACTGGTGGCGTGTCACAGAGACGATGATCGCTATCAGAGCGTCCCAATACTGATTGCCGCCAGATACACCAGATATTCCACCACTTTTCAAGTATGAGATGTACGCGCGTGAGGAAGAAGCCTTACTGCAGGTAATTGCCTAGTCCCTCGAGATAATCGTACGGGTCATGCACGGCAAAGGCTGTCACCGGCGCCATGGTATCTTTTAGTCCTCTGAGAGTCGTCGTTAGATCGTGTACACAAGTTGTACAGGGGCCCACCGGATTGATGATCGTACAACCTGCGCTGACGGTTTGAGATGTTGAAAGGGCTGGAAAACAATCAAGACATGTTCACAGTCCTGTCTATCATCTCCAATTTGAGAATGAGGAGACGACGTGCGGTGCTCATGGGGCATTTCCCTTCTGGGCCTTACCCCGCGAACCACCACACCACTTCCTGAGCTGCAACTCTGACCATTCTCCCGTGTTTCCTTCTGCGAATTTGTTGTAGCCGAGGCTCCGTACACGCAACACTCGTACTTTTTATTCACAATTCAAGTCCCCCCAAAAAGGAGAGAAATGTAGAAAGAGACAAAACCAAATTGCCTTCTCAAGTCCATAACAAGAGGTATTGGAATACTGTTCGATGCTCATTCCCCCCCCCCCCCCCTCCGGCAGTCTTTCAGTCCCATTCACCATGGCAGTTCCGGAATACAAACTCGGCACGCTTACCCAGATCATATACTTGAGCATCTCGACAGAGCACCAGATCAGCGATGTCAAGACCCCGGCTGGCCGCCAGTGGTCAAGAGCACTGGACCTGGTGCAAAGCTGCGAAGGGCTTGACAAATTGTATTGGGGCCGGCGGTATGAAGAGCCCGAAAAGTTGCAACTCCATATAGGTGAGTATTCATCGAGCTCAGTGTCCATGTAGGTCTTTCTTGTCGTGTAGGGGCGCGTCGGTACCAACAATCTAATCACATGAAACCTTGGGTGCCACAGTCTGGAGGAATTATCAGCATAGCGACGCATTTATGGAAATCCACTTTAACACTTTCCGCTCACTTGTCAAGGACATGGGCGTCGACATTGATGACGAAAACAACGGCATCCAGGCCCGCCACGTCACGTTACAGCACCAAGCCTTGGATGATCCTTTCGGCCCTTCCTTGCTGGGCCACCCCATCGGAACAGCAATCTATAAAGGCACCGACGCGTCCTGGCACGAGGGGGCCTGGCCGCTGTGGACACACGTGGTGAGAACCGTCGACGGCTGCCGTGGCATCGCGGGAGGCAGCGTGCGAGAGCCTGTGGAAGGGGTCAAGGGTAGCTATGTGGTCTATGTCGCGTGGGAGACGGTCAAGTATCACGATGACTACCACCACTCTGAACATTTTCGAAGGCACCAGGTGATCCTGGGGATTGGCCATCAGGGCTGGACCGAGTATGGGCACGTCGTGTTTGCGGAGATACGGAACGGCAATGGAAAGAAAATTGGAAATGGAAATGCCAATCGACTGTGAAGGAAGAAAGGAGGAAAGGCTTCCCCGCTCGCCTCCGTACGCGAGCTGGGCCTGAGGAAAGGACGAGTGTGGTGGCTGGCCGCGTGTGCCTTCTTCAGGCTGAGTTGACTGTCAATGCTAATCCTGGCTTGTGCAATGATTCTCTTCTTTTTTTGAAGCCGGTCGTTCTTCCCATGTTAACTCTGAAATCTGTCTACTTCTCTCAAATTTCGTTGGCCTCATACTCCTCTTTCACACCTATTAAAAAGCATCGGACGGGTTTCTCAATCTCTCTCGTTGTCTCCTCGAGTATCGTGGCTCCATGAAAGAGAGGGACCCTTCCTATTGTTTTGCAACCGGTAATATATAGGTAGCCCACATAAGTAGGTACGGGAAATGCCAGATTTGAAGTAATCACATTCTAGAGCTTGTGGGTTGTTGCTGCTGTGGTATTATTATGTGCCATCGTTCGCTGTTGCTGTGCAGGACTCTCCTAGTACCACCATATTAGTCGGGTGCACGACGCCTCTCTCAGTTCAAGCACTGCAAAGACTTCACAGTCAAGAAGAGAGTGAGCCCTAATTACATTGTAAGCTGATCTATGTAGCCATTTTTTATATCATTATTTACGTAAATGTTCTTTTTTCCCTTTTCTTCCAGGCAAGGAGAGAGAGAGGGGGAGAGGGAGAGCACTGCTGTGATGAAGGATGACATCGTCCGCTCAACATAGCTTATGCAGGTCCCCTAGCAGGTGCTGGCTCCATGGAAATATCGGCCGTCAACCGCAAGCTACATCCCATTCCCCTAGATTTGTAATAACACGATGCGCTTCGTACGTCCACGCTTGAGTTCATTGAGTCCAGTATGCATGCATATACTTATATGCTTATATGTATATATACATATGTATATATATATATATATATATATATATATATATATATATATATGTATCCTCCAATCCCTTCAGGCCATGACCAAGCGAAATTACGGAATTGGATCCCACCCCCACTGACATCCGCCGCAGCATGCAGTCTGCATGCACAGCGCTTCGACTGAGCAGATTGTATGTCTTAAGATGGGGTCCTGTCATACGGTGACCGTACTGGTCGATCCCCTGCACCAGAGAGAAAAAGAAAGAAAGAAAAACCAAGTGGCCTGTAGGAATCTGTGTTGAGGTCTACATTGGGGGCGTCGAGGATTTGAGTTGCGGGTTCCTCGGCAGCTGAGCCGGGTCAGGGCTGCCAGGACAGGCCGGCCACCTACCATGACACGGTCTTGAAGGCGAGGAATGATTCGTTTTGCCCCCTCCGTGATTCAATGCTTTCTTTGAGAGATAAAAGTGCAGAACTTGGGTTGCCTCACTTGATGATGATCATGAGGCAGACACAACGAAAGATTTGGGTGTGTAAAATGTCCACAGCAACGTAGATCAACCATCATCCCCCCCCCCCCCTTCCCGTTTCAACAACCCACCCATATGCATCCACTTCCGGTGGTGCTGTGCGTGTAGCGTCCAATGTACCCCTCCATTCCAACCTCACCCAAAAGGAGGGGTGATAAGATAAGACCTGGTGATGGATCGCCAAATCCGCATGACCAAGGACAAAATGCTGTCGCAAAAGTGTGTGTGGATGGCGCCTCATACTAGGAAGAAGGAGTTACAATACAAGAGATTGGAAGGAGGAGAAGAAGAAGAAGGGTAAAAAGAACAGGTATCCAGGGTCCATCCCAGCGAGACCAAGATGGTGTCGCCATGTGACTGTCGACGGTGGATTGGCCCACCATCAGGGGCGTTCAAGTGACTGATGCAGCGTGCGCCTGTCTCGGATCGGTGGCATCACGAGAGAGCGTCTGTGGTTGCAATGAGATCAGATAGACGGGGGTCGCAGACGCGTAGAGGGAGGACAGAGAGATAAGGGGGGAGAAATGAATCACCTGTAGCCTCTTTGCTCGTCCCAAGCTACAAAGGTACAATGACCAGCCGCAAGGTACAGTTACCAGATGGACAGGAGTGGCTTAGTAGTGCCCGCCCGCCCCTCCTCTTCCCCCCTGCCGGCTCCGAGTCTTCCCCTTCCAGAGAGAGAGGAACAGACACACACCGGTAGAGAGGGTAGAGAGCATGACCGGACCTTGGGCGGCTAGTTGGATAGTAATGGACCAAGCCAGGAAAGAAACGAACAAGTGTGGGAGAGAAAGCAGGTCATGTGGCTACCAGGATGATCGCGATGAAGAGGGTGTGGCGACATGTCCTCACAACTGCCCCATTAGCGCTCTTTGCGACGCCATTGGGTGTAATTGTACTGTAACCCTCCCGGGCCCCCACCCTCTACCACGCCAGTGTGCTATTTACACCCGGGGGATTTCGACCAGAGAGAAGTCGTGGATCGGGAGATGGTATGTTGCTCTGGAGCAGCCAAGAAGCAAAGGAGACAAGGAAAAGGAAAAACTCACACGCTGCATACGCGTTATGCAGTGTAATGATGTGAGACAGCCGTTGCCCGGAAATAGTTACGACTGAGCCAGCTGCCAATTGAGCCCCGTCCTCCTGATGCGACCAACCCACCCCCCCAAATCGCTTGACTGCACCAGTGCCAGATGTTTTGATCTACGGTAGAACAAAAGAGGCGTGGGATTGGGTGGAGAGAAAACCATTGTAACTCTGCCATATAGCTGGACATGATCAAATACCGTACTACTCATGTTCTAGGCAGAAGACAAATGACGCGGCCGGTTTTAGATAGGTAAGGCTCCCAACTCCCAAGCCCCAGCAGCGCGCAGGACTAAGTGTGGCGTAATTTGATGCATCGATCCCGGAGAATCATCCAACAAGGCGGGGGGACATGGTCACAATAGATGAGTGAATGATTGAGCGAGTGGGTGGGTTCTACTACACTGCTATGCGATGATTCATGATGATGAGCACCATGATGATGACGATGGGGTGATCAATTGACTCAACGTGCTCATTATTCGTCGACTTCTCTTTCTCTGCCTGTCTAGGCATCAAATAAGCATTTTACTGTACTGGCAATTGGTGCCTGGGTGGGAGAGAAGACGTGGCCCTGGTTGCCACCAAGACGAATTCCGGGGAACAATTGGTGAGCAGCACGAGAGGGCTCAATTCCGCCGACGTGCTGACTAGAGACTTAAAAAGAGAGTTGAGCCGACGGCGTTTTAAATGGCTGGGTGCATAAAGCCGGCGAGGAGTTAGCCGGCGATAAACATTCACTTGGGGGGTACGTATCACCAATTGGATCATGAGAAGAATAGCCCCGGGCCATGACATAGACAATGACTTGGCGGCGATAATGTGGAACGTGGGACGTGGCCGCGCAATATGAGCAGACGACGGCATGGCAGTGCTGCCATTGCCGTCTAAAACACAGGGGGTGGACAGAAACGGGAGAAGCTTAAAAAAAAAAGAAAAGAAGAAAAAAAGAACAGTATGACGAGAAGGAGAGAGGGGGCGAGAAAAGGAGAATGATGGAAGAGGATGGAAAGCAGAGAAACCCCCAACAACCGTGGTTTCGATAGATTCTGGATTTGTGATCCAGTGTGTGATACGTTTACCCTCCTCCCCCGTATTGGACCGCCTAACTGTTCGACCTGGAAATCCATGCCAAAGTACCCAAGTACCTCCATGGTTTCTAAAATGCCTAGCGGTACTTCTACAGGACTTTTTGGTCGGGTAGGTGCATGGATCGCTACTTGTGGTAGGCAAAGGCGCTGTTGCTGCTCTAAACTGTCAGGCACCAATTCAGCACTTTTGGGACCCTCACCACCTCCCGCCCCCTGTCGTTGTCCGTCCTAAGCAGAGCCAACAGAGCCTAGAAGCCCTAAAAGACAACCGACCAGTCCTAGGTCTGAATTCTTGATAACCGCTGGCCAGGGGGGTTTCTTGTCCAGTTTTCTGTTGTGTTTCGTTCTCGTCAATCAACTCTCTTCCCTCGCCTACTGCCCACCCAACAGCACAGAAATAATCTGGGGCCTCGGAAATTCCGTCATCTTCTATGTACTCTTGCGATGACTCACATCGTTTTTCATATGCAAGCGCCTCAAGCTCAAGCCCTTCTTGAAACATGCCAATTGACCATGTCAGCACTACAGATATGATTGGTCAATTCGCCGAGAAACAGGAAAAAGACTGGGCTTTCTTGTTGTCCGACTTGGCACCAAAGATTCTCCGCCCCATCTGTTCAGGCTCCAGCGCAGTCATTGATTCACCAGGGCGTGCGCATTGTGGTTGATCCAGCCGGGGGTGATCCCTCTTCTTTCCCCTCCCAGAAACAAGTCAATTGGATGAACGCCATGCATGCTCCGTACCAGCACACACACATATGCCGTGTCCAAGGCTGGGATGTTACATACAATGCGCAATAACACCCGAAGACAAGTAAAAGACGGAGGAAAAACAGAGTCAAGAATAAGAAGCCCAACAGGCATGACGGACGACTAGCATGGTCTGCCTAGAAGCAGGCCAGGCCAGCCGATCCCAGCCCAACGATTCAGCTCAATGTACCTATAGTATGACGCTCTCCAGCGCTGGCCAACAAGATTCATTCATGCATTATGCATTCGAGGCTCGTTACCAATCCTGCTACGCCAACAACATGCGACATCGTCCAGTCAGCCCTCCTTGAAGCCTGTTGTTGACGGGTTGCCCAATTGAATTGGTTCACGTGTGTGTTGGTTATGCACCGTCTGGGGGTGTGTTGGCTAACATGCCGTGCCGTGCCGTGTTGAAAGATCTCTAGCATCAAGACAGACAGGTCATTATCTCTACGTCTGCACATGAACGTTGCTGTGCATGTTACGAAACAAAGAAGAAGTAGAAGACAGGAAACCGAGCTGATAAATGGATCAACAATAGGACACATCCGAAAGAGAAAAGGCACCCGTCTGGACTCTCTTCCCCCCACTCTCTCTTGGCTGTGCGGGTGCGACTGTATGAGTAGCCTGTCCCAGCCGCCTAAGTCTGGGAGTCTCACTGTCGGCGATCCTGATCCCGTTATCTGCTGCAAGACCTCCCCCACTACCAATCGTGTACAGTATGTACCTCAATTCACGTGGCAGTTAGTATTCGATATTACTATCTATCTTCGTGTCGACGCTCAGCGGTGGAGGATGACCTGGTGTCTCAGTTCGCCAACCTCTTTTACTTCTCCTCACACCTCATTACGAGTGGGATCGGCATCAGGTGCCGTGTTCATTCCACATGAGATCTCGCTTTCCTCCCTCCCTTTTTTCTCTTCCCACATACCTTTATCCGCGTCAACCTGAAAATTGAAGATTCAGGTCAGCAGGTCTCCTTTCTTGCGCAAGAAGTCATCACGTCTTGTACTCGTAAGTGAGGGTCTAATCTTCGCAGCCACCAATTCTCAACTGGTCAATTGCCGTATTTGCCTGCTCAATTCGTTCCAATTCAACGTGTCCATGTGTAGAGTGCTGCTACATGAGGCGAGGAAGAAGCCCATTGTCGGGCTCTTGCTGGTGTCAGGTCTCCACTGCTGTGCCCACTGCGCCCGGCCCGCGAGGTCACATTGTGCCGACTGTAGAGGCCTGCTCAACCCGCCCACTCAGCATGAAGAAGAACAACAAGAAGAAGAAGAAGAAGCAAAGATGGGAACATGTGCGAGTGATCCGAAAGCCTTGAACGCCTCTCAGTGGAGTCCTGGCACACTCACACACATACAGTACTAATACACGACTGGGGGCCCGGTTAGACAAGGCAGAAACGGGACCCGCCAGCCATGTGTGCCCTGCATTGCAGGGCAGGTACCGGGAGTACAAATCCAGTCAGAAGAAGAAGAAGCAAAAGAAAGTCCTATCGCGATCTTGGTACAGTTTCACGCCAAATGTGCCTTTGTTATTCGGTACATACCCCGCCCCGGCCCCACGTCGTCCTTCACAGCCTTGTGATTGGAAAAGCATGGTCAGGGAAAACCAAGTAAGTAGGCAACTCTCCTCATACTTGTTCTTCCCACCCCAGCTCTTGGGCAGGAGAAACCAAACCCACGGCACCGTCCTCGTGAACAATGATGTGCGCGCACACACATTCGGTGGTTTGTTGCTACCGCCCAAAGATTTGTTTCAAAGAAAAGGTAGTCAGTTTCTGGTGTGTTTTCGATGGGGTGTGCTCTATGGGCAAGCGAAGGTTGACCTCGTCAGGTGCTTGCGTGCGCGTGTGTATCTCTCTACCTATGCTGGGAACAGGCTACAGGGGGGCGTATGGGGTGTTGTGTCCTAGTAGGACCAAGAGTCAATGTGAAAAGGGTGGAAAATGACACATCCATCCACCCTAGGGCGGGCCCAGGTACAGCCCAAGTACCGATGGGGCCAACTTGGGCAAAGAACAAAGGGTCGGGCAGGGGTGGCGCTGACGTGGGGTGGGACTAACAAAGCCAAGTGTGACTCTTGCGCACCCCCTACAAGACGGGGAAAGAGACGTCGTCTCTTGACTAAAGAGTAGGAGTCACTCGGTGTTTGGGACTATGGACGGAGCCTTGTATACTGCGGGCATGTGCCAAGTGGCATGTACCTGTACACTATTGACCAAGAGCCCACGCTAGGCCGACCGAGCGAGAAGCATAGCATCTTGTTGGATTTTAGAGTGTGAGAACCAGTGTGTTGTGTGTGTGTGAGTGTGTGTGAGGGAGCGAGAAAAGAGAGAGAAAGCAGGAAGGAAACCTGGGGAGCATGTGTTAATCCGACTGGCCTCGCTGTCCAACCTGTTTGTACTCTTTCCAATAGTCATACTGCTGTTCCTTGTCACCGTCCTGTTCCTGTCTCGTCTCGTCTACTTCTTGTTTCTCTCTCCTTCTCTCTTGTTCCCTTTTCTTTTCCTTTTAATTGATCTCTAATTCTCCCAACCACGCCGTTCAATGAATCCAATCGCATGAACACCCTCTGTCTCTCTGTTCTGCCTATCCTCCAAGTCCACCCAGCTGACCAATTCTAGTCATCTTTTTGCCATCTTTTTTCTCTTTTTCTTCCCATCATTTACTGGGGCCTCTTCCGGCCCTCCGGTATTCCGCCACGTTCGCTACGCCCAACTACTACTTAATCTTGTCTTCCCCCCCATTTCAGCCTCTTGCACCATACGGTTCCTGATCCTTACACCCCCCCTGTCCTGTCAACCAACCATCCAATCTCGACTCATCCGCCCGTGGTCAGGCGGCTGTGTCTGAAGATATAACTTAAGCCCATTGTCCCAAGTTCCGTCTAGATAGAACAATTCTCGTCCCCAATTGTTCTCTTGGCCATTCCATCCGCTATCGACCGTATCTTGTCCGTTCACAGGTTAGCCGGTGCCAAGAAGAGACAATACAAACAACCTTCTTACCACTCTACTACACACCAGCGCCACCCTGTCTAAGTCGGGGATCCACTCAAGAACGACCTGCGAACAAAGCCTCAATTGGCGATTTATCGTCAGGCTCAGTCACCTCTGCGACTCCTTTGTCTGGGTCGAAACCCCCCAGTATTTCCTTTCGAGTGCCGAGGTGCCCATTCTCAATTGCAAATTGGCTGTGCATCTATTCACCTCGTAGCCCAACAAGAACAACAACGACAGTCCAGCACCTGTTGCGAGTATCTTCGCAACCCAAATCATTTATAATCAGCTGAATTGCCACCATCACCACGGCGTCAGAACATTCGATCCCACCAACGCAAACATGTTGCACTACACACAACAGACTCTCGGCGAGTCTTCAGTTCATTCTCGGTCTGCTGTCTCATCGTCACCATCAACACAGCCAGCGGCACAACCCTCCGAGCAGCAACAGCTTCCACCAATTTCCACCGTTGCAACCATCACCAACAACATGGAGCCAAAGAAGATTACATCCATTGGCGACCTCTTGATCTCTCCTCCGGAGCAGGCACCTTATGAGAGCTTCTCAGGCATTCCACGGTCACCAAAGACGAACGTGCCACTGGCCAGCGTGGCCGTCGTGGCGAAGCCGGCCCAGGATACACCACAGCAGCCCTTTTCCCCTCCCATCTCGCCATTGACGAACTTCACCAACCATGTCAACACACCTGCTACTTCTGCTACCTCTGTACCTTCTACTGCTGCTGCGCACGATACCAAGGATCCCATCTTGTACCCAGAGGAGCAGCCCACAAGCCCGAGGGTGCCTTTGTTCGAGCGCAGGCTGAGCCCCGAGGCACAGAATGCCGTCAGCAAGCACATGGCAGCCAGGGAGGTCGCGCCGCTACCTTCTGGAGTTAGACCACCGCATCGACAGGACTACGAGCTCTTCCTCTGCTTCCGAGAGACCGTCTACAAGAGCTTCTTTGCCGAGTCGCCAGCTGGCCGGAGGAGATGGCTGAACCGGGAGAAGGCACAGCTGATTGAGGATGCAAAGGCCCGCAACAAGGCAAAGAAGATTAAGGCCCAAAAGCAATCAGCGATCCGTCCCAGAATCAAGGCGAAGCCGATGTCTGCGTCATCATCATCGTCACCCATGACAACAATCAGCACGTCTCCCATCGCTACCACCAGGGACACCATTGTCGCAAAGACAGCAGGTGTGATGAAGGCAGCACTTGGTCCCCGTGGGTCGACCAAAGTGACTAAGTCCACCCCATCATCGTCGTCACGTCCTGCCCGCGTCAAACCAGTCAAGGCACCAAAGCGCCTTGCCAGTGCCTCTCCGCAGCCCGAAAAGAAGAAGATGCAGAAGGAGGACAAGGATTTCGCTTCTCTGCCGGACTACTGCCCTCCTCTGTCTACCTTGACGGCCGACAACGTCATGAGCACCCCGCCTGCCAGCAATGCCCGCGATTTCGACGACGAGGACAAGGCCCTGCTGCACCTGCTGCACCCCGACGAGCTGCAGGTGGCGTCGAACCTGAGGCTGGACGCCGCCACCTACCTCACCAGCAAGCGTCGCATCTTCCTCGAGAAACTGCACTTTTACCACGCCAAGAGGACCTACCGCAAGACCCACGCCCAGACGGCCTGCCGCATCGACGTGAACAAGGCATCCAAGCTCCACACCGCCTTTGCCAGTGTTGGCTGGCTGGACGACAAGTGGTTTGAGAACCTTCCCAAGCCCACAGTCTACAACTAAACCAATTGGTATATCACGTCCATGATACATAAATGATTCCTAAAGCCTCGCCCGACATTTTTCCAACATCAACGAACACGACATACTTTGCAGCACCGATCAACACACGACCCTACCCCCACGTCGTGCGGTACACGTCCTCGCCAACGCATTCATCTCCACTCTGGCTATTGGTTTTTCTTATCAGAGTCTGTACTTTTTGCATTTTTGTTTTGGGTTGTCCGGTCTGTATCTCTTGTTTTCTTGGTTTTGGGAGTTATTTATTAGATGCTGTTCTCTGCTTTTATCCCGGGCTTCGCTTGCACCTTTCTCATAAACACTGCTGCGGGCTGGACGCCCAGCGGCAACGTGCTGGGTCTGGACTGAGTACTTTTGCCTTGCATGCTATCTTTCCAGATTGTGGAGTTTCGCGGACAACGGCGCAGTGAAACCTGGATATATCTCCTTGCGGCTGGATACACTGGAACCAGATGGGGGGGGGGGGGGACTGTTTGCGGGTCAGCATCAGCATCATCACCATTCATACTTTTCTTTTGCAATATACCCCCTTGTGTTTTTTTCTCCCTTTTCTTTTTGGTCTCTCTCTTCCTTGGCTTGATCCTGCATCGGCCACACGACCAGTTGCACCAGAATCGCACTGGTCTTTTTTCTTCTTTACCAACTCAGACCTCGTTCATTACAGGAATTTGGTGTTGTTTTCTCTTTTCTCAGATTGGGATTCATCATATGCATGGTCAACTGCACACTTTAGGGTCAACCTGCGCAGCCTTCTCATAAAGAGACGCCAGCGCTCAGACATCAATTGTGTTGGGGGGGGAGAGAATCAGTAAACTTGGAAATAGGTTTTCGGTCTTCGATGGCACCTGGCCTTCTGAAACATGCCGTGTTGGATGGTGGTCCTCGACGCGAGATTGAAATTTTCAATCTCTGATTCTGTTGCGTGCGAGCCAAACAAACAAGCAGGGCACAAATACTCCCATCTAGTGGGGGCAAGGCCAGAAAATAGTTCAATTCGAAGATCGTTAACAGATCTCTGTGCCAATACGCAAGACATGATCGTGATTTACAAGACGCTAATTATCCACCCTTCGCAGCCCAGAATGGAGCCTCGTCACTGTACCCTACTTCGTACCCACCCCCGGCGAAAAGATCGTCGATCTTGAATTTCCGCCAACCTGGGCCGTCCCGCTGTCAGAATACGTCCGTCTTTGCCCGTTTCTGCCTAGCATCGTATGTCTTTTTCAGAGGGGGGTAAGCTGCAGGGTCTCCATCTCCTTTTGCTGCCCGTCGGGGAAATTAGGAGTAAAGAGAAATAGGAAAGGAACAAGAAGAACCAAGGAGGCAAAAGAAAGAAGAAAAAAAAGGTGGATCTCATCTATCACATTGAGTGTAGATCAGACATATGCATGCCACAGGGTGTCTTGGGTGGCCCTGCATGTATAGATCAGATGGACATCAACCCGGATCTGACGAGAACAGACTGCGCAAATCATGGATGGGGGTTTAATCGTGTGCGTGCGTGTGTGTGCTTTAGGGTCTCTTTCTGCCATTATGCATTGTGTTATGTCTCACCCTTCTGATTTCTACCTCTCTCATTCCTCGCTTCCTTCAGTCTCATTTATTTTGCGTGTGTGTCTGTGTGTCGGCCTGCGTTTGCGCGGGCCAATGTCCGGGGGATAATGGATGGGGGCCCGAGCCAAGGGAGAGGGGGGAGTCAAGGTGAGGTGGGTTTTCGGTACTGATCCTGGGGTGATTCATAAAAGAAGCTTATTGTGGGACAGGGGTGTTTTGCATGCAATAGACTTTGGGATGAAGACTCTTTTCAACAACTTTTCTACCTATTCCGAGTTCCTTCTTTCATTTCTGCGCACCTGTTTTGGTGTGCTTGACACGAAACAATGAGATTGCAATGAGCACGAACCGTGAATGTTTGCTACGATAGACGAGAAAAAGCAAAAGCAAGAAAGAGAGCCCCTCAAATAGCCAAAACCGAGACAAGAAAAAGGAAACGAGAATGACCGGATGTAAGCCCACAGGTGAGCCAGCAGTCATTATTCGCCACATCGATATGGAATGCCGGAAGCAGGACCATAGACCCAGAACGACATCTTGCTTTTGAGACCCGCGAGCATCTTGGGCTTCGTCTTTGGCATAAGCTTTTTAGACTTGTCGTTCTCGGCCTCGACCTCATCCCACCCAGTCCTGCTGTCGACCCAAGCTATCAGCATGGAACTACTCCACTATTTCGTCAACGTCGACTTCGGCGTCGACCTCAGCTTCATCCCACTCGGCCCACGCATCGGCCTCAGTGTCGGCCTCAGTGTCGGCCTCAGCCCACTCAGCCCGCTTGCCGTACCCCCTTATCCGAGTCCTTGTTCTTATACTGGTCCTTGTCATTGCCGTTCTTGGGCTTTGGTTCGGGTTTGTGCTCAGGCTTAGGCTCGTGCTTGTGTTCCTCGCGAGTGTGGTAGTGCTTTTTTCCCTTCTTGCACTCTTCGTCCCAGTCGTCGCAGAGACCATCGTCGGTGCAGTCCTTATCCCAAGGGTTGCAGTAAGGCTTGCACTTGGGGTCCGCAGGGTCGCACCAGCTGGTCGGGCCCGGCTTCTTGGCATCCTTGGTCACGGTGGCCGTCACCGTGACCGTCTTAGGCTTCCCGTAGCCATGACCACCGTGGCCATAGCCGTCCTTGGGATGCTTGGGGTAGTCGTACTTGGGGTGCTTATAGTCGTCTTTTGGATGCTTGGGGTAGTCATACTTGGGGTGCTTGTAGTCGTCTTTTGGATGCTTGGGGTAGTCATACTTGGGGTGCTTGTAGTCATCTTTTGGATGCTTGGGGTAGTCATATTTGGGGTGCTTGTAGTCATCCTTTGGATGCTTAGGATAGTCGTCCTTGGGCGGCTTAGGGTAATACGGGTCCTTTGGGTGTTCCGGGTATGGTCTTTTGGGATGCTCTGGGTAAGGATCCTGGGGGTGGTCCGGATAAGGATGCTTCTTGGGTGGCTTGGGATAAGGATCCTTGGGAGGACGTGGGTACGGGTCGTCGTGGGGAGGAGGTTGACGATAGGGATCCTTAGGGGGCGGCGGAGGGTACTCAGGCGAAGCGGTGCGATCCCCGTAGGCAGGTGTGCTTGGGCTCGCGATGGGAACGGTCGGCCAGGGCCCGTTGTACTTCGGGTACTCCCCATCCCGCTTCACAACCTCCACGATGATATCGTCCTGGGAGCCATCGACCCACAAGTCGTCCCCGGGACTGTCAATCTTCAGGGTAGGAGGGGTCCTGCAGAGCACAGACCCGCCCAGCTATGTTATTAGAGTCAGCCATACGGATCTTATAGTACTTACTCCAAAAGACATAGAAAATCGGCACGTTCACCCAGCACATACCAAGTTGATGGTGCAGCATTGAGCCGAAAGACCACTGGTCTCACAGCCCTTGACGAAGCCCGCAGCAGTTTCAGGGCGCGGGAAGGGCTGGGCACACCCCGTGTGCAGAAAACCGAGAAACGATTCTTGGCAGCAGAGTGCCTTCTGGCGAAGCCCCGGGCAGATCACAGCAACAGACTCGGTGTCGAGTGCCGAAGGGTCGACATTGGCACCGTCTATAGCAGGGGCGGCGGCGGCGGCGCTGATAGCTGCGAGCAGGCAGACGCGCGTGTTGAAACCCCCACGGGTCATAATGAGTCGTCTCGGGGTTCCTCTCCCGAAACCAGCTAGAATAGAAATCGAGGTAATATCGTAGTTGTGGTTGACTTGAGAGAAGAGAAGACGATGAATGTCAGAGTAGAACCTATCTCTATATTTATGATATAAGAAGCGCTCTGCAGTTGTAGTGTCGATCCTGTGGATGATATCATTGTGAGTTGATGTTTAGACATGTGCTTGTCCGTTCACAGGGGCTCGACCCTTTAGTGTGCTAACCATTTGAGGCGGGGGGGTGAGCTATGATGAGTAGTCCTTAGATCTCCATCGACGGCGGCTGCCCTACAAGTGAGGGTTTGCGAGTTGCGACTAGATTCGTTCGGGGTTCGAGGTCTTTGACTGGGTGTTCTGAGAATTGATACGGTCGTTGCTGAGCTCTCGAAACGGATTCGTCAAGTATCTGACGGGGGAGGGAAGGGGGTCGCCGTGCCCATTGAACTGCCAAGCCTCTCTGTCGTTGCTCGTTCGATTGTTGCGTGTGAAGGTCTACACATGTTTGCGTTGACGATTTAGTCCCTCACATGTGAAATCTCCCCCATACATGTCCTCCGCGATTTGAATGACTGAAATGAGAGAGACCCGCTGGCACATGCTTCGCTGCCCACGTTGTTGACGTATCAAGGCCGATATGGAGGCGCTATATCCTGTCTTAACCTGCGTGAAGCGTTAGTAGCGTACATGAACATGCACCTGCAAAGATCCAAGTGTCATTGACATGATCGGCGACGGTTTGGGTGAGGAGCTACAACGCGGCTTCATGCTTCAAGCCGTTTGCAGTTCGCTCCTGAACTGTGTGTTGCAAAGAGGGGACGGGCTTTCTGCAGGCCTCACGCAAAGGTGCGTCACGACGAGAGGAACGGTAGCCTCGGAAAGCTGATAGTTCGTATGCTGCTGTCATTTGTAAATTTGTAATTCTGCAGTTCAAATGGTTTCCTCATGCCCCGACGTTAAACAGCTTTTTAGAAAACCTTCCAAAGTCTTCTCGCTGAATTTTTTATTACATGCCCGCAGCGAGCGTGTAGCCACCATCAATGGCGAAATTCTGACCATTCAAATACTGATTGGTCACGGCAAAGAGAACCCCCTGGGCCATGTCGACGTCTCGTCCGGGCCGACCAGCCGGCACCTTTTCCTGGTATTTTTCCTTGGGAATATGGCTCTTCTGGTACTCGTCCGACTCGTCGGCGGTCATCTCCGAGGGAAACACGCCTGGAGCGAGGCTGTTGACCCGGATCTTGTGGCCATTAGAAGCGATTTCCGAGGCCAGCATGCGGGTGAGATGGATGGCCGCGCCTTTGGACGCGTTATAGGCGAAGTGATGCTGGGCCACCTGCACCATGCCACTGATGGAGGTGATGTTCAGGATTGTGCCAGACCAGCCCTCGTGGAGCTCAGATGACTTTTGAAGCAGTGGTAGGAATGCGGCTAGCAAGGTGTTGTCAGCATTTGTGAACGTCGTCGGTAATCTTGAAGAGGGCAGACAAAAAGCGGGTGTTCTCACCGGACGTGAAGAAAACGGCTGCGACATTGGTGCTGTACACGCTAGTCCAGTCCTCGAAAAAGCTCTTCTCGACGTCGAAGAGATTCTGCTTCATCTCCTGGGCCGACTCGCTCTCGGTGGTCAGAGTATTGCTGCTGATGCCGGCGTTGTTGACCAGGATGCACAAGCATTTCTCGCGGGACTCGATCTCCTTGACAAGCTTCGAGATGTGGTCTTTGTCTGTGACGTCGAACCCCTTGAGGGCAATGATCTCGCCCTCGATGTCCTTCCCGTAAACCTCGACCACTCGGTCCAGTTTGTCGCCGGAGCGGCCCGTAATGTACACCTTTGCACCGTTGACTGCGAGAGATTGCGTGATCATGAGCCCAATGCCGGAGCCGCCACCAGTGACGAGAGCGATACGGCCCTTGAGGTTGAAGAGGCTGCTGCGGTGGAGCTCCTCGTGGCTGGCTGCTGCGACGCTCTGAGTGGCCATTGTGGCTCGCTGTTGTGACTGTGATGGAAGTGAGACAGACGACGCGGGGGTTTTTTTCAACAACGGATTTGCTGGTGAATACGAGAGGCCTGAGTATGATCTTGTGGGCAACTTCAAGAAGGTGGTAGTAGCAATAAACAATTGCAAGGAACGAGTAGTTGGCACTGGCTTCACCTGGACTCGATTTCGAAGGAGGAGGCGGGGTATAAACGATGAAGCAGGCACGATGGTAGGATGGTAAATCATGACGAAAGCAGGCACACCTTTTGTAGCAGTAGAGAAGAGAGAGAGAACTTCGGCCTACCGTATCTTACTTACATACATAATTTAACAGGCAATCGCGAAAAGTGCAGTTGAATCTCTGGAGTGTGTTGAGCAGTGAGCACACGATGACGATATGTACTGGTGGTGCAGGAATGCATGACGAAATAGCGGATCGAATGCTCCGAATAACCACAGCCCTAACCCTACCATTCGTTCTCACTTTACGGCCTCCAAGAGAAGTTGCGACATTGTGTTACATATTGGAACACTGCTAAATAGGTACCTCAGTTGCCACCGGAAAATGTACTGACCAGGAAGTTACTGCTGACAGCTTCCCGACCCTCCAAACCGCTCATTGGAGTTGCCCTGCGGCACGAAAGAAATTCGAGGCAAGCCAAGACAAAGCTTTATTTGAAGAGAGGCCAGAAAGACGCGAAACTATGCGCCGCAAGCATTCACGCATCGACAACGACGACGAAGATGCGGGCGCTTTCTCGTCGTCGGCGCCACAGCCCAAACGCCTCCGCGTCTTGTCCCCGCCCTCGTCCTCGTCCTCCATTTCGGCGACACAAACGACGACGCCTAGTGCCACAAGCTCGTACAATGGCCCTGACCTGCTCTCACCTCTCTCCGACGAACTCCTCCTCCGCATACTCTCCTACCTCTCTCTCCCCCTCCTGCTCTCCGTCGCTCCCGTCTCACGGCGCTTCCACCGCCTCGCCGACGACTCTCAGCTATGGAAGGCCTTGTACTATGCGCGCTTCGTGCTGCCGCGGGCCATGCGCGTGCCAGGGTTCCGCGAGGGCCGGGTGCAGGACCACAAGCTCCACTACAAGGGCAGGAGGACGCTGTGGGCGGATGGCAGGCTGGGTGGGCTGGTCAGGGAGGGCGAGGAGCGCGATACGCACCCTGCGAGGAGATTGAAGGTAGCGTGGGGAGGAGAGGCACGGACAAATGGGCAGGATGACAGGATTCATTGGAAGAGGCAGTACAAGATCCGGCACAACTGGGCCAGAGGTAAATGTGCCGTGGAGGAGCTGAAGTTGGGCCCGGATGTCGAGAGCGAGCAGCCTGGTCGGGAAGACCAGGAGGCCAATGATGCAGACAGGAGCAAGAAGATGCTCGTAAAGGTCGTCGAGGGCCTGGCTGTTACTGCCGACGGGATCTACGGCCTGAGGGCATGGAATCTGAAGACGAGAGAAGTCATCGCCCAACTCAACCTACGCGACGACAGCGAGAGTCATAATAGGGAGGAGGATACCGCGCCGAGTTGTCTGGCTATCGACGATCGTGATATGGAACGAGGTCTCTTAGATATCTCGGTTGGCTTCATGGACGGCGGTTTTGGGATATGGCAGCTGAACATCCAGAACAAAACCCTGTTCCGGCTCTACAGGCACGCCAAGTCCAGCAACGGCGAGCTCATCGCCATGTCGTTCTCCCGTCCCTATCTTCTCACCGCGACAAGAGCCGTGCTGGTCTCGCTCTACACATTCGACGTGCCAGATAAGCAAGGAGAGGAAGCAGTGGAGGGCAGCGCGGGGGAGAATCATCAAGACACCTCAAAAAGAGATGGACCGTCGTTACCAGCACCATACCTCGTGACATCCCTCAAGTCACACAACTCAAACCCCCCACTAGCGCTCTCCATCAGGAAAACGGCCAACGCCACCATCGCATCCATTGCATACACCTTTTTCACCCGCCGTGGCTGGTCTATCGGCATACAAGACCTGCACATTACCCTCGCGGCCAAACCGAGATCCGCACCCGACATCAGCACGCGCCTTGCATATACAGCACCCTTTATTCACGACAGGCCTGCACAGTCTAACCTCCTACCAATACTGCCATCAATATCGCCATTAACGAACCACACAGTTCCTGCCCTTGCCCATGCCCGTCGTCGGGCTTTGCAGGCTCCTCCACAAACGCACCCTCAGACAGCAGCCGGCCCGACCACACTGTGTTACACCCACCCATACCTCCTCGCCACCCTTCCCGACAACACCCTCATCCTGCACCTGTGCACCTCCAACGCCTCAGCGCTCTCCATCTCCCCCGGCATACGGCTGTGGGGGCACACGTCCGGCATCAGTGATGCAGAAATCACGGCGCGCGGTAAGGCCGTCAGCGTGAGCTCGCGCGGGGACGAGATGCGTGTGTGGGAGCTCGAGGGCCGGCCAAGCGGGGTAAGGAGCCGGAGCGTGCAGATCCGGCCTTCTGCTGCAGGAGACACGAAGAGGGGGCCTGAAGCAGCAGTGGCTAAGGAGGGAAAGGAGATTCAGGGTCTGGACTGGGAGGAGAGGAGGAACTGGGTGGGGTTTGATGATGAGATGGTCATTGTGCTAAAGGAGGCAAAGGGTGGGAGGGAGAGCCTGCTGGTGTACGACTTCACATAGAGGCTTGAGCGAGTCGACCACTGAATATATCTATATGTTTGGAGACATTTCTGCGCACGTGAAACTAATTACATGGTCAAGTCTTATATTTTCTTGGGTTAATTAGTGACCCCTGTCAAGGAATCCAGAGCATTTGAAAAAGTATCTACTCTTCAGTTAGTGTTTGCCGAAGTACTTAGTAGCCATCCGCGCAGGCTACGGTCCGTAATATCACATGAAGCATGGATATGAAGGGAGAGGACTTGCATTCCCTAGTGAACACTCGGACATGATGAAATGACCTTGACTAGGAGCTCAATTTATACTAAACTGATGAGATCATAGATATTCCTGCTTCCCCCTGTCCCCTTCCCCGCCTGCGCGGTCCGTCCTGTATCAGGTCAGCCCGCAAACCATCAACTCTCTTTGAGTCACAGCCAGAACAAAGTTACCCGCCTGAAGGAGCAATCTCAAACCCGAGGAAAAAATGTTCCGCAACACGGATTGGCGTCAGCTGTCTCTACTGTGAACTTATACTTTATTCTGTAGCCTGCATCTTCGGGCTCTCTGCTATCGTCAGCCTCATGACCCAGCCATTTGCAACCTGGTATGATGGCCAAAATCATACACCACAGGATCTGATAATATCCTGGACAGCCCCAACGACACGTTTGGGGGAGATTGCCGGTTTCAAAACAGACTGGGCGCAATAGGCAACGACTTGTTGATCGAGCCTTAGTTGGAAGTATGGTAGCTGGTGATTTACATCTCTCCGAAATATCTGGACATGACCTGCCTGAATTGGCTTCTAAAATTGCCTTGGCCAATCGCAAAACACTAGGATTTTTTTTAATCCTCAATCTGGTCAGTATTTTAAGGCGGCCGGATTGATTACACCGACTCCAGACATCCGGCTATGAGCATTAGTTCTGATCAAAATCTCCAGAGACATCTGCTTCCGCTTGGGGTAAACCATCAAGGCATCGTGTGCCTATTCGGGTATATGATGGCGAAACGCGATCTGCAGCAGTCGGACTTAAATATCGGACCGGCACACTAGAAACCCTCCCTTTCGCAACATATAAAAGTGAACTTGTTCACATCCCAAAATCTACTATTATATAATTCCTGAATCAACAGAAAATTGAAGAAAACAACCACAGCCTACACAACTACACACAATGTCTCAGATCGCCGGTAAAGAAGTAGGCCCCATTGGCTTCGGCCTGATGGGCTTGACCTGGCGAGCAACACCACCATCCCAGGAGCAGGCCTTTGAGGCCATGCGCGCAGCCATCAAGAATGGATGTATGCAGCCATGTCCTCTCCTGGAGAATCATGTTGTTTGTCATAGAAAAGGCTAACTCCAATCCTGCCAGGCACTTGCTGGAACGGAGGCGAGTTCTACGGACCACCCAACTACAACTCCCTGGTGCTGCTGCAGCGGTACTTTGAGAAATACCCCGAAGACGCCGACAAGGTCGTCATCAATATCAAAGGCGGTTCCAGCCCCAAGACACTTCAGATAGATGCCTCGCCCGAAAATACCCGCCGTTCCCTCGACGACTGTCTCGCCCAGATGGGTAGTCGCAAGAAACTTGATCTTTTCGAGTACGCCCGTCGAGATGCCAATGTACCTCTGGATGTCTCCTTTGGGGTTATTGAGGAAGAGTATATCAAGACTGGCAAGCTTGGCGGCATCTCCCTCTCGGAAGTCCGCGCCGAGACCATTCATGAAGCCGTCAAGCATACCAAGGTTCTCGCTGTCGAGGTCGAGCTCTCTCTGTGAGTAGTGAAATCTTCGACTTGAAGCATTCTCTCCTTGGCTAGTGCTGACTGTTGACATGAATTGGAAGATTCTCCACCGATGTCCTGCACAATGGTGTCGCAGCGGCCTGCGCCCAGTACGGGATCCCACTGATCGCCTACTCCCCCGTCGGCAGGGGCATGCTGACGGGCCAGTTCAAGAAATTCGAGGACCTGCCCCAGGACTCGATGCTGCTCCAATTCGGCTTTCCCCGTTTCCAGAAGGAGAACTTTGAGAAGAACTTGGAGCTTGTGGACAAGGTTGAGCAGCTCGCCCGGAAGAAGGGGTGCACGCCGGCGCAGCTCGCCATCAACTGGACGAGGGCGCTGTCGAGACGGCCTGAGATGCCGACCATCATCCCTATCCCCGGCGCCACGACTGTCGCTCGCGTGGAGGAGAACAGCAAGGTTATTGAAATCACGGATGACGAGATGGCCGAGATCGATGCCATCCTGGCCACGTTCACGACAGCTGGGGAGCGCTATCCTGCGGCATTGGCAACAAATACGTAGGAATAGAGAGATAATTTGCGTTGGTAATAGTAAGACACAAAAGCCCCGCCAATACTTTCTCTTCTCCCAAAACTATCCTTCAAAATTCCCATTCCAGTCTTTCTCATCTCATGTCATCATACCGTCTGCTTTCCCTCCGGAGAGGAAGCGTTGCGTCTCCTGAAGAGACCTTGAACTCCGATCCTGTATCGACCCATCTCTCTCTGTAAGTCAAGTAAGCTTCTCCCTTCATCCCGCACCGGTGATGGGGGAAGAACTTGGCTCGGCCCTTTGTAAGACAGGGAGTAGGGTCTACTGTTCCATGGCTTTCCAGGATTGTGAAGGCGTCTGAAGACAATGGCGAGACCTATTGCTGTGAACAGTATGGAAAGAGGGACTATGAAAACAGCAAGTCAGCTAAATACGCATGGAAAGCTAGGAAAGCTTCGTACGTACACATATATAAGCACTGCTGGCCAAGTGTCATCCAATCCGCTCCGGTAAGTGAGTTGTTCATGCCGAAGAAAGACGTGAAAAAGCCAAGTGGTAACTTAAAACACGACTTTAGCGATTGCATCCATATGAACCACCAATGAACAAACAAACGTTGGACTCACGAAGATGACTGTCATAATGGTGAATGCCATGACAGCCTGGCCCTGTCGTATGCTCTCGTCGGATCTGGTCAAGGCCAACTTAGCCTCAATGATACTTGCCTGCTGCTGCTTCAATGCCAAGATCTCTTTCAACTGCGAGCTGCGTTAGAATTAAATCTAGTAGACGATGAGCATTGGCCGCCAAGTCACTCACATCGTCGGAAGTCCTTCTGGCTGCTCTCTCCATCTCTTCAATCTCAAACTGCCGGTTATTCATCTTCTCAATAGTTTCGTTCACATGTTCCATTTCTTCCGGGGAAATTAGACCAGCTGATTCTGATGCATCGCCGTGGAAGCCGTTCTGCGAGAATTTACCCAGGTGCTTGTGAAAATCTTTCATGACGTCAATCTGCTGCGAATATATGATAATCATGATTCGAAGTTCTTCAGCAATATCTTGAGCTTCGCGGAATAGCATGCCTGCTGGGTGGATGTTGAGGCAATTTTTCCAGGTATCCCTTTCTTGGGTCATCTTCTTCATGGCCTCCCAGAAGGCCTCAAAAGTCCTGGTTGTGCGGTCATTCTAGAATGGTCAGTGGTGCTCGTTTGCTGAGACTTCTTCAAGCAATAGAAGCTGAGCAGGAGAAACCTACCACATTTCCAATGGCTTCCGCAAAGATGTCCATAACCTCTGGCCGCAGGTCCAAGGGAATGGTGCGGTCAAAGAAGACCCTCGAACATTGGTCAATGATGAGCAGTGCTGTTGGGTCATTAACAATGAAGTTCCTCCAGCGGACTGGATCATTCAAGTGGTACTGACCGAGATGCCAGACAGAAAGGATTTCCGTATCAACAGTGGCTAACCTTTCTCGAAGGCTCTTGTGAATTCCAGAAGAATCGGGTTTGTTCCGCCCCCAACGCCTCGGAAAGGCGGTGATGATAGTATCTGACAAGTGTCAACGACCGGAAGTAGACCCTGGGAAGGTGATCTACAAAGATTGATCGATTATATGGCTTAATGATCGATTAAAAAGAAAGAACTTACAATCATCCAATATCCATAGCCATAGTTGGTCGACCATCATGACGCGGGTGACGCCTCCCGCCTTGAACCAAGGCGTCTTTGTTGCTCGGTACACGACTTGGTCGCGGTCACGCTTCGAGGTATCCTTTAAAGTCATGAAGTATGCCTGATCTAGTGTTCGACGAATATGAAGCGGAGGGCCGTACACAGCCTTCTCTTTTCCTTTCTCCTCCTTCAAGCCATATTCGACCAGAAGCTCATCCGCCTGGGTATCCATTGCCTTCCAAACACGTGCTACCTGCCTCAGATAGAGTCCTAGTTTCTTTGGGCTGCACAATACACGTCAGTTATGGTGTAAAGCAGCAAAATCCGTCCGGGGAAATGACACTCTGCTCTTGGCTTTGGTACGTACTTTTGGAATCTCAATGAGGCGGCTCCTTCACCCACGCTCTCTTTCGCCTTCCTCTTTTTTTCTGTTTCTGTTCGCAAAACGTGCTCTACAAGTGTTCTGAAGTCATGTAACATTGCGGTCACTTCGGGACTCCTTTTAGTTTTCACATCATGTCCGTTCGACTCGGTTTCATTGGCCTTCAGGGCAGCCTTTACAGCCTTAGCCATACGAGCTCTGCGACTACTAGACTCCCAGTGGAGATATGGCATCTATAAAAAAAATCAAAAATAAAAAGTAAATATAAAGTTAGCCTTACTTGGTATTTTTTATGCACTGACTTGCTCTCTCTTTCTAATGGCAGGTGTTCACTCACAAAGACAGCTGTGGGACCAGGTATGGGTGCCCGTTTCTCTGTTCCGGGTCCAGGTGTCAAGGCTTTCTGTGAGATGAATTCAACATCTGTGTCTGGGCAGTCGTTAACTCAGATCGCTTAGAAAATTAAAAATGCTATTCATCATGTAGTTACCTTGTGGTATGATCGAACACCGAGATCTCATGTGTCGGGAGTGTATTGGGCTCTTACCCAGCCCGCTTCCGTGCAGTTGCCCTCGCCAATGCTCACGGGAGAGCGTCTTGTTCGTCTTCTCCCTCTTTGCCGGATCCTCGATATTATCTTCCTTGTGATATCTTGCTATGGCTTGCTCAATCCACTGGCATTTGTCAATAGCACACTCCCATTGGGAGCACTTTCATCGAACAAGAACTTACACCCATGTGGTTCGCAGGAAAATGCAAGTACTTCAAATATGGCTTCCCATTCTCATAGTCCGCGTGGTCAAACGGGTTTTTATCCTTGTCGAACAGCGCCTGATGTACTGTGACCTTCTGCCCAGGGAACTCATCGGGGCCTGTGAAATACGACTGGTCGGCTTTACGAGTGATACCTTTCCACACGGACCTGGAATTATCGCCCTCGTATTTGAAGTACATGATACCAGCCTTGAAATCATAAGTAGGGTCGTCATGTCTGGAAATCTCCGTGTTGGCCGCACGGTCATCGTTGGCGGCGGTCTCGTTTTCCGTTGACGGACCTAAATCCTGTGGCCACGGTTTGAAGTAGCCGCGATCGTCAACCGGGGCGCGGGTATTGCGCCAGTCGTCGAGGTACCTTTTCAGGTCTCCTATCAAGGCGCTCTCCCTCTTCTCGATACGTTTTCGACTCTTCTCGATCCGATTCTTCTCAGAGGTCAATTTGCGCAATTCTTGATCCGACAGGCCTTTGAGCCATTGTTGGGTTTTACAGGCTCTCATGCGGTAGAAAGTCTTGGTGGTACTGTCGTCGTAGTTATCGTCCTCGGCTTCTCCGATCCATTTGGACAATCTCTCAGGGTCCTCTAGAACGTACCGCGGTATAAAGAGCCCCCTGGAATTTGCCTCCGCTGACTGGTGTGAGCTGCTCATTTCTACTATGTAGATGTGTCAATGGCCGGAATGTGGCAAGTTGCAGAAGATCAAAGACAAGCAGCTGCGCAGAGAGATTCTTCTTAAGTAAGAGTTGATTTGCTACATGCGAGGCTACCTACTGAACTCTGCGCCATCGCAGAGCCGCATCTGCAGCCCGACAAAACTTTCTCCATAGGTTTAGTTAGCTGTGCAGAAAACCAATACAATACTGCAACAGCGGACTCAGCTGATCTGCACAGTTGCACACCTCCTGCCTGTTTTGGGGAGATATGTCCGGGGCGGCAGTCATCAATGTGTTCTGGTTTTCGTCGTGCTCACGTTCCCCACTGAAACATGGTGTGTGGGATTTGTCAGGCTGAGGTCCGCAGAGGAGGGCATTCTTTCGGAACCATGACCTAAACAGACGTGCTCAGTATGGCCTTTTCTTCCTCCAACAAACCAACCACTCCAATTGTTGACCGAAGATCATATGCAGAAAATGGCCTTTTGTGAACACCCGTCTTCTTTGCGTAGCTGAACTTGGCTCAGCCCACGAGAGTTGCGTGCTTCGACCCACCCTCTCGCGTATCTCATGTCGAGTACTGCGAAATCTGGGGACCTCTGTGGATCGATATACGCATATACGAAATCTCTTGCACTTAAGCAGTGTCTTGGATTTGCTACGGCCGATCTGGGCCAATATTGCGCCATGATTGTTTCTTTCCGGTCAACCACACGAGGCACAACGAACCACAACGGAAGGCTACTTAAAGTATTACTTTGATGATCACAGTCAGCCATTCATGTCGTCATCTTCTGACTGGATGCTCATGGGTCAAAGCATTTATCTCAAACGTTGGGTTTCTGTCCTGATCTTCCATGCTACCAGATCAGAGCCTGCTGCACCTTTTTGTGATAATTAGCTTCAAAGCTGGTTTGGGCGGCTGGTAATAACATCTGCAGCAAGAAGCGGTGAGAACCTTTGGTCATTTTCGACAATCACAGGTGTTTCGGAAAATTCCAATGCACAATGATTTATTTTCACCTGTGGTGACACAGTAGAGTTTGCTTCCTGCATAACATCATGTGTTGTTCAAGATCATCCAGTGAGGCTGAACTTGATTATTGCTAGGGAGAACAATAGCGCCGTGGTCATAGTAATAGTACTGTACTGACTGCAATTACTTTAGCATGCTGCTGACACAGGGACAAGGGCATGTGTTGGGGGAACTGACTCGCATTGCATAACCCGCCCACCCAGTCAGCCAGTCTAGCCATTGAAGCCACTACCACTACCCCATAAGCAGCTCCCCAGCACCCCGGCCAACCTCAATCCAGCTCCACCCCACACCAAGACAAAAGAATCCACTCGACTCATCTCACCTCAATGTAACCAACAAGCAAAGCCTCAACACAGCGCGTTTGAACCTCAAAAAAAGAAAGAACCAAACAAAATTTCTCAAAATACAATGCCACCAAGACACCAGACCCTGCCACAGGCCCAGACGGCATCGGCCCGCGAGGCCATGTCCTCGTTCTACTGCCAGCTCTGCGCCAAGGGCTACTCGCGCCACAACGAGTACGAGGCCCACCTCTCCTCCTACGACCACGCCCACAAGGTCCGCCTCAAGGAGATGCGCGCCATGACGCGCGACCCAGGTGCTGCAGCCAGGGCACGTCGGGCTGAGGCCAAGGCCGAAGGCGTCATCAGCATCCAGTTCGGGGCGGGGCAAGGCGGCGGCGCTGGTGGTACCGGCGGTGGCGGCAGCGGCAAGAGCGCGGGGTTCAAGAAGGGTGGCTTCAAGAAGAGTGGGTTCAAGAGTGCCTTTGCACCTGCGGGCAATGACGTGGACCAGGGAGAGACAGAGAAGGACGAGGAGGCGAACAAGATCAAGAGTGCCGCGCTGCTGGGCCGTGGTGCTGGTGGTACGTCGGCTGCTGGTCTAGCGGAGAGCGACACCGAGGACGAAGGCTATGAGGTTTACGACCCACGATTCCCTACAGACTGAGGCCAGAGGGCAAGGACGCAGTCTTCTTGTCTCTCTCTCTCTCACGCACGCTCACACACACACACATGATGAATGACGATGGCGATAATAATGCTTGTATTTACTAGCTATTATCATACGCCGCTGTTCCACGTGTTAGGATGAAATTGCGAAAGGTCCTCCTCCAACAACCCCATCATGTACCGGTTGCCCGAGAACCAGTCACCCAGCTGCGTCGTCTGCTGTTGCTGCTGCTGTTGCTGCTGCTGCTGTTGTTGTTGCTGCTGCTGCACCGCCATAGCACTGGCCCCGCCGCCGCCGCCGCCTTGAGAGTACCTGTGGCCTTCGCCACCGTGCCCACTCGTTGCGCTCGTGGGGGACGCTGTCATGGCCCCAGCATTGGTACCATGTCCACCACCACCACCACCACCACCACCGCCGCCATTGGCAGCAGCGGCCGCAGCGGCCGCAGCAGCCATGCTCCCGGATGGGTCGTCGACAGGCATGAAGCCCAGGGCGCTGAGGTAAACATCAAACTCGTTCCCGATCGGGGCCATGTCGGTGTCTTGGTGCTGACCCGCCCTGCCCTTTGCCTCGACGTACAACATGGCGACGTTGTAGAGGACCGAGAACAGGCGGTGCAGCTTTTCGATGCCCTCGGATACGGCACAGGTGGGCTGCAACGAGTCGATAAACTCGCGCAGGCGGTGGAGATCAGCGACGTCTGAGGTCTCGATGATGTGGCAGAAGATGACGATGAAGGGCACGAAAGGGGCGTAGAGGATGGTCCTATTCGGGGGCAGGACGGTTAGTTCAAGAGCAACCATTCATTGTTTGGGGCATCTGAAAATCCCAAACGCAAAGAGGAACATACCAGTGGATGTACGAGGCCGCAACCCACAGGTTGGATCCCATCAACTTCATACACTCCTCGTGGGTCTGCATGGCGAGGCGGGCCGTGTCGATGCACTCGCCCGCAAACGTGGATGCCCCAGGGAAGCGCGAAGGAATGGCCCTGTAAACGAGGGTCAGGCTGGACAGGAAAGAAACCTGGTCACTCTTCATGACCATCTCGGCGACCACAACCTTCCTAGCATCGGTGCCGTCTCTGGCATGACGATTGATGTCTCCCGTGCGCAACAGGGATGCCTGCTCCTCGATGATCTTAAGCCGGGCGGCCAAGGTGCGAGCGGCGTCGGCGCGGCGGGCGGGCGGATGCGCCAGAGACGCTGGGCTGTACAGCCTCTCGTAGATTTGGCCCTGAACGTCGGCGTGGGCAATCCACAGGCGGAGGACCTCCTTCCACATCTCGGTGGCGTTGACGCGGCCGATGACGCGGGGTAGAGTAACATCGAAGTCCTGGATGATGGGAGCACGGCCTAGCCGCAGGGCGAGGCCCCGGTCGAGCATGTAGCTGAACCAGAAGAGAATGGCCTTTTTATCATCAAGGACGGTGGTCACGCTACTAGGCTCGCTACCATCGGCGCCTACAGTACCGCCAGTGACGCGGTGGTAGCCCAGGTCCTGACACAATTGGGCAGCCGTTGTGTTAAGCTGCCAGGCGAGGCTGGGGCGGGACACCTCGATGGCGTAGCTGGCACCCAGGAGCAGGGCCTCGATGGTCTCCATGGTAGCACCCAGGAAGAAGCGCAGGTGGGCGAGGCCCGTCTCGAGGTTGGCCCGGCACAGCTCGTAGTAGCCAGTGTACTCGCGCACTGCTGCGTCGGTGGCCGCAGTCACGCTCTTCTCCTGAAACAGGTAGTACAGGCCGGCGTTGACGATGATGAAGGTGGCGTGGCTGAAGTCCTCGAGGGCGAAATAGACACGGCGGCAGGCCTCGGCAAAATTTTCGACGGCCATAAAGCAACACACGCTGATGAGGGTGAAGGTGCCAGGAGGAGTCTCCTTGACCTCGCGCAGGATGGGAATGACGGCGGTGACGGGAGGCATGGGCAGCTCGCGGAACCCGCCGCGCGGGAGGACACGCTGGTGGGCGAACCGGACGTCCCTCGCGCTGCCGGCACCGCCAGAGCCAGACCCTCGCCTGGTGGAGGTCGAGGAGGCAGAGGATCCGGCTGCTGCTAAGTTCGGGTTGTTGGTCGTACCAGCGTTAGATGTGCGGGCGCCGCGCTGCTTTTGAGACAGGCCGACCATCTGCCTGAGGGAAGACAGGGCGGCGGCCATGTTCGGGTTGACGTCTCTCAGCGAAGTACGCTCGACAGCGCTCTCGAGGAACTCGCTGGCAAACTGGGAGTGGGCAGTGAGGGAGGAGTGGCCCTCGAAGGCGGACGAGTCCAGGTCGGTGGTGCCATCTGGCGTGCTAGAGCCGGACGCATCGCCGTCGCCATCGAGATCAAGGTCTAGGTCGAGGTCTCCATCCCCTCCTCGCCCTTTCCTCCGTCGTCCTGCTCCTCCTCCTCTTCCTGGTCCTGTGCCCGACGGTGAGGGGCGATCAGCATCGGGCGAGACGACAGGCGGGTGCTCGTGGAGAGGAAGAGTGGTCTGCAGCCGAAGGGTATTGCGGCTCGTGAGGGTGAGCTCGCGCAGAAGTTTCTCTATGGAGCCAAGGCGCTCCTCTATTTGGTCGATCTTCCGCTCACTGGGAATGACTGGTCAGCTCAAAGACTTGAAAAGGCTTACTCGTACGGTTCATAACAGAGGATTGGCCGGCTGCAAAGCAGATGGTGGATGATGATGATAGCGTGGGAGCAAGGGGAAGAGAAAGGAAAGAAGAAAGGGGAGAAACTCCATGGAAGACAAATGTGAGTGACTCTTGGACAAAGCAACGACATACTATTGAGTAGATATCAAGACCCTCTGTCGTGCCTCTCTTGGTTTCTGACCTGCACCAGTGGAACTGCACTGGCGGTTTGCAATACGGCAGTTGGAACATGGTGATTCTTTGTCGCAGCGAATCTAAAGACCAGCAGGAGTAGTCACTCCGCGTTAGCATCGTTTGTGTACTGTTTGGCCTTGTGTGCACTCTCGCCATGGTTGCCAAGATGGATAACCTCCCACTCCATAATATAAAAATACATCCATCCCCACCAGGCGTCCGCGGACATGGAGAGGGAACCGGCACTGGGGGGCAAACCTACTTTCCGTATGCGGCACTGATCACACTATGCAGAAGAGGGTGTTAGTGCCAACAGACAAAACGGGGAAAAACGAGATTGATGGTCAGATATGACATGACTTGACACGACAAGGACAGGAAATAGGGCGTTTGCTAAGTTAGTGTGGTGATCTGTGGACAAGACAAGAGATGGATCGAGGCTTGGGGGTTTGGGACTTGGGATCTGGAACCTGGGGCGCGTGGGGTATGTTTTGGTTTGTGGTGAGTGTTTGTATGCAGGCGCGCGTGTCTGTGTCTGGTCTGGGTGAGGGAGTCTCAAGTTGACGAGAAGACAGAACTGTGTTATGATGTCCCATGGAATATGGATTGAAATGAATGAGACTGGACTGATGTACTGACTGCTCGGATGATGTTGGCGTTGCTGTTGCTGCTCATCAGATCGCCACCATCCCCAGATCCCAATCCTTTCCCTGGCCCTCCTCCTCCTGCTGATGATGATGAGCCTCCTACTCCTATTCCTCCTCGTAGGTCAATACCTCCTGGCACTGTTGCTGCCTTCCCCGAGGGTGTGCTGCCGGTACCCATGGTGGTGATCAGTAGTGCTGGTGCTGCCGGGTCGAGGAGGTCTTGGGCATGGATGAATGGAGGGGACCAGACTGGGACCTGGATCTCGAGTGGGTTTGGACGTGTTGGGGAATGTCCACTCTCTCTGAGGCAGGGCCAATGATCATGGGCAGAGGTAACACGCTGCAGGTTGGCAACCCCTCCTTACTCTAGCCGTGTTTCTTTGTTTTTAAACAACCGTTTTTACAGACCCCTCCTGCAGCAGTCATTAGTGCAGTAAGTTGCAGATGGTTTGGGCGTGTGGGAAGGAGGGAGGCTGGGTGCGGGGCCCGCGGGTGCCGAGGCATAGAGGATTAGGAAGAAAAAAATGTGGGTGCACTCGGGCTTTTCAGTCCCTGGGTCCTCGATCATCAGAATGAAGGTTGATTATTGAAGTATTTATGCTAACTTGATTTGATTGATCTTCTTTTTTACTTAGTCTACTTGAATTTATCATCATCCATATACCTGCCTTTATCCCCATTGTTCACTGTATAGCAATGCATGCTGGATGGCCATGTGCAGGGCTTGTGTCCTCTCACCCCCCCCCCCACCCAAAAAAACATCAATATCATCATCAGCACTACCACTGTCTACCCTTTCAACGCCTTCTTGTTCTTTTTTGCAACTCTCTTTCCTTTTAGCTTTGTTCTATATGAGGTGAGCTGTGCCCAGGCCACTCTTTGATGTGCTATATGCTGCTTCTCCCAGGTGATATGAGTGCATAGTAATTCATTTCAAGTGCCCTGTGAGATAGCACGGTAGCTACAGTAGCATGGTGGCGTCGCCGGCAATTGAGTGCTTCCATCCTATTTGGGACAAGATAAGAGAAGATCTCGGCTGCTCCCGGACATCTCGGACATACGGCTCCTTGGCCCACAGGGGTTGTAGCCATGCCCTCAGTTCAGTGCCTGCAATTGAGAGGGCAAAGAAAGAGCAGAGAATGTCCTGCAGAGAACAGTGATGATGTGTCTTCTTGGCAGCATTTGAGGCCTGCCATCGGCGATCCTGTATTCCAGATATCTCGCTCCTCACTTGCTGGAACTATTCTACCTCAGTGAAGTTCTAAAGCCATCGTGGAGCCAGACAGACACCATTTTCCAGGAAGTACTGTAAAGCAGACAAGGCTGAATGGCAATTCCGACTTACTAGTAGGCTCTGTCTGACTCAACGTTGGCTTCTATGCTAGAAATGAACCAGCTTTTAATGCTGGGGTAATGAAGATATCTGGTGCACCGTCTCCTCCTGTTCATTACTACATGATCACTTTGGATTTCTTCACTGAACATAGTCATATTACTGAGGATTCGGATTTTCATAGCTGTTACCCAAGTATATGAAAGGAAGAGAGATATGTATCAAGTGCAAAACAAAAGAGAAAGATGGGGTAGGGAGAAATGATAGAGGGGGGGCCTACGGTATTACATAGTACATACACAAACTTACAAGTTTATCCTCCATTCTAACATCAAAGGACTTGTGCAAATACTCGAGTCTGCACATGCCTTTAATGCTGTCATTGTTATAAAACGGCTTGATCAAATACCTGCAGTGTGTCCTATCACTGTGAACTCTTTACTTGAACGTTATACTACCAGAATATTCATCGTTTCATCAGAAACTCCCGTTTTCTCAACATTTGAGGATAGTCTACATTCTTTACACACATCTTACACGAAGAGGATTCCTGGCCGAGCTACATGCAGCTCAGGTTGCACCTTCAGGGATGATATGAACGTTATCGGCCATGTTCATGAGCATGCAGGGCCATGTGTTGCAATAGCCACGTAAGATGCGGCTGTACGACTCTGGGCCGGCCTCTGAGCGAGAGAGGGGGAGAGAAGAGAGAAGCGTAGCCAGAATTTTCATATAAGCCATGTGCTCCATGGGGGCCATGAGACACGGGGGTCTCTTTCACTTTCCCTCCCCTCCCTTCTCCCCCTCCATCTACTTATTTCCTTCTCTTTTGTTCGAATAGACTCGGCTGGGCTGTCTAGCGAGGGAAGCAATAGGACTTTGGCATGCAATTGCTGGGCGCGGCTCGGATGGACTTATTCTCTTCTTCAGCCCGCCAGTGATTATGCACTTGGGGGGACGGGGGGTCAAAAATTATGTGGCAGGCACTTGACTCTTTATCAACTCGCCCCGTACACCCTTGCCCGGGCACATGCACACTCTTTCACCGATAATGAGTTCTTCTGTTCCCCGGTAGATGCCCAACATCTGACATACGCCCCGCAAAGGGGCCCCAGCGCGACATTATGATTCGTCGGCCGGCCGTCCAGGATAAGACACTGATCGGCACTTCCTTTCGGGCGACCATCAGTGACAGAAGCAAGCCCTCCAGGCCTTCTCAGCCACCGGTCTCTAGCTTGTGTTACTGCCCCTCGATTTCCCGTCTCTGAGCCGCAGGACCAACGACTGCGTATGGGTCTTCACCCTTCCAAGTAGTCAGCAGAAAACACGGAACATGCCCCCATGTTATTTGGGGGCTGCAGAAAAATGACTGCCTCTTTGAGTTGCCGCCTGGTTCGCGGACTGGTCAGCCCTGCGATAGGTTTACCTATCAATTCAGCATGCACCTCAGCCCACCAGCCCCCGTCCCCGCGCCAGTGTTGTACAATTGTTATTATGCGAATGTCTCAAGCACTGTTTTATTTCGTTGTATATTCTTTCCTCGCTCTCTCTTTCTCCTCTTCTCATCACACCCGCGGCAGTGGAATTCCGACGGTCATCAAGAGTGACAGAAATTCACTGCAGGCGATTGAAAAGAAAAAGAAAGAGAGTCTCTGTGTAGGTGGTTCTACTAAGCCAGTCGCTATGACTCCATAGACAGACTGATTAGCTTTATTCGTGCTGGTAGTGAGTCTTATGCTAGTCACGACATCGAAAATCGCGTGAAGGCATTATAAGAGCCTTTCAGGTTCTACACAAGCGCACGTAATTAGCCCAAATACTCCGCAAGGCACTAGCATTGGTATACATACTTAACAGCGCCGAGTTTGACCATTCGCACAAAAACACATGAAATTCAAGTCAAAGTCTGACGTCGATTGTTTCCAGTCCGAATCGCAACACCAAGGCTAAGAAAACAGAACTCACCGCGACTTCCATGTCTACTGAACAGAGACAGCCCAACCGGCCCTCCAGCCGGAACAGCAGCACACATGTCTCTATAGGAGATTCTATCCGCTCACAGTACTCGACGAGGTCATTGAGTCCCGAGTTCGATCAGCACACACCACACAACAGTTTCCCCCAGCAGACCGGCCAAGCGTCTACGGTCAACACAGCGGCTGCAGTACTAGGATCTGAGGGGGGAGGAGGCATTGTAGACACAGACGCGATGGTGCAGTTCGTCCCAGCCTCCTCCCAGACGCTTGCCCCGAGGAGCCCTTTGGATGTCTTGACCGAACAATCGGACAAGCTGATGCTGAGGATCCATCACATGTACATGGTCATCGAACAAGGGCAACAGGACATGAAGAACCTTTCCGAGAAAATTGAGGAATATCAGAGGGACTTGTCCAGGTACGTGCCGGGGTCAGGTCAATATGTTCAGCTTATGGAGTTAGTCCAGCAGGCAGAAGATGATATCACGAGGCTACGGGCTCAGGGGATTAAGATTCTGAAGACGATCCAAAGAGGGAGCGAGCATTTCGATCAGTATATGGAATCGATCGGGCTGGATATTGGCAAAGGCTGTGGACCCGATTATGGTTATGCTCAGAGAATTGCCATGGATGATTTCGATGAGGACCCAGAGCTAGATGCCAAAGAGGGCTGGACTGAAGCTCCGTTGGTGCCGCGCGACTCCGTGCCGGCGGAGACTCTGGTGCTGGAAACGAGATAAAGGGGGAGGGGGGAGAGTAGACCTGTCCAAATGAGTGGGTGTGCCTTTTTTTTTTTACCGGATGAAGTACTACCATCTAGAAGAAGAAACACTTAACCTTAGGTAGAGATTTAGTTATTTGTTGGTAGACAGGAAGGCTTGGACTTGTGCAGCTCCAAAAGTGTAGAATTAGCAGTAGGTGTGGTTCTGGCCATAATAGAACCGAGCGAGTACACTTATTTAGACAATTAATTAGTGATTCATGACTTACAGCGCCCTGTACCGCAACCAGGCGCTCATGTCGAGAAATTGGCCCTGGCGCGCCACGAAGCAGCCCGCCTCAGCGAAGGACACGGGGTAGAGTAAAGTCGAATACTAATGATAGAAGCACGGCCTAGCTGCAGGGTAGAGCCCCGGTCGAGCATGTAGCTGAACCAGAAGAGAATGGCCTTTGTATCGTCGAGAATGGTGGTCACGCTGCTATCGGCGTCCACAGTACTGCCCTTGGCGTGGTGGTAGTCTAGAAACACGGAGGAAAAAGAATGAGCGGAAAATTTCGTTCATCAAGGTTAATTCAAATATATGCAGAGTCCTTGTTATTAGACAGAGAAGATGAGCTGTGGTAAAGTTTAGGAAAGGTAGCTTATTTGACTTATGGAAAGGATGGGACTTTGCCATGACTCCAAGTAAAGGGCTATGGGCATACCAATCTAGGAGAGATGGTCGCATGACCACGATCAAACTTTTTAGTCTTTTGTTATGTATTTTGATTGTGAACATGCTCCTCCTTATCCTGTTCTAAAACATTCGAATCTATTTTTATAGCTAGATTGTTTTTACTGAGCTAGGCTTGCCTAGTGCTGAAAAGATCCCTTCGGTCCTTCCTAGGTTGATCAACTAGGGAGAACAACAACTAAAATAGACTGCAGAGCTACAATACACGTCAACTGAGTAGCTGTTCGTGCAAGTAGATTGTTAAGAAACAATGCATATAAAATGCCGAGCCCTCTCTCTCTCTCTCTCTCTCTCCGTCTCGATTTCCGCTTCCACAGTTTTCCCACCTCCAAACAAAAGCTTTTATCCTAAGCTATTCCAGCACATTTTCATCCTTCTGACATTACCTTTATCCTAGATACAGCATAGCCGACGCATCGAGAAACCTAAAAGAGGACGGCAGTGTCCTCTACCCCAGAACCACCGACATTCCTCAACCACACCATCTATCGAGAGAGACAGACATCCGTCCAGACGTCCGGCAAAAGACCCCGGACTCAATTCTCCGCGGGGCCTTGCAAGATGGGACCAAGGCGTTCCTTGCCCGAGTGGCAGGTTGGTGACATTGCCTTCCTGCGCACACACCAATGTTTCAGTGCTGCAGACTTTGACAGCCTCATCCGCTGTCGCTACATCTCGCCCAAGGCGACATGTCACCCCTGCATCGTCCTGGCCGTCCACAACGCCAGGGCGATTGTCTCGCCCATCTCAGCCTTCAGCACTGAGAACAACAACTTCCGCCCGCCCTGGGAGCAGAGGTGCCACCGGTCCAAGGTGACGGACCACTTCCGGGCGTTTGAGGGGACAAGCCGGCCCAACAACAGGCATCCCGCCCTCCGCCTGGCTGAGGAGTCGATGACGCTGCCGAAGCCCAGAGCATCCTGGGTCTATCTCCAGCACTTCTTCTGTGTGCCTTTTTCCGTCCTGGGCTGGTTCGACAAGTCCGACACCCTACTCCGTGTCCACCCGGACTCAGTCGCCCAGCTGAACGAGGGCATCAAGAAGTTCGAGGACGACTACAGGCTCGCCATGGCTAGGCTCATGGCATCCTCAGCCAGCAGTCCTCATAAGAGAGGCTCGCTCCAGCCCAGTCTCCACCACCACGGCCGCCGTCACTGCGCCTCGACGCCGACCTACACCCCGGCTACGGCTCGTGTGCCTTCCTGCTCCTCTGCCGCGACCCTCAAGCTGCCGGCGGCCATGTCTGTTTGTCCACCTGTTGTCGGCGCGGAACAGACCGTCAGCAAGGTTCCGTCCGCCAACGTGTCGTCGTCCAAGCCGACCTGGAGCCAGATTGCCGCCAGGACTTCGGCTTCAATGCTTCAAACCAAGTGCGCTGCATCGCAGATGCCGAGACCCAACGTCTTGAGTGCATTCTGATGATGGCGAGCTTGTCGATGCCGTGGCATAAGCATCTTTGCTTGAGAACAGAGGGTTGGAAGGAAACGGAGGAACTCGCATACCAGTCGAGAAACTGATTAGATTGGGACCATGGATGTATGGCATTTCTTGAGATACTCAGTGATCACGTTGCATGAGATTTGGCGCAAAGAATGTTAGGCTGGGGGAAGGCGGGAAGGGGATAATATCACCAATGACCTTGTTATGGGATATAGGATGGATGAGACATGCGCTCAAGTAATTATGACATGAATGATGATGTGCTTATGAGAGAATTATGAATAAGAAAAAACTGTTACACAAGATAAAAAGCTCAAAGATGCATCAATGATTTGAAGTTCACAGTATGAGAGATTATCACCCTCTTAGGTGTCTGTGTTGTTTGGGCTGTTAATATGCATCTCAAACAGAGCAGAGACTGGTGGGAAAGGAAGGGGGGTTGGATGGAATGAGGCCCTTGTCTGGGTTAGGGTACTTGATAACGATAACGTGGCTCAACTCCTCTTTTCGCTGCTGAAAGGCAGTTGTGCAAATTTGTACTGGTAATGGCAATGCTGTGACAGGCCCATCTTGGTGGGGGTTTTTAAGGGCTTAGTTACAGTGGGCTGCCCCCGGATTGACAACGTCACAGCACTGAGAAGCAGGGGCTAATACAGTGGGGAAGAGCAGGGGTTTTAGACAAGGGGCCAGGGGGAGACGCCCCGAATTCCTCAACATTTCGCGTGACAGCAGCCATCGTGGGTTTCTTGTCTTTCCTCCTGTGCTGTAGCACAAACTCCCACACCCACACATCCACACAACGTGCTGGGGGGCCCAAGATAGAGACAGGCATATCACTATGGATGCCAGGTCTCTGAGGGCAACACCCTCACAAGAGACCTTGATCTCCCTCCTCCAGCTCGAACCACAACCAATTGCAGACACCGACAAAGAGCTGCCCCCTCTGCCAGAAGAGTCGACCACGACGACAAGATCAATCGGGCTGGAAGACACAGAAAAATTGTTAAGGTCAGGGCCGTCTCGCGGCACCTCATCTCTGGGTCTCAGTGGGAACAATCATGGCTCCATCTACTACTGTATTACTTCTCCTCCCCCCCCCCTCCCGGCCTCTTCCCACCGCCTTGAGAGAAGACCATGATCAATGCAGAAGGATACTAATACGAATACCCATATCTCCTAGTGACACGCATTCAGCGATGGTCGACATATGCCCTCTCAATCTTCACCGGAATCCATATTGCCAATACCTCCCTCATCCCCTTGGCCACGAGATCCGTTCCGGCCTCCGAGTCCTACCTACTCCTCGCCCGCGAAATCTACCAGACCCCGCTCACCGAGCCTCTCTTCATCGCACTCCCCATCGCCGCACACATCGCTTCCGGGATCGCCTTGCGCCTCGTGCGCCGCTCCCAAAACCTCAAGCGCTATGGCGGTGCTACTCCCGCCGTCTTTCCCCAAAAGTCCTCCACCTCCTCGACGTTCTCCTCCTACTCCTTGACCGGGCCCAGAAGCCCCTGGCCGACCATGAGCCTCATCTCCCTCGCTGGTTATGGGTTCTCGGTCCTCCTCGCTGGCCACGTCTTCATGAACCGCCTGCTGCCTCTGCATGTCGACGGCGACAGTAGCAATATCGGCCTTGCCTACGTCGCGCACGGCTTTGCGCGTCATCCGGCCACCTCCTACCTTGTCTATGGCGGCTTGCTGACAGTAGGCTGCGGGCACATGGTCTGGGGCTGGGCGACGTGGCTCGGCCTCGGACCCCTGGCTGGCTGGCATACTGACCTGAAGAGCCTGGGGAGCACACGGAACCGTGACGAGGATGCGAGGCGCAGGAAGAGGAGACGCAGGATGTGGCTCGGAGTGAATGGCGCCGCAGTCATTGGAACGCTGCTGTGGGCGGCGGGAGGGCTGGGCGTCGTGGCGAGAGGGGGACGGATGGATGGATGGGTTGGGAAGGTCTATGATGATTTATATGCCACTGTCGGCCAATAGAGAGGCAGGAAGGCCTTATCATGATGTCCAAAAGCCAGAGACGGATGGTAGATACTTGCCATGTCAGATATAGAACATTGTTATACATGCACAAAGGTCGCATAAGAGATTGGCTAGAGATAGACACCTGGCATATCAGAAAGCATTGTATATTCCTTTGCGCACAGCATGGAGCTCTGTGTCTACACTGGTGTGGCAGATATAGCCATATTTTATCGTGTTCTGGGAGCCACTTGGACCTATATCTAGCCTGATTGAGGCAGTGGCGTGCACTGCCATCAGATTGGATACTGCGCCCTTTCAAAAGCTGCTCATATGATACCTGCTAATAAATAAACTCGCGGTTTCCCGCCATGGCACCAGGAAATTAGCAGCGGAATCGCGACAACGGCAGGAACAAAGGAACGTCCTAGCTCGATCCACGAATCGTCAGCAACGATACAATTTATTTTTGTGAGATGATCCGCGACTGGAACCTGTGTAAGCAGTGGAGATGATGAGGGTTGGGGAGGGGGGGGGGGGGGCGATCTACTTGATTTCATATACTGAACCGTTCATTTGTAGAGGAACACACCTGCCAGGTAGGATTGAAATGCTGAAGACGAGGCATAGAAGACGGGACCTGCGGTGAAGTGAGTTGGTCACATCTGGCCCCGTTCAAATATTACTTGCGAGTATCCAGACGCCCACTTTTGATTCGAATATGCCGTTCTTGATGAGCTCAGACTGCATCGTATAGTTGAACCCGGACGGGATGACGAGGGCAACGGGAATACCAGCCTTCATGCGGGAGTATACCAGACCTCGCATGCCATTTTTACAGCCCCATATATGGAGATATAGCCGACAAGGAGGCAAAAAAAAAAAAAAAAAAAAAAAAAAATAAGTACAAATACCCATACATCAGGGCCCAGGCAGAACGAAAGGCTCAAGACGATCGGGCGGCAGACAAGCATCTTATCGGCTTGGCGATGGACCGCAGTACGTGCAGAGCATCGGTGGTACCAGGCGTCGGTTCAGAGTAGACCTTACAAAGCTCCTTTTGTTGAGTCGGGTAATTTTGGCCTCAGTATTGTGGGTGCATGCGTGCTCAGACAGGAGGCAGTTACAGCGCGATCATGGTCCATGACACCGCTCCGGACGTCCAACCAAACAGAGAACCCCCCGCCAGCCTCCGAAACATTCTGTGAAAAAGAGAGAAAAAAGGTGCAACATGATGACGTTAATAATGTTGAGGCTGACAGGCAACTGATGGTGTAATTACGGCAGGTGCCCGTCGTTTCGTTGGACTTGTTTCACATGATGCCGCGGCCAGAGCTCAGAGATCGACGACAGCAAGAAAGAAACTCCAAGCCAAGGAAATGAAAAATGAGGAAGCAAACGACCAGTGATCAAACGGGCCTGCGGATCTCATGCAGGTCTGTCATGAAAAGAGATAGACTAGCGGACGACAATTAAGTACTTAATCAGAGAATGACACTAAAGGCACGGAAACACGTACACATACTCACACTACACGCTTACAGAGAGAGACCGAGAGAGCGGGAGGATGTTGGCATGCATAAAATTGTGGAGAAAGTCGTCAGTCATGTGATTAAACTCGCCTGCCCTGGCCGATGCTAATATAGAGATCGGAAATAATGCCCTTACGCGATGCATGCAAGACAGCAAACAATTTCTAATGTTGACTGCCCGTCTTCCTCAGGATCCCCTTCCCAATTCTGTGTATTCTCCAAGTGCCGCCGTGTTCATCATCCCAAGCCACCTCGACGCTGAATGCTTCTTCGGGCTAAGTCTAGCCGTTATTGGTGGAAGAAGTGGTCTCCCTTCCGTCGTTGCAGCCGTTAATACAGGTAACAGTTGGCGTATTGACGTCTTGCATCTCGTATAAGAGGTCAAGTGAGTGTGTTGGCAATGCTGTGCAACCAAAAACAAAACTGGGCTAGCCTGGGCCGCGATTTGATTGCTGTGTTACGGTCGGGCGTTGCCGGAAGTCCAACATGTGATCCTGAGTGGATGATAGGGAATTCGTTCAAGACGTTTCGTAAGAGAAGAATAAGATGGTGGGGGGGGGGGGGATAGATTGATCTGCAGTAGAACAACAAGAAGCAAATGCAGGTGTGCGCTGAAGACAAACTTCAAAGCTGTCAACTGGCTGAGCGAGGCTTGACCTTACCCTATCGGGGAATATATGAATTCCCCGCTAAGTGAAAAATAGCAGTGTCAGTATGTACATACCCGCATGCCCCCACCCCCCCCCCCCTCCTCCATTACAAGACGGCAGCCTTACTTGACTGTTTGCTGATCCAATGCAGCATGCCTAGAGAAATCTCTAAATGCATGGTAGAAGCCGAAATCCCAACAGGAAGATTTCCTGACACGCATAAGTAAGATGGAAATGTCATGGCACATTAGAGTCACAGTGATGACAACCTGTGAAGCGGTGATGACAAGGCTGGCAGCCGTGCAATCATTCGTGCAGAGCTGGCCAGCTGTTGAGATCTCTTAAATGAAACTGTAGATTCCCGAGACCTGGGAGTTTTTGTTTATCATATGGCCAGAAAAAAAAATGACCAACCATTCAAACGCGTAGACATAGCCAGTATCCAAAACAGTGTGGGGTCACGAGATGCTTTTGCTGCAGGCCAAAGCAAGCCGCAAAGATACATGTAATATATGCAGGCAGCGCACAGACCAGAAAACTTTGGAAGTGAGGCGACTGCCTGCAGGGGGAGGAGAGGCAAGCAGGAGGAGAGGATCATATTTGTCCCGCGCACATAAACTGTTATTTGTTTCCCCTCGCGTTCAGCCTTTTGTTTCTTTCTAAAATATTTCAATTTTCATCTCCCTTCTTTCTCTTCACCTTTCAGCACATTCAGGCTTCTGTCACTACGCAGACGGGTCTGCCTGTCTTTTTCCTTTGCGTTTTTGTTTGCATTCCCTTAACCCATCCCTCGTCCCTTTTGCTTTTTGTCAAACACAACACAACACAATCAAGAATGTCCAGATTTCTGCACGAGATGGAGGCCAAAGTTGCCATGAGCAACACCGCTGCTACCCCTGAGACGTATTCTGAGCCCGGGGTATCCAAATCTGTTGACATCATTGACAGGGAGTACAATGGTGATGTCCAGCATGCCATGGAGTCTCTCCTCGTGTCTTCCACCCTTCCACCCTCTCCTGAGAGTCCCATCGTCTACAACTACAAGCTGTCAAATGACCACTTCCAGGAGGCTCGAGCCTACCTAGCAGCTCATAACAATCAGCACCGGTATGAAGAAACTATTTATTTACTCAAGCTTCAGTCCTTTTCTTCTGCCTTCTCATTGGCCTTTCATATGGCACTTCCTTTCCAGAAGTCTCTGAATTGCTACCACTTTTGGCTTTTTGTGATCTTGAGAAGCCTTCTGCTAATACTTGCCTCATCGCAATGCAGATGTATGACCACTGGGGACTTGTTGGTAGTCAAGATGGACGTTTGGCCTTGTGAGAAGTCCTGGCTGTGGCTTACAGCCCAGATTGAGAACCAGCGCCTCGAGCTTGCTGAGCACACCAATGATCCTCTGGTCACCAACTACATGAATGAGCTCGGAGTTGATTCTACCACCCAGAAAGAGTTGTCTCAACGTCTGCAGATGCCGGCCTGTACTCCCTGCAAGAACCCCCTGCCAGAGTCTGCTGCTCCTGCCTTGAGCCCTTCTGGAAAGTCTGCCACTCCCTCCAGTTTCCAGGAACATCCTGATACCCCCTCCTCCGGAACTGCGGAGGAATCTGGTATGAACAAATCTATATCCTCTGACGAGGGTCTGAATGATACTTCTTGCCCCAGAACTGTGGTCATCATGCTGTCTGCTCGTGACAACACCTGGGAGGACCTGATCGAGAAGATTAAGCACATGCTCTTCTCTCCATGGATTGAGCAGCGCCGAGGTGATATCCGCCTGGCCCTCGCCATCAAGGGACCTTCTGACGAAGACCTCCGTGAGGGCAATCGCGAGGTTCGTGTGGGTATCTGGCGTCTTCGCTCCGGCACTCGAGGTGCTGAGGCCATGGACACTGTGTTCGACAAGGTTCGTCCATCCAGTCCTCTTTCACTCGCCTATCGGCCTTCTGTTTCAAAATGCCTAGTCTCCTAATATTCTACTCCGGGGGGAATAGATCATTCGTGACAAACACGGCCGTCACCGTGTCAGCCCCAGTGCTGCCATCGTCCTCACCTGGCGGGACTTCTTGCGCCCCTACCTCGGCCGCGACGAGGAGCCCCTGGGACTGGCCAGCCTCTTGGAGAATGAGCTCCTGGTCATTCCCTACGGCGTCCTCCTCCAGGAAATCGAGAAGGACGAGCGTATGCTGGCTCTGCCGGATGAGGAGTTCCGGGATATATTCCGGTTTGAGCGCATCCCGGAGCCCACCAATAACACCCACGAACTCGAAATGGCTTAGACACCCCCCTCCTCTGCCCCTGGTGTTCCATGACAATGATCTAGTACAGACACTCAGGCAAGTCAAGAGCACTGCAACAAAGCACAGCAACGGACTCAACAGCTGGCAAGATGTACTATCAGTGTCAGTGTCGAGTGCTTTAAAGAATGGGGATTTACTCATCAACAACTGAAGTTTTGAGAAAGGGAGGAAAAAATCCTGATGAAAAGGAAAGAGAAATATCTGACACAGGGGCAAGGGATCAGTGGGTAGAAGACATACAGTCTAAATCTTCGTGATTTCTCCCTGCTAAGATAGATCCCACTTGTTGTTCTCACAGTATGGCTACATAGTAGGATACTTCTATCAGTTCATGTAACGTTGCAGGCTTTTGGTCCCCGTAATTAGTTGGTCTTCTTAGATGCAACCTTCGTGATTGGATGATGTTATCGTGCAAGCAAGTCTGGATTATTGATATATGACAAGACATGGAACGGCTGTGGTCACTCGTAAACCAAAACTTTTCTTGTACACTCTGAATTGTGTTTGCACGATTTTCATTTTCCACCTGCTACCAAACATTTCTCTGCACTGATGTATGAAGATCGCTGCCCAGGCAGAGTTCCCCAGGACCAGAATGATATCATAAAGTCGCGCCCTTGAGGTTCCTTGCAACGTCTAGCAGCCATTTCAGATGAATGATGTTCTCCGTCTCGGATACCGCCGCCACAGACACCCCTGCCGGCGCGCTCCAGGCTCCTGCGGTGCTATCGAGGTGTTGCTGTTAGTGCCTGACCACGACAATACCAAAGCCCATAATCTGGGCCTCGACGCCGCGCGCCGCCGACAGGACTAAGAACCTTTTGTCGTCGAGGCCATTGCGGGCCAGCAGCTCATACATATCCAGTTTGAGTCGGGACCCTCTGGGGAAAGGCCACGGCATTTTTGGCGCAAAGAAGGTTGACCTGGTGGTAATGGAGGATGGTATGGGTCATGAGGCGTGGAAAGCCGTCGGTACAGTGCGGACAGGCGAAATAGCTGATGCCGTGGGCTTCTACCTCGAGCATTGGTAGGATGTTGTCGAGGCTTGTGGTGTGGGAATGACTGGTGACCTGACTGTATGTTGGCAATATTCGCTCTGGGCTAGCAGCTCGCTTCTTGACGGGAATCAGCAAGTCCTAATCCTGGCTTTTCTTCTTTCATCGCCTTTGGAGCCTAGCTACAGTCTACTAAAAGTATATAAGTACAGCATGCAGTCTTGGAGGGCTACATAGGCCAAACCATACCCGCTGGTGGTGGTAATAGTCAATGGAGTAAATTTACGGTATTCAAAATAGAAGAACATTCTGATTTCAACCAGCAGAAGAATTGACACCATCTGATAACTTTAAACCAACGTCGACCCATTCTGTGATGGACGCTGCGGAAGAAATGTCCATTGGTGGAATTCCGGACCTATCTCCAACGAGAGCAAGCAGAGAGAGAGGAGATGTTGGCAGACAAATGGTTCGTTCAGGTTCCCACTTGGGATGAATGGTTCAGTGTTGAGATATGGCGTCATTTGATTGCGAACGTGGGAAATACGCGGATCCTACCCAGGTGGGCCCAAACGCCATGCAGGTTGCAGATACAGCAATCGATCCTGGTGGGTGTCTTGTCGATTTTTGATAGCCAGACCGCTTGATAATCTGGTACATAAAAGGAGAGGAAAGAATGTGAGAATTTGTTGCTTTCAATGCTTTACGCCAGCGACCTGTGTGAATTTCAGGAATTCCTCGTCCTGGTCCAGCTTCTCGCTCTCAGAAGCATTGTAAGCGAGCAGTCATCGACTCCTGGAATGCCATCCGGGCAGTCGTTGTTCTCCCTGGTATCATTGTCTTAACTCCAAAGTACCCTCAGATTCCCCGCTGTAAAAAGCACAGGCACCATGGCATCCAGGCAGCACCGCCTGCTGCTGGGCTGCGGCCTCTCCTTGCTCTTGGGCAATCTCGTCTCCGCCGCGGGTCCCTTTCTGACCCAGATCGATAACCAGACATGGGTTTTCGGCAATGACCTGTGGAACGTCACCGAGGGTCCGAATTATGCGACGAAGCTGTACTCGTCCATCCTGCCGGGCGAGGATCTCGTTGGCACAGCCTACGGCCACTACTCTGACGTTGGTATGTGCGAGGGTGTTCCTACCACATGTTGATTAGTTTTTCCTGTACTGACTAGACATCATCTTCTGCCAAAAGATGGTGCCACCCTGCTCGAGTGGACCTCGGCTGCCATCGTTGCCACTGGCGACGACTACATTGACATCGCCTTCTCGTCCACCGAGGTTGACCTGCACTGGGTGGTCTTTGACGACCTGCAGGGTGCGTACCAGTACGTGGTCAACAAGGCCACGCCTTGGATGGAGATCCTCCGTACGCTGTGGCGCCTCAACCCCGACATTTTCCTCAACGGCCGTACCAACATCAAGGATGACATCCTGCCCCCGTTTTACCTGTACGCCAACGCCACCGAGGTCCAGGACGAGACCTTCGAGCTGGCCAATGGGACCTACATTACCAAGTACGACTGGTCCAACTTCGTTCGCTTTAGAGACTTCTATGGTATCTATGGGCCGGACGTGGTTGGCTCGTGGTGGGTGCATCCATCTACTGAGTACTTTACTGGCAACCAACTCAGCCAGACTCTGACGGTTAGTTCCTGACTTGGTGGTTTTTTGGTTTTTTTTTTGGGGGGGGGGGGGTTTGTTTATCTCTTTGTTGTTCTCTCTATTTTTCTCCGGTTTTTTCTGGGTTTTTTTTTCCGGGTTTTCTTTTTCTATTTTTCTTTTCTGTTTTTCTTTTTTTTTTTCGGTGGGGGGGGGGGGAGGGGGTTGGTTTGTTTTTGTTTTTTTCTTTCTTTTCTTTTCTTTCTTTGGTGATAAGTTTTCCCCCTTTCCTCTTCGAGCTTGTCACGCTAACAATGAATACCAAAAACCAACAGGTCCATCGAGAGTCGGCAACAGGAGACTCGGTCCAGCTGAACGTGTTCCAAGACACGTCACACTTCCGCGTGGGCAATGATACACTTGCTCCAGTGGGCAAGATCTGGGGCCCGTGGCTGTGGTACCTGGTAAGTTGCCTTATTGTTGATTTGCCATCTCGGTAGATCAAGATCCTGTCGTACCGTTCGGGTAGATCGATCGAACTTGTACAACGTCGTATAAATTGCATTGTCTGACCCGGGAGTCTCGTCTTTCTTGTCAATCTAGAACAACGGGTCCAAAGAGGACGTGGAACAGCGGCGCCTCCAGGAGCTCGAGAAATTCCCCTACGCCTGGCTCAACGACACCGCATACCAGTCCCGCGGCGAGATCACTGGCACCCTTACTCTGAGCGACGGGCGCCCTGCTGCTGGCGCATCCGTCTTTCTTGGCGATACTGATACGTCGATCCGTCCGCTGATCCAGGGCACCAACTACTACTACACCACCCAGGCCGCCTCTGACGGGTCTTTCTCCTTCCCCAACGTGAGAACGGGCTCGTACGGTCTCTACGCCTGGTCTGATGGAGGAGCGCTCGTAGACGTGTACACCAACGTCACAGTGACCCCAATCGCCGTAGAGGCAGGGCAGACAACAGCGCTGGGCGAGGTGGCATGGGCGCTTCCCACTGGGCACACTGAGATCTTCCGCCTGGGCGACTTTGACAAGAATGCCACCGAGTTCGTCAACGGCGGGCTTCCCTACCAGTTTGCCATCACCACCCTCAGCCCGGCCAATTTGACGTTTATCATTGGGGAGTCGAATGTCTCGACGGACTGGTACTATGCCATTTCGGACCTGGGCACGTGGACCATCCAGTTCGAGATCGATGCGGCAGACCTGGCGAGCTATGGGGCCAACGGGACGGCACTGCTGAGCGTGTCTCTTGCGGGCTACTCGGAGAGCCAGGCGCTGGACATTGATGTCAATGGGAACCTGCTGGGTTCACTGAACAATGATGTCCTGGCAAATGATCCGGCCCTGTACCGTTCAAGCAGGATTAGTGGCGAGTGGCGCTTTCTCCAGTACGAGATTGACCCTGCGCAGCTGGTTGCCGGCACCAACACCATTGGATTTACCATTACGAGATATACAGAATGGCGAGGCTTCATGTGGGATAGCATCTTCTTAGAGTGGCAGAACTAAGAAGGATCGTAGCGTGGCACACCCAATACTCTCTATGTATTGGATGGACATGTTCCGAGGCAGTCGAATTGATTGTCAACAAAAAAATTTGGCTTGTCGCTGATAGTCTCACTGATAGTCCACATACATTCTTCTGCCTTTGCTTCTTTTCCTGGCTGTTGTAATGCTCTCACTTGCTACTAGTAATGACGATGATAAAGTCTAGTGTCGTGAGTGAACTTTCAATCTTTCATCCGTGCCCTCTTTTAGCTTGTCATCATGCCTCATTCAACCCGAAATCCCCTGTGAATTGACATGGGCTTCATGGTCTCTTGTTGTCTATCGTCTCTCTCACTTTTCATCTTTCTCGTCGTTGTTACTCGTCGGTGATCATTCGCTGCTCTTCAATCTTGGTATTGATGCGATGCGCAGGTCGTTGAAAACAAATGGGAGGACATATAGTGGGAGAAGGGAAAGGGGGGGGGGGGGGGAGGACCAGTAGCTGGAGGGAGATAATTATTCCCTGGCCAACATTGAAGCCAACTACTGAGAGTATCTACTGCGTGACCTTGGGAAACATCTACCGTAGGCGGATCACTCTAACTAAGTACACGACTGCAAGACTTGGTGTGCAGTAACCCCCCCCTTTTTTTCTTCTTCTTCTTTTATCAAAACAAGATGTACAAGAAATGATTCTTCTAACCTAAAACCCATACATTCTGATCACGTGCACTTTCCTTGGCCACTGGCCAAAGTAACAAGTCTTTCGTCCTGTTTTGACCTTCCTGATTCTTCATGGTGCCTTTTCTGATTTCTCACAGGGTAAGCCGACGGGCATGGAAATCAAACCAACCTACGGGCGGTAGCCATTCGTCAAGGGACCTTCGTAGGAATGCGAGTCAGTTTTTTACTAATTAGGTACCTATAAGATATAGTCTAAGATGCCTTACAGGGAGTAGAATCCGTCTTCTTTTCTAGGAAGTAGATTCGAGGTGTGGCACTAGGCTTGGTGCTATGTAGTTACAAGGCTGTTGTGACAGTCTAACTGCATCAAGCCGTTTATCTCTCCACTGATTGGTGCCAGCCGTCTTGCGCCAAAAGAAGGATGTATGTCTGACCACCATCGCCTTTCTTGCTGCCCATAGTGTCTGGGGCTGTGTCTTTCAACCACTAATTAGCCAGCACTCTTGTCGATACAGCGCAAGAGATGCCCTCCTGCGTATCACCAGACACGCGTCACTACCAGTAACGTGGAACAAATATGATCCTGGTCACAACCAGACAGACGACCTGGGACTCGAGATTAAAACAGGAACCAAGATGAATTACCACCTGGGTGATTAAGATAAAAACCCCGTCGCCATCTCTATTCGCCTTTCTTTCTCTTACATTCTCTCCCTCCCTCTTTGCTCTAGTAAATTCCCAAATATACCAGTCTCATTCACTTTAGGTCACCATTGGAACTAATAATTTCAAAAACCAAAAAAGGGACCTTTCGACATATTTCCTGCACTGATCAGACGCACAACATCTTCCAAGACAATTCCTTCACAGCACCAACTCTTCCCACCACCAAAAGAAAAAGAACTTGTGCTACGACGACAAACAATAATATCCAAACATGGGAATCACTGGAGACGTTGCTTCTGCAGCACCAACACGAAGGACGGCAGACCAGGAGCAGATCGATCGTGATACAGTCATCAGAAACTTTACCACAGGAGCCTATCTTGACTGGCCGAACGAGGCTGGAGTAAGTCATCGCTCTCGCATTCCGTCCTCTCGTTCTAGTGAAAGCTAAACATATACACTCTTGATTAGTTTCAAGATCTGCACGAGCACCGCGGTCCCATCAAGCTCACCGTCAAGGGAACCATCCCCGCTTGGGCTTCAGGCTCATTCTACCGCAACGGCCCAGGGTCGCGAAAAATCGAAGGGGCCAAATCCCGGCGTGGACAGGTCGAGGATGGGACCGTACACATCTCGCATTGGTTCGACGGCCTCGCCCACCTACACCGTTTCGACATCACCATCTCGGACGACGGGCAAGTCGAGGTGTTTTACTCCTCCAGGCGCCAGGCCGATAATTTTGTCAAGCTCGTCCAGGAAAAAGGTTCCTACGGTGATGTCACCAGCTTTGCGCAGAAGGCAGACCCTTGCATTGGCATCTTTGGCAAGGCCATGATCTGTGTCAGGGCTCTGGACCAGGGCAAGGAGGCCCTTAGATACGACAACATGAACGTCACCGTGCTGCCCGGCATAGATCTGCCTAACACCACACCTAGTAGTTCATTCTCTCCCTCCTCTCCCTCTTCTTCTTCCAAGGCAATCCATGGTATTGGCAGCAATGGCAAGAAGGTAGACAATGTCGACAAAACTGGCGGTCAACTCGCAGGCACTCCAGCTGCCACTGCCACTGGTCACCGTCAAGGTGGTAACAAGACAGTCTGGATCTGTTCCGACACTTCTGGCCTGCGTATAGTGGATGCGGCTACCCTTGAGCCCATCGGCAGTGCAGTCCGCCAGAGTGAGTTACATCCTTTGCTGAAAGGTGCCCTCTCGTGCGCGCATGCTCAGCGGGACCCTATGACGGGTGATCTGTTCAATTACAACATCCAAGGGGGCCGCTACGCCACCTACAGAGTCTTTCGGGTCTCTGCGGCGACGGGCAAGACGGATATCCTGGCGACCATCTCTCGCCACGACCTAGCTCCTGCCTATATCCACAGCTTCTTCCTGAGCGAGAGGTTTGTGATCCTCAAGGTGCCCAGCTCGCACTATGGCACGATGGGACTCAGCGTTCTCTGGAAAAGAAATCTTGTGGACGCTATGGAGCCCTTTGACGAGAGCAAGGTCTGCAAGTGGTACGTGATCGATAGGCTCCACGGGAAGGGTGTCATCGCCGAGTTCGACACGCCTGCAGGTTTCTTCTTCCACACTGTCAACTGCTGGGACAAGATCGTTGCCCAAGAGGACAAAGACAAGACCTCGGGTACGGAGAAGGGGACAGGTAGTGAAATTCGTGAGGAGGCTGACGTCTTTTGCGATCTTGTCGAGTTTCCCAATCTGGACATCCTTCAGGTCTTCTACCACGATATCCTCCTAAACATCGACAACCAGGCCCAGAAGCGTTATGGAGACGAAACCACCGTTGCCAAAACCATGAGCAGCCTGGTCAGATGGAAGTTCCGCGTCGCCCTTCCCACAGCATCACCAAAGGACAGTAAGGCCGCCCCAGCCAAGAAGCTGCTACTTCGCGGACCCGAGCAGGTCTTTTCCATTCCCGCCCCGCATACGGGTGAGATGCCCACCATCAACACTCGATACCTCACCAAACCCTACCAGTACGTGTACAGCCTGCTGCAGAACGGAAAGTCCACCTTTCTCGACACGATCGTAAAGACCGACACTGTCACGCGGGAAGCGGTGTCGTGGAGCAGTCCCAACGGTCATACACCGTCCGAGGCGATCTTTGTGCCACGCCCTGGTAGTGAGAAGGAAGACGACGGTGTGCTCTTGAGCGTGGTACTGGATGGGTACTCGGAGAAAAGCTACCTGATCTGCCTGGATGCCGGGACGATGATGGAGGTGGGAAGGGCTGAGATGGACTTTTCTGTGGCCTTTGGCCTTCATGGACTGCACTGCCCGACCTAGGCAACGTTGTCAGCATGAAGTTGGTGATATAATGTACAGAGGATGCACAGGAAAAACACCAAATGATAACACTCCAAGACTGGGATACAGTGCAGACATGTTGACACTTGCAATGCAAACCCCTTTTCCTTTTGAATCTTTCTAAAATTCTTAATTCTATTTATATCATTAGAGCCCATCAGTACTGGATTTCAATCAATTTTCCTTCTATCCCCCTAATTGATATTGCTTCCCTTTTGAATTCCTCGAAATATGCATTGTTCTCCCAGCTGCAGGTGCGTTTCTGTGCCTTCCTGACCCAGCACACGCGTAACGCGTTCCTTCTTCCCATTATTTTCTTTTCTCTTTTCTTTTCTCTTTTCTTTTCTCTTTTCTCTTCTCTCCTTCTCTCCTTCTCTCCCTCTCTCCCTCTCCTTCTTTCCTTCTTCTCCAAATACAGCCAACAGAAAAGCAGGGGCCACTTTCTAACATAAAGTACTTTCCAGGTTTCTTGACCTCGCCTACGACTCCTCATCCACAACGCGGCTTCCCAGGTTTCTCTCGCCAACCTGTCAACTCTGCCATTTCATACAAGGATCAGCTAAAACCCAGCTTTCCAGCTACATATTATGACAAAGTTTTCTCAGAGAGATGCACGCGTTGTACCAGGCAGTGGTGAAAGTGGCCTTTCGGCCCTTAATGGAGCCACTATTGTTACGGCCAGGGTGACAATGTGGTTGCCACGGGCAGAAAAGGCCTCTAGGGCGGCAGCGGAACGGTGCAAGACTTTTGAACTGGCAAAATCGCGCTATAGCTACTCGCAGCGAGAGTGTGAGTGCCGACAGCACAGGCAGGACTCACCACGGCCCCGTTCACAGTCCAGGTGGCCAGAATCCATCAGAAGATTCCAGCAAGGAAGGCAGGGATAGTGGACTTGGTCGGGGGGCTGGGCGTCTTCGTCCGAAGAGTCGTCGATGACTAAGAAGGGGCCGACGGCACGATGACTCTTACACAGGACGCGTTAGTCTGGCACACACACCGTTGGCGGACCGGGATGCGGGTGCTCTGGTGACGAAGAAGTGGCTCAGGTATCTAGTACCAGTCACAGACTTCACTCCGAACTCGCTGATGATCAACATAGACTCTACCGAGGAGATGCAGGGTCGGACGTATGCCAAATATGCAAACGCGAACTACGTCCTGGAGGCCACTGGCGAGCTGCTATCCGACAAGAAATTCAAGGGAAACATATTGATCATTGCCCCGTCTCATGGGCAACAGATGTTGTAAGAGTGCAAGCTGCACGAGTGTGGTGCTTTCGAGCTCAAAAAGGCCGGCGAGTACTACATTTTTGACAAATCTTGGGTCGAAGTCCGCACGCACCAGGGAGCCCAGGGCAGTGAATCTGACGCGATCAGCATTGACCTAACAAGATCGGATAGGCCGGGCATAACTTCTCACTCTGGATTTGTCAATGTTGTAAGCTCTCGCGCTGTCTACACACAGCTCATCCTTGTCAATGAACGCGTCTTCGAAGGCCCCTCTGTCTTCAAGTCGGGTCCCATGGTGAAGCCTCTTTGGGACTGGGTTCAGTGGCACAAGGGCAAGGGAGCGTTCATCAGCGAATCTTCGAGACCTTACGAGAGGACGTGCGACCATTGCCTGCTGGCAGGACACGTATTGGGCAAGTGCCCTAATCGGTCCAAGCCTTGCCCCATCTGTCACAAGACGAATCACCACGCTCGCAGATGCTGGTGGAACTCCAAGTGAAAAGTTTACGTGGTTAGGGGTCCCTTAGGAAACCTTCAGATAAATCTTTCAGAGCCTTCGATTGAATGTTTGAGACTTCTACGTAGAAAGCTTTAAGAGCTTTCGATTGAATGTTTAAGACTTCTACGTAAAAAGTTTTAAGAGTTCTTGTGTAAATCTTTAAGGACTTTTGCGTTAATCTGGCAAGTCTTCGAGTAAAACTTTGAAAGGTTTCAAGAGCAGTGCGCTCACATGAGAAGAGAAGAGAACAAGGCTGAAGTTTTGGCCTCATTGAAGTATGTAATGGGCGTTGACTGTTGCCTAACTATGGTGTAGTAGGACCAGCAACTTACTGGGCCTTGCACACACCCTGTCAGGCAACTGCCTTGAATGTGTGCTGTGCCAGTTCTCCTCTTCGGAAGTGTTGACGGTTCTCGTGATGTTCTTCTCCACAATCTCACGTCCACCTGCGTGGGCCACGCACTCGTCGTTACCCATAAACAAGCAACGAAACGGGATCTGTTACCTGCACAAGCTTCGTGTGCTTGTTGGTCTGAGGGTCAATGCCACCATAATGGACCAATCCTCGAGGTTCTTCTCGCCGACGAGGACGAGGATGACGTGCGTGGTCGGCTGCCAGGGCCGACTCGTAGACTCCTCCATCTTCAGCAGAGTGTCTGCTGGAGATGGGAGGGGTTGTTGCTGTCGCTGTTGAGGGGCCTGCGGCGCCTGAGCTTCTGCAGTTTGTTGTCCTGACGAGGATTTCCCGTGTCCTTCGACCTGCTCGTAGGAAGATTGGTCTTACCATCTATCAGAGTTTATGGTCGATTGAGGCACGCCTCGCGGGCCGTCGTTTCGATGTTCAGAGTTGAAAGGGGCTTTTCGGACCGCTTTCTCGTCGGTTTTTGTAATACCAGCCGTCGAGAGCGCGTGCGAGGCAGATATTGATGTCAGGCTCGTAGGCCAGGGCCAATTGATTGAAAAAGGAGAACAGGAGGTGGCATAACCTATTTAATTGATGGGTTACTGCACGAGAGAAAAGAGTGGAAACGGAGGGGAAAACAGGTAGCTAGGTGAGGCTATCGAGGCAGAGGGTACCTCCCGATAATGCGGGCCAGTAGCTCACGCACTTTATTTTCCAGATACTCAGCCCCGGGAAACGTTTTCGGGCAGAAGGCCAAGAGGCAATCTATGGAACATCCAATATACGCCCACCATTCGACAACAGACTACCCGATTCCAATACAGGCCCACTCAGCGGCAGCGGTTGCGGTTGAGATAGGCTCATCAAGTTAGTCCATGCTGCTTGACTGGCTCAGCAGCAGAAGCCGTAGCATTGGGACGTTGTCTGGATACCTTAAGCACTGTGCATATATTTGTATCCATGGCCAGCCTATATTTGTTTATAGCACTTCCCGCCTTCCTCGCTGTCCGCCGGACCGATCAATAGATAGCAGCTCAGCTGACGAGACTGAGCTGAGGGCGAAAAGGTACAGAAGTAACGAAAAGCCCTCCGCTTTCAGGTCCAATCTGGAGTCATGTATCACGTTGATTGAGAGCAAGATGTTGTACTCACCAGCATCAAGAGGTTTGGACATGTCTCGACCGAGATGGCTGTTACAGACACCTTCCCCGGCTTGGCTTGCGACTTCAGGTCCACCATGATCCGGTAACGAGGTACTTTTGCTGCTTTTGAGAGACAGCGCGGAGCAGAGAAATGTTCCCGTCAAAGACAAGATCGCATTGGCCCTCGGCTGTGCTGTTGCAGGAGACGAGAATGTTCTCGTGGAAGAAGACGTAACGGCTGAGAGGCAGCCAAGTCTTGCGACAGCGGGCTGAGTAGAAGGGGGAAAATATCTCAAAGCAACAGCAGCGAAATCATTTTTATGTTGACACACAAATTATCCTTGTTTTGCCATGCAATCTTCACATTCTCACACGATTTTGAGCAAGAAAATGCCCATGGCAGGGGGGTCGTTAGTTTGGGGGGGGGGGGGGGGAGGAGGGGGAAAATCAAGGGTATACCAACCTTTCCTTTCAACGCCTGTATTTCAACGCCTGTATAATAATCTTTTAAACTAGTTTGATTCTCTATTTATTGGAAAGAACGATCTCTTATGCTTTACTACATAGCAGCTTCCTCAAACCAATCTCGCGCGGCCGAAATCATTCGCCGGCTTGGGCTTGTTATCTAGAATACCTTCAATTTCCTCCATGACCTCCGGCGTGAGTTTGTCGACTATGTCCAACGCCTTGAGATTCGAGTGCAGCTGCTCGGGCTTTGTTGCTCCAAGGATAACAGTAGACACGTTTGGATTCTTGAGGGTCCAGGCGAGGGCGAGGTGCGAGGTCTCTCCACCAAGCCTCTCGGCGATCTTGGTCAGTGCCTTGACCTTTTCGATCTTGGCCTTGCCTTCGTCGGTCTGGAGGCTCTTGATGGTGCTGGAGAAGAAGTCCTTGTTCGTGGCGAAGCGGGAGTCTGATGGAATCCCGTCATTGTATTTGCCAGTGAGGAGGCCGCTGGCGAGAGGGGACCAGATGGTGGTACCGTAGCCGAACTGGTCAAAGACCGACTTGTACTCGACCTCGAAACGCTCACGGTGGAAGGCGTTATACTGGGGCTGCTCGGCCACGGGCGCAATCAGGTTGTGCTTCTCGGCCAGGCGGATAGCCTCGGTGATCTGGGAGGCGCTCCACTCGGAAGTGCCCCAGTAATAGGCCAGGTTCAGGTTACGGATGACCTGGGTGAAGCCCTCGACGACCTCGAGCATGGGCGTGCCCACATCCGGCCGGTGTGCGAAGACGACGTCGACGTAGGGGGTTTCTAGTCGAGCAAGGCTGGCTTTCAGGCCCTCGACGACGTGCTTGCGCGACAGGCCGCGTGTGTTGGGCTCCTTGCGGCCAGTACCGAAGAAGACCTTGGTCGTGAGCACATACTCGTCGCGGGGCCAATCCAGTTCCTTGAGAGCTCTGCCCATCTCCACCTCGCAGGCACCATTGGCATAGACCTCTGCCGTGTCAAATGTTTGCTATCGTGAATGTTAGTCTCGCTCTTGTTCATAATAGTGACAGAAGCCGGCTGGGGGTGTTATTTTATGGGGGGGAGAAGGTAAGGGAAAGGTAGACATACTATGCCATGGTCCCATGCGACCTGCAGGCACTCTTTCACAACGTCACCAGTCTGGGTACCGCCGTAGGTAAGCCAGCCACCAAGGGACAAGGCAGAGACCTTGAGGCCTGTGTTGCCCAGATAGTTGAACTTCATGTTCTTTGGCTCGTAGGCCGTGCGAACGGTGGGGTGCACAGGAGCCATAGCTGCTGTTGTTGCTGATGAATAGTGTCGAATGGAGGAGGATGAGAGAGAATGAAAGAGTGTTTTCCTGTTTGGTTGTCTAGAGGGACACGAAGAGAGGGGCGAGGAGGGGTAATGGGTATATTTAAGGTGGACTGGGAACGGTGTGATTGTCCGCGTGCAGGGGCCGAGGAAAACAGAAGAGGCAAAAGAGGTTCGGCAGTAAGGGGCACCTATGATAGGTTTCGGCGTTAAGTTGATCAATGACGGCATTACAAATACGTGAAGGGTTGAAGAAAGAAGAAGAGGAAAAAGCGGATACGGAGGCGAGGGAGGGGGTACATAAAGCTTTCGTGTCTTGTTGCAGCCTGGGACGATGTGATACGTTTTGTTAATCGCTTAATAAGGCCTGAACCAGAGCTGTGCTATCAAGCTTGGAATCTTCAAAGAGCACGTGGGTAAGCTTTGGATGAGATGATCCACTCCAGGCCGAGAGCCCGGCAACAACGGAGAGTGACAGAAATCCTCGCAAAGCTCTGAGAGCAGCCTCGAGATGATGACAAGTCAAACAACAGAATAGATAGCACATGAATCTATAGTATATGTATTGTACTTGTGTCTCAATGCAAAAAATAGAAAAGTTACATCGTGTGACTTTACAATAAGTCCTTTACATCATACACAGATGGTTGGGAATGTGAGGAGCGAAAAACCCCTCCCCCTCCTCTCGCATCTTTCGCAACCCCACACACAGTTTCTCCTGCCCCACCAGGCCCAGATTTATCATGCATACTGGCGCTGTCTGCCCCTGCTGAGCCTCTAGGCGGCAGAACCCACGGCCCCACAATTTCCCGTACAATGACGAGCGGGGTTCGTGATTGGGAAGAAGGTGAGAAGAAGAGCTGATCTGGAAACCAAAACCAAAAACATTTCGGAGAGAAGTGTGACGATGATGTTTACTCGGTAAACCAGAGCAGCGATATAGTTCATGAGCAGGGGGTGAGGGCTCTTTGTTAGTGCTCACCTCCCAATATGCAGGTGAATACTAACACTTACACACCGAAGTAGGGGGCAAGCATCGTCACGTCAACCCCCGTCACCTCGATAAATAACTGACAGAAGTACCAACTGGCACCAACCGTGAGAGGCTCCAGATATAGAAGATTCCGAGAACCGATAGAGGCGCAAGGGATCAAAGTGCATTTTTCAAGGGTCTAACATGATAGATCATACAACCCCCGCATCTTGGTACAGTGCATCAGCCGGAAACGGCGGAGCCAACATGCAATAAATTAACCAACAGCCAAACCGGTCAACCTCAATGGACAGTTCCTTCAACTCGAGGGCGCGTCTATGCCACAGTTGGGTCAGACATTTTTCATCCTTCCTTCGTTCTCATAAGGGTAGGTCCTTGAATGGATCATGCGATGGCTTGCTGACGTGCAGTGGAATCAAGGCACAGCTGTGACGCACGACACGCGTCGACGATCTGGAAGGTGCGAGTTTCAAGCTGGATTCTGACCCACGCACATGCATATATATACATGTATGTATGCCCCCCTCTCTCCGTCTGCCTGTCTACTGGCTGACCTGTCCAGCACAGCGACGAACCACCTTGCAAGACTGCAACCCATCCCCAGGCCAAACACATACAAACACACGCATGCAAGTACACGCAAGCACGCGCGCGCACAACACCCACACGGCACAGCTCTCAAAAACACGATGGCCACGTTCAACAATGTCGGTGCAACCATGAACGACCTCGAAAAGAAGACGGTCCGCACCAAACGCAACTTCACATACACCTACTATACGTCTCCTGCTGTACAGGGCAAAGCTACCATCCTCCTACAGCACGGCTTTCCCGACTCGGCCCTCGTGTGGGAGTTCGTCATCACCCGCTGCCTTGTGCCCGCCAATTATGGCATCATCGCTCCCGACATGCTCGGCTATGCTGACACCGACAAGCCCGAGGACCCTGCCCAGTACAAGATGAGCGGGATCGCCGCCGACCTGGTCGACATCCTCGACGCCGAGGGGGTGCAGAAAGTCATCTCCCTCGGCCACGACTGGGGCTCGCGCACTGCACAGGCGCTGTACAACCACTACCCGCACCGCGTCGAGGGCCTGGCCTTGTTCAACCTCACCTACATCCCCGTGACCACCCAGCCCTTCAACCTGGATGCGGCCAACGAGGCCTCCCTGCAGAGGTTCGGCCACGGCATGTTCTGCTACTGGAAGCTCTTCACGGCTGACGACGGCCCGCAGCTGCTGCAGGAGAACGCGGACGTCTTGTTTGACATACTGCACACGCCAGAGGTCTGGCAGGACCTGCTCTGCGTCGAGGGCGCCCTCCGCACAGCCATCGAGACCCGCGGCGCCGACTTGGACCTCACACGGCGCGCGTACGCCACCGAGGAGATGAAGCAGGCCTTTGTCGAGAGGTTCCGGCGGGACGGCTTCGAGGCGCCCGTGTGCTATTACAAGAGCATGGTGCTCGGTCACCAAGACGGCGACGGCAATATCGAGAACAACATCGTGCGCGTGCCTGTTTTCTATGTGGGTTACAATGAGGATTTCCTCTGCAAGCACGACTTGATGAGTGACGTGATGAGGGATGGCTTCACACCGCGCCTGACCATGACGAGGCTGACGGGGGGTCACTGGGGATTTCTCGAGAACCCATCGCGGCTTGGAGCCATGCTGATGGAGTGGCTGGGGTACAGGAGTTGATCTAGGGCCTGAGGGACTGTTTCTGCACTGGTGACCACTCCCGGTGGGGGTTCTTTTCCCTTCCCCTCCTCTCACTCTCAAACAGATTTTGAGGGATTGATGTGAAGTGTTTCCTGGGGGTACGACTGGTGGTGATCAGTCTCTAGGAAGTCATATTATGTGCCACGGCATGGAAGCTTGACACAGGCATAGGGCAAGAGAGAGGGCGAGACTCACATTTTTAACCTGTCCAGCAGGCATGAATAACCTGTATACTACACACTCCTCTCATACTAACCCCCACCAAAGGAGAGGCAAGGGTAGTACCAAGCATGCACTGGTGTTGTGCATACCCCGTCACAGATGCTGATAGAGTAGCAAGGACAGCATCCATCGCGACCCAAGAACGGTCAGCCAAAGCCAGTAGTCACACAAACGCACCATCACCCATACCTTCTGTCCAGATAATACTTTAGCCAGAATCAAATGATTTATCACAAGAAAACATGATCCAAACAAAGCCGAACTAGATGAATGGCTTGTTGGAGGACCCTAGAAGAGAACCCAGGATTCATGTCTTGCTTTCAGCTGTAATTATGGTCATGATGCCATAGATGACAAGGTAACGATGTTTTCTTCGATATCTATTAATACAAGAGATATTGTGCATTTCTTGTCGGTCGACACAGAGCATGTATCGCCTCCTTCTCAAACAAGTGAATGGGGTATAGTTGATTTTTCTTCTGTTTATTGACACTTAAGCCTCCTTACTATGTACTAACTGTCACGTCATTTCCTGAGGATAGTAATTACCTTTTCATAATCACAGCTGGAGTCCAAATCCTGGCCATAGCTCATGTCCTCTGACAACCCAAGGAGATCACGTTATGCCTGGCAAAGTTTCCGTTCCGACGCCAAACTCAAACAACCCATACAATGACACCCCACAATACATATACATTTACACGCACACACTGATGATGGCGTGTGCAAGAAGGTAATCACGGCTCCGCCATTGTGTGTCTCAACGCCTTCCCCTGTTCCCCAGTCTAGTCCACCGTCTTCCCATCGCAATCTGGAATCTTCACCCCGTCTTTGAGGACTCTGTCGACAGTAAGCAGCCCCCAGTGGTCCTCCCAGTTCTCTGTCCCGTTGTCGTAGATAATCTTCCAGGGCTCATCGAAGCTCTCGAACCAAAAGTACTGGGTGCCATTGTCCAAGGCCTGACACACCCAGTCGCTCATGAACTGGTTGAGCCCGTCGATGCTGGCCACTGCGCCGTTGGTACATTCTGTAACCGCATCGGTCCCACAGTCGGTGCCGCCCTGGGTCGGCCAGCCTGTTTCGGCGATGATGTTCTTGGACGTGTTGCTCTTGAAGTAGTCCCCATCCTGTTCTGTCCAAAACGAGTACGTCCAGGCGGCGGCATCGTCAGCGCTGACCCCTCCAAAGAAAGGGTGAATGTTGGCCATGACATAGTCGGAAGCCTCAGCAAGCTCGGTGGTCCAGTCGGTGCCCAGGTCGCTTGTGGCAACGGGGAGGGACATGCCCTTGGCGGTGATGTTGTCTCGCACCTCGGACAGGAGGCTGCTGAGCTGGGTGACAGTCATCTGCTCGCGAAACAGGATCTCGTTGGCGACAATGACGCCCTCAAACGGTGTGTCGCCGTACTTTTCAAGTATGTCCCACATCTGCGCGATCTGACGGTCGCCTGTGGTTGCGTTGTTATCCTGCCATACGCCCATCCAGACCCGGATCGTGTCGTTCATCTCCAGACGGTCGATGGCGGTGAGGAGCATCTCTGTCTGGTTGCAGTCGGTGCCGTACAGACGGATGGTGTTGGTCAGCTGCGAGAGCACGGCCAGATCACGAGTGACATTGTTCTGAGAGGGCGGATCGGTGAGGCAGGCCGGATATTGGGTGTTGATGGGAGTGTAGTCGACGCCAGGGAAAACCTTGTGCAGGTTTGGGTTGTTGAGGAGCTTTTTGATCTCGGAACTGTTGATGTTCAAGTCGCCATTGGCCGCAGTATCATCGGCTGCCGAGGAGACCGAGGAGGAGGACGACGAGTGATGCTTGACCACCCCAAAGTAAACACCAAGACCGATACCCAGGGCCACGAGGGCTGTGACACTCAGACCCACAATCCAACGCCACTTCGTTGCGCTGGAGCCCTGTTTGGCGAGCCACGCTGACTTTTCAGCAATGGGACCACCGCCAGCGCCATCAGCAACAATACCACCGCTTCCCTGGTAGCCTGTACTGCCGCCCTGCACAGCGTTGTACTGGCCGCTGCCGTCACGAGCACCTCTCGTCCCAAGTAGCCCTCCAAGGACGCCTGCGCCTGCTCCTGCTCCTCCTGCTCCAACAGCGGCGGCTGTAGCGGTGCCTCTATTATGCCCAGCACTACGGCTGCTAGTACCTCCAAGGCTCAGCATGCTTCTTCTCTGCTGTTGGCCGTACTCGAGGCCGTCGTCACCATCGTCGTCGATCTCGTCGGGGTTCAGATAGCCCAGGGGCGCATTGCTGCTACTATAACCCGAGTAGCCACGAAACGGATCGTCGGTGTACGGACCATAGCCAGGCGAGGCCTGGCCCAAGGGTAAGGCGGCGGCGTCTAGTTGTGTGCTGGAGCGGGAGGTTCTATCGCTGGGGGCGCCAGCGTAAGGCATGAGGCCAGGCCGCAGTGATCGTTCTCGTTCATCTTGTTCTGGTGCGTATGCTGTTTGTGCCATCTGATGATGGGCATGTTGTGGAGGAGTGGGAGGGTTATTGTTGTCGTCCATAGCATCGAAACCGTAATCGCTGTGTCTTGCGTTTCTCTCTGCAATATTGTAAGCAATGGCTGCAACGCCTCTGAGGAAGCAAGCGGGATTGAGGATTTTTCGCACCTGGACTGATGTTGCTCAGGGGAGGATAATAAGATCCTTGGGGGGGAGGAGCAGCGCCGTGTCTCTGTTGTGCTTGCTGGTAAGAGGGTGGACTGCTTATGGCGGCGGTGGCTGTTGCTGACGCGCTGCTGCCAGCCCCCAAGCCAAATGTACCTGCACCTACATTTGTGCCGGTGCCGTCCCTGCTCAGCCTCCTGTCGGCTCGTAATTGTTGGAAGGCGGAGTCAGGGTGTGCGCCTGGAAAGGCCATGCCTTGTCTGGAATGTCTTTGTGTAGAAGAGGGTGGAGACCTGGGAGAAAAGGACTCCCTCTCCGAATATGAATTGCGGCTCATTTTGTCTGAACTTCCAGATGCCACTGGAAAGAACAGGCCAAACAACTGCGGTTGGTAATTATGTCCAAGCTGGGCAATCAAGTTGCTTTTGTATGCATGTATGTACGTATGTCCTCTTTTCTCTCTTTCACTTCACATCAGTTAGGCTTCAGTTGATGCTTATACTGTGGGTCCAACTTTATTCGCCGCTTTGAGGGGTCTGCTGGGGGACTCGGAACAGTGGATGTCTTGGTGGAGAGGACGGGGCAAGCTTCACAAGAATGGGAGGTATGTTGTACAAACAGCGAAAAAAGAAGGCAAAACCAGCTGTCGAAGGTGGCAGAACAGACCAGCAAAGAAGAAAAAGGAACAACAACAGGTGACACAAGGAAGGGAGACTGGATGGTAACGCGCTCCCTCGTATTTCTGGAGGAGAAACGACAGCAAGAGATGATGGCCTTGTTCGTATCTGCTTTGAGAGGGTCTGACCTGGTGTGTACCACACCCTGGTCCAGGTGGGCTGGGGTGGGTACTGTCTACCCAACCTTGTGTGTTTCATTGTACCAAACAAAAAGTAGACAATACACTCATAGCCCTCCCAGTGGCGGGTAGAAAACGAAACTTGCTAGGCCATATCAGGCATGGACCCCTCGCAGGAAGACCATCCCTCGACTGGTTGTGCCTTGATTTGATCTGTTTTGATTTGTCTTTCGCTGGTGGCTGGGAAACATGATCCCTGATGATTCAGATCCCTTGCTGGCTGGCTGGTTCCTGTTCGTCATGCTGTTGGGAGCATTGACCGTCGACCGTGTGCTTTTGCTGCTAGAAAATGATTCATCCAAGCCAGCCCAGCCTTTTCTGATTCAAGCGCTTGAAGCACGTGCAGATCTCATAACATCTCAGACATATTTTTACCCAGTCCAAAAGTCCAACCCTATATCAGAGTGACCTATAACCCTATTGGTCTGCTTCGGTTTTGAATGTGCAGATGTCCTTCCTCGTTTTTTGCGCCCAAGCTCAAGTCATAATTCTTAGAACAGAGCCTCAAGGTCCAATGCATACCAGAAATTTTATCCATCAATTTGTCGTCTCCTATGCCACCACGCCTTGGAAGTTGTGAGGCTGGCAGGAGTGAACTCTTGTAGAACTCCATAAGACTGCCTCACTGGCCAGCAGTGACACAGGAAGGGAAAGAGACGCTGTAGTCAGTAATACATTGTAACCATCACCATCGCTGGCCAGCCTCATTGTTGGCACCACAATCAGCCCAGAAGTTACCAACTGAGTTCTTGTAGCATGCTCCATTCTCGCCCTTCTGTTCCTCAGTGTTTGCTACCCTTCATGTTGTTACCCCTCTCCGTCCCAGTTGTGCCACCCTGTAGTCGCCAAGGAGAGACGGATGCCGAAGGACAGAGCAAGAGGCCAGAGGAGAATTCAGTGTGGCGGTTCCCAGGTAGCACGATGATAGTGCCAACTTGGCCTGGATATGCAGCGTGCCCATTCTGGTGTCACCAGCCTGAGAAACTTGCAGAGGAATGAGCCTGGAGAGCCATGTTGTCTGGAAGGACCTCGGGAGAAGGTACCAGGTAGCTGTCATGAATCAAAGGCCAATTCATAACTCCGAGAATGGGACCTGATCCAGTACTTGTGAGTCTCAAGAGTGGTTCCACTTGTATGCCCTTCCTAGGGTTGCAACTATCTGCTCAAGCCAGTGTAAAGCATACTCATGCTAGGGCTTTTAGACCAGCACCAAGACCTGTAGAAAGGACCCTAGGCCCTTAATGAAGCTGCTTGGTCGCTTGGAAAAGAACTTAATGTGATAGCAAGACAGCTTAGCCTTTGAAGGTGAGCACTAGGTCTGCTGGTTAAAGTATTTGGTTCTCTGGAATGAACACTTGAATGTTTCCCAGCGCCTGCAGGGCTGTTTTGTAGTGTCTCTTACAGGCACTGCCGCTCCCGCACCAAAAGAGAACAGCGGATAGTACCGGAGAGCAATGACCCAATAGGGGGATCATATCACTGCAAAAATACCCACTCGCTTGCCATAGTGGTCAACTTTTTCTTTTCTTTTTTTCTTCTTCTTTTTCACAGGGCCTTTCTCACAGGGCCTTTCTCCTAATGGGACAATTTTCCGCCAGGTACTGGATAATAAACAAGATCTCGTGCAGGGTAATGGTCTGAAGTTCTAAGCCCAATTCACACTCAGAGGCAAGGCACTTGGTTGGACTTTTCAAAATCTTAGACCAGGTCGTTCGGACAGCCTCGGCCAGTTGGGGTTGGCCTTCCGCGTGCATCACTCTCGGACGACAAGATAATTCAGCACGGGAATTTCCAGACAGATCCCTTAATTGTATCTCGCAAGATCAGATCTGAAATGTTAGATGACACCGAGTAATTTTCTTTCTTTTGTCTCGCAAGCAAACCCAACCTACACATGCTCCAAAAATATTCTCCGTGTGCCTCCTGCTCGCACAATGTCACGAAAGACGCCAGATTCCCTCCGTGTGCTGACAGTGGACAAATGAGATACTCCCTAGGACACCAGGTTCTCTAAAAGATTCATCTCCTCTACATTCCCTTGCTCTCTCAAAAGTCCGACAGGAAAATAACAAGGTGGAAAGATAGCGCAGATGCTGTGAAAGAGATGTCCTTATAGCCAACGGAGACTCCCAGGGCATGTGTAGACTTAGTTCAGTGGTTCCTAGTCAGCGTATCTTGGGTGGGTTACAAAGCAGTCAACAGTCCCTTCTCCAGGCAGCGATCTTGATTTGAGTACCTCAGAAGGTGGACAGGGTCTATCTATTGTGCTGACAGTGGATCTTTCAAGGCCAAATTGTACCAGAGGAGGTTTTACTGTCAACAATGATAGCAAACTATACACAACATTGCAAAGAATTCCAAGCATTTTGATACAAGTTCTGACCCCAGCTCTTACACACGCACACCTGGCCTCCCAAGCAGGCACGTGGTAAAGATCATAACAAGCCGGCTCCCTTCAACTCGATGACTTCGTAGCGTGCTCAGCCTTCTTGTCCCCTCCTGGGCTCACGAACACATTGGAATGGCCCTCCTTATTTCTATGATGCCTATGTCGTAGCAATGACCTCCTCCTTCCTCTCCTCCTCGAAAAAAACCAGGAGAACGGTGACCTAGGCAAGCTGTTGAAAAGCATGACAATGAACAAGGTCAGGCAGAGCGTGGGAAGCGTCCATGGGGACGATTGGAAGTTATCCAGAGCTTGCCCGTTGAGGCCGACGAATCCCACGAAGGCAAGGCCGAGCCCGATCAGAAGGTTGATGAGGGCGCGGAGGACGTCGAAACGAAACCAGGGCTTCGTGCGGCAAATGACCCAGAGTATGGTCATAAGGATCAGAGTTATGCCTGCGCAGACAAAGGTATATATGGTCTTGAGGAGGAAGAATAGCAAAGTTAGCTAGACGACTACAAGTAACGAGCCAAAAGGGAGTAACCCATCAAGAGGATGCACGCAACTTACCACCAGCGAACGTCGGTCGTCATTCAGCTCCGTCACCTCATACTCAAACTGGGTCGAGTTTCCATTCCACTCGACTTCGTCCATCGAATCTACCTCAAAGGTCGCCAACAAGGAATTATACATAGTATATAATAATGTGCTTATGGTGCGCTCGAACCTCGTCCATTCATTCGGATTAGCTTGCTCGGCTGATTGCACTGAGTTTGACAGATTTCCCCAGAACACGAGAGGAAGCGTTTCCAAGTCGGTTATCGAGGCGTTGTAGTCCACATAAGTCCATACTTTCTTGGGCGGGAAGGACTCGAACAGCTTCTGGGCTGTCTGGTTCACGACATGCAAGACCTCCGATCTTACCGCCACGGCTGTGTTGGCTGTGTCCGAGTTGGCCGCCCCTTCGGAGATGAATGTCACATCCAGGACGTTTAGCACCTCCGTTACCTTCCACCAGATGATCAGCTGGGCAGACCCGCCGACGAAGAGGATCAGGGCCAGGTGAAAGGGGAAATGGATAAGGGCCCAGGTCAGCTGTCTGATAGATGGGAGGTGGGCGGCGGGCTGCCAGTCGTTGTAGAGCATCCAGATCATATAAAGGTTACCGACGGCCGCTGTGACGAAACCAATTGTCGAAGAAGCTATGGGCTCTGTCAGTCTTACTTTGTGTGTGTATATGTGTCTGTGAACACAACTCGAATAGGGCACACTCACTCCAGTCGTTCGAGTTGACCACAATACTGGAAACAGCATGACAGATCACCACCACGCCCTCACCAAGGATAATAAATGTGAGCAAGACCATGCGATTCAGCAAATGTGTGTCTCTGAAGCTCAAGACGTCAAACGCCAGAGAGAGCCCGATGTTCAAGATGCCCTCCACCAGCGCCAGAACATACCAAGCCACATAGGCCAGGGTGTTGTAACCTTGGAAAGAAAACGTAAGGCCGATATAGATGATGGCACACGCGAGGTGGATAGAAGCCATGATGGCAAGCGGAAGCTTGGTCCTATGGTACCCTCTCACGTGCCAGATGACGGTGGCATACTGAATAGCGAGGATGAGGCGCGAAACAGCCAGACACAAGGACATGGTCCGAAACGTGCGCTCGTCCTGGTTCTCTGGGTGGAAATCGCTGGCGACCACGGCCAGACCAATCATGACGCCCAGGTGGCCTGCTCTAGCGATGCGCTCAAAGACGCTGTCGGTGACGAAGCGGACGTCGAACAGCGAGACAAGCGCCCAGGTGAACCATAGTATGTAGAAATATTCTACATAAGACAGCAGCTTGGTTTTGCTGGAGACCTGGTGGACATCCGAGAAGAGGGTGAGGTTCGCGGCGAAGAACAAGTCAAAGAACAGCTGTTTTGAGAGATAGATGATCAGCTTGCGTGCCCTCGACTTTTCTCCGTCCACAATATGTGTGTGTGGGAGAGTGTATAAAAGGTCACGTCATACTTCTGCACTTGTAGCCTCGCCATACCTCTGCAGTTTCGGAACACCCCGGTGGTGCTGGTGTTTGTGATTGTTGTGGTGGTTTGTTGGTCCATCATGATTATCATGTACCTGGTGTGGATAAGGAAGATCCGAGTTCATTTCGACGAGAGGCTCCTGGACGGATGCCCTCCTGGCGATGGGACTCTTGATCCATCGGAGGCCCTGCGCGTCGACTTCCATGATTTCTTCTCAACCTTGTCAAACACGTTGTTGAGGACTCGCCAATCAGCCTTGGGCAGGATGGTTTACAGAGGTAAATGCACATTGAGGGTAGAGAATGAAACCGAGACTTCCGCCCCAATATTGACCTCAACATTCTAATCATTACGTATCAGTCTCCAGCCAGTCGGGTTGTGCATGAATTCGCTACCGCCGCTAAGAATTGTGAACAAAGAAAACCTGAGACATTCCTGCACCGCGGTGGGAATAACGCCCTGATAAGGTTGAGTGCTAGGTGGCGTTAGCGGCCGCAAATTGTCTTCATTCGGAAGAAGCTGAGGATTGGGAGGAGAAAGGCTATATCATGTGGTGTAGTGTTTTGTGGTGTAATCTGAGGAGCCTTTTTTAGCTTTGTTACATAAGGGAACGCAGGGTTGCATCAGTGCTGTGGTGAGAGAAAGAGAGGCTCTTCTCTGCTCCTGCAGTGACCCACTGCGCATGCAGGTAAGCTAAGTACTATAGTAATAACTCAAATGCGATACTACGTCGACCAGCAGCCTCATCGAGACACATCTCACGAAACGTCACATGAGATCGAGTGCATAGATCATAATTTTTCTTACTTTCCCAGACGACAACTGGATCATAGCAAATCCAAGAGAGATGTTGTATTTATACACTGAAGAAAGAAAAAGTAAGACTTCTGTGGAGGTATTGGAGCGGAATATTTGATCCCGGGAGGTCGAGCTCAACGCCCCACCACTACGCACGCCCCCAGCTCAGCTACAAATCATTCCATTTGCTCGATGTGGGTTCGAAGTCACACAATCAATGTCTCTCTACCATCGTAAATCCGTACTGTAGCCGGCGAAATCCGCAGGGAAACGGGTCCCGGAGGGTGCCAACGGCCCAATCACTTCTGATGTACACCGAGAGATCATCGTCGGCAGGCGGGCTTGCATATTTCTGCCACAGCAAGTTGCTTACTGTTCAGCAAAAGACGAAAAGTGGCCCCACGACGGCGGCTGGTCCTTTTGCCAGAGAGGAAAGTCTTGCAAAAGTCCCAACTCCCCGGTACGCCCCCCCTTTTTTGAACCTTCGCTCCGCCGTCCTCGGGATCGGGATCCTATCACGCACCGCTCAACTGTTTTCTGGTTTTCCTCTCCACCGCCTCGCAGCCAGCTAGGAGGGTAAGAGCCAAGCTCCAGGGGTGGTTCCTCCTCCCCTTCTTTTCTTTCTCTTTAGCCGGGGTCCGCACGGGGCCGGTTTAGTCGGTCGTGGCCGATCATGCAGCCCGGAGTGTACGAACTGGAGCGTCACCCAGGCCCCTCGTACACATTGCCAGTCGAAAGTGGTTCCGAATGCGATAACACCCTCTCCATTCCATCCTCTACCTCTGCCACGACGAATGCGGCTTCTCCCTATGTGGCACCAAACAAGCCTGGATACCACGATGAAGATGCAGAGTGGGAGGTGTACAAGGATGAGATCATCCGCCTGTACTGGCATGAGGGTCTGCCGACGCACGAGGTCCGTGACACCATGGATCGCCTGTATGGATTCTGCAAATCGTAAGCGAATGTCTTCTCTTGATTAGGTGTAGGTGTAGGAAGATAAAGATGATGAGCATCAAGGGGAGGGCATGACATCACCCTCTCCCTATCTTCTTTTCCACACATTCCTTTCTTCTTCTGTTTCTTCTTGTTTCTTTTCTTTGAGCTGAGAAAGAGACGGGTCGTAGGGTCAAGATGTACAAGTATCGCTTCAAGAAATGGAACGTGCGTAAGAACTTCACAAAGCAGGAAGCTCTGGACCTTGCAGCACGCCAGGATCATTCGTCCGGGTTTTGGCCCGAGACGAGAGGCCAGCGGTATCGACAGCGGATCGTCCGTCATCTGCGGCAGAAAGATGCCGACGAGGGAATTGTTAGGCCGCGAGGAGGTCGCCGGACGGGCAAGAACAGGACCCAGCAGCAGCAGCAACAGCGACAAAGACCACAACGGCAAGATCAACAACAAGACCTGGCTTCCGTCATCGTCCTTCCAGGCCGTATCAACCCTCCAGATGTGTTTCAAGCCTTCGAGAGGGCCTTCTACCATGCAGACATCTACCTTGAGAACGTCAGCGGACGGCGTCACTCCAGGTGGTTCACTCGGCCCCCCGCACTCGAGTTTGGCGAAGGCTTCTTCGACCTCTTCGTCCAGGGCATGGAGGACCTGACACGCGGAATTCACACCCAGGAGGTCTTCTCGGCCCTCAACAGCGCCTTCGACAGCCTCAAAGGGCTCATTTCCACCGATCATCCCCTCATTTACTACCGTATCGCCAGCAGAGTTGCCTCGTGCAAGGTGTACCCATCCTCGGACGTCTGCATCAAGCTCTGCCGACTGCTGGCCGACTACTGCCTCAATATGACCCGCGTGCTCCACGGAGACTCGCACCCGCTCACCTTCTGGTGGATGCTCCAGATCATGGTGCTGGATTCTGGCGACCCGAGCGCCCTCGAGGATTTTCTCGAAATCTCAAGGATGCAGTCTGGCAAGCATCTTGTCCAGGGAAAGGGGCTGGTTCACGTCGCCATGTATGTGCCCAGTGAGGCCAGAGATAGGGACCAAGACTCTCTGCGCGCCACGATCCAGACGCTCTCGTCAGATCCAAGCCGTATCTCCGAAGTGCAGGAGGCAAGGCTCGCACTGGCAGAGCAGCTCCTGCAGCAGGAGGAAAAGGATGAGTCCCTTCGGATCCTGGAGGAGGCCATCGCCTCCAAGCATCTGGACCCGCATAGCCCCTCGAGCAGGACGTTTTGGATCTCGGAGCTGCTGTGGCGAGCAGAGGCCCTGGAGAGATCCATCTCGATGCTGAGGGAGACTGTGGACCTGGTCAAGGTCGAAGAGGAGATTGGGACGACGTCCGGGCGTGATGCGACGCTTGACTATGTCTCGGTGTTGGCAGTCTTGCGTGCCAAGCTGGAATGGCTCAGGTGGGAAGAAGACCTCCGTCTTGTTAATGCCGCCCTGGCTCCACTAATGGAACGACGGGGCTCGCCTCTCAAGGTTCGCTTTGTGAGCAGTGACCTGGAGATGGACCCAGATATCCGATACCAAACTGGCAGTAGCAGTGCCAGTCCTGAGAGCACAACAACATTGTCGCCCTCTTCTTCTCTGCCAATACGGCCATTATCTTGAGGGGAAGGGGGTTGAGGGCCTCGAAGGCTCAGTGGATGAGTTCCGACAATGCTTGTCAGTGACGACCTGCGCACGTTAGCGTGTACATGAGGATGAGGGAAGGAAGGAAGGAAGGAAGGAAGGGGAAAAGAGCTGTCCAAGTTGATTCAGATCGGCGAAGAGGTTATTCTCAGAAATCATGACCGTGGACCTTCAGAGGTGAGCTCGACCTTACAGATCAGGAAGAGAAACGTAATAAAATGACCAAATCGAGGTATGGGACCTGGTGAGAGCCTGAAGGTAACGGAAGCTTAATTATTTGAACCCAGAACATGCTTCAGTGTATGGACCAGATATCAACAGCCAGACTCGTTGTGCTAGAGAAGAAGATGGCCAAGAGTATGGGGAACCTTCGATTCTGAGGGTGGACGGGGGCAGGAAAGAAGGAGAGGAAAGGAAAGATCAGCCAGAAATTATTCAGGGGAGGGCAGGTGTCCAGCAGGCATGCAGCTGAGCAGCAGGCACGCAGGGGCCATTATTGACTCACTGGGTCCGCGGTTTCACAACTCCTAAGCATTTAAACTTTAACATGTCAATGAATTTGATACCCTCCACTTGCACCTTTTCCCCTCCGCAACCTCCATCCCAATCTTCAGTTGCCTTCATTTTGACGTCGACATCTTGTTGGATCCTGTCCTCAACACCTCGACCAAAGATTTGATCCATTGTTTCTTGAAGCTTTCCATATCTAGGTCCTTGAGCATCTCCTGCACGCTAGCGTCCACCTTTTCGATGCTCTCCTCGTCGAGGCTGACCTTCTTCTTGTCAATGTCTTCGAACCAGACCTGGGTTGTTGGTGCTATATGGCTCATCAGGTGCTTGAAACCATTTTTGTCGCCGCCACCTCCCATGACATTCGTCATGAATGGCCCCGCTACCGACCATCGAGGGGCAAGAGTGCTCGTCATACAGTTGTCTGTTGGCATGATATTAAAATCAGAAAGAAGAAGAAGAGAAGGAGAGTAAGAGGGGGTGGGGGTGGTGAGGCGTGACACAGGAAAGGAAGACTACGAGGTCTCCTCGTCTTGTTGGCTTACCAAGCTCCTCGGCAGAGCACACTCCATCCAGGACTAGGCTGATAGCTTCACGAAGCAACACCGCCTGCAGCCTATTTGCCACGAATCCCGGCAGTTCCTTCTTAACCAGCACTGGCTGGCGCCCAAGTGACTGATAAAAGGTCACTGCCTGTCCTGCGATCACATGGTCGCTGTCCGGGTGTGGCACCACCTCAACCAGGGGCATCAGATGCGGTGGGTTGAACGGGTGGCCGACAATTACCCTACCAGGTAGGTTCTTGCAGTCTGTAATCATCTGCGACGCGGGAATGCCCGACGACGAAGACGCGATGATCGTGTCAGGCCGCGCGCCGGCGTCCAGCTCGGCTATGATGGCGCGCTTGAGGTCCAGCTTTTCGGGCGTGTTCTCCTGAATAAAGTCGACCTGGTCGAAGTATCCTTCTAGTGACCTGCCGACGAACTTCCAGTTGGTTATACTGGCCTCTGGATGAAGCGAGGCGGGGTCCAAGGTCGGCCATGTCCGCTCGAGGTACTGCGTCAGGCGAGTCTCGGTGTCGGGAGACCCGGACGGGGAACAGACGAGCACACGCAGGCCGTGCGAGAGACACAAGGCAATAAAGCTAGACCCGATCACACCCGTGGAAACCACGCCGACTGTCTTGATGGATGATGCCATGATGTGGAAATAATTATGTCTTGATTGGTGGAGAGAAGAAGTCGAGATGTTTCGATCATGGATCTACTTACATCATAAGTATATATTTACGGGACTAGGACATTCCCCGAAAGCTGACCTTTTGGTCCCCACCCCCTCTTCGCGGGTGGCTGTCACTTGCTTTTCCTCGCAAGCCGAAAATAATTATACCTAGACTATCTTTGGACGGACTGACAGAGGTAAAGACCTGACTATAGGATGTGCACAATGATATGTACCGTATCTTGTCCCTCGCTGAAATGATTTGGATTCTTGGTGTACATCATAAAACGGTCGGCTTTCTTCCCCTCCCCCACCTTAATCAGCCCAGCAAATATCGCCGACAAACGCAACTGCGGCGTACCTTGTTCCGAAATTCGCCATGCAGAGGAATTTGGGGCAGAAGGACAGCCTCGATGATCGCGACAGGTGGGGACAGGCTTTTAATATAAACTACTACAAAAGCCAAGTTTCACACTAGGCGCAGTGGCAGAGAGGTCTAATGCGTTTGACTCGAACTTATTTCGAAACAAGAAATGAAGCACCCATCAAATCTCTTCGGAGGCGCACGTTCGAATCGTGCCTGCGTCGTTTTTGGCGTTTTTTCTTTGCTGATTTTCCCGTTGCCGTTTCCCCTCGTCAGCCGACCCACCATCTCGCACCCCCTGTTTTTTGGGTTTCGCAGAAGCGAGAAACGGAACTCCGTATACCTCTGCTCCGCAGAGGGTATACCAAAGTATCTTACACGAAGTTTTATTTATACCTCCCCATGGGCAGGGTTCGTACCTTTATAATAATGCATGTACCATAGTACTAGGACAGAATTGGAGAGGTCGTCGTACTTGGATTGGAAAAATGTATGTTCGTCGCGTTGGCGCATGCAGTGGAAGGAGCTTGCTATTCGCACCCGAAGTCATCCTTAGATATTTTCGAATCGCCCGGATTCATGACATGTGTTATCACTATGTAGCTACTTTTATCAGCAATTTTGAAATAGTCAATTATCCCTCATTCACTCTTGAGAACTCAAATACAACTTTGCACTTTCGAGAAATTACAAATATGCCTCAAGATGATAAATCTCGCGTTCGGACTGCGAAGCGCTGGATTGGCGGGATTTTGCCAGCTTTCCAACCAAACCCGACTTTTCCCTGAATCGACCTCCCTATACCGAACGCAATGCCCCGTTGGGACGGATTATAAGGGAAATGAAAACACCTTATAAGCAACTCAAAACATTAGTATGCAGAATCTGTTGCATCCTTTCCAATATCAAGGATGCGCGGGGCGACTAGGAATGGGAACCTGGCAAGTTTTATGACCGTCACCTTGAGGTTAGGCCCCTCCAGTCCCAAGTTCAACTTTCGCCCTCAACAGATGGCCTGCTACCACGCCCATGCATGTAACCAGGTCCGTAGTCAACCAGCCGTTCCAGGCTGTAAGCTTTAACGTAACCAGCTGTTCCATCTCTACATAGAAAACTTAAATATCAGTACAGCCATGCCCTGGCAAAGCAGCAGCAGCATTCGACATAATCATGTCATAAGTCCTTACTTATCTGAAAAAAAGAGAAAAGAAAAATGTCGCTCGAGTTACCTGCACATTTCCAGATCTTTGACGGGGCCCAGGAAGATGCGAACCACGCTGCGCGACCCCAATCTTTCACCCTCTTCTCGCAGCTGCCCCAGGAATTGCGACGTAAGATATGGCGGACCTCACTGCAGCGCGAGCGCATGATTCAAATTTGCATCCATCCACTCCAGAACACCAACGCCGGCAGCCACGCACATACTGGCTACGGCGCTGCAGTCCGAGGCCGCCGCGTACCGAGCAAGCTCTTGCGCATCTGCCGCGAGGCGCGCAACGAAGCCCTCGCCTTCTACCGCGTTCATATCCCGTGTTCCTTTACGCATGGCACCCCGGAACAGGAGCGCGCTGCCGCCTGCACTGCGCCAGGACGCGACCTCCTCCCTTTCAGCCCTGAGTACGACATTTTGCAGCTGATCCCGTACTGGCCTGACTACACTCTCATAACCGATTTCCTTCTTAGCCTCTGCGCTCTAGACCCCCGCTGCGTAGGTCTGCGCAGCCTCGCTGTCGATATCAGCCAGTTGCGCCTCCAGAGCCAACAAGGAGCTCTGCCGCCCCCAGCCGCTGGCGCAGCACGCATGGCCGCCTTGCGAGCGCTGTTCGCAGGGCTTCATGAAGTTTTCCTTATCACAGCGTTGCCTCTAGGCCGTATGCTCGTCCCAGCCCGCGACCGGCGTACCGGTGACAGCGCGGTGCTGCTTCTTAACAGCGCGATGCCGGTCCGCGCGCATACGCCAGCATTCACCAGGCTCCCTCGCGACTCTCGGCCGATCGACCAAGACCTGCGACGGGTCTATATGGCGGATGGACATATAGGTGCTGTTCATTCTGGGCACGCGTTTCTCGCGCGTTTGGGAATAGAGCTGGGCGATCTGCAAGCGCAGGTGAGCTGGCTTGTAACCTTCGAGCCCGCTCGGGAGATCTACAGTCGCGAAATGGCCGAGGCGTTCCTGCAGGGGGAGGAGGATCGCTGCAGTAGTGAGCAAGTACCCAAGCCAGGCCTAGCTGATCATCTGGAGCGGTTAGTCGACCAAGGGCTTGCGAGCGCCCATAATACGATGAAGGGCTTGTACGAGCTCCCTGATGTGGCGTTTGGGTTCTGGCGTTTCCCTTTATATCCTAGCCAGACTTTCGTCGAGAAGGGCCTTGGAGAGGAGGAGGAGGATGGGTGGGAGTTTGCGTTCAACTGGGTAACAAGACCTTTGAACGACTTGTCAGATTGCTGGCCTGAACTGGTGCTAATGAACTTAGCTTATTAGCAAATGAGTAGAGGTTCAGCTTGAACACTTAAAAGGTGGACATAACAAGCCTTGTCAGGAGATTGTTCCGGAAAGACGTAAATGTGAATGCCGGATAGGAAATCCATCCTGTAGAGGGCTATCCGCGCCGGCGTAAGCGGGCGAGGTCTATTCCAGTAGAAGCACGAGGAGACCTCTTCTAGCGTCTAGTAGCATGCCATTCAGATAGCTATACAGACGCTCGAGCATTCTTGGCTTGGTGAATGGGCTGCGAAGCAGGGGCCTCTCTTAGAAAAGAAAAGAGAAGAGAGAAGGGAAGAAAGAGGAAACTAGAGAAGGAAGGAGAGGAGGAAGGAGGAGAAAGAGAATGAAATAGAGGAGGAATAGATGTAGCTATTCAGAGTCTCTAATAGTAACAAATTGCGCCCGCGACCGAAGTAAGCTTGTTGAAACAAATTGTAATAATTTATTATGAAGATTCTACACCAACACAATGCGCATGCGATCCAGACTATGAAAAATGTCCAAGCAGTCTTCATTTAGGAAAAAAAGACCTACACGATGAAAAGTTTTCTCTCGTTCCCATTGCTGTTCCAGTAACAATCCACACCACACATCTGCGGGCTTTTGTCTAGATCCAGGCAATATAGGGTATTGATCGAAAAGCTGCAGAGCATGCAGCTCATTTGCTACTTTTTCTGGCTTCCGCGAGTCCAGATGCAGTAGTCCCACTCGCCGTCCTTCATAAATTAGCTGATACGGAAACTTTGAAGTCGCAGGGGTCATTGTGTCGTCGAAACCTCCAACACTGACAGCAGCAAGAGAGCCGCTGATCACAAGGCTACCACTCTTGATAGCACCGAAAGGGTTGTCCCCCTCTAGCTCAATATCAACTTCCAACAAGTCGATCATCTTAGGCATCTCTGCCCTATCCCAATACATTCCCCACGATATCTGGCCGTCCAAGCAAGCCCAGGTCCAAGAAGGAGCACGATACGATGACGGTCGCAAAAATTGAGTGTCATCCTCCCAGCAGATCCAGAGCAGTCCGTAGACCAAGTCTCCTTCCCAGATGCCAGCTAGATAGCGCCCGACAGGGCCAGCGGAATAGGTTTCCTTTGCGAGACCTGAAAGAGCTGGGAGCTTATCGCGGCTGTATGTCAATTGGCGAGGAGAAAATTGCGCTGCGATGAGAAACCAGCGGTCGAATAGTCTCTCTAGGTCTTCAGCCCGATCGTAAACTTTGGCTCCTGTAGCCTCTGCAGTGTCCTTGATCATCTTGTTCTCTCCATCCTCCTTATCCTCTTCCTCGTCTATATCTATGTCACTCTCGCCGCAAGACTCTTCATTGCGCATCAAAACTCCAGCGGTTGGCATATGTTGGACCTTGTGATTATCCTCAGGCCAGATAGCAGTCCGGCATTCAAAATAAGCCTGGTATTGGCTGCAGTGGACCAGACGCCGGGAAAGGTACCTTTCCTGCATCGTCCAACCCCTAGTATTCCACGTCGAGCATTCGATATTACTCTCGAATCTGCATTGATATTCATCCACCATTTGTCTCAGATAAAAATACCCATTCGGAGTTTTTTCTTTCGAGGACAAGAATGGTAATCGCACTTCACGACTCAGAGGCCGCTTCAGAAAGCCATCGTGACTTGTTCTGGCACATGTCGCAGCGAGAGTCAAGTAAGCATGTTTGTAAACCTGGTCCATCAGTAATGCTTCGCGCTGCCAGTCCTTATCAGAGTCTTGTATGATACACAGGGAGTCGATCCAGAGGTATTGGATGTTGAGTTGGCGTGTGAAAGCCACAGCATCTTTGAAATTCTGTGGCATACTACTAGGAAGTCAGCCTGGCTGCTTGTACAGTATATTTGCCAATGAAGGTGTACGTACATGTCAAGTGGTATTCCTTCCAGTCTCTCGCACAGTGTAGATGTTTCGGTTACTAGCATCGGCTTTCGTGGATCCGGTGGTCCCCAGCAGTGGCTCAGAGCCACATAGGGCAGCCCAGCTGTTCGGTTTCCGGCTTCAAGCCTCACTAGTATAGAATCCACCTGACCAACATTGATCAACCTTGTTGGCGTGAATGAGTCTAAGGTATTATTGCAATCCGGATGGTTCTTGCAGTCGCGGATCCAACCTTGTATGCGCTGAATGCACGTGTCAGATAGCATGCTAGGCTCCAGCCTTCGCCGCTGGATTCTACCAGACTTGGACGCTTCTGATCCTAATTTTTGGAGACCGTCATTATACATACATTGAGAAAACGGATGTTAGCAATGCTGAGTATGAAGGAAAACATACCAGGCTCTGCATACAAGGAAAAGAATAAGGTCTCAACCCCAGGGCCATCCCCTATATGTAGATCCAGTTTGAGGCCATACGCGCCATTGTCATCTCCAATAGCATCTGTTCTGAAACAGTGTTCTGTATAGAAGCGTGCATTTTTCAAGTAGACAGGTGTCGGCCCATGACTACCACTTGCAACAGTGGTAAGCTGCTTGCGCTTCGCAACGCTTCGAATAGTTTCGATGAGGGTAGCGCAGAACTCACAGCCCAAGTTTGCGAGTTGTTCAAGACGAGGGAGGCTAGGGAGACTGTCTTGTAATTCGAAACTGCTGCTCACAATGTCCTGTACAGGATCATCCGTATCATACTCGATGGTAAGTTGTATGCAGCTTTCGCAGACTCTGCGAGTCATTGCGTGTTGTGGAATATATAGTAATTAAAAGAACCTCGGGCTGATTCCCAGACGCTGTACAATCAGTTCGGGTCCCTAAGCGAAACAAGCAACTTTCGCTTTGTAAATGCGAAGCTGTACAAATATGAAATGTGCGGTGTGCGCGTAAGCCCCCGCCCTTTGCTAACCTCGGCAAAATGACATATCAGTTTCTGAGTAAGACGTCAAAGATGTTTCCAGGCTGATATTTGGCACTGCTCTTTTTAGCATAAACTCTTCCTGTAACCCCTTCGAAGACTGGCAATGACTTCCCGCAGAACAAACCGGTGCCTAGAAACACACTGTCACCCCTTATAGACGGCTTCGTCTTCGTCTTCATCCTCTCTTATGATCGTCGAGCCAACCTGGTCCCTGCCCAGCATAAGCCAAAGAGCTCCTTTGACGATGGGTTGGAAAGTATGGCAATGCTGCCGCTGCCAGTGGTTGTTTGGCTGCCCCTCAGGGTGAACAACTGTCTCTTTGCATACTCCCGTCTCCATAGATATGCTGATGAGTCGGAATTGGGCAGAATTTCCGCTTTTCAGGACCTTGGATGAAGTCGGGCTGAGAGCAGATGGATCGTTGTGGAAACCGACCATTATTGGACAGCCCATGAACGCCTAGCCTAGCTGAGGGCGTATTTGTAACAATCAGTTGCTGTATATCGCGTTCAGCAGATGCCCGACTACTTCAACTATAGTCACTTGGGTAGGGGCTTCCTCGACCTCGTCGACGTAGTCCTCGAAGGCTCATTTGGTAGGTTGCTGCGGGACTCAATATATCATTATGAAATTGGTCGGCATGCGTAGAAGGCTTGGGCTCAAGTACGACTATACCGTTCTCCTAGGCTGGAAGAGGATCTGCGGCCTGTCTGCACGAGCTCCTCCATCAATTAGTTGAGGCAATGGGTGTGAGCTATACGATGCCATTCATATCTGAGCCGCATTGTCTGCTCTCTCGATCCTTGAAGACGTCAACATGTTTTTGTCTTCTAGAAATAAGGGTATGGTGCTGACATACCTGCATCTTTACTTGCAATAATGCCCAAGCCGTTCTTAGAAAAGCTTGGGGGTCTCAGACGAGAGCGACGAGTCCGCGGTAGCTTGGCAACTCGGCCTCTCATGACGAGAAATTTTTATGGAGGAGGGAAGATGAGGTCTTGTCATAGACTTCATGACGGTCCACATAAAGGAGCTAGAGCTGCACGTCGTCAAGAAAAAGTCGTCGTTTCCCCCGCAGGATGTCATAAGCCCGGCTAAGAAATTATTAGTCGTCGGCTTTACAGCTGCTTCGTTCTTTATTATCAAATTTGCGCCGTCAAGTGAGTAATAACGTCTTTTGACCGCCAGCGCGCGCATGATCAACCTTGAGAAACTTTGAGGCATCAAAAACTGTTGTAATAAGGTGTTTTTCTTCATATTGGTGAAAGGCTACCTGGGGCTCCTAGCACAAAGGGCCTTTAAGGCGAATGCCAGCCTATCCGGCTCTGCTGAACTTGGACCCATACATCTAACAGAAATAACACAAAGCGAAGAGGCGTGATATCTTTATGCACGCCGTTTGCGTTTCTTTGATTGCTCGTTCAGAAGCGACGCAGATGCTTTGTCCATTTCAAACAAAACTGATGGCAATCCTTATCTGCACCAATTTAAGGCACCCAGAGTGGTGTACAGATCTGGCGCGATGGTTACGCCGTCAGCAATGCGGAATATCTGGGTAAGTAGTAAGTAATTATCGGCCTGCGGCTGAGGAAAATAGGATCTCGGTTCAGCTGCAGGTCGGCTTTGGAAAATGATGCATGGTCGAGCGCTCAGAAATGCCGCATACTGTCCCACCAGGAGTGTCTATCTGTATGTTTAGACTGGGCAATCGGAGCTGGAACTGTCATGTTTGAGCAAATAGCCATCATTGGTCATACAGGCCAGTACAGACAGCGCCTCTGTTGGGCGTGTACACCGTATGTGTCTATCTCTTTGTGGCTTAGAAAGCTCCAAGTCTCTGTACGATGTTACAGCACTCGGCGCACGCAGCGGCTCACTCGTTCTACACGTCGGCAAAGGTCGCACCCCATGATGCAACCCGCAAGACTGCTCGGCGAATCCGGGAAGCCTCTCGAGAGGGATATGACTGACTGTTCTCTGACATCCACTGTGTGACAGCGCTCTATATTTGGAAATAGAAGGGGAAGGGTAGGGAATGGGGGGAAGAAGGAAGGAAAGCCACCGCCCAAAAGTTTGTAGAGCTGTGCATTCGCCCCAATTTCTCACATGCACGGGGGATGAAGGGGAAGGAAGACGGAGGAAGTTAATATCGGCCTATCGAGGTCTTTATTCTTGTGCAAGGGTCTTCCCTATCTAACGGGGCAAGCTCTGTACAATATGCGATTTCGCGGTGCTTGTATGCAATTAGCGCTGACCTTGTCACCTCGTTTAGATAGGCACCCTCTCAAAATTTCCAACCTTTTGTCCGTTCCGCGTACGAAATATATACTCATGCGCAAGAAGAACTATCCTCCCCTTCATTTCCTTTAAAACACAATCTGATGCAGGCGACAGGGTTGCTTATATCTTCCAAATCCCTTTTTATTATATTATAAACTCATGCGAAGATCTTGAAAGGCTGTCTTTTGGTTTGAGATTGTGAACACAGAGCCAGGGTCGACGCTTGGGTGGTCTCCCATGCAGAAGGCGGTCCTAAACAGTGCAGGCAGTCAGGCTTTCAGGACTAACAACAGAACTGGGTTGCCTTGGACGGGTGAGGACATCAAAGAGGCAACAGTGGTAACAAGGAGCCACCTGTCTTCGCTCTGAAAGCGGTTCCGCGCCCACCTTTAGGGCTGAAGGCAGCAGGGAAGCGACAGGTCCAAACGCGACTTCCCGAGAGGAAAGAGAAGAAGGAGAAGAAGGGCAACAACCCGCCCCCCACCCCCTCCTTCTTTTTATTTCTTCCTTTTATTCACCTTAAAAAGGTGGCAGCAGGTGAAAATGGGGACAGGTGAGGGGTCTACAGTCTCTGAGGGTGCAGGCAGAAAGGGCTGGAGTTTTCTGGACGGTCTCGTCGCCTTTGTCGTCGCCGTTTTCCATCCCATCTTTCACGTTCTGGCATCCGTTATCTCTCCCACCAAATCAAATGGCACATCTGATTCGACGCCCACATCTCAACCTGGCGGCCAACCCAAAGGACATCAACAACAACAAAAACAACAGCACAGCGTCGACCAACAACGCGCTCGTCCACCCACCACCCCCGACCCATCAACATCAACGTCGACATCCCCACCCACGTCTACCTCCGCGTCTGCACCAACTCACGGTCGCGACCTCAGCACCCACAGCCCACATCTCCAAACCAATAACGACAACGGAGACGACCAAGGTGCCACGAACATGCAGCCTCGCCCGCTGAACCAGCTGCCCTTGGCGGCGATCGGGCCCAACGGCTCCTCGACCAAAGCCACCGGACAGCCTGACGTCAAAGACCCTCTGTCATACATTGGATCATCTGACGGCCGTGCAGGCGCCAAGCAGGAGAACGTGCCTGTTCATGACACTGCTGCCGCTGTCGAACCAATTGACAATCACCGTGACCTCGTGTATGCGACGATTGGCCCTGGATTCCGTGTTCTCGGCGAAGAGCAGGCCAAGGAGAACCGTCAGGAGCAGCTCACGCTACCGCCACCTAACGAGCCTCCCACGGTCATCGAGCAGCTAGATCAGGACCGCAGCGCTGAGCCCGAGGATCCCGTCGAGGCTGCCGAGCGTGCCCTGAACCATTACTTCATGGATCAGGCGCTGGATATGGTATGTTGTTGTTATCGCCCTCTTTCTGCCTCGCCATAGCGCTCGTCTCCTTGCCTCGAGAGTCCCGACCCCTGGCAACCGTCATACATATCTCTTCAGCCCCTCTGTCCAATAGGCTCTCTTTCTATTGATCCGACTTGCTTTCCTCATTGCTGGCCACCTGCCTTCCCTCATTTCGTGATTCCACTCGCCTATCGCAGTGTTTCAAACCTGCGGGCACCTTGTACTCGTGCCGGCCTTTTCTTTCGTACTACTCTCACGTCTCCAACCAGCAATAGCTTGCTACTTGTCTATACATCTCCCTCGGCTCTCATTTCCACTCACTCCGACCACTGCAATCGATGGCGCTGACCGAGACTTGCTCCAGGCCCGCCTCTCCCTGAAGACTAATGAAACACCCGTCGGTTGCGTCCTCGTCCATGATGGACGTGTCGTCGCCAGAGGTATGAACGCCACCAACATCACCCGCAACGGTACCCGTCATGCAGAGCTGATGGCCCTCACCGCTCTCCTCTCCTTCACCCCTGAGGCGGACATGGAGGAGGCACCCAACAAGAAGCCAAAGAGAAAGTCCGCCGAGAGTGTTCGGCGAGGCAGCCAGCAGGCCGAGAAGCCGTCTCTGGTGAGGACATACAGCGAGCAGGAATGGGGTGATGTCGACCCCACGGATGGCCACATTTATCCTTATGGGCAGAAACTTCATCCTGCCCCCCGCGTCGACCGTGACCTGATCAAGAACTGCACACTCTATGTCACTGTCGAACCATGCGTCATGTGTGCTTCCATGCTCCGCCAGTATGGCATCAGAAAGGTTTATTTCGGCGCCGTCAATGACAAGTTCGGCGGTACGGGTGGTGTCTTCTGCATCCACATGAATTCGGATCCCGCGCACGCCGCCACCGCTCCTGCGACTCCCGGCCACCGGCCTGTTGCTAACCTGCTTACCCGACCCACCCTTCCACAAAAGTCGGCCTCGTGTGCCTCCTCCATCAACGGATCTCAGGATGGTTCGGCTGCGATGGGCGGTGAGGTCAAGTCGGTCAATAGGATTACCTTTATCGAGCCACCCATCCCAGTTTCAAACATGAGTATGGGTCATGGCGGAAACGTGGAAGATGGGTTCGAGGCCGAGGGTGGTTGGGGTCGAGATGAGGCCGTCAACCTGCTTCGACAGTTTTACGTCCAGGAAAATGGCAGAGGTACGCATCGCTCCCGCTCCTCCATTTTGTTTTCTTCTCACGCCACCTTACCCTCCCCTCGAGGACGACTTTATGATGCTAAGATCGCATGACAGCACCTGTACCGCGAAAGAAGGAGGGTCGCGCAGCTCGCCTCGCCGCCATGATGGAGAGCCAGGGTATTACGACAGAAGGCACGGCTCTTGAGGGTCTGGCTCAACAGGAGGCTGAGGGTCTCGGGCAAGAAGAGCGGGCTAATCCTGCTACCGGGTCTGCCTTCGAGGACGAGGATGAGGATGAAGACGCTTTCAATCTAAGAGCTACGGAGAGCGGCCACACAACTCAGCTGTCTCCGCGTGGCGGAATGGCGGCCTGATGCCTAATTGAAGCAAGCTCCGAAGCGCCAAAGAGAACGTCAGGTACAGCAAGGGCATTCACCACAGAGAGAAAGCAAGCTCGCCTCTTGGCCATACCTCACACCCAGTGACCAGTAGTTCAGGTAAGACCCATGGCGCAGACGTTAGGCGTACAATGCTAACAAGACGTAGTCATCCTCGAAAATCAGAAGTCGCTTACTTTTTAGGACGAGAGCCGGACCGTGGGCGCTCCCAGTACTGCCTCGTGGCTATACCACAGTATTATTATGAGTTCTTAAGCTTCGAGTAGGACTAGCTGGACGTCGGGGACTGTCCAACATGGCGCCATTCAGCCATTGCAGGGTACATTGTCACATTTCTACTATTGTCCTCCTACCCTTAGTCAGGCTTTGTAGCATAACTACCATCTTTAGTAGCTACCATCTTGGTTGCATGCTTAGGTACCTATTGACGACTACAAGACAAGAAGAAACCGATGAAATGCTCATGGGCTGGTCTGTGTGCAACTGAATATTTATACGCTAGCCGTGCCTTCACCCTGCTAATCAATGTTACCAATCCTCCCTCCTTTTTTCATCTCAAGAAAAAAAAGACAGCAAAATGTGAGATTAATGGCTTGTTTATGGTAATGACTTGCCGGGGGCCAGATTGTTGTTTGCTTGTCCCAAGCTGAGAGAAGTCAAACAGTTCTGTGTCGATGCTTGGATGCTTGACCAACGAACAGAGTTTCACAAGTCATGGAGACCGGAGACCAGCCTGCAGTGATGACACCCACGATACGAAACCTAGATCGATTACAGGATATGGAGGTTTTGTTTCTTCCCTCCCCCTTGTCCTTTTCCTGCTTTTCTCCCTTCTACAGAAATGGAAGCTCCGCCTCGTTCGCCGCATGCCAGTCGGTTCAACCTTGGAATTTACAGCCACCCGTCCAATACTCACCTTGTACACCGAGATACAAATGACGGAGATCATTACCGCAGGCACATTGTCGATAGGCTTGGACGTGATCATCTCGTCGGACGAACCAGGAGCCGGTACCCGCACTCGACCGGTAGTAGGACAAGGCAGCAAACGTCTTTCTTCCCAGTACAAATTTTGCCCGACACGACGTCTACATGCATTATTGAATCAACTCGGTGCTCTGAGGTGCCTGGGTTTGGAGCATATTGTACAACGAGGGCCACGTTCTCCATTGTGATGGGATTCCTTTTCTTTTCTCCTCCCCCCCCCCCCCTTTTTACCTCTTCTTTTTGGAAGGGGATGGATGCCTGTGACCTCGTGTTAACATGTCGGCTTCGTGCACGGCGAGGCAACGTTATTCTTCTACGTTGTCTAAGGTCACGGTACACTGCATGATTATTGCCACGTCCTACTGTGCCCTGGTGTGCTTGAGGATAGATACCTGAATTCGCTCAAGGATAGAAATGCTGGTTGATCACTTGCGTTTTCTCTTTTTGCATCTTGTTGTTCTTTTACTGCAACCCTCGCGAGCGAAAGAGAGAGACGAACAATATGGCAACAACAGAAGCTACAACGCAAGCGGTTGCAGGCCCAGATGAATGCGAGACTGAACGATGTACGACAGCTGGCTCTAAAGTTAGACAAGTCGAGGACATACCTCGTCCAGCTGGACCAGCCGGCTACGCACACCTAGCTCAGTTTATGGTCCAGACGCAGTACGGTATGGTGCGCCGGTACAAAGAGCTCTCCGTGATGAACCTGCTCTACCTCCAGGCCCAGATTCACAGCCTCAAAACCCAGCTGGACCAGGAGATCGCCGCAGATGCGGCCTCTGTCGACAACACGGAGAGGCCCCTCTGGAACTATCACTGGCTTTCGCTTGCCACCTCAGGAACCAGAGGGGATGGGAAACGTTGGAAGATCTGGCTGGAACTGCGTGCGGTGTTGTATGAGTACTGCAAGTTTCAATTCATATCGTTTCCTCCTCTTGACTCCTTCCTTAGATATTCGAAGAACAGAAAGAAGAAGAATTAACATGTCTGTCTGGCTTGCATAGACGAAGCGATCGACAGACACAACCGCGTCGTCGCCCTCAGCCCTCCCACCAACGCTCAACGAGACTTCCTCTCCAAGTACATCAGCGACGACGGCATGAATGGCGGCCGCTGCGGCTTCATGTCCGCCGAGCTGGTAGGCGACAACCCGGCGGCGTACCAGAAGCTTCATCTTGAGGACCTGGTCATGTTCGAGGCGCCAGCGAGCGGCGGAGACTCGTTGCTGGACAAGTGTTTCGTGGAGCCGGCTATGAAGGTCATCCACATTGCTCTGAGGAGCCACAAGGTGACACAGATGACCTTGTTTCCTTTTTCTCGTATCAAAGTTCGATCAAAACAACCCCTATCAACCCAAGAGAGGCTAAAAGATATCCTGTTTTCTTTTTTCTTCAGAGAACCATCATGCAAGACCTCGAGGCCGGGCTTCCCTCTCCGGAAGGGGACAACACGAGCGAGCACGAGAAGACCGGCGAAAATAGCCAGGCAGCGGCCGTAAGGAAAGTTGAGCTGTACCAGTATTCGGCGCCTTGGAACACCTTCATGACCAAGTTCATCCGCACGGGACTCTCCATCCTGCTGCCGTGCGCCGCCATCCTGAGCCTCAACGCCGTTCCCGGCCAGAACACCAGGGTCTACCTGGTTTGCATGTTCTCGGTGGTATTTTCGATGGGAATGGCCATGTTTACCCAGACGAGGGGTACCCAGGTCTTTGCTGTCACGGCTGCGTATGTTAATGACCTTTTGTCCCTCTGTCCTTTTCTCTTTCCATATTCATGCATGCTCGTGCTTCCTTGCTGACCGTTTCTTGTCTCTGTCTGCATACAGATTCATGAGTGTCCTGCTGGTCTTCTGTGGTGGGAACGGGTCGGGAAATTGAGGTGGACATGTGGTTCGAAACTTTGCTTTTGGGCAAGTACAAGACTGTTCGAGACAAACTGAGGTGAATTATTTCAAAAAGAAGATGGTGTTTGGGAGCCCTGGAGGCTTCTCTGAAACTGATAAACCTGGGGTAAGAAAACACTTGGCAGTAGCATTGCCATCAAAGGCCATAAAATCCTGATATAAGAGCGTGTCTAGGCGGCAATTATGATAGTTATATATATAGAGTAAGAAATCAAACAAAACAAAAGTGTTGCTCGGAATTTGTCTTTGATGGGCTTTCTTAATGGACTAATGTGATCATGGAAATAAATTTTGCAAAGGGTGCCACAGAGACCTGCTCTACATGCCATGCAATAGAATAGACATTGTTGATAAGAATTCCTCAATGAAGGTCTTGAATACGCTCCTCTTTGGACATCTGTGCAGTGAGTAAATGTATAACATAGCACCCTGACTTGCTTAAGTCATTTTTGGTGCGAATTGTTCAGCATCTCATGATTGGACATTTTATGTAGGCTGCTCGAAATTGAACCTTGTGAAGAACCACAAACAACTTGAACATAAGGCAGACAATGGACAATTCACGTCAAAGCTTGAGGACTTGCGTCTCATTTCCATGATTTTGTTCAAGTATCATGATCCAATTAATGATTGACAGTTTCGTCTCAACCGCAATGCCATTCATCTATGTAGTTCTGATGTGCAGGACCAGGAATCTAAGAAAATAGGCATTTTGAATAAACATGTTTCTAGTAAGATGGTTGGACTTAGGCAGTAAGACGATATCAAGGAACTGAACAGCAAGTACTTGAGGTAGCAATAGGATTATAATGGCGTGCAGAATAGGATGCCCTTTCATCATCCTTAAAAGTCGACTGTGCCAAAAACTGTTCTCCAATTTGTCTGTGATGCTGAGTAGAGTTAGAATGTCTACCCTCTGTTTACTGATCATTGCTCAAAGTCTGGTCCTTTCTACCTTTGTTGGCTGCCGTCGCCACTCCGGATGTTCTTGCCGCCGCTCATGACTACGCCGTCTTCTCCTACCATGTTGCCTTTCTGCACTGCTTTTTCATTCTGCACCGCCTCACCAGTCTGCACCGTCTCGCCGCTGTACGATGTTCTGCTGCTCACCACCATGCTGCTACTGCTGCTGTTGGTGGTGATACTCGTCACCATGCTATTGCCTCCCAGGGTGCTCACGTCCGTGCTCTTACTCATGTCCGTAGTCGAGAGAGATTCGGCTGATGGCGGCCTGGAATGTTCACATATGGTGTCTAACCAGCCCCCCCACTCTTGCCTCGTCTTGTTTCTCTTGGCCTGCTGCAGGGCGGCATCGGGGTCTGGGCTACCACTCACGCTGGTGATGATGTTGGACCGGCCTATAGGTGCGTCTTCGGACGTCTTCTTGGCTGTGGTCTTTTTGGCTAGAAGGGGAGGTTAGCCTGACGAAGAAAAAGACAAGAAAGGGGGGGGGGGGGTTGTGAGTACATACATTTTGGGATCGAGATACAAAGTACCATTTTCCTTGTCCAGTCTCCAGAAATGGGAGCAGATGAGTTGTTTTTCAAGTCACGAGTTCAGGTACTGCCTGCAGGATATTGATGCTTTTGACAGCCTTGGGATGATATCATGGGTAGCAATGCTGAGGGCTTACTTGAGAAAGCTTGATATTAGTGGTTGACTTGGGACGAGGTGATGGGTAAAGAAGATGAGGACTTCCTGGAGAAGTATTGATGTTTTGCGTTGTTTTGGGACGTATATTTCGTCTGGAGGCGCTGGGGAAAGCTACAATTGATATATACATGGAAGGCGCCTTCCTTCACAGGACTGAGTCACTGACACTTCTGACTGGCCTCTTTCTAGTGACTGAACATATCGCATGAATCGCATTATGCAAAGGGACTTTCGGTCTGGTATGAGCGGGAAGCAGACAGACATGGTCAGGAAAGAAGCAATGCCCTTCCATCTTCCTACAAGGTCGACAGCCATCCAGTATGTTCTTTTTCCCTTTTGAGAATGACTGAGTATAGCAGATGCATGGGTGGTGCAAACCAATGTTGTTACCATCAAGATCGACACGGTGCTTGAATCGACAATGGTAGAATTTCCTTTTATTGCTGATCCAAATATAGACAAGTCAAAGATACATGGAGCGAGATGAATATGCAGTCTGCAGAAGAATGAGGCGAAGCTGTTTTAATCATATTTTGGATTTAATTTCATCATTGGTTCTGTCTTAATCTGATCTGTTTGTTATTCTGTTCTGTGGTGGGCAAAAAAGCAAGAGAGAATGACAAAAAGAGAAGAGTGTGCTGCAGTGTGGAGAGTGTGCTGTACCCAACCCCATCCATGACATCTCTCCTCTTCACTTTGGATGTAGATCCTGACCAACTGCAGTTTTGTTTCTGCCCCCATGACAAAGTTTATGTGGTACCAAATCCTCAGCCACCTTGACAACTTCTTCCTCTACCACCACGTTTTTTCCACCTCCTCTTAGGGTTAAGGTTAGAGCCTGTGTCGACTCCTCGGACTGAGTCTAACGTCGAAGGTGACTGTTGTTGATAGATTGTGGTGCCAATTGGATCTGACGTTGTAGGAGAGCCTTGTCGATGGCTGTCATTGTTGATGTTGTTGTCGTTGTTGTGATATGTGTTGCCATGCTGAGGCGATGACCTTGACTGAAATCTTCGATGGGGTCCTACTACTAGTGATGGAGGAAATGGAGGATGATAGACTTGAGCACTTGTATTTGGATAATTGCCTTGCACCATCGTCATTGTATCTCCATAATAAGATTGATTGGATCCTGCAAACGAAGACATCGGCCACTGGGGCGTCCGGTTGTCGGGAGGCGGTGGGGGTGGGCCGGCCCAATTGGTGCTGTTGAAGCCGCCCGGGTGATGATCTACAGCTCCCAGCGGCCCAGGAGGCGGCGGCCACCCACCACTTCTGCCCCAGCCAGTGGAAGAAGTCAGTATGCTCCGTTGCGTTGCTTCCTAAGCACGCCTATTATGTTTCATGAGGTCGGCGAACGCGCTGTTCACCTGCTTCTTTAGCTCAGCATACGTAATAATAAAATCAGTCTCGTTATTCCTGCTCGTCAGGCGGATGCGCTCCGCCGAGCCCGCGTCCAGCTTGTTGAGGCATGAGAGCATGTGGCCGACGTCAAAGACAGGGCGGGCATGCTCGTCGACGCGATGAAAGACGTAGTCGCGAAACAGCTTGAGCGTGTACCGCTCGCCGTTCTCGGACCAAGACGGGTCACCGTCGTATTCCAGGCGCTCGTTGATCGTGCCCAGCTTCATCAGCAGGCGGACGACGCGGCCGTTCTCGAGCTCGCGCTGCAGCTCGTTGGTGAGCATGTCGGTGTGCTGCAGGTTCCTGTCCAGGCACTCGACCATCTGGTTTGGCATGCCCGTAATGAGCTGCTCGGCGCTCTTAACATTGGGTGTACTGAGGAGCCACTGCACCAGATCGTGCAGCGCCGACTCCCCCTTAGGGCCAGACTGGTACCTTCGAGCCACCGTAGCCATCTCCGCCTCGAGGTCCACAAGCTGACTGGGCAACTTGGTGTTGGCGAGACAAAGGATCAGCCGGCCCAACTGGACAAAGTCCTCCTGCTGTAGCTCTTTGACCGACCTATGGGCTTGGTACTGCACGACGTCGAGGATGGCGCAGGCTGTCAACCGGATCCTGTTCTTCTCGGTGACGATGATCTTACTGGGATCAAGACACCGGGCGGCAAGATCCTTGGCGTGAATGGCCTTGAGCGCGCTGGCGATCTGCGCCACGTAGGTCCAGATGACACTTTCGGGAATCTTAGGGACGGTGGCCGGGCCGCGATATCGGTGGTCCTTGGGGGGCTGCGTGAGATGCGCCTCGACGAGTGTCTGCGCAAGGGGGAAATAGTCCAGGGCGAAGACGAGAGATCTGTCGCCAAATGCCGAGGTGGTAAAAGCGTCATGCACGAAGACGACACTGCCGTTGTTGATCTGCTTCCATTTCTTGATGGTCTCAATGGCCTGCGTGGCCTCACGGTCGCCGAGGCGGAAGTCTTGCAGCCTGCGCAGGCAATAGATCCTGCCCGTCTTGGCCGAGAAGGACTTGAACAGCCAGCTCGTCCAGCCAAAGATAGTTGTGCTCTTGCGCTGGGGCGTGTCGACCTTGTCCAGAGGCACAAGAGAGTGGTAGCCCTCGAGCTGAATGCTACTAGGGATCACCTGGAGAGCAGCGTGCGCTTTCTTCTGCAGCTCCTCTCTCAGGTCCTCTGGCATGAAGAAGTCGCGTGTCTGTCTCTGGTAGGGCAGCAGATCCTCACGATAAGGGCCGATATTGGCATACAGGTGGTAGGGAGGTGGTTGCAGCGGTGTAGGGTATGCGCCTTGGCCCTGATAATAGGAGGCGGCGGTGGTGGTCGAGGGACCAGCGATCCCACCTGTGTGGTCATTCGCATATGGATTGTACTGCGCGGTGGACACAGACGCCTGGAAAGGGTCATAGGACTGCAGGTTGTTGGGTTCGGGCGTCGGTGTCGCAGTAGCAGTAGCAGTAGTGGTGGTATTATTGGTGCTGCCGCCAAGGTCAAAGCTGTTGTTGTTGTTCTGGGGGGTGAACTCCTTAATGGAGGCGGGGTTGAAGACGCGCTCGCGTTCACGGTCACGCTCGGGCTCGGAAGGAGCAGGTGTTGCAGAGCCAGCGCCCCTGGGGGTGAAGACAGCGGCGCTTGCGGCCTGCGAGGGGAGTGTCGACTTTTTGGGGGCCGGCTGGGCCTGGACTGCGGCGGCGAGGTTCGAGGGGGTAAAGGAGGGGGAGTCTCCGTTCAAGGTCTTCTTCATGTCGAAGATGCTGCCGCTGCTGCCGGCGGCGTGGTTCTGGGCGGGGTTGAAGTTGTTGTTAGGGGGTTCGTGATTGAAGTTGCAGCCCGCGTTCTCGTAACGGCATTTGCCATAGATCAGAATGTTCCTGCAGAGTGTATCTTTGTCTGTGAAGCGGGAGACGTTAGAGACGTGATGGCTGTCAGTGAGATGGACAACGGAGACGACGACGAGGAGGAGAAGAAGCGCAAACGGCACGCCAAGAAGGCAGTATGGGCCAGTGTTGTCTGGTGTCGCGAGGAGAACAAGAAGGAGATGCAGGCGCAAAGAACGTACCGCGTCCCTTGGGCCGAGGCGACCCAACCTGCCGGCGCAGGTCAGGATTACCGGCCATTCTCTGGCTTTGCGACGTGCTGGAGGGTGCGCGAAGGAGGGGGCACACCCGTCAGAGAGTCTTGATCGCAAGGGCAACGACAACCCTATTACCGAATCCACGACGCCTAGGTTGGAGAAGAAGTCTGGGTCAGCAGGAGGAGAGCCCATCCCCATGAAAAGAGAGACACGCCACCGTCGTCGTCGTCGTTGTCGTTGTCGTCGTTCGTTGTCGTCGTTTGTCGGTCGTCAATGCGGCTGCGACATGAGGGACGACGGCGGGCCGGCGGGGGGGAGGCACGCGGGGTGGTTTCGCAATCGATAGCACAAGGCCACGCACGTTACGGGACGGTGGCAGTAGTGTTGATAGTGGGGATGTGGAAGCGGGAAACGGGAAGGAGAAGGCGAGGAGGAAGAAGAGAGAGACAGAAACAAGACCACTGCCAAGAATAGAAACAGGGGCACACAAAGCTGCGCAGAAGGCGGATGATGCTGCTTACTTGGACCTCACAATTGGTTCCCATGGCTTATCATGCTGAGAATGTTCTCTGCCCATAGGCCTCGATCTGGCGATCAGGATGGAAGGTGGAAGAGGGCAGAAGAGAGGAGGGAAGAAGAACGAGGCTGATGGGCGAGGCTGCAGCATCAAAAACAAATAAATCAACGAAAAAAGGTTGGTGGTGGGGTTGTGTTGGGCGATGACAACGACAACAACAACTGCAAAGACGTGGTGGGAAAAAGGCGTGTTGTGGTCAGAAGCTGTCCTTTGGTGGGATCATGGTGGATTGGAAAACAACAGCCTGGAAATTGGAGTGGCAGCAAACCAACCCCCGTCAACCCCAACCAAGACCCTAGTCCAATGCAGCAGACAAGTCACTGCTGCACAGGTGCACTGTTAGGACGTGCTGCGGGAGACAGACTGCTACTATGTAACAGTACTTTAGACACTGGTAGACAGAGTGCAATCGCGGGTCTACCCCTGCTGCTGCTGCTGCCGCCCTGTTGTCTACTGAGCACCCCTGTAGGCTGAGGGGGTTTGGGGATGTAATAGTGTATGCACACACTATAACGTAGTAACTGCTGTGGTAGACTCTAGTAGGCAGTCAGGAGGAGTTGTCGAATGATAACCTTGTCAAGTGAACCTAATCAAAGTACCACAAAGATGAACTACTTACATTCTCATGTATTACTGCATGGAAGGACTCTTTCAGCTTGAATTCAGAGCATCAGTGGCTTCGTTTGTGGCTGACCTGGCCCCCTCCCTCTTACAGTACACACATTCAGTACTTACTTACTGCACATATGTACTGCTATGGTACATATTGTATGTCGATGAGCCTGGGGCTACCAAGGCGGTGGATCCCCTGCAAAGAGACCAACAGCTCACTAACAGCCAGCCAGTGGAGATCGACCCCCACAGACGAGGGGGTACTGGGGGGAAGTAGGTGACGTCGGTAGGTCCCGACAAGTGTCACTCTAACCCAGATCTACAGCTGCTAACGGTACGTACCATGACACTTTCTGCTCTTGTCGCTTCTGCACACGTTAGCATCAACCAGAGCCTCTGAGCTGTCAGCTCCCCAAAGCTTCAACCAGATACAACACTGTGCCTCGAGGGAGGGGAATCATCTTCATTATTCAGCCCAGCTTCCTCCACTGCTACCCAGCATAGCACTCTCTATCTTCTTCTCTATACCTCAGAGGCTCTATTCTCCACTGCTGCCACCGCTACAAGGGCCTTCATTAATCTTGCAAAGAACCTGCTACACACCACATTGAACTTCAAATGTTGGTGGACTGCTGAATTCTACAACACCACCCGAGGACAAGGGGGCTCTCCACAATAAGGCTGCAGAGACTTGATTGTCCTCCCCAGCATGGCGAGCTCAAGCACTGGGCCTGATACTGATCTGGCCCAGCTATCTCCTGACCAACAGGAGGCCCTACAGCAATACATCCAGTTCACCAACCAAGAACCAAAGGATGCCATCCCACTACTGGAGAGGTCGCAATGGAATGTCCAGGTAAGTGAAACCGCCCCTTCTCCCTTCGCACCTTGACTTCATCCTGCTGGCTCCCCTCTCTTGTTGATCCCCCTCCTATACTAAACTCCTGCTGTGCCATCAGATTGCTATAACAAAGCTCTTCGATGGAGAAGGACCTGACCCCGTTGCCGAAGCTCAAACCCAAGCCGACATCCCACGCGTGGCCGGCCGACATGAGAACCTCCAAGAAAGCTTTTATGTACATCCCACCGCAGGCAGGATCCCTCACACACACCGGACGGAGCCTGCACCGCGTGTGGTGCTGCGGCCTGGCGGCCTCTGGCAGCCGCCCTGGCTCGTCGGCCTCTTCTTCATGCCCTTCCAGTTGGGCTGGCGGCTCTTCTCAGCCTTTCTCCGACCTATCTCCTATATCCTCTACCTCTTGCCGCGATCGCTCAGGCCCCGCGCCGTTTCGAACTCTATCACGCGCGGCCTACGAAATACCAATGGGAGGAAGATGCTACTGCCGCGGGACTCGGCCTCGCGTTTTAAGCGGGAGTTTGAAGAGGAGTATGGCAGCGGCAGAACCCTGCCCTGGTTTGAGGGCGGCTTTGCGCAGGCCCAGGATCTTGCCAAGAAGGAGCTCAAGTTCCTGCTCATGGTGCTTATGTCCCCCGAGCACGACGATACCGCCTCCTTCGCCCGCGACGTGCTCCTCTCTCCCGAGGTCTCCGCCTTCCTCTCTGACCCGGCAAACGACATCATCCTCTGGGGTGGCAATGTCCTCGACAGCGAGGCCTATCTTGTCTCTAGCGAATACGGCTGTACTAAATTTCCCTTCAGCGTGCTCATCAGCCTTACACCAAAGGAGGGGACCACAAGGATGGGCATTATCAAGAGATTGGTGGGGCCTATGACGGCGTCTGCCTATCTGACGGGCATTCGCGCCGCAATCAATAAGTACTCGCCGGATCTGGAGGGTCTGAGGGCAGAGCGGGTCGCGCAGCAGTCGGCGAGGAACCTGAGGACCGAGCAGGACTCTGCGTACGAGCGCTCGCTGGCTAAAGACCGCGAGCGCGCTCGACAGAAGCGCGAGGAGGAGAAGGCCGCCGCAGAGGCGGAGAGGAAGGCCCAGGAGGATGCGGAGCGCGCGGCTGAGACGGAGCGCATGAGGCAAATGTGGAGGCGGTGGCGGGCCGCGGTGATCGCGCCTGAGCCGCCGGCCAGCGACAAGAACGTGGTGCGGCTGGCGGTCAAGATGCCTGAGAGCGCCGGGGCGGGCAGGGTCATCCGGCGATTCGCGGGCGATGCCACCGTCGAGGAGCTGTACGCCTTTGTCGAGTGCTATGATCTCCTTCAACGGCCCGCCGACGAGTCCGAGCTAGACGAGAAGTTTTCCGCCGGCGGACCTGAAGGGTATGAGCACGTGTACCGCTTCAGGCTCGCCAGCCTGATGCCACGTGAGGTTTTCGAGCCAACTAAGACAAAGACCCTCCGGGAGACGGTCGGCAGGTCGGGGAACCTGATCGTCGAGGATATCTTAGATGACGACGAGGAGGACGAGGCGTAGTTGGGTGGATGATAATTCCGGGTCAAATCAGCCTTCCAAGTCGCGGAGGGGGGGTTAGGGAACAATGGCCAGGCCAGTAAAGCGTTCAGACGCTGCCATAATGGGTAGTGCACATGTAAAAACAGGCACGTATGCTAATTATCACTGGGCTTTGTGGTTATCTCATGTACAATACCGACCAGGCATATATATTTTTTGGAGCGACAACTGAAACTCTATTAAGTCTGAAGTGAAATTACACCCCACTGCGTACCAGGCAAGACAGTTTCATTGCACAAGCCAGAAGCTTTCGAGTTCAGTTCCGAAGAAGCCCTTAAAAGATCAATATGAGATATGAAATGCCCATCATGTCATAATTTCCTATGCAAGGATATTTGGTAGAATAAAGATGATACACGATTCCAGCTCTATCCTCATAAATGGGAAAGAATAACCACGAAAAACATATAGAGAAATAATCTACCATCAAACATTAGAAACCGCAGGCCAAGCTAAATTTTGCTGCACACCGAGTTTCTCCCAGACCCGTCCCTGCTGCACTTCATCTCCACCAAAGGGATAGCCGCTGTTGTGTTGACGACGGCATCTACGGCAGCAGCCTGTACGATGCCAGTCTCGGTAGGTTGCTCCATATTAATAGTGGCACCGGTGGCGCCATCCTGAGCTTCTCGTCTCCTGTCCTCCTTGGCCTTGGCGGATTGTCTCATCTGCAGACCCTTGAAGTAGTGCAGGGCGATCATCGGGGAGAAGACGATAAAGACCAGGCCGAAGACGACGTAGGTCCAGCCCAGGCCCATCTTGTCGATCATGGTCTGGATGGCGGCGGAGGCGACAGCCCCGAGGGCGCAGCGCGTCAGGTTGCTGGCGGCCATGACGGCGCCGGCCTGCGATTGGGAGATATCCATGAGCAGTGCGTTGGTGGTGGCCATGACGCCGTTCAGGCCCACACCCATGAAGAAAAGCAGGACGCACGGGCCGGCGATGGACGTCTTCATCTCGAGCACCCAGCCCCAGCAGATGATACCGGCCATGGAGATGAGCAATGGGGCGATACAGATTTCGAGGCGCGCCCGCTCGACGTTAACCCTGTTCATGTCGACCTCCTGACCAGCCTCGAAGTTGATGCCGGCTCGGGCCGTGTACTTGCGGAAATTTTTGTTCATCTGCTTGCCAAAGACGGCCGTCGAGATCATGGCTCCTCCGGCTAGTGGGAGGTACATGATGCCGATCATGACCGAGTCGTAGCCGTAGATGGCCTTGAACTGTGTGGGGAGCTCGGTGGCAATGGACTGGAAACCCGCGAAGATGAGGCCCACGTAGAACAGCAGGCAGAAACGCTCCTTGGTGAACAGAATGCGCACCGCGGCCGTCAGGGACAACCACAGCATCTGTCGTACAGTCTGCTTGCCCTTGAGCCTCGCTTTCTCGTCCTCCACTGCCTGGCTGTACTCGGGCTTCTTGTCCTTGAGGACCTGGATCACGCTCCGGTACCGCCTGGGGGCCTTGGCCGAGGCGTCGCCAACGATGAACCGGCACGTCTCTGGGAAGAAGACCAGGACCATAAAGAAAGTGAATGCGCCTACGATGAGCAGGAACCAAAAGATGGACCGCCAGCCGAGATATTGGGTCAGCAGGCCGCCGATGACAGGGCCCAGGGTGGGTGCGAAGATGACGGGTAGCGCCACCAGTGCTGCATAGCTCCCTCGCTCGGCGCTGGTGACGATATCGGCGACGACGGCTGAGGCGATGGCGATGGTGGGGCTGGCACCGACGGATTGCAGGATGCGGAAGCCCATGAGCTCCTTGTAGGTGTGGCAGAGGGCGATCATGACGCAAGACACCATGTAGATGGCGAAGCAACAGAGCATGGCCGGGCGGCGACCGACCACATCGGCGAGGCCCCCTATGATCATGGGTGAGATGGCCATGAAGATCATGTACACGCTGACGGTGAGGTTTATGGCGCTGCGGGAGACCCCAAAGTCCGTGACGAGTTTGGTGAGCGAAGGGAGGTAGATCTGCATCGACAGTGGGGCGAACACGGATGCAGAGGCGGCACCCAGTACGATGAGCTGCTTGGCCCTGGTCGGGAAGGCGGAGAAGGGGGCTTCTGGCACAGCGTCTGCTGGCTGCTGCTGCTGCTGGTTCTCCTGCTGGGTGATTCCGGCCTCAAGGTCGGCGTCAGCTGGAGGCGGGACGTCCTTGGACGTGGGTGCCTCGTCGAGCTGCTCATGAACGGTGGACGAGGCCGACTGGGAGCCAGAGAGGGAGCTGGAGCGCGAGAGCCCTAAACGTGAGACCCTCGTCTCCGTCTCCTCATCCCCCATCTTCTCGTTTTGACCCTCCTCCGCAGGCCTCTCATCGGCGAGGTCAGCCTCTTCTTCGGGAACCCTGAGTGTCATGTCTGGGACGCTCTCTAGGCCAAAGTCGAAGTTGGTGTAGGAGGCTCTGGAAGCCCGGTTCGAGGCCGGGACTGAGAGGGCCGATGCCCTCCTTATAGAGCCCTGCTCGGTAGCATGGCCGTTGACTATCGTGGACGCGTCCATGGACGGGTGTGCCGAATGGTAAGGACGCTCCGTGATATAGGGATTATAGCTGCTGTACCTTGGTGGTTGACGGGCCGGGTCCTCGTCCGCCTCCTCAATGATGGCAGGCTCATGCTGCTGGGCGAGGTCCTCCTCGTCGATGATGCGCGAGTCACGGTTGGGTTCGGCGCTGATGATGGCGTCGACGACTGAGTCCCATGTTGCGGACCTCACCGATCTCATGGAGCTCCGGGAGCCGGTCGAGTGTACGGACCTTGGGGACGCGGGTGAGGTTGGGTAGCTGAACGACCCACGGGAGCCACGGTACGCCATGGCTGTTGCTGCTGCTGCTGCTGCTGCTGCTCCTGCTGCTGCTTGTTGTGTTGGTTGGGCGGCACTGGTAGGCAGCACGTTTCTGGTATTTGTCCTGCTATCCAGGTACAGGTTCAGCTCCAGGTCCAGGTCTAGTTCCTAGGCATCTGGGGGAGGACAGTCTATAATTATGACAGCCCGTTGATCGCTCTCAGGGATGTTGAGCTCTTTCTTGCCATGCAGGGGACGGGGTTGCCAAAAAGGGTAGTATAGGTAGAACAGGAGTGGGAAAGATATTGTGTCTCTTGCCACCTGGTCGTGAGGCCCGGATAGAAAAGAGAGGCGAACCCACGCCTTCTTGACGGTGAAAGGATCCCGTGGTCATTTTCTTTCTTCTCTTTCTTTTTTTTCGTTTTCTTCGTTTGTATGGACCTCCGGCTGTCTGGCATCGGTTCTCTAGAGACACTGTCTCCGTTGCCCCAACCCATCAAGGCCCGATGATATGACCATCGGGGCTTGCACCATGGCAGCGCCGACCTTGTGTGGGATCGCACGAGGTGTTATGGTCCTAGACCTCTTGCCCTGTCAGTCCACCATGCATGGACGGTGCTTCCAGGGGCCCTCAAGAACCGATCTAGAACCACCTTCCAGAAGCATGCAGGCGTGTGTCTCATGCCACGTTCCACGGCCTTGTCGCCGGATGAGGAGGGGGTTTGCTGGTAGAGGGGGGGCGGGATCGCCGCAGGGGGAGTGCCGAGGGGGTCAACGATGGCAACTTTCCCAGCACCTTCACGCCCTGGCCTGTCCACACCCTCCTTGGCCCTCTAGGCCCATATTCTCATGCATCTGCCGGCCTTTGAGGCTGATGAGATGTCTCCTATAGGGTATTGGCGCGTCGGGGATTAAACCATGCCCGTCTCGGGGTTCTAGCATTCATGCGCTGACGTCGACTTGTTCTCTTTCCTCATCACATCTTCGAGCGTGAACAAAGACTCTGCCAGAGAGGTGATCAAAGCTTGGTCAATCTCGTTCTGGTCGAAGCTCACCAGAATTGTGTCCATGACTTGAAGGTCGACCCTTGGAGAACACTATTAGGGAAAAGATTCCAAGGCAACCCAACCGATATGTAGACGCAGTCCAGACCCGCGTGTGGAGTGTCGTATCCATTTTGGGGTAAACAAGCGACATCCGATCTGCCGACATCATTAATCTTTCCGTTAAGGAAAAAATATGAGAGGGTTGCTGAGAAGGGGGGGGGCTGACTGGACCAAGATAGATGCTGTGGTATCATTAGGCTGCAGTTGGGTGTACTACAAGGCGCTACCCTGGTACGTGCCTACCTTTGGTTATCGTTCTGTCTCTGTTCTAGTAACCTTACTTAAGCAGCACATGCTGGCCAATGTCTGTGCGATAAGCGTTCATGTGCAAGTGCAACAGTGCAAGCCTCGGATGCCGGTCGGGAGGGCAGTGAAGATCCCAGACGAAGATCCCCGATCCCTGCTAAATACTAGAGCTAACTATAGCCAGAAAAGCGAGGGGGGGAAAAACCGTTGTTCAAGGACGACTTGTTGACTCTGATGTTTTGTGCTGTACATGAATACATAGATACATGGTTACAGAGTGTAAACAGTAGAGTAGTCACTTTTGAAGAGAAAGTGGTAAACAAAGGAGGAACAGGGAGAAGGCAGGAAAAGAAGGAGCGAGAGCCCAGCGGGGGGGGGGGGGGAGGGGCACAAATCCAAGTGCTAGTAGTTAGCACGCAGAGTCCCGCCCGCCGATGGCCGACGACGTCCTCAGTGGTCCCGCGGCTTACAGCAGGCAGAGGACCGACCGACTATCCACTTTCCCTGAACGGCAGGTCACAATCTTGAAATAATGAGTTGCAAGGAACGAACAAATAACTGCGCCCATGATCATGACGAATGGGTGCTCTGGAGGTAAGCATGCCAACGACAACGGCATTGCGGGCGTCCCACGGACAATTGTTACTTGCCATGACTATGACGACGGACAGGGTGCAGTGATGCCGTTGCCATTCTTCAACCCGGTTCCGCCATGTGTTTGTTCCTCACGAGGAAGCTCCACTCATGCCTGGTCATTATATTCAACAAGTCCCCGGTGGTGATGAGCTCGTGAGCAGCACGTGGTCTCCATGAGGCCAGCTTTGACTTGATCGTGCGTCGGTAGGACGGAGCCGACTGTGGAAGTAGAACGGGCGGGTTGGGGCTCGTGGGCCGTGACGGGAAGAGCCTCGACAAAGCTGCTGTGATGTGTACCAATCTGTATTTCTCTCTCTCTCTCTCTTTCTTTCTCTCGCTTACTCTCTGACATATCCGTCCTATGATGTAGTGGCTACCCCATGGCACGACAGCATTCAGCCTACCACATGTAGATATGACGATTAATGGGTTCGGATTATCGTTCTTCTGCCAAGGCATGTCACCCAAGACATGTCACAGACCCATCTAAATAAGGTGCGGGTGAAGATCGATGTGTCGTCGGGGATTTTGACATTTGAATAAGCGACTGATTATCTTGATCATCTTACTGGCCCCCATGAACACGGAGAGGTCCTACGTTTTTTTTCCTGCTGGGGCTTGTTTCGAAGCCAAAGCACCTCGCCTGCTGGCATCCGAAACCGGATCTTGGCCCCGCGACGTGAGAGCCAGTCCCAAATAAACATACTAGTCAACTCACAATGATCAGATATCAGCCCAAAATCCACAAAAGAGCATAAGTTTCTGTGCACAGGCCCTAGACTCGAATTGCAGCGTCTATGTTTTCCCTCTATCCTCCCAGATACTGCTTCGCAGCTCGCCAGTGTCGTTGGTGTATCAGTCAGCAGGCCGAGCCGAGGTCAAAAATGGCCTACACCAACCTGTGTGCCATACTGAGTTAAGGGACGTGCTGGTCCAGGTTCTGCTATTATTCAAGATGCCAGCAATCTGGTCGTCAATCTTGTTGAACATCTTGTGCAATATTCAATTGGTTATTTTATATATTTATTTTATTTCTCCCTTTTCCAGGTTATTTTGCTCAATTTACTCTCAGCATGGGGCCGCTGTATTTTATGAATTTCTTGTTCGTTAAAAGTACTTAAGTAGTCTGATTTGATACCTGCTGCCGTTCACTGTGGCTAACAATTAGCTAATAACTAGTATCCGAGGTGCGGTTTGCGATACCTTTTCACCATTAGCTTCTATGGGATAGGACCAAGTTGATGAAGTCTCACAGAAGAGAACAAGACAGAGAAAAGGCAAAAAAAGGACAATGACCCCAAAGTGTCTTATCAACTTACAATTGTTGCTCCTGTCTTGGCAGCCATCCCCCCGCGGCTGGGAGGGGACCGTCAGCCTCGTGAGGATCAGATACGCTGACTGCTGGGTGAATGGATTCCGGACGGCAGCCAAGTTTTTCCACAAGTTGTCTGCCGCGGGAATAGGAGTCACCAATCAGCTCACAGGCATCATGGTTATCATTATTTTTTTTTCCGAAAAAAAAAAAATAATCTCTCCCCAGAGATGAATGCATTCTCAAAATGAACAGGCACGCTGGGGAAGTGCTGAATGGTGTGGTGCTGATCCTTCCAGCGTGGAACCTTATTCCTGGGTCCCCTGACCATCGTATGATAGCACCAACGGGGGAAATCAGCCCTTCTCAGCTGGAGATATGCCCAAACCTAGGATCACCCGCTCACAGTATGGCACCCTGGGGGGCTGAATTCGACTCATGTCCTGACGGAGCCTCCGGCGTCGGGTGACAAGACTCACAGCGTGCCAGAGGGTCATATAGCACACACTTGGCCGCATGCGGAACGGAAAGAGAATGGGGCAGTGAGTGGGTTCTTGATATTAAAGTGCAGAGAAGAGACACTATCGCACATTCCCGTGTTTCATTGCACACACATCGTTCATAGGAAGAAGACGAAGAAGAAGAAGAACAAGGATAGCTAACAAAACGATCGTCAACTGGGAACTCTGTGGGCTCTTATCAGGCTTGTGAGATATGGCAACAAAACTGGCCAGGCTGGCCAGGCCGGATGCCCTCCGGCAGGCCCTACGGCCGACCGTGAGGATCCCTCTTGGAATGGCGCCATCGGGTCGGTCCTCAGATCTGCTCTTTCCTGCGAGCAGACTGTGGCAGCAGTCTTGCGCAGGACTCCCGCGCGCGAGACTGGCCTCCAGCTACAGTGCGGCAACCGCCATACCTGACCTGCAATGGGCGCAGGTTCTAGAGAAGAAAGGTGGTCGTAAGTGACACTCGTTCTCAGATCCTTCGCTCCTAATCTCCTGTTGTTGCGTTCCTACCAGCTAAAGAGCCTTGAAGCCGTCGTCTATAAACAGATTCCAGTGCCCAAACCGGGGCCCGACGAGGTGTTGATCAATATCAAGTACAGTGGCGTCTGTCATACCGACCTGCACGCTTTGCGGGGCGACTGGCCACTGCCGTCCAAGATGCCTCTCATCGGTGGGCACGAGGGAGCGGGCGTGGTGGTGGCCAGAGGTGAGCTCGTTAGAGATATCGAGGTGGGCGATTATGCAGGTATCAAGGTGAGATCTCACACCCAGTCTCGTAAAACTTGTGTGTGTGTGTGTGTGTGTGAGCGACCAGATTCACTAACCATTACAATTCATTCTCGTTTTCATCAAGTGGCTGAACGGCTCCTGCATGAGCTGTGAGCATTGCCGCCAGTCCGACGAGTCACTCTGCGACCACGCGAGCCTGTCTGGATACACGGTCGACGGGAGCTTCCAGCAGTACGCCATCGGCAAGGCCGCGCACGTCGCACGGATTCCCAAGGACTGTGATCTCGAGGCCGTCGCCCCTATTCTCTGCGCGGGGCTGACGGTGTACAAGGCCCTCAAGGAGTCAGATGCGCGGCCCGGCCAGCACGTCGCCATCGCCGGTGCTGGCGGCGGCCTGGGTGTCTTTGCCCTGCAGTACGCCGCAGCGATGGGCCTTCATCCTATCGCCATCGATGCCGGCGAGGAGAAGCGCCAGGTGTGTCTCGACCTCGGTGCCGAGGCATACATCGACTTCCTCCAGTCCAAAGACATCGTCGAGGACGTGAGGAAGGCAACCGATGGCTCCGGCCCCAATGCAGTCCTGCTGCTTGCCGCAAGCGAGAAACCCTTCGAGCAGGCTAGTAGATATGTGAGGAGCAAGGGAACCATTGTCTGCGTGGGGCTGCCGGCCGACGCCTTTATCAAAGCGCCCGTATTCGACACTGTTGTGAGGTGAGATAGCAGCATATCTTGTCCTAATGATTTCTTCTTTACAGCAACAAGGAAATGACTAACATAGAGTGCTTTCGCTGGAACAGAGAGATTAGGGTCAAGGGTAGCTATGTGGGCAATCGCCAGGACACGGCAGAAGCAATTGATTTCTTTAGGCGTGGTCTGATCAAGGCACCATACAAGTAAGCCACCCCTCGACAAACTATACAGGCACATGGACCGCTTGCTAATCTCTGGTGTGATTTACCAGGACGGTGGGGCTATCGAAGCTGCAGGATGTATATGACATGATGCTCGAGGGCAGGATCACCGGTCGATATATTGTTGATACGAGCAAGTAGCAGCGCCTTTTTGTACAGCACAATACCTTCACATATATATACCCCAGATGAACCAGCCAGGAAGAAAATCAACGCAGGAGGTGTAAGGGGGGTTTTTTGGTGGTTTTTTTTTTTTTTTTTTTTTTTTTTTTTAAAATCTAAGCACATTGTAATTACTTCGTTGCGTAATGAACGCGATGTAAGAGTAGAGCAGAGCAGAGACGTGCCTTGCCTCATGATGTTCAGATAGCAAAATAATAGCACGCAGGAGACAGGAGGCATTTACGTGAAGCCCGAGACAAACACCAACCTACAGCACTTCGACACCTTCAAACAACCTGGGATTTCTGATTCCCTTACCACACCTGATGTAACCACCTCATACATCCATTCATTGCCTCTCTCCCGTTTTTTTATCTACCATAGTATATCAGACACCTGATACCCGGCATCGCATGATTAAGACTCATAGCACAGCGGTGACTGCCAGACACCATAACAAGGTGGGGGGACCCCTACACTTACTTACACGATATCAGCACAGAAGCGTTGTCCGCTGATCGACAGCGGGGCCGGGCTAGCGGTTCTTATACCTTATAGTGACAAGTACGCTGAGGGGTCCCCGGCCACCAGTCACTTCAACGTTGCATCAGGGTCCGATACCTTGATAAGGACCGGCACGCCGACCGAGCACCCAAACATCCAAGCAGATCGCAGCCGATAAAGATGGCCGAGGGCCCAGAACTGAGGGTAAGAGTATGTTCTCCTCTTTTGGAGAAGACGAGCAGAGCCCGCTGTTGTCCAACCCAAGAGACCATCTCACCAGCTCGACGTCTCCCTCGGCCGGACAAGCACCTTGCTGCTACACCAGTCGTAGCAGTTGTACAAGTATGGCACCACCAGAGGAACTGGGCAGGCAACCTACTGCAGACGATGGCGACACGGCCGTCAAGCCCAGCATCGGCCAGACGACCACCACCGCCCTCGCAATCCAGGCAGAGCACGAACTAACCTTCCGAGAAGCATGCAGGCTGTATCCTGCCGCCATCGGCTGGTCAGCCTTTGTCTCCCTCGGCGTCATCATGCTGGCCTTCGACCCCCAGCTGCTGGGCAACCTGTACGCCACGCCACAGTTCTGCCGCGACTTTGGTTACCTGTACAACGGCGAGTACATCATCTCGGCCCCCTGGCAGACGGGCCTGTCGATGGGCAACCCCGTCGGCCAGGTGGTGGGCGCCCTGTTCGCGGCGTACCCCATGGACCTGTTCGGGCGCAAGTACACCTTTGGCGCCTGCGTGGCGCTGACGGGGTGCCTGGTCTTTATCCAGTTCTTTGCGCGCAGCCTGCCGGTGCTGCTGGTGGGCGAGCTGCTCGGCGGCCTCGTGCTGGGGTGCTACGTCACGATCGCCCCGGCCTACGCGTCCGAGGTGGCCCCCGTCGCCCTGCGCGGCATGCTCACCAGCTACGTCAACCTCTGCTTCGTCATGGGCCAGCTGCTGGCCAACGGCGTCACGGCCGGCACCGAGCAGATGGACAACCACTGGGCCTACTCGCTGCCCTTTGCGCTGCAGTGGTTCTGGGTCGCCATCATCCTGCCCGGTATCTTCTTTGTGCCGGAGAGCCCCTGGTGGCTGGCCCGGCGCGGCAGGCTCGAGGAGGCTGAGGCGTCCCTGCGGAGGCTGGCCAGCCCCGGGGTGGACGTCAAGCCTACGCTGGCCGTCATCCTGGAGACAGACCGCCTGGAACAGGAGCTCGAGGCGGGCAGCACCTACATGGACTGTCTCAAGGGCGTTAACCTGCGGAGGACTGAGATTGCCTGTGGCGTGTACTGCACCCAGGTGTTGAGTGGCATCTACCTGGTCAATTACGCCACCTACTTCTTTGAGCTTGCTGGCCTTCCTGATGGCAAGGCTTTCGATGTCAGCATCGGTTTCCTGGGTAAGTCCTTTTTTTCTTTTTATCTCTTCTTTGTAGTGCCACTCTCATGTGGAAAGAGAAACAATTCGTCTAATTAAAACGTCGTGTAGCGGTGGGCTTCGTGGCCACTATCATCTCCTGGTTCCTGATTACGCGCATCGGCCGGCGTCGAATCTACCTCACCGGTCTGGCCTGCTTGGTTGTCTTGATGCTCATCATCGGCATCCTCGACTGCATTCCTGGTCGACCTTCGGGCGTGGAGTGGGCCGAGTCAGCGTTGATGATCATCTGGAACTTCGCCTATGATCTCTCTGTCGGCCCCATATGTTTCATCATCATTTCTGAGGCGTCGGCCACACGAGTCCGCTCTAAATCGATCGCAGTAGCCACCGCCGCTCAGGCAGTACTCGGCATCGCCATGACGGTTGCGATTCCCTATATGGTACGTTGTCTCAGCCGGGTTTCTTCTATGCAGACCGGGCAGCCGAGGGCAGATCGACTCCTGCCTACTCTCCTCCATACCTCCCCCCCCCCCCCCTCTCCCTCTTTCCTTTTCTTTGATGTGTCTTGTTCTGTCCTAACACCTCAATGAATTACAGATCAATCCCGACGAGGCGAACATGCAGGGCAAGCTGGGTTTCTTTTTCGGCGGATTGGGACTGCTCTGCTACGCTTGGGCATTCTTCCGTATGCCGGAGACGATGGGGCGCACTTACGAGGAACTCGACCTGTTGTTTGACAAGAGGATACCGGCTAGGCAGTTCAAGGGTTATGTGATCGAGCTTGACGAGGCTGAGAATTGATGGACAGGGACGGCGTTCTCAGCTCTTCATCGCTGCAACAGATTTGTCGTGCATTCACTATCTAATTACCCGTACACCTCAACCGCCCAGCTAGTGCTTAATACGAATCATGTGTTCATGCTACCATCGCACACCTAGAGTGTCCATCCTGAGCCGATATGTGTCGTACATCTGGTGAATAGCTGGTGTCAATAGCGGCGCAGGGAAACCACAATGAGACAAGCTGTCGGTGGTATCCATGGCCCTGCAAGATCACTACTGAACTCTTCCAAGATTGTCAAAACGAGACTCAAAGTTTCTTGTCAAGAAACAAGCCAGAATCAAAGTCCGCTGGCAGGGCTTTCTGGTAGGTCTTCTCTTTTTCCTTCTTTCTTTTCCTAGAAGAATAGAAAAGGGGATTGAAAAAAAAAAGGCAGCCTCATACTGTTTACGTAAGTAGACAGGTTCGACATGATGGGACGGACTCTCGAGACCGCTGTTCATCATGAGCATCGAGCCCTTGTTCGACGATCCGAGACATCAGTCTTGGATTGTCTTGCTAGCCAATCGAAGCCATCGCCATCTTCGTGTAGGACAAATGGAAACGAACGCGATCTGTCTGGCCGCTTCAACTCAAAGACGGACAGCGAGCGAAACTGTTTGTAGAGGTTTTTTCTGGACGGCCTTTGAAAAAGAAGAAGAAAAGGCCGAGGACATGCCGCCCGTGTTGAAGATGCAAAGGAGCGGGCCCGTTCCAGTACTGCACGAATGCTTCCCCAATGGCGACCGCTGATCAGGGCATCAGGGACTCCGCAACGGGAAGAAATGGCCGCACATCAATTGTGCACTTCAGAGAGACTATTTGGCGTGCTACCGTACAAGGCCACCGCATCTTCCCCAGATGAGCAGCAATATGGACAAAACTCCTCAGCCTACAGCAAAGGGGAATCCATGGCTCAACTCATGTTGGTCTGTCAAACGCCGACGGATCATATGGCGGCAGCAGCTGCAGCCTGGCCTGCTGCGATTGCAAAGGGCCCCCCCACCCCAGTTTCACTGTCTTTCAGCACGGCAACGCGGACATACCCGTGCCAGGATCGAATCCCTTCTGCCACTTGTGTATTGTCCTTTATCTCACCGACTTGACCCTTTTTGGGGTCATTACACATGGTCCAAGTACTGCATAGGACGCCACGTCGAACACCCATGTGAAAGCTGGCTTGCATGTGAAGAAGGAGTAGGTGAATCCGATGAGGACACGAACCATGAAGGTCTGCGTAGGGAGCTGAGTTCCTAAAGTGGTGGCCCCACCAGGTCTGCTGAGATTGGTTCACCCGCATGCCTGACAGTCCCGCCAGTTTCCTCTGCACGAGCATCACTCATTCAGTAAACACCTTAGCAAGCAAACAGCCAGAATACCTACCGAGAGGCAATGTGCTCGGGGACGGGGCTGTGGAGGGTCTCGGAAACGGATTCCGGGTCTGGCCATTCCTTTCAAGAAATGGACCAAACGTCTACCACCATTGGATTAGGTTGTAAACCCGCCGCACGCACGGGCAAAAAAAGAAAAGAGAGAAGTGATGACAATGGAGCTTCTCGGGTCAAAGCATTTCCGGTGCTTGTTGTGAGGTTTACCACACACAGGTCGGTGCTCCGTCACCCCACGATGCTGGCTGCTGCGGCACTGGAGACAAAGTGGAAACTGAACGGGCCAACAGGTGACCGTCACGAGACGACGACCTGTTAACATCCGGGGTTTGGCAGGCAGGACATCCCAAGCTTTTTGTGGCGGTCAAGGTACTCAACCAACTGACCTTTTTCTTGGTTCTTTTTTCCTCTTTCGAAAAGATTGCCACAGTACAGTGAGCCAGTCACCTACTATTACTACTATTGCTGCTACTTCAGGATGTTCAGGTGTGCAACATAGGCTAGTGAGTGCGTGCGTGAGAGCTGAATCCGCCTCACCCTCCTCCCACAGAAGATCAATGCAATGCACCGGACATATGGATGGCCTGCAGTGCATTGGGATCCTGCATGGCCTGCAGATCTTGACAGGGCCCTCCATCACCAGTTGCGCTTGCTTCAGAACATCCCAGGCCAGACAAGAAGAAGCAAAAGACCCCGACGCTTCTTTTTTTTTTCCTTCTTTTTTGGATTGCACAGGCGCTTAAGTAGCGTCAATGGGAACGCGGGGGCAAGGGCAACACATCCCCGCCTAAAAGACGCACCACATGTTGCGCGATGGAAATCGTCGTGAGGCTCTCGTGATGTTGAGGCTAGTCCTCAAAAGAATTTCCCAAGGGCACCACATGACCCCCAATTCTCTTCCCCCCCGCAAACCATTACCCCGGGGCTACTGGAGCGCCTAAGTATGGGACCCTGAAATTTGGCCGCCCATCCGTCTTAAAAGGGCATTACGGGCCTGGGTCGCAAGCGAGGCCGGGGTATCTGGGGGGGGGGGGGAAACTCAGTCAGACGCGGGGAAAAGATTAAAGAACATATGAAAAAGAAACGGGTGAGTTTGTGCCGGGGGGGGGGGGAGGAGAGAAGACGCCCTGACAACTGCTACCACGTGGGATTCACGGTTGATCATGGTCTTGGATCGGCGCCCAGATGGGGTCGACTTTTAGGAATGAAGTGGAAAGTTTTCGGCTGTTGGAAATGACCCCAAAGAGACAACAAATAGGAGGAGGATGTTTTCAGCTTCCAGCGGATAAACGCAATGCCTTGGTCAAAGATGAGGGCCCATGGGGGATGGCAGTTGTTGATCGACGGGTGATTGAGTTCATTCATTGACTGACTGACCGCCTCAATAATCCATCCAGCGTGGTTGAAGCGTAGGGCTGGCCCCTGGCAAACTCTCACCGGCCAAGGCCAAGCCCCCGCTGAAGCCCGATTGAATGGGGTACCAATCTACCGGTTGCAAGGCCCGAAGCACAAGAGACAAGGAACACTTACTGGGAGAGAAGAAAGCTAGGGTGACAGGATCCCGGCAGCAGCGCCAGCAGCAACTTGTTTGGGCGCCGCCTCGCAATGTCCGGAGTAACATTGCACAACCTAATTCTCCTCCCTGCCTTGACGGTGTGCAGATGGTAATATCCGTGACAAGAACTTTTGACAGGCTTGAAGTTTCTTTTTCTGGATCTCGATCAGCGTTAATCAAGGCAATCAATCTGGGGGCTCTCGAGAAGGGGGGTTGCATCGAGACCTGCAAGGAACAAGAGACGTGCCACCTGGCAGCTGGAGAGAGGTGGGTGAGGGCCCGTGAGGCCCAGAATATACACGGTACCTGCTGTAAGTCATACATAAGCAGCCATGCCTCCTATACGGTCGGGAGTGAATGTAGCAGCCGTTAGCACAGTTCCATAGTAGTGCCGAACCGGGAGTGGGAGTGAAGGGAAATTCGGGAACCGTCCGAGTGGCGTTGAAAGCCTTTTCCCCCCTTTGCGCGTCCATCTCTTTTGGAACCATAGTATACTAGACATATCTTTTCCTCCCGTTTTGTCAGGGCTTACAGCAGCACAGGACTCAGAGCGCGTCGTAGCCAGACGACTAGTCGACTGCCACGTCTCTCTCTCTCTCTCCTAGCCTCAACGCCTCGGAGTTAGAGTGAACCTTGATACGCATGGTTCAGCTCCTGGCACTGGGTTATCTCGCACCCCCATGCTGAGATCCGTCTCGATCCAGCATTCGCTCTCTTTTCATCTTGTCTCTGGCATGTGAAGACGAAGAGATTCTGAGGCGAGGGAGGGGTCCATGCTTGGAAACTCTGGTAACCGCTACCGGATTACACAGTACTGTGCGTGCGGCACATGGTTGATAGCCCTATACCGCCGTAGTAGGCCCGTGGGTTACCATAATAGTTGGGCCTATTAGTATGTCCTGCGCTCGTCGAAGAAGAAGAAGAAGAAGCATACAATTGAAACGCAAGCACAACACGACTCGACTGCCATAACAACAAGGGCTCCCCCGTTCGTATGAATTGAAACATCAAGAGTCAGAAAACGCCTTGGGGGCCCTGTGTTCCAAAAAAGGGCAGTCAATAGACGGAAGAGGGATGTCGCAGGCAGGGGTTGACACACCCTGAGCCCTCACATTCCAAATGGGTATGCGGCTGGGTCATTTCGGAACGCCCATGACACCTGTGGTTGGCCGACTTGCTGTGTACGTCAGGGCCCAAAGACCCTTATTGGCCCCCCCTGACAGCGGCAGCTGCTCGGTGGTTACTGGGCCATTTTTTTTGATCGGTTCTAGTTACTGCAGTAGTGGCATGCCGCTTCCCCTTACAGCGGCCTGTTGGAGACACGCCCTTGAGTAGTACCCGCTAGGCTCTGATGTACTGCGGTACTATAGTACACTCACTGCTGACAGCGTTAAGAAGGGAGGGACGAGAGTGGCCCAAAAGGGACAGCTAGGTTGGGGGGGAGAGGTGCAGCCAGTTAGGAGGGGGGCGTGAGCACAACCCTGGACAGGGCCGCGTGGGCGACAGGCAAGTGGGACCTGCGCGCTGGAGGTAGCATAGAAGAGCCTGAAGGAAAGGGGTGGGGGGGGGGGGCAGGGAGGAGCTGAACCGCCTTCCGACTACTGTACTTACTGTAACTTACTGCACAACTTAGGCACCGTACCCTTAGTGTGCATACCCTTACCCATGCATCTGCCCGGCGCCGATGCCCATGTCCATGTGCGCCCCCCCCCCAAGAGTGTGAGAGAAAGAGTTGTGCGTGCCCCATACAAGATCCATTCGTCCTTACTCTTCAGTGCTCTTCAATGCTGCGCTCTCTCTCGCGGCCTGACACTCTCCACCAAATCACCGCGTGACAACTCACGATCTTTCGTTCCTTTTTCCTAATCTCCTCCCTCGCTCGACCCGCCCCTCTTCGCTACATAAAAAGTCGATGGCTCGTCCCCATGTCACCGCATCTGTGCCCCGTTTCCCCTCCTGCAAGGTACCAACCAGATATCCACGTCAACATCCACTGCGATACCATCGCCCAATCTCTCGCCCATTGAGAGATCCATTGTCGACGGAATGATTCCCCCGCGAGGATTGATTTTGCTATACTAGTCAATAGCACGCGAAAAAGAAACAACAAGAAGAAAAAGAAGACAAAATACACACGCGCGCGCACACACACACACTCACACACTCACACATACATACATACATACATACATACATACACATACCGCCCCTCTCTACCTACCTAACCTATACTGCCCACCACACTCTACTTCTCTTTTTCCCGCCTGGCTCCGCTTCTTTTTGCGAATAACTCTGGGTCTTCCTCCCAGCCCGACCAAAACCCTGACTCGAACTGCTCAGCAAGACGAACTAAGGCAGTACGAATCCTCCTCGCCTTACCACGTCCGTCGTCGTCCCCTTCTCGATCGAAAATCTGCGTGTCGTCGGCTTGTCTTACACGCCCACTATGACGAGGCTGCCGCCCGACTCCTTCTTACCATCAGGTGCGATGGACGCCGACCTTCACCTGTCGCTGGCTGGCTTTGCTGCTGCTGCTACTGCTGGTGGTGGTTGCAGCCATCCGTCCTTACCATCCTCCTCCTCCGTCATCTCTCCCTTGAGCCTACCCGGTGGCGTCCAGTACTTCGAGCCTATGACGCACCCTTCCGTGACGAGCCACCCAAACGCATTTCAAAACCACACTTGGTCTCCTCCTCCTGTCATAAACAACAGCAACCCAACCAGTACAGGTCCTCCTCAAGCCCAACCTACGAGTTTCCTCTCGCCGCACCTAACACCTATTCCGTCACACGCCCAGTACCAATTACAATTCCAACGGCACCCACAGCAGCGTGCCTCAAGCCTGTCCCCAACCAGGGGTCCTTCTCACAGGAGTCGAAACGGCGCAGGGGAGAGGAAGACGGACATAGACATTGATATCGCGAGCTTGAGGGGTCGCCCCGCGCCACAGGTCTCGGTCCCCGTCGACACCATCTCAGGCACCGGTTCCGGCCTGATCACTGTACGCCGCCCTGCTGTGCGTGTGAATCCCACCGTCGACTATGTAATGGCTGCCGATCATCAGTCTTCAGCAGCCATGGAGCAGGATTACCGGAGGCTAGAGTGAGTTTCTTCCCCATGCACACGCGACCAGCGATATGCCACCTACGTCCACGCGACAGTGCACAGCAAGACCCCCCCGGCTAACGTTCTTCCTGCAGGAAAATCAGGCAAGCCTTTGATGATGAGAGGAGACACCTACAAGCAAGTCGCGACAGGGCCGAGGAGGTCTACAGGGAGATCATAGATGAGCTGGCCGAGGACCACGCCCGACAGAGAGCCCAGTGGGAGGCCGACAAGTTTGAGTTGCAGTCGCAGGTTATGCAGCTGCAGAGTCGACTCAGGGAACTCGAAAAGGTTGCCTCCGACCCCAGATCGCCCACATCTCAGTCTGGCATGTCCGCCGTCTTCAGCCCTACGGGTCAGATTGGCCTTTCACACCCCTTGATCGGTCGCGACGGCAATCCACTGGACGCATCATCTCCATCAACAGCAGCAGCAGCAGCAGCAGCAGCAGCAGCAGCAGCAGCAGCCATGACGGCGGAATTCGAACGGCCGTCCAAAGTCATCGACGTGCAGGAGTATCACAAGGACCTGGAGGGAATCCACCTCAAGGAGAACTTTGTCAAGAAGGAGACCTTCACCGACACACCGTCGGCCTCGGGCTCGGGCTCAGGCTCAGGCTCCAAGTCGCCTAGCAGCGGAGGGTCGCCCCCTCAGCGTCCAGAAGACACCAAGGCCCTGGCCAGAGCACGGTCCATCCGCGCCCTCAGGGCAGACGCGCATTCGCGGCTCACAATGAATGCTGGTCATACTCCGACTATCTCGCTGTCCATTGCCCACACCGGAGCTACCAACACAGTCGTTAGCAGCGGATCGAACACACCCACACTTCTGAGCGGAGACGGCGCCCTGAGCTCTGACGAGAACGAATACAGGGATGAGTCTAGCGAACCCGCCGAGCCTGTCCCGACGGGCGTGGACGATGACCATGCCCCGGCCATCCTGGAGCCCTCCGACGGGGATGCCGAGCTCAAGGGCCCACTGACACTTCGCAACATGCCTGCGAAGGACGAGCTCTTTCTCAAGCGGCTGGACGACAAGCTCGAGAAGGCCGCCCATGGTGAGGATGCCACTCCGACCGTTCTCAAGTACTCGGATGACGAGGAAGACGACGAGCCGGGCTCCGCCAAGGAGGTGGAAGAAGTCATCCCCTTGAAGCTGAAAAACACGTCTTCCAACTTTGGCAAGCCCTTTGGGGTCGCCTAAAGAGGCGCGCCCGATGACCTACATTTGCTTTCCTGTACATACTTTATTAGTCCTGCCCAAATTTTGTTTTGGAGATCCCCAATCAGCGGAGATGGAACGCCATGAGAGCGTCTCAATCATGAGGACAAGATTGCCATTTTGGAAGGAAAAAGACATTTACAAAAAGTATGGGAGTTCAGGGTCTGATTGGCCTTTCGGAAAAGGCCATGGGAGCGCACTGGACCATTCACGTTGAAAATACCCCCTTTTTTCCTTTTTTTTTCTTCTTCTTTGAAATCAGAATAGATGACACGACGAATACCCCCTTCATGCACGGCTTTTTATTGGGCTTTTGCGACAGAACAATTTACATTTTTACATCTATTCATGGCTCCCGTGCGCCTCAGACGTGATGCTTTGGTACTAGATATTCATTCTGCCGCGACCCATCCTATTGCATATTGGTCCATGTAAGCAAGCAATTGAGTATATTAGAATCTACTTGCCAACCTTGATCTCTACAAATTTCCCCACCCTTAATGGACAGCATGTTTCATCTCATCTATGCCTCTAGAGCAGGAGCTCGATATGTCTATGGAGGTTCCCCTGACGGCCCAACCCTCGCTCTCCGCTGCAGGGCAGAACCAGTGACTTCTACTTACTTGTCCATCAGCGCGGCCAACTCGTCCAGAAGCTCGACGGTCTCGCCAGGACTGGCAATCCAGGCCGTGGTGCCGACGCTGCGGGCGCGGAAGTCGTTGGCGCCCGCGCTGAGGAACTGATCGCCGACGTGAAGCGTGTTCTCTGGTCCGATTGGCTCGATGGGTGACTGTTGTAGCTTCTGCTGCTGCCTCTCAAAATACTGCTGGCACACCGTCACACCCCAGGATTTATCGCCTATGTCAACAAAGACATCGCGACCTCCATTGCTATTGATTTTTAAAAAATAGAAAAAAATCACGCGCTCAAAGTCAGCAGCATATTTGACACACATTGTATACACATCAGGGCACACTTTATTGTCCAAATAACAACACTTACAAGGCACAGAACGGCACCTCCTTCCTTCTCCCCGCCAGACTGTTCTCGAGCAGCCTCTGCACGACGAGCACCGTCTCCTCCAGGCTCTCCCGCGGAATCCGCGCCCCCTCAGGCTCAGGAATGATGCCGACGGCGCGATCCTTGCGCATGACCGCTGCGGGCAGGTGTAGGACGCGGACACAGTCCCGCAGCGCGGCCTCGGCGTCGTCTAGTAGGGCGGCGATGTCGGCCTCGCTCCAGGCTTGCATCTCGGGGGTTAACCACTCGTGCCGCGGAACGGGACGGAGGTAGTAAGGCGGAGCGGCAGCATCGAAGGCGAAGAGGTAGTTGGCCTCGCCCCCCATGACAAGCAGGTTGGCACCCAGGGACGGCGGGATCTGTTCGGCGGCGGCCGCGGCGGCGAGAGCATCGAGGAGTCCGTGTAGGCGTGCGTGGTACCGGTCTTCGGTGGTATAGCCGGCGGCGGTGACGATGCCGACGCGCACGCCCCGGCCCAGCAAGTCTAGCAGGCGTGGCACGAGGGGGCTATCAGCCTCAAGGCTCTGCCCGTCCTCGTAGAGTGTGACGTCCCCATCGAACGTGGCGAGGCGGAGACCGCTGTAAGCCGTGACAGCCATGGCCTGGGCCGAGTTCAGGATCAGCCGTACGTCGTTGAAACTCGGGCTCACAAAACGCCGACTGCTGATGTGCCGCGTGCGGTCTTGATACCTGAACGCCGCCTCCAGCGGCAGACGTGTGAAGAAGGGCCCGGCAGACGGGACCAACAGCTTCAGCTTCGAGGGTGGTGGTTTGACGACAGTGGTGGCGGCGGACGGCGCTTGCAGGGCGATGTGATCGTCTATCATGACCTCGACGTCGCGCATAATCTCAGCGTAACGCCTTGCGGCCTCCTCGGCCATGTGCTCGAGGGACAGGTCACGGCCATTGGACTGGAAGATGCCGTGCGGCTGGGAGTGGAGGACAAAGGGGACGGCGAGAAGGCCCTTGATCCATTCTGTACAGGACTGTCAGTGAATATTTTTGGCATAGCATTAGCAAGAAGATGTCAATCTTTTTATTGTGATGTAGTTGTCAGGTACTGCGAAGCTGCTAGGGGGTCATTTGGGGGTTGTGATTATGGAGAGCCTCTTCCACACAAGCCGTGTGTCAAACGATTCTAAAAGAGAGACAAATGAAAAGGGACATCTGATGGCTATTGTACCTATGAATTGGTCCCTTCTGTGCGTTTTGAGGGCATCTATAGGTCCACAAGTCAGCAGACTTGAGCTGACGCAGGGTCAGAGGAGACACATCTCACATTCCACTCTGTACCTTGTCGTCATGATGATGAGAAGAGGCTTCTTGGATGGTTTCTAATGCACAATATATTTGCTCATGGATGGAAAAAAAAAGGACTCGTATTCGGTTTGAAGGGGCTGGGAGGAAGGAAGAGAAATAATTAGCTGCTGTCCAACTTAAGACATGGTGGTGCTGGACGTGGATGTTGTCCGGGGCGACGTGTCATGCTTTTGGGTCATGCGACAAAGAGCCTTCTTAGCACATAGAGCTTAGGGACAAGGCCAATTGAACTCTGGCGGACATGGCTATTTTCACAACAGGCTGTCTTATCTGGATGATGCCTCGTGTACTCTGAGGAAATGAAGCTTTTATTCAAGGGCTGGTAACAGAAGTTGAAAGCATTGAAAGGCAGCAACAACTGACAATAGTGACTCGAACCGTCTGTCATTGCTTATTTAATCACACTGTGTGACGATGCGTTACACCATGGCAGGGTTCATCCTCCCATCTTACCCGGCGAACTCTCGAGGGACACTTTCTTCTCTGGCGGAGAACCCTTTTCTGCGAGATTCTTGTTCCCCTCCCTCCCTCTTTCCCCAAAATATTCTCCAGTCAACACCTTCTCACTTAGATACAAAAGGTCAGGTGCCAATTGTTTTTGGTCACGTCTGCTGCACCTTCCCTTACCTCCTCATGCCCTCCCTCTCGAAGAAAACTGTCTGTTAGTTTTCTTCTCTCTAATCACATCAGCCACCTTCACATCCCCCGCTAGATACTTATAATGCAGCACGGTACAGTCTGCCTGTGCAGTAGGAAGAGAGTCAGTCCTGGTCTAATACTTAATATCAGATGCTTCCATCATGTATTTTCTTCTTACTGCGTAAACTGACACAACAGCATGGCTTTAAAGATCATGTAAATGTGACTACAGATAATATGACCATGATTGTTCACCCCCTCTAGTATGTGAAACCCCTGCGCCGCTGCTGCCGCCTTTTCAGCCCCTCTACTACTCCGAACTTGCCCCTGATGGGGTATTGTGCGCGGCCATGATCCTCATGAAGAAAGAAGAAATAATATCCATCGCATGAAGCCAAGGTCCTGGGGAGATGTGAAGTGTGTCTGTTGGGCCCACACACCAAGTCTTTCCCCCCTTCTGCATCCTCCAGGTGTCTTACATATTGTACTATGCGCAGCGGTGGCGCGGTATTTCGCAACAGGTCGAACCCCACAAAAAGAGAATTGCCTTTTTTTTCGCCTAGCATTTTGTTCCTCGGGGTCCGCTTCCTCTATACTTTGGTATCACTTGATGCCTTCCGTCCTCCCGCCTCGAAAAGAATCGCATTTGAGCTGGAGATCCCTTTCCCGCCTCGGATCAGGCTGGGGGATCGCCATCTTCTAAACCATCATCCTTCCATTCGGTGCAAGCGCTGATGACGGTCCTGTGCCCGTCATGCTAGATTCGTGTTTCCGTAGTGGCAGCACGCCATACATTGTAGCCTTTGCGACAATATTGGCCCAGGTTCTCCTAACTAGCGCCGCCGTTGGCCTGTTGGGCGGCTGCGGCAAGCTGCTGGGCGGCTTGTTGTGCGATAACTTGGTTTGCTTCCGCCTGCTGAACCACGTTCTGGATCACGCTCTGCTCCTCCCCAGAGAGATGAGACGAAAGGCTGGTGTAGAATTGGGGCTGTTCTTGTTGCATTCCTAATCCGCATATGTCAGCATCTGGGACTGTTCCCCTCGTTAACAAGTACAGAGGGCAAACCTACTCATGAGGCACGACCGGAAAATTTGGTATGGCTCGAGCTTGTCCAAGGGAGACTCGAGGAGCACGCTGTTCTCGCCGAGCTCGTCATCCGAGACCGGCACCTCCTCAACCTGGCCAAACTTTTGAGCCTGCTTTTCACGTTAGAAATCATAGACAATAACGGTTTGTTACATGGCTGGCACTGGTGACTCACCTCCTCGTTTAAGAATTCCAGATAGGCGGAGCTCTCGTCCTTGGCATCAGTGGGCTCCTCTTCCGGTTCCTCCTCTGCGGTCCACGCAGCATCATCATCGCCCCACTCATCATCATCGTCGTAGGTATAGTTGGCGTCGAGGCCGTAGTCGTCCTTCATGGCATCTTCACGGTCTGTAAAGTTAAGTCAGCATCGAATGTACCAGTGAAGTTGGCAGGGTAGGGTGAATTACTCTTGACTGCAGTAGGCAGTGTTTTGAAGAGTGACGTGATTCCCTAGATTGACATCAGCGATTTGACCCCACAGAAGAGCACGATGTGTGCTGCGTGGCACCTACCGTAAGTAGTCGCGGCCAGCCGACCGAGACGCTCACGGGAACCTGGTCAGGACTGAGGCCGAGCAGCGCCACTATGGCAACGATGCAGAGCTTCTTGTCATGGACCCGTGTGAAGGAGTCCATGGTGCCGAACCACATGCTGAAGAACTTGTTGGTCCATCCGTTGGATTCGAGCACCTGGAGCGCCAGTATCGGGTTGTAGTAGATTGCGTTGATGACCATCTCCATCAGATGGATCTTGTACGACTTCATCTTCTGCTCGGGCTCGCTGAGAACGTTCATGGCCATGCTGATAAAGCCCGAGACGCAGTTATCGATATGCCCTGGCAGGCTAAGCATCATGGCTTCCGACAGCTTGCACGCGCAGATTCGGTCAATACCGCCCACCTTCGGGTCCGAGAACATATCAGAGACCATGGAGTAAAGGGCTTGGACGTATTCAGGGTGCTGAATGAGCTGCGGAACGCCAAATTGGACGAAGTTGTCGAGCGCGGGCAGCATGTCCTCCAAGTACAGCTCGGCGCCAGCCTTGAAGGTGCGGTGGATCAGCTCAAAGGCCTGCCACATGGTAGGGGAGATGGACTTCGCAGCAAAAGTGCAGCTATCAATGATCTCAAACACCTCGTTATACAAATCTGCAATACATCAGCATCAGAATGACATGTCGGGGAAGAGAAGAAGGGGGGGGGGGGGGCGGTTGTTTTCGATTCCATCGCAGAATTGGGCTTACCATAGAGCTTGTGATCGAGGGTGATCTGGACGACAGGCATGAGAACCGCTTCGATGTGCAAGAGAACATCAGGTGTGCTCTCGAGGGTGAGGATCAGGGTGCCGATCGTCTGCAGGACACCGAGCGCTGTTATACTCTTGTCGTCCAGGAAATCGCTGAAGTCGTCCTCGTCCCGGTTGTTGTTCCGCTCGAGCAGCTCGTTGACGATCCTGAGGTACGTGTCACGCAGCTGCTCACTGAGAGCCACCGCGAACGGGGTGAGCTCGGTGGCAAATACCTCGACGAAGTCCTCCATCACGTTGGCCAGAGCGTCAATATCAGCCTCGTTGGCGAGCTTAAGCAGCTGCTGCATGATTGTGGGGATGGAGGTCTGCATGCTCGTGCGGATAATGTCATGTCGGATCAGAGGCTGCAGTGCGAGGGCCGCAGTCACACGAACAGGCAAGGCCGGATCAGCCATGCAGTCTAGAATGTTCCGGTAGATGGTGAGCAGGTGGTTCTGGTCCTTGAAGTCCAGCTGCTCAAACTTCTCGATGGTGTCGCAGGCCCGCGCGCGTAGATACCCCTGGGGGCTGGTGAAGTCGGGGAAAACGTATCGCACGAGGAAGTACTCGACCTGGTCCGCAATCGGCGATTTCTTGCTCAGGAGGACAGGAGCGAGGGTACCGATCATGCGCAGGGCACCTTCCTTGGAGATGTGGTCCTTCTTGTCCGGCTCTGCCGTCTCGTAGGTGCTGACGACGCTGTTCACAAACGACAGCAGCTCGAACGTTTGCTTCCGGCGGTTCTTGGTCAGGGTCACGAGGAAGTTTGTGGCCGAGACATCGGGGGCCGAGACCTCTTCGTAGAAGTTGAGCTTTCGGTGGAGGTACTCCTCGGGCTCGTCCTCAAATTTCTCGAGGTCTTCTTGAGACAGACAGAGTACAGGGAAGATAAAGTGGGTGACCAGATTTGTCAGGTGCGGCCTCAGATGCGCCCACATTTCCTTAGGGCGCACGCATTCATCCATGAAAACGATCGAGTAGGACAAACACGGCCTGCTCAACCATGAGGTCTTGCTAACCCACTTCTCGATCTCCTGTAGGTAGTGCTTGAGGATCTCAGGCGCAATGTTGGCAGCAAAAAAGTTGGCAAAGGCCATCTGGTCCGCATCATCCTTGGTGATTGCATGTGGGTTTCCATGCCTATTGTCACGGGTCAGCCCTCTATTCGCGACCTTGTAACGAGAGAAGAAAGGAACAATAATATGCCCACCTGATGTATAGACGGTTGAGATTGAAGTATGCCCATTTCTTTGCCTTCCACCAGTGATGCCGCTCGCGCTCGACGGGGTCGTCTCCCATAGCGATGGCAGGAGGGGCTTTAGAAACGGTTTGAAGGAAGACGGTACACCAGCCGATGGTGTTTTGCTGTTCACGGAGGAAGGCAGCCAGGTCGAGCTATACTCATCAAGTCAGTCCAAGTTCTTCTTTCAGATGCGACGAGGATAGGTATATATAGAGGGGGAGAGAGAAGAGAGAAACTGCTGACCCATGTTGCGTGCTTGTATGCTTTGAGAGCAATGTGAAGCATTTCTCCGGCCTCCTCGCTCTCCTGCGACACCAGTTCGGTCGAGATGGCCAGCAGGCGAGGGAAGCTGGCCTCGACGATCTTGTCGAAGTGAGCCTTGTTGTCACCATCGCTGGCCTTGAAACGGTAGGCCCGGCAGATGGCCAGCAGGCACTGCAGACCGGCGAGGACGGAAGGCGCATCATTCGTGTTCAACAGCTGGATGGTAAAGTCCATAAAAGTAGGCCACTTGTCAGGGAAGTCCCAGTGCAGGATTCTCTGCAAGATGGGGATGAGTTGCGGGCGGATCAGGCCTTGCGAGGAGGCCAGGATTGGGAGTAAACGGTCGCGGACTCTCGCCTTCTCGTCTTCTGGTATCGGGGTCTCGTTGGGGAAGTGATCTGTGCCTGCCCATGCCCGGTTGACGCGGTTCTTGAGGTAGATAACGGCTGAGATACACGTCAGTACTAGTATTATGAAGTGTACACGGCGATGCGAACGGGTTGGTTGAGGTGGGTGGTTCAGGGACGCGTCTCGAAAGAAGTGCGCCGGAGGTGTAGCACGTACTGGAAAGGCGGATGTTCTGTTCCTGCTCTGACTGCAGGATCTGAAGGAGGGCGTCGAGAAAGCCATTGTGTTCCTCTGCCTACATGCCGCGCGCACGCACACACACAAGGCGGGGTGGAGTTAGCTATCGGTGCGCCGGGAAAAGGGAGGGGCTGCTGGAGGGACGAAGAAGCGGTAGGAGACGGGAGACGGATGCCAGGACGCGAGGGGGGAAGGGGGCAAGAGGGAGATGGGAGCCAAGAACTTCCAATGTGGTCATGGGCAAGGAGGCCGGGGAGGGACAAGAGATGGACGGGGGCGGCAGTGGGCTCGGGGGGGGTTGCGTACCTGTTTGAGCTGCAACTCGGCCCTCTTGCGGACGTTGGCGTCTGCGTCAAGAGTCGCGACGATGCAATTTCTAATTGCAGCGGCATCCATCTTCAAAACCAAGCGTGGGGCGTAGACATGCAGCAATAGGCAGTGGCGAGCGAACGAGTACGTCGAAAGCCGTGCAGAGAGGGGGAAAGAATTTTTGTTGCAGAATGGCAATGACCGGATGTCTGGAGATATCAAGGGGATTTGTGCGTAGGTGTTCCGGTCGTTCGCTGAAGATTGTGCGTGTGCGGCCTTTGGGCGGATGTTGGTATCAAGAAAGTAGGATTTGGGTTTGGACGTGATGGAGTGGCATCTGGTGGTCCCCTCTAATTGGGCTTGCGGTGGCCTACAAAAAAAATAGCTTGAGCCCCGCCGTGGCTGGGCGTGCCTGGCGTTCTGGCTGGGTGGTTCCCCCTCTCCTTGCACTACCTTCCCACTGCGACTTCCTCACCCACTCACTCTCTCTCTGTACGTGTGTTACCCCCCCTACAAGAAAGCGAGTTTAGGCCCTAGGAGGCTCTTTTTCAGGGACCCTACCCCCACTACAGTTACACCCAGCCAATGATGGGGATTGTCTTTGTATTTGTTAGTTCAGGGTACCGCGGATGATGCGGTGTTGGAGGCGGCGGGTCAGGTACCCCAGCTAGCGAGTGATTTACTGTACTAGGTCTCTGTCAGGATTTGGGAGCTGGATTGGATGGGAGGAAGTGCCTAGAATTTTAACTGTTGGACAAGACTTGTCGATCGTGGAAAGAACAGAAAAAAGTAGCACCTCCTCATATTATCCTAGCTACGACCAACAGTAATTAGCCTGCGTGGTTCTTCTGTCTCGACGGCGGCCTGCTTAATCGCATCTAGCGGGAAGATATTTGATTACATTTCAGAGCAGCTAGAGAAGGATGCAATTGGGAGGAGGTGTTCCAGGCGTCGTCTCTCTTGTTGTTGTTTATTTTTTTTTCTTCTACCTTGCCCCTGTGCTCACAGGGGTGTCATACTACACAACAAAAAAACCCATTCACCTTTCAAACCTTGAACTAGCTCAATCCAAGATTATGCGTTATGCTCCCTCCTTACGAGGCCGCTCTACTTAATACATTACTAGTATTTTGCAACGATCCATCTTCTCTCTGTCTCCATCTCTCTCTTCCAGTCATCATTGACAATATAGAAGGAAACAACATGGAAAGAAGCAAGATCTACAATCCCGCCTTCAGCGGCCCCTGTTCATCGACTAGGATTAATAAAGTAGGCCACCTGCTAAGGTACGCCCACCCATCGCTCAACGCCTCACCACCACAGACGCAGATGCACTCAGCCGATCTGTCACGTCAGACATACAGGATGCTTCTCATGTCTTGTATACGCCAGACGGGCCTCAGGCTATGCGGCCAATCCTAGGAACGGTCAGAGACAGGTGGCCAAAGCGGACTCCTCCGCTACACACACACACACACACACACACACACACCCCTCGCAGGAGCGCGCGCCTCCTATTTGCCGCACCTCCTGGTTGGTACTTGACAGTATGCCTTCTCTTGCTGCCCAAGGTAGGCTTCCGTTCCTGTCTAATTTGTAGACGCGGAAGCGCCCTCCGTGCGTGTGCTGGCCCAGTCTGACCTTAGCCCCTTGCTGCCTCCGTCTCCCTTCACATTTCTATGATCATACAGACAAAGTTCCCTCCAGTCCACAACAATGCACCAGTCAAGCATCGGTCTATTCCTGGAATCCGTGAGAAATGCACGTTTGTCACGTTACCAGCTGATAACAACCACGCTCATTGTTGTGTTCAAGCGAGTCAAGTGGGTTGCTGCAGATGGATACAACCAGACAGCACTACACGCAGGAAGACATTGAATCGCATGGGCACTATCCATACTCTGTTGTCATCAACAGTCGAAGTCCAATTTCAGTCGGTGAGTCTCTGCCCACCATGCATTAATCAACGCCCATCATACAAATAAAAGGCAAAACCGTTTCGAAGAAAAGAAAAAACCAAGAATCCGGCCGCCAGGATTCGCCTCTCTCCTGCATGCACGATCTCGTAATCCGTAACGTGAACCTTTAAAGAAAAGAGTATGATCATCCACACAACACCCCTGCAGGAACCATGCTTGTTCACATCCAGTTTTACCATGCAAAACCCAGTTGCTCGGCCTTTTCTCCCTCTAATCATGTACACACCAATCCTCTGCCCAGATCTGGCAGTCAAAATTGCACGCCCCTCCCCTTGCTGGATATCTTCATGCCTTATCGATAGGTTGATTTGTGATTAAAAGATGCTGAATGCCTAAGGTTAGCAATCCGCCCGCGGGGGTAATGTCAAAGAAAAAGAACGAATCTCCAGTCCACGGCTGTGGATGCCTTCAGACACCAAACGACCGAATCCGAAATATAAAAACAGGAAAAAAAACAAGACATACGCGTTCGGATGGATCCAGGTCCAGGCTTTTAGGGGGCCAATGCAACCAGTGCCAATCCAGGCTCTGGTTCACATCTCGCCGCGGGGGAGGTTGAGCAGCCACGAGGAAAACGGATCCGCAGTGCAGCTGCGAAAACTCCTGAGTCCTGTTGCAGTAGTCCAGATCCTGGGTTATGAGTTGATTGACAATCACCGATACAGGTGTGTGCAAGGCACAGGCAGATTCGACTCTTTCGAAGACCATTGCTATCAGATCAAGTGTCTGGCTCCCGGGAACTGGGGTTGACACCTCTGTTGTTGACCAAGAAAGCAGAGAAACAAGTCCAAAATCTTTGCAGGAGCAGAGCGCAGCCCAAGGATAGGAGACAAGCGTGTTCCACGGGGTTCAGAAGGTGGGAGATCCGCAACGTTGGGCAACGACTGAGTACAAGTCCTTCATGGAGACACTGCGATTGATGATCTGGCCCGGTACCTCAGCGAGGCGGCCGACATGCTGTCCAGTCTTACCAGCGCGAGATCAGAGAAACTTTCTTCTCCTTCAATCACACGTTTGTGTCTTTGGTCCTGGAAGAAAGGGAGCCTTGGGGAGGTGCCAGGTGCGGAAGAGAGGCGAATTTGCCATTCAGCTGCCCCATGTTAAGGAGATCGCCTGGACGCTGTGCGTCTCTGCAAGATCTCCGAACAGCAGACGGAAAGAGGGTCTGGATGGTGAGCCAAATCCTTGAAATCGCTTCACTTCTTTGAAAGATCGTCGTCCAAGACACCATCCAGAACAATCCAAATAAGGGTCCAGCCATGGTGGAGTCGATTTTACTGCTCCGTTGTCTATAGTTGGGATCCGAAGCCTGTGGTCAACTCCTTGGGAACAAGACCTCGGTACGCCACGAGAAATGTCCCATGTTGAAAATGGGCAAAGCTGAGAGGATCCATGCCGAGCGAGTTGGAGCAGCCAATAGTAGCCATGGCCTCTGGAGTATGCACAGAGCTCTCACCTTCCAACGAACTCCGAACTGTGTCAGCGCAGACTCGCATGAAGTCCTGGCACGAAGGCACAAGGCCTCTCCCCAAGCCGAATGACGCGGCAAAGCCAACAAGAAAAAGACAAGACAGGAGGGGCATTGGCCGGTGACGATACCGTGCCAGAAGAAAGGTAGTTTCAGTCATTATATGGGCGGCGGCGTATATCAGTTAAGGTCCTGGGGGTTTGTGCTTCTCTCTGTGTCCCTCATCAAGGTTCGGTCCAGCGTAGTGAAACACCGCAGGAGCCTGCGACATCATCAAAATCATAAACAAAGAAACACGACGGGACGCATCGCCCGACCAGAATGCAGATCGAGAAAAACAACCGAGGCCATGCGAAAAAATTCCAGGTCCAAGGAAAGGAGGCAAAAGTCCAGGTGAACTCCAGGAGAGCCGGGGCGCCACGCCAAATTGAAGTCGAAGCTGTACAGGTCCAGGAGATCCGGTCGCTCGTGAGAGAAGGGGGGGGGAGGGGGAGATGCACACTTGCAACTTTGAAGAGATTTCTTCTTTCTTCTTTTTTTCTTCTCTTCAAGAACCTCTCAACCAGGGCGTTATCCGGGCGGTAAAAGCAGAAAGCAGCGCAAACGCCATTCCGAAAGAAAAAAGCAGGAGGGGTCCAGATCAAACAAGGGAGGCCGGTGCTACCCTCACTCACTCACAAGATCCGGTCCACGCCGTGCGGCTCATCATCACTGCCCCAACGTAAGAGTAACGGGGGGGATTACTGAGCCCGGCGATGCCTGTCGGACTTGCTGTAGCTGCCGTCGCGGGTGTCGCGATCCCGGTGGCGGTGGGAATGAGAGGTTCCACTGTTTCCTGTCTGAGCTGGTGTACTGGTGGGAGAGGAAGTGGTCGCACGAGGGAGGGGGTTCTGGCTCGCAGGATCGTACTGGGGCTGGGGGTCATACTGGTAAACCGGCGGGCCTGAGGAGTTGTAGTCCTGCTGGGTGGTCGCGTAAGTGTTCCCACGGCCGTACACGGTGTCTAGCGGCTGTGCAGGGTGGCCACCTTGGTACTGGCCTTGGCCATAATACCCAGCGCCTTGGGACTGGGGTTGGTAGGCAGAGGCAGACATCCTGGAGTCCGGGTACGGGCGACCAGACCGGCTTGTCTGGTGCGCGCCCACGTCGAGGTACGGAGGGCCGCCTCCCTCCGAGCTGTATACGGTGGCGCCATAAGGACCTTGCGTATAGGCGCCCTGTCCCGATTGTGCGTTATACCTGCTGTCCGGTGCCTGGGATGTAAAGGCCTGTCCTGTAGCGTACTGAGGGTTGCCATATGGGGCCTGTCGGTTGTCATATGGGAAGCCCGCTCCTCCTGGTCCCGCTCCAGCGCCACTGTATCCGGGAGCATCGTTTCCAGGGTACCTGGGCACAAGGTCATAAGAATCACGGCTTGAGCCGACAGGGTAGGAATATGCAGGAGATTCATACTGTGCAGGGGTTGTTGTGCTGTTGAAGCGACTGGACGAGTCGCTGTATCTCGCTGTCGGGGTGTTAGAGAGTGTGCTTCTCATAAGAAAACAAGAGAGATCGCTTGAGGTGGTTATACCTCCACTACCGCCAGAGTGACTCCTCCTCTCCTGCTCCCAGCGAGCGGAGTCGTTCTTCAGATCCTGGATCATAGCCTGTAGGGCATGACAAGTTTATACTTTTAGCTTCGTCGGGCGCATCGGGAAGGAGGACGAAACACAGGTAGCACGTACGGTAGTCAGAGCTCGATAAGCAGTGACACGATAGCCCTGCATCATCTGGCCGGTAGTTGGGTCCTGTGAAGAAGAGGCGACATCAATATGTGTGATTATCTTTAAAGTGCAAAGGGCCGGGGGGGGGGGGGTTCTCCTCTCCTCGGTGTTGTGACGAAAAGAGCGCGCGCCAACAATCAGGCAGCAACAAGAGGGGCGGGAGGGCAAAGGCATACAGTATAGTTTCCAGGTCGGACGAGCGCGTCGTTGCCAAGATAGCGGCAAATGTCGGCGGTGATAACCTCGCGGTCTATTCCATCGCGAGGTACGAAATATTCGTTTTGTCGTGGCGCTGAGGCCTGCGCCGCGCTTGATGCGCCGCCATCTCTTCTTGAGGACATCGTGTGCAGGTTAGGGGTGGTAAGGGAAGAAAAAAAAACTACTAAAAGTGCAGATCGTCCTGTCTAACGGGGGTGTGAGTTGAGAACGAGAGGGATCGAGGGATTTCCTGTTCAACTCTAGAAACAGATTGACACGAAAGAAGCCACGAAGTGCAATAGGGAAGAACAAACAGCTGGCACTTGGGGAGGGAAGAGGAAAGACAAGGGATAATTGTCTGAATGTCGAGGTGTCTAGGACGAGTAGGCTTTTTGGGAGGTTGTGAAGAGAAACAATGTGGTCGGTTGGGGAGGGGGAAAGAGAATGGGGGGAAGCCAGTTGAAGAAGGAACAGCGGTGGGGGGAGGTGGGTTGAGAGAGAACCGGGGGGGGGGGCGAGACCTTCGACCACTAGCTGCTAGAAAGGAGCGAGTGACTCTCAGACCCAGAGTTAGTGAATCTCCCCCCCCCCCCTTCTCAGGAAGGCACAGGCGACAGGATAGGCGGCCTGCGCTTGCTGCTGCTACGTGGTGGATCCTTCCCAGCTCAGAGTTCTTCAATAGGGCTTATGGCCCTCTGTGGAAGACGAAAAAAAAAAAGAAAGAAAAACACCCAGAGAGAGGCAAGACTAGGCGGCCACACAGGGCAAAGGGAACGAGGGTACATTGAGGGGACAATACCACAACCTCCAGAGACACTGGCACAGTAAGCAAGTAGTGGCCTGTTTCCATACAGTCCCCATACATCCCAGCGTGTGGTTGGCAGGTCACTAGTTGGAAAAACAAGGGCCTGCTGGACCTCATCCTGGGCCTACCGTTGGCTGAAGGGCTTTCCATTGGACCCACGGGCCACACAAGGCCAGGCTAAACAGCCTGACAGAGCGCCATAGATCTCCCCTGAGCTGCAGGATTAGGGAGTCTACCGATGCAACGGGAACAGGGGCTTCCCGGGCTTGTCAGGCAGCTTGACGACATTCTTGGGTGTCCTCAAAAGATTGGGTCGCTGTCGGATTTCCCTGGGGCTGGCCTCTCTCTCTCTCTCCACGTCAGGCAACGCACGTGGGGAAGAGTGAGAGAGAGAGAGAGAGAGAACAGAGGAGGTTGGGGGGGGGGGGCGAACATCTCACCGGCATGTCATGCAACAAGCTGCAGCTGAGTTGATTCTTTCCTCCCTCAAGTCTCCGAGACTGCCTCAGCTCGCGCAAGACAGCTCGTGACTGGACAACCAGCCTCTTTTCCCCACCGCTTCGGAGGACGAAAAAGGGCTGCGCACTGCAGGCCGGTGTCATGGTCAGCATGAGACTGGGTCATCGACTGGACATGCCTTCCGAGAGGGAGCATGAGCGTGCGTGTGAGCCACAGAGAGGTGGGTGTCGCCTACTACCAGTACAAGTATGTGTGTGGCACGTACCACAGGATGTACCACAGTACCGCACCACACCCACCATATCGTAATACAGGACCGAAAAGGTTCTGGCCATGCCCTGCCCCTACCATTAAGTACTATAGTAAGTACCTACCCAGTACTGTAGTAAAGGTACAACTGACACTTGCAACCAGAACAAGGTCCAAACAAGGTTCCCGGTGAGCCAGCGGGAGATCACCGCTTGCGTGGGAGAACCTGGTTGGTCGGCCAAGCGGTACCACCCCCCCCCTTCTTTGAATGTACCTACTTATACTTACATGGTGAGGAAGCCTAGTACAGGACTTTCGCCCATTAGTTTTGGGGTCCTGAAGTGTACCTAAAACAAGCGTTGCAACGACAGCATCGAAATGCACTCATGCTAAGGGACTACTAAATCTGTCGCCTTTTGCAGGTTCAGGAAGCTGTCTGTTGATCATGTCCTTGTTGATTGTCGATGTTGTTTGTTGTTCTTGATTTATGATGACGATAAATTCATATGAATATTGATAACTACAGTGATGATGATGGTGATAGTAAGAAGGATGACAACCTTGGGCGATATTGTGTCCAACTGAGCAATAACCTGCCTCCATGTTCCTGGGCAGGACCACATCCTCCGTGGTCGCTCGCTTGTTGTCCCTCCTTTACTCACGTCCCGAGACACTCGTCAACATATCTTTGGGTCAACATAACCCAGCCAGTCGGTACTTCCGGTGAGGTACCATCTCTATGAGGCCCCGACTTTTCATGTCTGTACACTCTTCTTTCGTCAGCAAGAGAAGCATGGAATGGGCGAATAGATGCCCATGCAAGGCCATACCACCGCCAGACGATGAGAGAGTTGCAGCAGGCTTAGCCCGGCGGTGAGACGAAGATCCCCAGCTCGCCATGCCCGTCGGCCCGGATTTTTTTTCCTTCCTTTCTTCTTCTCTTACCAAAGCCTACCTGGTCTATCGTCAGCAGCAATGGATTATAAAATAGAAACACAGAAGCTTCCGCTCGTAAGCAGCCCGCGACCGCCCGCAGCCGAGGCTTGCAGCCGCATTAAAGTCGGTGATCCTTTTGGGCGTTAGCTTTGCCAGGCATACTGGCTCGTGGAGAGAGCGAGGCCGGCTGATTGCGGAGAGCGGAACCGCAACACACATAGTACTTAGTTATTGGAACCCCCCCCCCCCCCTCCAGCCACGCCAGCGGATTGATTCCACCACCTCTGTTGTACACCAATGTTGTGGGCCGTCAACAAATGATGTTTTGAACCATTCACTTGTTCACTCACTCACACAAGTCTCGCGAGCTGGGCTGCCCCATGACCGTCACCACATCTTCTTTGTTTTATGTGTGTGTGCAGTGTTTGACTTAGCTTCGCACGAGGCGCCATTGCTACCCTACCGACATGGCTGCTCCTGGTGGCGAGGCTGCCGAGCATCACGCCGCGCAATCTTACGTACTATTTTTTGGTGGTACTCCCAGTGTCCCCTACACTGACTGCATCACAAGGACGAAGATCATCATCAGGGTTGGCGAGCGGGGGGAGAGGAGTGCGCTCGTTCAAATTCCTGATTCTTGGTCCATCCACCGATCCATCCACCACACGTCGCTGTTATCGCCGAGTTATCGCCCAGTGGCAAGCTCGTATGCAGCAGTCATCTCCATGTCTGCATATCGACCGACATTTGCGACGATGCCTGTGGTCCAAAACCAGACCACCCAGGCCCTACCGACACGATAGCAACGGCGCTGATATTTAGGAGGCAAATCAGAGCAGAGCACGAGGGTGCTGCCCTCTTGGTCTGCCCACTGAGATGATGTAAAATTCCTTGTGTGTGGGGTCTTTTTTCCTTCCTGTTTTTTTCTTTCTTTCCATTTTCGGCCTGAGGCTGTTGGGCTCCAATGCGCTGGAGCCTGACGTTGGGCGGGAACAGGGATTATGGGTCCAAGGCGCCCTGGTATTGTCCAATAAGCATCTCGACCACACCATAGATATTGATACATAGTTGCATAGTACATGGGTACGTACGGTACTTTGCATGTGGACTAGACAACCTTCACCTGATGAGGCACGTTGTAGCGAGAACAAGATAATTGTCGTACCCGCGTGGTGACGGCAGAGTCGGAACCATATTAAAATAAAGGGGCTTCACGATGGGAACGAATGTGTTGCGAGACCCTGTGACTTGGCACCACAGGATATTCTGTAATTGTGGTAGTAGTATGTATTCAATGTTGTTTTGGCTGGATAATATCGACTCTGCTCTATACGTACTCGTGTGAATGCCGTCAATTGTCTCCCTGGTTGATAGGCAGGGCGGCATGTGTGAGGGTCGATCCAACCTCGCCCTTGCAGGTACCGTGCCTCGCCCCCCTCGCCCGCCGTCTCCAAACCAAGGGCGGACGCATTTCACGACTTGGGCTAGATGTAGATGCATCATTCTGACCGAGGTGTGTGTGCGCGCGTGCGCGCGCGTGGTCAGCAATCAGGGCCCCGGAACAAGCGAGTCGAGGGCCAAGACTGATCTTCCGCCTCGCTACATTTCTGGCTGGATAGTGCAACATGCTGGTGGGTATTGGGTCGGAGCAGCGGTCGAGGTTGCGTTCCTTTTCATTCAGACTCAAACGTGAGGCTCCATCGGACAAGGACCCGATGTTCTTCGGTCACCGCTGGCTCTGCTGCAGTAGAACGGGACTGTAAACCTCATCCTGCTGTACCTTTCCCCGGCAGATGGATTCCCCTGAAGGATGGCCACAAGCCTTGAGGCGTGGACTATCCCGCCTCCATCATCCCCGAAGGGCTCGCAGAGCATGCTAGATTATACGCTGACGAGAAGCGGCCTTCTGCTCCGTCTTATTGGGCGTCAGAACAGAGTGGGGGGCCCCTTGTTTTCAATGGTGTGAGGTCCGGTCATCCAAACTTCAACTTGCTCTGCCCGTTCTCCATCTTTTCCTTGCTCTTGTTGGTGGGCCGTCTGGCCGCTACACCTAGTGTTCCCGTGCGGGTGTTGTTGTTGCGAGCTGAGGATGATGACGAGGCGGATGGTGCAGCTGCAGACGCAGCGCCGTGGCCAACAAATGCTCGACTGCCACGTTCTTCCTCCTGGAGATCTCTGGCAAGGTGCTCGTCCTGATGACACTGGAATTCCTCGGCGGCCTGAAAGCCCTGCCTGCAGCGCTCACACGTGTAAGCCGTGATTGGAAGCTGCATCTGGCGGTCACGGTCGAGTCCCTCCCTCGCATCATTTCCTGCAGATGCAGATTGCCGCCCCGAGATAGGATTGCTGTCGTGACCGTGCGACGTTTCACTGCCTTCGACCTCTCCGTTGCCCGTATTCAGAGACGACGTGTCGCCGCCTGCAAACTTGTCGGGCTGTTTCAAGAAGAATTGTTGGATGCCAGGCGTTTTGTCCGATTTCTTTTGCTTGCCCGAGGGGTGGTGATGGAAGTGGCGATGGGGGTCTGGTGACAACTCCTCAGGGGCCTCTCGAGAAGCCCTCTTCAGAGCCTGGGCCTCTTCTCCCTTGACAAGAAACGCGCCGATGCCCATGTTCCCGGTGACCCCCTCATCAAAACCACCCACGCTGAGCGACAGATTTGCGCAGGGCCATACTTTGCCCTCCAGGACAATCTGGTTTAGCAAATTCTTTCCGAGTCCGAGCAGCATCTCCTTGTCGATTGGTTTTCCCTGGGGGATTGGGCTCTGTCTGGATTTGGTCTGACCTCCCTGTCGATGGTGAAGGTTAATGGTCCGAGGACGTCTTTTGTTCTCGAGGACACCCTCTTCGACGAGGCGGGAGAAAATGTCACCCACGAAGATGCGAAGCCATTTGATGGCCTGCTCGGTGCTGTTGATGCTTGGTCGGAATGATTTGGCCGACAACATTGACTTGATCTGGACTCGGGAGTTAACCTCCGACTGGTCGATGCCCCTGATGGTATTGTATACCCAACTTCCCGTGTCGTCTCCCAACTTCAGCTTGAGCTGCTCGATAGGTATCAATAGCAGCTCACTGACGGCGTCGGTACCGAATGTTTGCGCGACTTGGTCGCCCAACTTGCCGCCCAAATTACGTATCTTGGTGAACTTGAAGCCCGACAAGAAGTGAGCGATGGCGCGATTTCGGACGACTGTCTGGCCATTGGGCTTCTTGGAGCCAGAGCCCAATTTCGAAAGCATCTTGTTCTGGGCGACACCCGCCGACTGCACCACGAAGCCAGTCAGCTGATGTTCAAAGTCTTACACTGCAACCTAAGTAGAGGCTACTGCTTACGCATGTGAAGTTCAACCTGTCACGGATGGCCTCCCTGACGCCCCTTACAATTTCTGACCCGATCAGAATTGCCACGTCGTCCCAATCTGGGTCGTCAGTCTCGGTCTCTGTGTCATCCAGGTCCACAAGAGCGTCAGCCTTCCAGTCCAGTGCCGTGATGGATGGCACGGGGAGTTTCTCAGTAGGATCATCGTAGGGTGGCGGGCGGTTGAGCTCTGGAAACCGCGTGGTCATGATAGATTGGACTTGAGCAGATAGATCGAGGAACTATGAAAATATGGTGGTTAGAACGATCCATCTCTCAGGGCCAGGGAGGAGAAGTCTGGTGACCGGGCATTAGCACTCGCCACTTCGTCGATGGAAGCTTTTTCCACCTTTTGGAGATCTGCCGGAAGTGACTCCTTGATGACGGCCAGGATGTTCCTCGACTGCATCCGGTAACTACAGTATTGAAGCATCAACATCATGTGGCTTCATTGCTGGTTGGGTCTCCCCACAGAGAAAGAGAAAAAGAGAGAGAGAGAGAGAAAAAGAAGAAGAAAGAAAAGAGTTAAAAGTAAAAGCTGGGAGGGCGGTGCTCACGGATCGAGTGACACCTTGTCAGTGTTCACCACGGGGTCGTCTCGGTACGCCCAGTTCTCCTCACCTTCCCGCCACGTAGCGACATGCTGACAGATGAGGTTCTCGCAAAGTTTCTTTGCCTCGCCAATGTCATGAAATCGTCCAACGCCCTTGTCCCTGGCAGGATAGTTGACGGCAATCAAGCCTTGCCTGGCGCGTATGTCAGAACAGTCCTTTCCTTCTTGTATCGAAAGTCTTTTGAAGAAGAGGGAGGGAGCCACCGTACCACTGCTGCACAGCTAGGGGTTGGTCGTCGGGAAGGTCCAAGCGCCGCATCTCACACTGCGCATAGAAGGCATCCAGGTCGATATGGGCCACGACTCGGAGAGGGCATGATGTCGAATAGGATGCCAAATGAGCAAAGTTGCGATACGTGAACTTGGATCTCTGGCGTCCAGGAGCTCCAGCCGGGGACGACTGCCTGAAGCTTGGCGGCGGGGACGACATGGCGCCAGGTGATGTGATTGATTCAGGGTCTCATGCCGATATTACGAGAACGCATGACGGGTCAAGCTGAGACGAAAGACATCGGACAAGCTCTGCAGCGCCTCAGGATCTCAAGACGCAAGTGGCGTTTGGTCGAGGTCGTTCCGTTGGGATCGAGGACGTTCACGACGGGCGTGCAGGGGATTAACCCTGCATTTTGGTAAAGGGCGGCGTTAGTGGTGTTAACAGATGTGCACTTGCCCGGTCATATCCCGCTGGTAGTGAGTGCAACGAACCACATGGGTATCAACTCAATTTGGTCAAGCATACATGACACTAACTACCTCAATCAACCTCTCCTCTTATCCACGATCCATCACATTGTGACTAACCACTGCTCTCAAGGAGCAGATGCGCCCAAATTACTAGCTCACCTCCATCACGATACCTCAGTTTTCAATGGGATGAACCCTGGCGATGTACTGTCTCTGCTCAATTGATGGCCCCACAGTGCGCGAGCACCACAATGAAAGCCCCAAAACTTCCACAGTACATTGGGGTTACCAAAATGAGGATCGGATCCTCATCTGGCAAGCAGCAATCCAATCCAGGTGGACGGGGAGACCGTACCCCTCTTCTTGTCACTCTTGTCCCTTTTCGTCTTCTTCTTCTTCTTCTCCTCCTCCCGTCATCCTTTGCTGAATGCTGCCGGGTGCTTACTCATGCTGTGTTCCGGCGGCGGCAGTCCATTCGGTTACCTTTCTCTCACTGTCCGGGGAGGGGGGGGGAGTGTGACGCTGAAGAGAATCTGGTAGTCAATCTGCAACGGCTGCCTTTGTGCTTCCATGAGCTTTGCTTTAACATGGCTGTTGGCATTTCATGAGCACACGTGGGGATGCGAAGTGCGAACCTGTGCTGTCTGACGATATGCTTGATAAAAACTGCTTTGGCGGGGTCTCCGCCAAAAGTACGAGCAGTGCTCCAACTCTCTTCCCCCTCCCCCCCCCCGGCGCCCCCCTTCCTCCAGGTGGACAAGGTCAGAGCCCATCGGTCGCGACCAGACAGATCCGACTCCATGGTCAGTACGTTCAAAATGCCTGCCAAACTCATCACAAGAGGCAACAGTTTGCGCAGCTGTCCCTGCCGCATGGGACCTTTGTCCTATCTAGCGACAGAGTGTGGGGGGATTGGATACCGTCAAAGACTAAACATGCCCAAGTGTAACATCGTGTGAACACTGCAAGACATCGGATCTAAGCTGACCATTCTTGCTACTGCTGCTTCGGATTCTATGCCATGTGTCCTGAGAACAGTACATTCTCTCTCTGGTCGCATAATACGTCCATATAGGCCTTTGACGCCGTCGCTCCTTGTATTCTCCTTTCTTTCTTTCTGTTTTGATTGAGAATCGAGGAATGATACGCCTGCGGCAATGTTACTCCTGTCTGTGACGGCTTCTTGTTCTGTTATAATGGGGACCTAGCATTGCTTGCCGAGGGCGAAAAGAAGCACAATCACTCCTGCAACCAGCAACGCATGTGGCTTTGGTCTCGGTCGAAGCAAGCATGTCGATGAGCTGGAGGACCGTCACTCCTGCTTTGCTCGTGCTCGCCCCGATGCTGCGTCCTAGTTCGGTCTGTTGCTACTTCACGATGTGTCTGCATTCCCGAGCATGCATGCTAGACATCGCCACGGCCTCGATCGGCCGTGACCTAGAACCTCAACATACGACAGTAATATGCCGGGCCCTGAGTCTAACATCAAGTGCTCATTCACGACAAAAATTCGGCCTCAGTGCCCGACATATACTCGGGCGGCCCAGCAATGGAAACCGCATCATAGCCTCGAAAGTGATGTTCAGGATTGCACAGAGAGGCTCTCGTCAATTACTGTCCTGGCCATATTCCTCTCTCTCCTCTCTCTCTCTCTCTTTCTCTCTCACTCTCACACACACGTTGTTCTTCCATTATGTACAAGTTGCTGACCTTGAACCGCAGGGCGAACCGAGGCGCGTCGGGACCCTGGCCGGAAGGAGGGGTTCCTTCACTCCTATGCAGTCTATCAAACCCTTGTGATCGCAGAGTATGGTGCAACGAAGATTCCTCGGGGTCTGGGCCAAGACACATGGGGGACCTAGATCGTCCTAACATTGTCTGTCGTGCATATGCACAGTGTCAGATGACGAGGAACCACGTCCAAACTCTATGTCATTGTTGCCGCAATAAGGCTGCGGGCACAACATATCCCAACCCACGTGCTTTGGGCTCCTAACACCTGGTTTCCCATCCGAGGGACAGAAACCGATCGGGTCTTCTTCTTCCATATCCGAGTATCATGTGTCATCACAGAAATTGGATCCCGACGAGAGTTTGAGCGTGAATAGGGCTCCGGACCAACTAGTGACTTCCATCACCAGCGTCAATGTGCTCAGGTTTGTATTTCGTTATAGGGCGAGAGACACGCACACGGCTCGTCGTGTCGTTGTTGATAGGGTATGGCTGTGTATTCCAGGTGCCCTCTACACGACGCTGCTACACCGAGACGGAAGGATGAAGGCGGGCTTGTTTCCAACAGGCGATGCTCCTGAGGAGCAAGGACAGACCAGCCGGCGTGCCGCTATCACCTCGGTCCTCATAAGGCTGCTGTTGTTGCGCGCCGTGCCCGGCCACGTGTTTGATGGGTTCTTGACAACGAAATTCTCTTGTTCCTTTTGCTTGCTCTTGTTCTTGCTCTTTTTGTTCCTCTGTCTCTGTTCTCTTTCCATGTTGGTGGGACCCGGCTCGCCGTCTTCTGCGACGCTACGAGCCCCGACAGCCCTACGGCCTCCCGCAAAATGAGCACACTGACAACGCCCTCCGGGCATCGGTCTCTCGAGCGTGGCAAGTGCAGAGAGGTTTCAGAAGCTTCCAGGAAGCTTCCACCGCCAACCAGAAGCTCTAGCGCCCCGTCTACCCACCAGGTAGGATTTTGGAGCCCACAGTCGACCTTTTCTTTCCCCTTCGCAGGATGTGCGACCCCCTTGCGCGGCTCCATATCGTCCTGACCGGCGCCCTACCCTACCAGCCTCCACGTTCCAAGGTTACTTCTTTGGTGCAGCTTCTTGACTCCATCTCCACTGCTCCACACATTCTCGGCCTACAGCGTCACGCATCTACTTCCTCCCGCCCCCCTCCCCCTTCCTTCCGGGTCGAGCGTGGAGCTTCTCCCCCACCCGGACCTCCCAGCTATTCATCGTGTACTGGCACAGCAGCATTCTCGACACCCCGAGAGTGACGAGATGGGCACACCACAGGATCCTACGAGAGCTTTGAAGCCCTGGACGAGGGCTCGGTGGATCCGCCCGGAGACTACACTTTGCCCTAAAAAGGGCTGTTGAGCCGTAGCCACCTGGTGAGAACATCATCTCGGTTGTGTCGAGGCTGACGTTTTGTCCCAGAGGCCCGAATTTATGCTAGCATTTTCGATGTTGTCCTCCCTTGACCTTGCAAAGCAATCTGGGCCAGAGATGAGGCTCAATAGTTGCTGTAGCAGATGGACACGGCTCATAACTGCTTTCTCTACATATATAAAAGTATATATATATATATATATCCATGTATTGTGGAAGATGCGGTGGTGTCTGTTGCTGTCCAGCTCTATCGACAGACAAGGTCGTCACAACATTTCTAGTCATCGCGGTTCACAGCACGCGATCGGTCTGTCCTTTTGGTGTTTTAAACCTGAACCATCTTGGCTCTTTGCATCGTCTCTGTGCTGCTAGTCGACCTGCCGATTCACGCGTGTGTACAGTCTAGCTGTTCCACTACCCAGGGCCCTCATCCCCAAACGAGTCCAGGGTCTCTACCATCACTCACTCAAAATGTAAAGTCTCTCCCCATTCGCCTACCGCTTCTGTCATCAGCACATGATGTAGAGATCCTGATGAGCTATACAGGGGTGGCACGGAATCTTACTCGAATGCTTCGGGCCACTGGTATTGTGCGTAGTGGTTGTTCCCTCATTTTGTGTCATCTGATCCTCCTCATCGGGAGAGAAGATGAGAATATATTTATATATCCAAGAGAAGTGTACACCATGTTTTGAAGACATGAAGTTCTAACACACACACCTCTACATAACAGGCTGCGTTTGCGCCCAGACAAAACCCCTCCTCCAGAACATGAACCGTTCTGATAGCCAGGTCTGCGAGGACGCAAGTTGTTCTCATCGTCGGTGCTACAAGTGCCGGGCTGTGCCCCAAGGAAGCTGCTACCACCAGGCCTACGATCATGAACAAGGATATTTCCATGGTCATAACCAGGAGTACGGTAGCTATCAACGACGCTGAGGTGGCTGACGGCCCAGGATCGTTGATGGGGAGGAGCGAGGGGGAAGTAACATCGAGAGCGAGGAGGCTGGGGGGTATGGGGTAGAGCGGTGGATGGGAGAATGGAGAGTAAAAAGGGAGGCAGGTAGGAGGAGGGCAAAGAAGGCAAACGGAGTGGGGGGTTGAGGGGGGTGAGAAGATGCGCAAGGGAGCCAAAAAGGCAACGTGATACGCATCTGCTAACGCTAGCTAGCTGCTCGTCCCGGAAACTTGGACAGCCAATCCATCTCTTGTGTAGCAGTAATTTCAACGTCTGACGTGCCGAAGCAGCTTTGATCCTTCGTTTCGTGGGAGAGCCGTTTGTACCGAAGAGAGAGAGAAGAGAAGTCCCCAGCCTCTGATGTTCTGGAAGCTCAGCCCTGCGTTGGTTCGTTCTGGGCGCCACGCCACCTTCTCGGCAACCAACCCGATACGAGATGCAGTTTAGTATCGAAGCGTGAACCAGATGCAGTGACACCGAGGAATTCCTACAGCCAAGCTGGCTCGAGTATCTGCCTTGGACAAGCTCTTTGCGCTCCATGCTGTTCCCAGGTCAGGCATGAGATCTGCAGCTCCGCTTTAGCGTTACCACACCCCAATCTGGCCGTTCTGATCACTCACTCGCCAGAGAACGAGAGGCACGAGGGCCCCAGGGGGGGGGGGAGGTCCAGACAGAGCCTCATATTTCTCCCGAGCACGATCTTCGGGCCTGGTTTCCGTGCCCTCTTGCCTGTCCTGGACGTCCCTTTATCCTACGCATCTCCGCTCACATCAATGCCATAGCCGCCGTGTACACAAAGAAAAAGAGAATATGTCCACTGCAACTGCACGCAGCCGTACGGTGCAGTTTCCGTATGGCCACAAGCCCCGGGAGATCCATGCAGTCATCCTGCATGTCCGAGAAGAAGGAAGCAAAGAAGAGAAAGAAAGAAGGCCTGTCGGGAACTCCTATAGGTCCTCTGCTTCAATATTATCTCTTCCAGGGGCACGCAGCCTCGTCTCGGCTCCAGTGGGTTGGGACCGCGATGGCTAACTGCAATGAGGAAGCATGGCCGAGAGGTAGGTCGAGTATACAGAGCAGTTGCTGATCTCGCGTGGTGTTCCATGATGGAGCAGTCTGTTCACCCTCCTTCGTGGTTGGGGTGGTCAGCATTTTCCTCGTGGCAACGTACAACTCCGAAGGGCAGAGCTGCTCTCATATGGTCATACTAGGTGACAACCCCCCCCCCCCCCCAAACAACCAGTAACGTGACAACGGCTGGCCCCATATTTCCTTATTTTCCTCCCGGCCCCCTCTACCACATCGGCCAAATATCCTCGGCGCCGGCGAGATGTTCCCCATTTGATGTTGTTCGAAGGTATAACAACAACAGGTCTAAGCTACAAGGTGGAGGAAGAGGGAGGGAAAACAGGAGCAGCAGTTTGCGGTAGACTAGACCACGGGTGGCGCAAAAGTCCCTCGAGCGAGTCACGTCGATGTGACCCCAGGGCGTAACGAGCCCCTCTGGAGCCTCAAGAAACCAAAAAAGGTAAAAATAGAGAACTATAATGCCTACGACTGGAAGGGAAGCGAGCGGGGGATAACAGAAGAAAAAAGTTGATCATGGCAGACCCACGCAAATTTTGCTGTTGGTCTTGTGTATGGGAGAGAGAGAAAAGCTGAAAGTGAAGCGTGTGGTGGTGCAGGGGTCAGTATACGAAGTCATTGGCTACCGAGCCTGATAAGACATGCAGGAAAAAGAGGTGGGTGGTGAAACGCAGCCATCACGTCACATTTTGGAGGGAGTCTTGTTGGTAACCCTGAGGTGAGGCTGCGCTGAGCAAGGAATTTCTCTCTCTTTCAGGTCAGACCGGAAGTTTGTTGTGAGGGAGAACAGACGCAGTGGTTGCATGGCAGGAACGACGGAAGAAACGGCAGCAGCAATTGTAGGCAGGGAGAGCACTGGAAGGAGCAAACCACCCAAAGCTAGTTTACCGTACAAGGGGATGTTTTTTTGGGGGGGGGGGGGGGGGGGAGGGTTCTCTCAAGGGCCAGCAATGCACTACAGGAGGGAACGGACTTTTGTCGACATTATCGTCACTAAAAACAGTTCTTCTTTTTTTTTCTTCTCTTTTTCTTCTCCTCCCATTTTTTGGGGAGGTGGTGACCTCATCTTCACGCTACGGTGGGATGAAATGCTGGTTCAATTTACTTCCCGGACAAGGACGATCTGTTGCATGGAAAGAGAAATGGGGCGGGGGAAGGAGAAGGTTCGTGCAAGGCTTATGGTTTGGCCAAGTCTCTTTGTCTGCAGTGTGGTGGGTCGCAACGCCGCGCCGCCAGGGCACAATATCAACTTCTGGATGAGAACAATACCACCACCCATGAGCAGATGCTGCTAGACATTGATCGAGGGCCTTCAACCACAGCACTTCTGCTACATGCCCTTCTAAGTGTGACAAAGGATGGAGATGTTTGTGCATGCGGACAGTCAAGGTCAGTTCCAGCAGTGCCTTAAATAAGAAGCCATCATGCCTCTTCCTATTCTTCCTCGTCGTCGTCCTCCTTCTTTCAGTGTACTCATGTACGATACAACAAATTGCATTATACTTACACACATCTCCATACAAAATATACCATATAGATCATCGTACCAAGAGGTTCACACACCCTCCTCCCCTCCATGAACCTCCACCGGCATGGCAGGCTTCACCACCAACACCACCACCGTCACTACCATGACGGCCCTCCAGCTTCTAGCCGCCCTCCTGCTGGTTCTGCTGACAACCACCCTCTTCCACCTCTATCGCCTTGCCTACCGCCGCCGTCCCTACCCTGGTATCCCGTACAACCCGTCCTCGACGCGCCGGCTCTTGGGCGACATCCCCGAACTGACAGCCGCCGCCCAGGCTGAAGGCGACCCCTCGCGCATGACCCGGCCCCAATTCGCCCACCTCGGCGCCCCCGTCATCCAGCTCTTCCTAGCCCCCTTCTGGCGGCCCATGGTATACGTGAACGACACCCAGGAGGTGGAAGACCTGCTGCAGAACCGCACCCGCGAGTTCGACAAGAGCCGCGCCACCATCGCCCCTTTCCGGCCTCTCGTCCCTGGCGCCAGCATCTGCAAGGTCAAGGGCCTCGTCTGGCGCGCTCAGGTCCGCCTGTGGACGGACGTCATCTCTGTCGGCTATCTGCGCGACGTTGCCGCCCCCGTTATGCACCGCGCCGCTTCCGATTTGGTTACCCTCTTCGCCGCCAAGACCACCGCAGCCCGAGGCAGGCCTTTCTGGGTTGCCGAAGACTTCAAGATTGCCACCTTCGAAGTCATCTGGAAGGCCATGCTTGGCTCCGACCTGCGCATGGTCGAAGCCGAGACCGAGGCCGTGCTCGCCGCCGTCGGCAGTCTGCCGCCACCCACCGAAGGTCCTGACGAGAGGGACGAGCCGTTGAGCATGCCCACCGCGCCTCGCAGCGACGAGTGGGAGGCCGCCGTGTACTTCCTCTCGCTGATCCCATCGACGCTCATGAGCCCCGTTCCAGGCCTGCTGCACTTCTATTACTCGCTGACGCCGACCTGGAGGCGCCACTGGGCCACCAAGACGAGGTTGATGAGGGAGCTGATCGAGAGCTCCAAGGCGAGGTTTGCAGATCTCGGAGAAAGGAAGAACGATGAGTCCATTGCAGAGAAGAGGGATGTGTGTGCTCTCGACAGGGCGCTGAGGAGATTTGCCAAGGTTTCGCCCGCCGATATCTACCGTCCTACCACGGACGACATGTACGATGAGCTCTTCCTGCTCCTGATGTCGGTAAGGCAGAAACATCATCTCCCTCCATTGTGCGGCCTCGCTTTTTCACAATCCCTTCCGCCCCCAACCCATTCAGTTGCCTTCTTGACTGACAGCCCCAACTCAATTCGTCCCCAGGGCCACGAGACAACAGCCACCCTCCTGGCCTGGATGGCCAAGATACTCACCCAGAACCAGGTCGAGCAGACCAAGCTGCGTGCCGCTCTGCGCGCTCACTTTCTCGCAACCCCAAAGACCCCGGACGTCCAAGCCATCCTGACTGCCGAGATTCCCTACCTGGATGCTTCGGTTGAAGAGCTCGTGCGTGTAGGCAACATCATTCCCGAGGTGGTGCGCGAGACATCATGCGACACCGAGCTGTTGGGCCGCCGCATTCCCAAGGGCGCCACCGTCGTCTGCAGCACCTACGTCGCCCATGAGCCTTTTGGCGACGACGTCGTGCCCGAGTCCGCCCGCAGCGAGAACAGCAGGGCTAACAAGGGCGGCTACCGCACCGTCTGGGAGGCCGACATGGCCGATTACCACCCGGAGAGATGGATACGAGACGACGGCACTTTTGATGCCAAGGCCGTGCCGAAGCTGGCCTTCTCTGCGGGGCCGCGAGGCTGCTTTGGTGAGTCCCGAGATTTTAATACCTTTTCTCATTCTTACCAGCGAGGCTTTGCTTTTGCTGATATGCCGTCTAAAAAATAAAAATAAAAACAGGTCGGAAATTCGCCTCCCAGCAGTTCCGGATCATGCTCGTCATCCTGACGCTCAATTTTGAGTTTTTGCCCCTCCCTCAAGCCCTCGACAGCAATGACGCCTTCTCGAAGCTCACCCGGAGTCCATGTCAGTGCTATGCCCGCATGAAACAGATCTAGAAAGGGGAGACTGGCCGCGCTGGTTGGCCGAGGCATCGCACGAGCAGAAAGGAGTTTCCCTTGCATGTACCATAAGTAAATGAGAGAGAGAGAGAGAGAGAGAGATGAAAGAAAAATACTTAGACTGTGTCCACCTCATTCTGCCGAGCTGCCCGCTGCATGTTTCAGGATTGGCTGCCGGGAAATAGTCGAAGCTTACCATATGTGGTCTATGATTGGTATCGTGTCCGCCGTCCTGGCCAAATTTTCGTGAGAGGCGGCATCTCTCGTGGAAATCCACTGATACTCGGCACAGAGACGAGTCAACAGGGGCATAGCAAGATGCACTGGCCGGCATAGCTCGATCTGGAACCTCGACACGTTCCCACAGTGTGTCATCCGGTGCAGGCTTGACAGTCACTGGCGCGGCCTGCTCAGAACGATGCCTCGTATGGTGAGCTAGCTGGCTCCTGAATACCGGACCTCAGGCTTTTCTTGTCATGGGCTCCAGAGGCGCGCGCCTCACCGAGTCAAGTCAGCCGGCAGAGTAGCACAGTAAAGGAGAGACCCGAACTCCGACGAGATCAATTATTCGCCGATGATTTGCATTGCATGATATCTTCGGCCTTTCTCTTTCTTTCTCTCTTGGTCTCTCGTTATTAGTGCACCACCCGGCCCTAGAGGTGTTCAAGGTTGTAAGTATAGCTAGATGGTCATTCGACCAGTCCAGTCCCAGTCCGCGTCCGTGGTTCTCTGACGAACCAATTTACCGACATAGAATAAGAAAATGCTAGGCCTTCGCCCTGAAAATGCTTGAGAATGCTCACATAGTCTTCCTGACACCATAGCTGGGGTATTCGCAACAACAAGTATAGTAAGGTGACAGTCCGACAACTCCCGTTCATCCATATCCCGATACAAAGTCCATCCATTCGCCGAAAAATGCTACCCAGGAAGAGGAAATAAGTAGGAAAATTACACAGAAAACGAAACGAAACAACATGATACAGATTATCCGACACAGGCTTTGTTGGAGGTCGGGGATTATATAATCCGCAATCGTAAGCAGGACACACAATTGAGACAGCCCTCTGTCACCGTCAAGAAAGCGGGGGTTGATCTGTCCGTCTTTTTGCTGGAGCTGCTGCATGATGGTAGTGTTTACTCCAGGCGCTCACGCAGCTTCTTGAGAACCGGGCCCATGGGGTAATCGCAGTTATAAGCGCAGCACGGCGAGAATCGTACCGGAAGCAACCAGTCTAGTGGGCCCATGTCACCCATGACAGACGTGAAATTGGTGTAGTACGATCCTGTGTCCCAGGGATTGTCGCCCCTATCGGTCTTAACGAGGGCGAACTTGTGCTCCGGGGGAGGACGGTTGACGGCCTCTGCGCCGGAGTGGAGGAAGATGTACCGGTTGCCATCAAAGTCTGGATCCGCAAGTGGGAAGACGACGGTCTCGTGACCATTGACCATCGAAGGGATGTACTCGGCACTGGGGTCCGGGTCCAAGGGTACCCGGACGGCCAGTTGGTAGACTTTGTCGCCTCCGCTGAGATTCTCCACGTTAGTCAGGTTGAGGAGGGCATAACGGATGGAGAGAGCCGCCATGGTGAAGGCAAAAAGGCCGAAGAAGCCGGCAACAGCAATGAGCACGATGGCCGGAGTGGAGGTGGGCGCGCCTCCCCTAACGAGCCGGTTGGTCACGTAAGCGGCAGCAGATAGGCACACGCCACAGTAGATGGAGGCATAGCTGCAGAACTGGATGAAGAACTTGAAGGCTGCAAGGGATAGGTCAGCAGGGAATGCCAACCCCACCCCAACCTTGTCGGACCGGCTGCTCCGTCGAGTGAACTTACAGGTCTCCCCGATCATGCCTCCAGCCCAAGGGCAGTAGTGATCCATCTTCCTCACGCATCTCTGGATCTCACGGCTATGGTGAGCCCGCTCGGGTTTCCAGTTCTGACAGTCATGGCACCAGAGGGGCATGCCATCGCTCCGGCAAGTGAAGACATTGCGGGTGAAAAAGTGCTTGAGGCCCAGTTTCGGCAGACGAGGGACCAGACCCGGCACGTAGTTCACAACATAAAGAGTGCGGCCGTAGGAAACGAGCATGAGGACAAAGAAGACATAGTGCAAAACGAGAAAGGCTATGGCCTTGCGATTCTCGTGCCTGCGAAAGAAGAAGTCGACTGAACAGGGAGGAAGGCAGAGAGGGAAAAGGTTCAAATTAGCATCCCATCCAACATTGGTCTCAGGCGTCTTTGCGCAGGGGGGAAGAAGGATACTTACCACAAATAGGCTTTGTGAGTGTCCAGGAAGAGAAAGTAATGACGCAGAGAAGAAACAAGGGAATGATACGCGTCGCCCAACGCGTCGGGGGCTTGTGGCTTCTTGCTCGCGACTGGATCGTGCACTTCTCCTGGGGCGCGACAGAGGCTGCCGCGAGGGACGCCACTGAAGGAGGCCTGGAGCCTTCAGCCATTCCTGCCACCACGTCAACGCCACGCCACGTTTCGAAGTGATCTCTTCAACACGCGACTAGCAGTGTTGTGATGAAGAGGGAAGGATATAGATGAGAAAGAGGGGGGGGGGGAGTAGAGCTTACTTGGTTTACCAATCTCCAGACCCAAGACGGACTGCCTTAGCAGAGACATGTGAACGAACGGCAAAACGGACCAACCAAACAAGGACAAGAGAGAGTGTGGGTGCGAAGAGGGTGGAGGCCACATGGGGGGCTTGAGCCGATGGAGAGCTTTGTGGAGACTGGTGAGTGGGTAGGTGACATTAGAACGGGCAGAGGATTAGCGTTTAGGTTGTGTGTCTTGCAATTTTTTTCTTCTTCCTCATCTCAACCCGGTACCCTCTTCAGATGGCGGTTGCCCATGTCGGCGATATCCAAAATTAGGCAGGTGCTCTGCAGCAACAAAGAGATAATAAGGCAGGCAGGACATAATCTATATCATAACGCTCACTTCCCAAAAGTTCAGGTTGGAGGAGAGAGTGCAAGCCAACATATTGCACACTGTGCATAGTAGTAGTACATAGAAGACATCTGCTAGGAGCACATAGCATCTCATCAGCCTTGAATCTCGTCAACAGGCCCTTGTGCCGTGTGGGGTGAGGGGCATGACGACATTATATTTTTCTCTCTCTAATTGACAGCTTGTTGCTGAGTTGTCTGGAGCAAGTTGTCCTTGCAGAAGACCAACCCTGCTGCTGCCTGGCCATCATGCCTACGCTAAGCAGTAAGTACTTAAGCAATTAGTAGCCAAGTATCCCCAGCACACCCTGTACTCATACAGCAGCAGCCCTGGTGACTCCTCATCGATACATGCTTGAGTACTGCGAATTGTATGTACTGAGGATACTGAAGTACTGCCATCGTGTAGAGATTATACCCGCCATTGCTTGTACCTGACTATCGGGCATGGATCAGCACCCCCCCTGCCATATTGCCCGTGATTTCCGCCTAATCGAGTTACGCGCTCCAGGCATCATAGTACGATGGTTCGAAAATTTAATATTAAATATAATTAACCTCTCACCCGGGGCAAACGCTTTGTGCACGATGCAGAAAAGGAAAACTCGGTGGCAGACGAAACGGAGCGGACGGCTCTGCACCAGTCGAACCAGGCAGACAACATTTCACTGCGCCATAGCCCAAGACGTGGATCCAACCGCGAGCCTGCTGCTGGTCTCAGCTCGGATCCATCTGCCTCTCCAGAGGTCACCAAACGCCACACGAGATTAGAAAAAATAGTAAAATGAAAGCTGGGCACCTACCACTCGTCCAATTTGATTGCTTCGGCCCCTGTTCAATATTCTCTCCTCCCTCCTTCTCCTTTATATTTGGCACAGAAATTTAGTGGGATCTCATCTCTGTGTGTTCGTTTTCAAAGTCGCTCGATGACGGGTGTGCTGGTCCGTTGGTTCATGAATTAATTGGTAGCCATATTTAGAAGGAGGATGACCCATCTACCATCATAAGAAAGAAATAACATACCATTATTATCACAGTAGTAATGCTGTCCCATTCATACTGATGGCCAGTAAGGCCCGAGGATCTCGTGTGCTTGTTCTACTTCTTCTTTTTATTCCTATTCTTTCTTCCATTTCATTCGTTTTCTTTTTCTTCTCTAATTTGCCCTTATTTTACTTTTTCCAGCGTCCAGTTTAGAAACTTCTAGATACTCCGCCACCGCCTGAAGAATGATCAATGCTGCCTTGCAGCACAACCGCCAACTGCACACTCGCGTGTCTCCTCTGTGCACCCAACGAAAAAGTCCGACCGTCTTTCAGGTACGGAATGAAAAGGGCGTCAAAAAGGCCCACAGAGATGACAATCATTCAACTGAAAGAAGCCAAACATGCGACTTATGGCAGCGGCGAATTTCAAAATCCTGCGGCTACTCGTGCAGGTTGAAATAACGATATTGTTCCGAGCAAATCCACACAAGGCACGCATATATCTGTTGCCACCTCGCATCGTGTGGCATACAGCAGTTTCCTAAAGGTCAGCGGTTCTTCTTGGAACATGGACGAGCCATGTTGGTAGTGTTATTTCCCATCGAGGTGGGGTCGTCCGTCTGATGATGTATTGGAATATGCTACCCGCTCAACTCACTTGCTGGTTCACGACCCAACATGCATAGCACTGCCTGCGCGGAAATATTTTTTGCACAAACACCGTCTACACGCCACGATATAGGCCCTGATGCATAATTCTCGCCCTATGCTTTTGATGGTGTTTTCAGGCACTTGGTCAGGCTCTGCGACGGGGCAGATTCACACCAATGACCTTTTATATCTCGACAGTCTCGCCCAGACATGACGGAAGACGAACATCGTCGATCATTTCACAATCCTTCACCCCATCAGGGTGTGGGTCTCTTTAGACCAGAAGAGTGATGTCCACTGAGAAAAGCTCATTCACGTCTCTGTGCGAACTCGACTGTGGCTTCTTCGACACCCCTGGCAGTGGAGAATTACCGACTACGTGGATTCGGCCTCATCTTAGCTCGGCGAGAGGCTAACCCCGGATTATAGCGCTTAATGGGCAGAAAATGAGCCTCAAAAGGACAATAATAGGTTGACAAGGTTCATTAGATGACACGTATCTTATATCATAATCATATGACGAGCTGTAAGAGCTTGAAAAGAGGCAAGTACCTCGAAGCGGAACAAACCCCGGTCTCGACATGGCCGCCTGGCTTCCCGCGTCTGAGGCCTGACTACACGACCGTCCAGTCATCAGACACCGACTATAAGGCCATCTTAAACTGCGACAGCCTCGGGCGGGTCATGTCATATGTTATAGAAAAAGCCAACGCTGCCTCACCGGTGTGAATACATCCTGACCCCTCTGCTCTCTTCTCCTTTACCCCTTAGGGCATGAAACAGGCTAGGTACCATGATGATAACCTGCACTTCTGACCACACCCTTTTGTTCTTGGCTACTTAGCCAGCCACAGTACCACACGCCCGTATACACGATCACACGCAGACAAAAGTTCCTTTTGTTTTCTTTTTCTTTTGAGCCTCAATGATTCATATTCGAGGTATAAAAGAGGCCGAGAGCGTTCCCTTCGGCTCCCTTCTTCCTCTGCTTTTCTTGGGCTGGCCACCTTCAGGTAGTTAGCATCATTCTGGATAACTTCCTACTCAAACTCGACAGCTTTCATGTGTGAAGGCCCACGAGAGTCCACGCCTATTTAGGCAGTCATCAGGCTCGGTGATAGTAAGTCATTACCTCGTCTCATTCTGTTCGCTCCCCATAGTTTGCTTGGCAAGACATTTGATCCGAAAGGAAACGATGAACGACCACTGGTGTTCAATCGTCGTCGACTCCAATCCACTTCAGCCCAAGAAGAAATCAATCAACTATTTTCCCCTCCTCCCTGCCTTCTCTTTTCATCTCTTCTCCTTACCACCTGCTACCCTACTAAGGCCTTAGCAGCATGATTCGATACGGAATATCGTTCTACCTGTATATGGGCCTTTCTTTTCTCATTGTTCAGCAGCCCGTTTTCCTAAGATTTGGCATGAAACACCCTTTGATGATGAAGCATTTGGGCTGTCAAGACTTCATGAAGATGCCGTGCGTATCCCAACAATATGGAGGACTATTTTCCCTGGCGAGCGATGCACCAGCTATTGAGGACCGAGATTTAGGATCCAGAATCCCCTCCATGACCAGACAACTGGGCTTCCTCTGATCATGGCCCAGCAATGGCATGATTTCATGTCCAAGTCGGACATGTGTTTCGGGTTCAAGGCCTCTCATGAGGTAGCCCCAGTCAACTGAATGCTTCGACAAGTTCGACCAGGAGGGAATGATATCGGCAATGATGACGACCAACGAGGACGGCTCTTCAATGATGGAGAGAGGGCCCCGAGAGAAAGATCACGATTAGCCAAGGGCAACAACACTATGACCATGGCCAAGAAAAGAGAACCTGGTTGAGGAAGACGAGGCCGACGACGCGTCCATTCCCAATCACCATCCAAGGCTCAACGACATGGCCATGCATCCGTCACCTCTCATGCCAGGCCATGGGAACCATACGTGATGAGATGTAGGGAGGACGATGAGGAGAGAGAGAAGATGCGTGGACACGTATGGGCAGCGTGGAGGAGGGGAACCCGGCAGACCTTGGACACGGAAGGGCAATGCGACTCAAAGGAAGGAGAGAGGGCCGCGGGGAGGGAGGGACAAAGACGGGCAAGCACCGTTGCGCAGCTACGCATGCACCAAGCGTCACGCCTATTATGACTCGAAAGACCACGTGCATGTGCTAATATGCATAATCACAAACCGCTGGAGAAACGCCCTGGGATAGTTCGGCCGCACCGAGCCACAGTCCCAGGCAGAAGGACGCGAGAGCCAGCAGAACCAACGAATCAGTGTCCTGGGCGATTGTTGATCATCGTGCGCAAGAGATGTACCCCACCATTCACGCAAGGACGACAAACGACATGGACCAAAGACCCGATGGTAACCTCGATCAATGGAGGAGGCTCAGCGGCTTAAGAAAGCTGGTCTTCCCTTGTCGCCGATCGATGATGCATTTCGGTGTGCACATGCTTCAGGTGAGTCAAAGGCCCCGTGTTGGGGCATGGTAGGGGACAGAGGAAGGAAATGGGGACGGGGAGGATTCACACCGCGATGCTCGCTGGTTTCGGGGCGCTCTGCGAGTGTACGTAGGGCGGCATGCGGCTCTGCTCTGGGACGAGGCCCAAGCCGGAGATGACGCCTAGGATGATGATGCCAGTCTTCTTCAGTCACAGTACTAAACCTTCGGGCGATGGCTGAGTCTCTCTTCTTTGAATCCACTAATTGGGGAATTTCTTGGGCTGGAGCCTTGGGAAGGCCCATCCCCCTCGGTAGGTCTTACCATACCCGCTGGGCTTTCTTACTTACTGCAAATTAATGCGGCTCAAAGTGGGGACCGCCCCCTCTCTGTTTGGATGAGACCAGCCCCCCCCCCGCAATCTAGCTCTCAGTCTCTCCTTCCTCTCTATCCCCACTTACACGCTCTCTGTCTCTCTCTTCCCCCCTCCCTCAATCCCTTGTAGTACTTTTTCTCTCACGACTATCGCATAGGATTCCACCTGCGCATCGTGCTGCGGCTTTTTTTTCTCTCTTCTCTCCTCCCTTTCTTTCCTCCCCAGGGGTCGGAACAGTCTAGAATGGCCTGTGTGGCTATATTGACTTAGCATCGAACATAATTCAGCCAACCAGACGTCTCCAGCCTGTGTCGTCTCCTCGTCGTTCCCGGGTCATCCTCGCCGAGAATGAGAAGCTCCCTCATAGGTGTTATGCCGATATCTCGGTCAAAGCTAATTTCTATCGGATCTCATGTGGAGGAATTGCGGGCTTATTGGCCTCATGGCTCCGTCGCTGCCTTCGCTGTCCCCGTTTTCTTCCACCCATCAGCAGTCCAATCAATACCGTCGGCCACCGAGGTTGCTGTGCATGCCGCCTCACTATGTCACCACTGCTGCGCACTCACCACCTACCTTCCTTGCGTCCTCACGTGTGCACATTTGGGCCAGAGCTCTCGGATGCTGCGCCCGGGGGGAAGACGGGATGGAGGAGGACGAGCGGCAGCCACGGCACAATTTGGCCTGGAGCTTGGGGACGACTCGCTGCCACCTTGACGGCGAGGCAGAGAAGAGCGCCTAGCCCTCCTCTCTCTGTTCCCATCTCTTTCTCCCTCTCGACGAGCCCTTAGTGGAGGAAATCCGAGAAGGGTACCCTGGGCCCCCCTACTGATGACTTGCAGTGCCTCCTAAAACATCTCGGTAGACTCATCCGCATCTGGGTCCAGACCGTCGACTCGATCGCGTTATCACAATTCCTCCATGTCGTCCCTCCCGGAGAGTTGCCTGGAACAGTCACAAGCAACGACGGGGCCAAGCAGCCTGAGAGTCATCACGGCGGCCATGCTCTCTCGACGCGAAAGATGGCGCAGGGCACTTGTGAGCCTTGAATCCGTGGCCATGCGATCGATGATGGCTGTGGAATTCTATGGTGCTAGGCGGTGCCAGTCCCCACTGCTTGCCTTGTTTCCAACTTTGATCTGACTCTTTCCATATCTGCAGTGCGATCCTGCGCCAGCCGTGTCCGTGGTGCGTCATGATGGCATTCAGAACTTATAAAGCCAATTCCCTCTATCTGGCTTATCTGTCTGGATTCAGTTCGTTCGCACTCATCATATCTGGCACACTCACACGCTTTGAGCCCGCAAATCTAACCCAAAGGGCTTCTATTGCCTGATCAATTCATATCCTCGATATCCAAAATCTTCTGCTCTTACGCTCACCGTCACCCCTCCTGGAGTAATTCCCTCCCTGCCCAGAATCGTCGACCACCTATCTACCCTTCTATCATCCGAGATGGGCAGCAAGAAGGTCCTGTGCCTGATGTGGGTATGCTGCAGATGTGGACATGGTCCGTGGAATTCCAAAACGACGGTATCTTGCCTCGAATGCGGACACCGTTTCGATGATTTTTGCCGCAGAGACGCTGTTTACAAGTAATCAAGTCGACGGTGAAATGGCATCGACGCCTCCCTCCAACAATGGAAAAAACAAAAACAAAAAAAAACCACTTATAAATACAAGACAACACGAGAGACACGCAATCGAGTGTCGACAATCAACGCTCTATCTCATCGACTTAGCCTCATGACGAGGAAGACCGAGCCATCACTTTCAGGGCAATTCATATGGCGCCAATTCATATGTCTTGTTGCCAACCACTCACAGCTGTCGGCGGAAACTCGGACCAGATGGTATCAACAGACGACTCATGACGACGAGGAGGAGATTTATCGAAACACAATACAATTCAACTTGCCAACGTTGGCCAACAACAGTTCATTCGGCAGTCTTCAGAGCTCGCTATTTTTGTTCTTCTCTCTTTGGTTTCCTTTCCTATGGGAGAAGGGAGGATGGCGCCTGGAGCATCCCCTGCCCATCTGAAGTGTCCCCCAGCTTTCCAACTGGTTGGCACTTCTGAGACCTACCAACATTTTCTTTCTTGTTTTTTCTTCTTTTGTATTCTTGAACTATTTTCCCACCTCCATCACCTCTTTCTTTTGGAACCTAGGAGGTGGTATAGATTGTTGTGAACATTTCCTTGGTCTCTTATGTGCTGTCTTTTGGGTGTTTTAGAGGATACGACCTCACGGCTGGCAGACAAACATGTTTACAGCAAGCGGAGATAGATAGACAAGGTCTCAGTGACCAGGGGTCAGGTCCTCAAGTTCATGATCATGTTCATGTCCATCGGCAGTGATCTTGAGCATCGCCAGGTTTCGACTGGCGAATGACATAGCGAGCATGAGCAGGGACTCGGATTCATTTCCCATATCTTTCTGTTCCTTTTCTTCTCCCCCACCCACTACTTCTCTTCTCTACTTTTCGTTTATGAGTACACCAGAAGTCTTCTTCTTTCTCTTATATATACATACATACATGCGTCCCAATGTTATTTTCGTCTGTCCTCACGCTAATGATCATCGAAAAGCGCACTGTGCAGGGTTCTGTGCTGGGATGTAGGTTCTACCAGCTCATGATTGGTCAGCTAGCTTCCAGGGCTGTTGCAGTCTTTCTCTCTTTTCTTTTCTATCTGAACCACTCATATATTGTATCTGGCCTTGACACAGCTTACCAAGGAGGAGTCCCTTGTTTCCTTTTCGGACCTGACGAGACACCCTCATTCATAACTTGATCACTTACCCTTGTCTAGACAATGTAGGTGCAAGGGTCTACAGTGGAAACTGGCCCCCAAAACACCCATGCCAACCAGCATCAATAGGGGACATAAGCACATAACCGAGCCTTGTCAGGGAGTTCTCTTGAAGTCCGCCCCCCCCCCCCTCCTCTTTCTTTTTCGACCCCCCCAGTGCCTCTCCTCTTTTTCTTTCCAGTTGGCTCGTCTCAATCCACTTAGTGCCCAAAATGTATCGATCGCCGCTTTGAACCTCAGCGTTCCACAGTGATCTGGTAGCCTCAGCGTAATTCCAAGGTTGGCTGGGGTATGCCCAATGTCAAGAGATTGGTTAGACCAAAACACCTGGCAGTAAATATTGCTTTTTCTTCTTCTTTCTTCCCGACCGTTTTTGTTTTACAATACTTGCCGATATTCTACCGCTTGCCATTCTCGGGGCTCTTTCTCCCTTGTGACTAGCTCTATGGAAACCACTAAGGAAAACAGCCCCTCCGCGGGCGAAGAATGCTGCTGCTGGAGGTCACACAAGTCAGCACCGCCACACAACCAACACATTGTCACCACCACTTAATAACTTTTACGTCTGTAACACACTGATGAGAAAGATTGAGGCTCTTCCCCCCTCCCCCGGCTTTTCCCGGCGCCCGTCCGTACAACCCATTTCCACCTTCCCGAAAGAGGCGCTCTATCAGCCCTGTAGGACATTATGTCCCCCCCCAAAAAGTGACACGATCTGTACGATGATGTGCTCATGCATGTGCTTCCCGTTGGAAATGGGTGCACACCAATCAACAAAGGCTGGCCCCTTCTTGGCCTTCTACTTGCTCTCTCTTCATTCTTCTTTTCCTTCCTTCTCTTAAATTCTAAATGGGTTATTGAACCTTTTTGCAAATGTATTTCCTTCTTTTTCCCCCTTTTCATCTTGCACAGCCCACAGCCTCAATAAAAAATCATGGCCCCCATCCCATCTCCAGGTCATCCCCAGCCACTCGACAAAAAAACAGGTCAGCAAAAACGGCAATTGGACAAACAGATTGGTGGATCTAATTCTCCATGACTTTATTGTGCTAGATACCTGAAATTGGTTGCGCTATGAGCTCAGACAGAGAGAGAGAGAGAGAAAGAGAGAAGAAAGAAAAGTATATTTATACATGCTCATACATTGAGAAAACACCAACTTTGTTTTGCAGCTTTGACACTCTCCTTGCTCTTACCTAGCAGCTGCTAGACGACATATAATCAGTGCACTGTAAGTTGATAGGCTTTGTATTCGCGGCTGGGAAAGTTCTCCATCACCAACCAGCCAGGCCTGATCTGGCTCACTGGGCACTCAACCCTCTTGCAACTTGCCCATCCATGGTCTTTTTTTTCTTCTTCTTTTTCCCCTTCTCTATATGGAACTGGATTGAAAGGATAGCATCATGTTTTCTTCCAAAAAAAAAAAAAAAAGGCTTGTGAATTAATGGTTCTGCATCGCAATCATTTCTAATCGTGAGGTGAATGATCACGTATCTTGTTTCACAGTAACTTTATTTGGGACCCTGGCCAAAGTCCGATGCGGGCCCTTTGCAACACATTCCCCCCACTACTCTGTTCGGCACTTCTCTCTGCTATATACCTCTCTCTAGCTTTCTTGAGCACAACAACATGCATGTCCAGACACCTGTATCTCCCCCCCCCCCCCCAACCCCCCCTGTGAGCAAAGAAACCCTCCGGTGTTTTCGAGCCCGTGAAACCAATGGCAGCCAACATGAATAGCTAGGACCAGTGCTTATGCCCTCTTAAGAAACAATTTTCATTGATCATAAAGGTTTTTTTGTTGGGGTTATTCGCTTCCGATAGAGGCCAGCCAGGGTGCAAAAAGCGTCAGATGAACTTGGTGGGTGGAAGGAAGGGGTCGTTGTCCCTTGCTTAAGTAACCTGGAAGTGTTCAAGTAAATTGGAGCGTACGACCACCAGACCCCCCCCCCCCCCACCCAGAGCCACGGGTTGGTAACGGCCCGCCGCTCTTCTTTCCTCCTTTTCTGCAAAGTGTATAGGGAAAGCCAGTCATGTTTGTGGCGAAATTCTTTCTTCCCAATCCCCTTTAGTGTCCTCTGTCCTGGCCATATAGATCGGTCTCTTCTCCCGCCCTGTTTCTCTAATCCTGCTCTACTTGTCTCAGTCTCTCTTGTGGGCGGGGTCCGTCTTGTTGAATTGTTGAATATGACCAACCAGCCCATGCAGGCGTTATTATTCGCCCTTTTTGCAACACCGCCCGTCCTGCACGTTGAGTTATCCTCCTAGTCTTACATGGTTGTTCAAAAGCCATTCATTGTAGCAAAAATTGTCTATGTTGCGCTGCCTCCCCCGCCCCCCCCCCCCACCCCCCACGCCCAACGCCCAAATCATACAATAGGCAGGCCGCTTAACAATAATCCGCCTCTTCCAAGTGGATTTGTCGCCATCCTCTCCGTCCTCGGGCTTTCAGAGGGGTCAGCCTATGCGGGGTCAGTCAAGACAAGAATCTTATCCTGCGTCTGTGATATCTCCGAAGCTCCCTCGCCCGGCCGCTTGACAGAGATGGATTCTGCCTCAGCAGGAGCCGGCATTTTCTTGTCAGCAGCAGGCTCTGCCAGGATCGTCGTTCCCATCGCGGTTGCGGTTATCGTGCTGGTCACTATCTCGTCGGCCGTGCCCTCCCTGATGGGTTTGTTGATCGAGCGCCATCCGCGTGCGGTGTATTTTTTAGCGGCGACCGTCACTTTGGCGGAGGTGCTCGCTTCCTTGGCCTTCCTGCTGTTTCCCTTGCTGGAGCGCTTTATGGTGATCTTTGTGGCGGTCCTAGCCTTGGTTGCTGTTGGAGGAGGCGCCTTCGCCTTCTTCTTGGTAGCGGCGGCCGTGCTCTTCTTGCGCGGCGCGGCTGCCGCTGCCGCCTTGGCTTTCACCACCCTCTGAGCCTTCACATTTCTCTTGGTCTGGGAGATAATGCTATCAGCGAGGAGCAGCGCCTTGCCATTCTTATTGTAGACTTTGGAGGCCTTGACGAGATTTGCCTTGCGCACTGACACCGTGGCGGGCGCCTTCTTCTTCTTCTTCGGACCAGGTACCTGTGCGTCGACCGAGATGCTGTTCACCGCCGCCTTCACAGCTGGTTTGGCTTTCACCTTGATGCTCTGAGAGCGCTTAGTGCTGGCAGCCACCGTGATCTTGCGCTTCTTGCTCTGGGGCGCCGAAGCTTCCTCGTCGGCGGCGGCGGCGGCGAGGTCCGCCTTCCGCTTGCGGTTTGAGGGCATCGCAACCACCTTGGCCAGCTTGGCCGCCGGGCCATCCTTCTTCGCCTGGCCCTTGGGAACTTTGGCGGCCTTGGGACCCAGGACGCCACGGCAGTTTGCGCTTCCGCAGAGGCACTTCTGCACGTTCTTGGCCGAGAAGGGGTCGAAGTTGTAGTCGTAGGTCAGCTCATCTCCAGACATGATCGGCTTGTCTCCTGCGAACAAGGCCATCCGCGGCTGACCATGTACGATCCACTTCTCCATCCGACAGTTGGGGTCGCATGAGTGGTTGACGAATCTGGCGATGCTGCCCGTCGTCGCGTCGATGATCATATTCTGATCAAAAGCCATAAGGTAGTAGCACTAGAAGAGAGGAGGAAAAGAAAATAGAGAAGAATCATGTCAGATATGGAACTCTCCTCTTGTCTTTTCACGTGGTCCCCCCACCCCCCCCCCCGTGTGTGTGCATGAAACTCACCGCATTGTTCTTGTACTTCTCGTTCATCCGGCGTTCACACTCGGCCTCGGTAATGATCTCACCAGTGTACTCCATAATGATCTGGTTGGGCTCGAAGCAACGGCTGCTGCGCACACCATAGCCACGGTCAGGAGTCTTCAGGACTTCCACGCCGACGCGGAACGGCCCGCCCTGCTTGGTGCGCTCGGTGAGGTTCTGGAAGGCACGGTTCTGACAGGTCTCCTTGCCGGCATTGCAGTTCGTATCGTCGCACTCGTATAGCATGATGCGATTTTGGCAGTCCTCGGCACACCCGTCCTCAGGCTTGCAGATGCATTTTGACTGGTAGTCCTTGAAGTGGTCGGTCTTGCGCCAGTACGTTCCAGCATCTCCGATGAATCGATCTGGGAAGCGCGGGTAACAAGGGAAATGAACGCGTTAGTATAACAAGTATTCATGTTGAAAAGGGGAAATCTAGAAGCCAGTGTGACCTACTCTTGGCCATCTTGCGCCACTCTTCCGGCTTGGGCTGGCCGGGCGGGAGGGGGTTGCAGATGTCAAAAGGCAGTTTGAAGTCGCGACCGTCGAGTAGGAGCCGCAGGCCGGCGAACATGGGCGGCGGGAGCACCTTGTTAACCTTGCCGCCGCTGGGCACGAGCTCCGGGTGCTGTGCAAGCTTCTTCTTGTCCGTGGCGTTCAGGCCGGCACTCCAGTCTGAGGGGATCTCTTGCCCGGCATACAATCCCTTTTGCAGCCACTTCTTGACGCGCTTCTCCTTGACAGGCGGGGTGGCGGCTGCGGCTGCTGCGGCGGTGACAGTGTCCTCGTTGGGTGTCTCCTCGGCCTGCTTTTCCTGTTTCTGTTGCTGCTGGCTCTCGGTCTTCACGCCGCCCCTGCGTGGCTTCTTGAGGACAGGCTGGCCGTCCTCATCCAGATCTCTGGGGTCGATGTACTTGCCATTGCTCCAGATGGTGTGCAGCACCTCCTTCTTGTCGATGCCGACAAACTCGTTTGTGTCCCGCAGCCTCCTGAGCTCGCGTGGGATGCGCGCGCCGTCCGTGGCCTTGCGGCTTCGCTTGCCGAGAATGTTGGTAGTGACGGCGGTGGTGTTGATTGTGCCGGAAGAACGCGTAGTCCTGCGCGACTCAATGGCTGATGGGGCGGGTTTGGTCTGGGCCTTGGTCCTGACCTTGACCTTGACCTTGATCTTCTCCTTGATCTTCTCCTTGATCTTCTCCTCGACATCCTCCTGGACCTTCTCCTTTGCCCTGTCCTTGGCCGCCCTGGGCCCTGTGGAGGTCTTGGGCGGCGAGGCAGGCGGCGGGAGGGAGTGGATCGCGTCCTCAGGCGCGTCGGTGCGCGTTGCTCGTGGCTTGCGCTTCCTCATGATGATGTCGTCGCCATTGGCGCGTCTCCTGCCGTGTATATAGGTGCCGGTGAGCTGGAGAATGTTGTAGATGGGTTTGCCGGTCTTGGGACGCGTAGAGCGACCGCGCTGGGGGCGGGTGTCCTCGTTGACCGCCTCCTGTACATGGCCATCATCGTGGTGAAGGTCGAGGGGGCTCTCGGGCTCTGGTGGATCGGGCTGAGGCGTGCCGACCTGGACGGTCTGCTCGACGACAATCGCGTCGTCGTCAGCAAGGGAGAGGTGGTCGTGGTCGTGGTGATTGTTGTGGTGGTGGTCAAGGTGGTGTTCGTCGTCCAGGGGGCTGAGGGCGACGGCGATGATAGGTTTTGGGTCGTGGATATCGGAGGAGGCAATGCTGGCGGCGTCGGCAGCGGTGGTGGGAGGTGTCGAGGTGGTGGAGGTGCTGTGGGAGAAGGTGTCGGTGGGAGGGGCAGAGAACTCGCTGTGGTCCTCTGAGACGGGCGCAGGGAGGTCGTCAGGAGTCTGGGACGCGAGGGAGGGCGAGTAAGGGAGGAGCAGCGACGAGATGTCCATCTTGGGATTGTGAGGAGTGAAGCTGGCGGAGGCGACAACCGTGCCCAGGCTGGCAGAGGCAGATCGTGGTCTGCGCGGGGACGGAAGGATGTGAGGAGTGGTCGCGTTGTCGCGAGGAGGAGTGCGGCCGTCGGCGTCTGCAGGTTTGCGCGACGGTGCCACGGAGCTGAAAGACGCGCTGCGGCCGTGGCCCTTGGGGCGGCGGGGCTGGCCCTTGACACGGATATACTGGCCGCGGCCCAAGACAGAGCGTGCAGGGAGGCCAGTAAGCTTGGGGGGTGGCTTGCCAACCTCGGCGCGCTCGACAACGTCCATCCTGGAGGTGTGAGAGGCAATGTTTACAATCTGGCTGGCAGTGGACTGGAGTGTAGTGGTCTTGGTGGACGCGTGGCGGGAAGAAGGATATGGACCCGCGAATTCCCCAATGCGATCGTAGGCGGGTTTATGGGGCTTAGGCACGAGGGCCCGCAGGGGGACCGGTGACCGCTTCCTAGGGAGGACGACCGGCCCTGTTACTATCTTCTTCTTCCTCTGCCTCGGCAAGCGCAGGCCTGGGAATTCGTAGCTTGGCTGTGCGTTGGCTTCGGTCGACGTCTTCTTCCGCAGCAAGCGCAGGCCTGGGAATTCGTAGCTTGGCTCCGGGTCGGCTTCGATGGAGGCATGTGGTATGATGACGGGTTTTTGCTGTTGTTGCTGCTGGTGCTGCTGGTGCTGCTGCTGGTGTGATTGTGGCGGCTGGTGCTGCTGGTCTTGGTCATGGGGTCGGTGATGGGATTGGTGGTGATGGTATGTTTGTTGGTAGGTTTGCTGGTTGTGCCCGCCGCCTTGACGGTAATCACCTTGGTGGTAATTGCCGTGGTGGTAATTATTTTGGTGGTGGCCATCACTTTGGTAATAATTGACCGGGCGGAAGGCGCTGTGATGGGACTTGCCTTGGTAGTAACTATTTTGGGGCTGGTCCTGATACGGATACGGATGCTGGTGCTGCTGCTGATGCTGATGCTCATACTGGTGCTGGTGCTGGTGCTGGTGCTGGGCCTGGTCTTGGTCTTGGTCTTGGTACTGGTGCTGGTGCTGGTGCTGTTGTTGGTGTTGGTGTTGGTACTGCTGTTGCTGCTGAATCTGGAGCTGCACCTCGACCTGAAGCCTGGGGCCAACAGGCGGCAATGGTGGTTCCGGCTGCTGCTGCTGCTGCTGCTCCTGCTTCTTCCTCTTCTTCTTCTTCTTCTTCTCCTCCTCCTCTTCCTCCTTCTCCTCATCAAACACTGTCGTCCCCAAGGCTAGCAGTTGAGCCTGGGCAGCAGCAGCCAGATTGACGAGGATATCCACTTCACCCATGATGCTTATGGGGCAGGTGGTTCGACGCAGCTGACTCAAGGATATGGTGGTGGGTGGTGCAGCCCAGTCAGCCCAACACCAGCCAAATAGTAAAATAAAGTAAAGCTGAGGCAGGTGCTGAGCTTAATACTTGGGCTTCCCTCCTCCCCCTCCTCCTGTCTAGGTTGACTTGGAGGTGGAGGAAATAGTCAGGCTGAGACGCGACCCTACGCTTGGAGTGAGGAGTGAGAAGTGAGTATCCCCAAATGAGAACAACGATGGGATCAATGTGAGCCTGTGAGGCACATGCAAAGCATGTGGCAGGCAGGCACACAGGGTATGATTGTAGTGGTAGTGGTAGTGAGTGTATCAGTATGTGCCAATGTGCCAATGTCGACTGCTCTTCAATTGCCCAGGGCCCAGAAAGGGGGGGGCGGGCCGGTTGTTTTAATCAGCTAGCGCCAGATCCAGATCCATCCAGCCTTCTGTGTTGGTGTTGTGCTGCGATGGACCACCGGGCTGGCTGTTTTGTCGTGGTGAATGAGTCCTTTTAAAACATTGATTTGGATGGAAAATAAACTGAGAACCAAGCTCTTCCCCCTTCTATTACAAGGGCTATTGTCTGCCTATCTTTTATTTTTATTTTTTTTCGGTTGTGGACCAGATATGTGATAAGTGATGGAGATGGCAATTGGGGGCGATGAACCAGAGACTGGGTGAGCGGTCATGTGTGGGGGTGGAAAGCTGTGTGCGAGGGAAAGGGGGAAAGGGAACTTGGTTGAGATGCGCGAAGAAAAGGTGGCAAGCCGATTGGGGGGGATGCGCCAAGCAAGAAGACTGGGGAGGAGGATCTGTTGGCCAGGGCTTTGGGTTTTATGATCTGTTTATTTATTATCGTTCTTCCGTGCTGGCCGGGTTGCTTGCAAATTCAGATCTGCTGCGTGCTGCCTGATTGGTGGCTGCGGCTGCAGAAGAGGATTCGGGGGGGGGGGGGCGGGCAGAGAAGAAGAGGGGGGAGGGAAGCGGTTCTGCGGCAATAGTCGATGTGTGATTGCTTGATCACTTGGTGCCGTTGTTGGCGGGGGCGCGTAGGGAAGCTCCTAGGACGGACCATGGAAACTGCAATGGTACTGACTGGTTGATGCCGGGGAAGGATGGAAAACACCATATCTTAATGACTGGAAGGGGGGGGGGAGGCGGGTGTCGATGTGAGCCTCTCAAATTTTCTTGTATTTAGTTTTTCTATGCTCTAGATCTGTTGTCACTAGAAAAAGGATAATCTTGTTCCTGCTGACTCTAGGTTCAAGACTTCCCCGGAGTGCGGTGCGAGATTGCACTGCCGCCGTGTAAGAAACAAAAGCCCGTCTCTGCGCTGCCCGTCGGATAGTCATGCAGCCTGTGAGGTCCTGGATTCCGCCTGCCACAAGCCGTTATGAATGTCGTCCAACTTATATGCCGTCCTTTTCGGAGGGCTGATTGTCCTCTATATATCGATTAGGCTGGTCCCAGTTTGCGGGCTTTTGGTTCTCCCCTGGCTCGTTGTTGGCTTCACGCGCTATGTCCAGTATCCCCTTCCTTGTGGTGCGGAGGCGGGTCTGGATGAGCGTCACACGGTTGGAGCTGGTCGTTTTCCTCGTCTACCTTGCTATGAACGTCATCATCCTATCTCTTTTCGTCCAGAGCCGCGCTGACTTGTCGGCAAGGGCGGCGGTTGTCGCCGTGATCAACATAGCAACCTCTGTTTATCGGTGGCCGGGCGAACGCGCTCGTAAATCTGGTTGGCATCCCACTCCCGACATACTACCTCTCCCACCACTGGATCGCACTAGGCCAAATTTCTCCAACGGGCCAGCCGTGATGTATTTGATCCCCGCCCCATCCAGGGGCCTGGACGTCTCTCCCAGATCCCGGATGCAGGCCCTCGAACGACTTCCAAGAGAACGGGCTACCGGGCTGTCAGTATGGACAACGGATCCCATAGAATCTTTTCTAGTGACTGGACCCTAGACAACAATTAGGGTCTAGACCAGTTCCGCGAAGAGAACTTCACACCCCAGCCTCTTTAGCTGGAAATGAGGCTGTCTTGCCGGCAGAAATGCCAGAGACACCTGCCATCGACGGGGCCGTGACCAACGACGTGAGAAGATAGAGTTGAATATCCTTTCGCTTCTTGAATCACCGGTTAATGCTATGATACAGTCTTCTGATTATGATATGTTCCCGCCTGGATAAGATTGAGGCGATGAACGGACGGATGCACGCCACTCTGGATGAGATTGGGGGGACCGTGAATCGCACTGACGTTAAGGCAGAGACATTGAAGCGGATGTTGGAGAGCCTGAGGGACGGTATGAGTGCTTTTTTGAAGACGCTATTTGGTTTGCTTAGAAGGGGGTCACCGGCCGAGTGATGAGGATGGGGGAGTACCTTAAGGGAGGGTACGGTTGCAAAGTTGAGATAGGCACGAGATGTTTTAGCCAACGGCCCGGGGCTGGGTAGAATCCCCAGGTCTGGCATCTGATTATCCATGAAACATATAATCAACTGGCCGCGTACAGGCGCTGTGAGGAGCCTGCACTGCCCACCAAGCATGAATGCCGTCCAGTCCCGCTGGAGTCAAAGCACCGCGATTCGTTGAACCCCGGACGCGGGCCCACAGGCGCCTATACGATTGCTTTTGTCAGATACGCAACAGAGTTTCCGGCCACGTGCGATCCCTCTGGGTTGCGCTTACGACACAGATGCCTCTGGCTCCGCGACCACTGGAACTACGACCACGACCAGCACGGGTTGACAAGCCGCTGCCAATCACTCCGCCGGCGCCGCCACCGCCGCTGGCCAACCGATTCCTGGATAGTCCTGCACCGCTCAAGCCTGCTAAGCAGACTCTCAGCTGGTCAGAAGACCAGATCAACACCCCTCCAAGACGAGAACCGCCGGCTGCGACAGCAGATCATCGACCAGAAACGGCGGCTGCACCTAGAGAAGGACGAGATTATCGCCCAATTAAGACAGAAGGCCGCCCAGGACAAGCCAAGACTCAAACCACCAGGAAGACATGATTAAGAAGATTGCCAACACTGTCGACGTGGCATTCCAGGACTGCCGCGACATGCTCTCACGCGGCGCTGATCCCCGGTCCCGCTGACGGTGCATCGTCCGACAAACCTCTAGCAGAACGGACACAACACTCCTCATCATACTGATACTAACATGCTTCTCGTTGGATTCGCCATTATAGGCGTACTGTATCTGATCGCCGATTACCTGTTTGTCTCACCGTGAGAACTTTGAGTTGGCGGGTAGTAACACTGTCACCAGGCCCGCGCTTCGTAGCACGACTCGGAGGCGTACTCCCGCCAGAAAGCAGCAAGCAAAAGGTATGCCTACATGCGACTCATCTCGTGCCAGAGCAGGGAGCTCACCAGGGTAGCAGTCCTCTCCTTCTCGATCTGGCGGCAATAGAGAGTATGCGGACGTTCGAGGCTCCAGCAGGCGCCGTGGGCGGAGGGAGTAGACTCTGCTCGTGCTCGGAACGGGCCAGTTTTGCTCTTTCGCGCCGGTATGGGGTTGAAGACCTCCGGCTACTATCTCCCCCTAAAGTCAAATTGCAATAATTATACAGCCAACAATATCATTGATCCTTTTGCCTTATTTTCCTCAAGCAGCACATGTGTAGATAG